GTGCCGCAGGACAACCGTCTGATCGAATCTTCTGGGCGCTTTTGTCCCCCGGTGTGTTCGGAATTCACCGATCCTACCCCGAGCTACCTTGGCGTCGACCACGAAGAGTGGTCCGAAATTTTGTTGCTTGTCCTTTCTCGATTTCTTCGCTTCTCTCTAGTTTAGGCGTTTAGGCATAACACAATGCGATACAAGAAACTTGTTACAGGTAACCCGTGCCCAGACGAGACCCACCCTGGGTAACCGTGACTTAACACTTTTACAATCTCCTCGTGTCTCAGTTGGTAATTTTCAACTTTCTCTCCCACAGAAATCGAGAAGTCATGGCGATGCCCCAAGTTAAATAGCTACGCCGAGATGTGGCTGACTGCAAGACACAAGCCCTTTTGCCGACGGACACCGGCTGGCCGAATGTCGGGCTAACGTTAGGAATCCGACAGGGTCTGAACCGGTAACGGACTGACTTTTCATGTCTTCGTCTGACCATCATCGTTATTCGAAATACCCGACAATGCCGCGGGTTCCCGGTCTGCTTCCCCGGGCTGCAATGCAGTGCAGGTCGGCGGCTCGCCCAGACTCGTTCACCGCTCACGAAATGGAGAGTAGAAGTCTGGGAAGAAGGGTTACGTGTGACTAACCCCCGGTTTCCAGATTGAAGCCCGAGGCGCTGCAGCAGGGACACGAACGACGCATATGGTTAACAACGGTAAGTATCTTCATAGCTTTGTACCTACACGAACTACATAGTACAATAATTAGTTAAATGCCGTGCTGGTGCCCGGGTGCGTCCACGGAGTCCCCGGGCCCTTGAGCTGATCCATCCGTTCAAATTTCGTGGATTTACACCCCTGTTAACTAGTTACCGTACCAATACGCCCCCGTGCACCCAAGGCTGCATGCGGCCTCGCCTCACTTTTCCTTCCCGTCCCCCAGGAGAGCAACTCCCGTGTAACCTGCCCGGTCGCCCGCTCTGCGTTCGGTACCGCATCACTGGCGCCGCGACACAGAACGAGCCTCAGAATGGGATGGGGGCCGCCCCGGCGGAACGAGGAGGGATGGGGGTTGCCCGTACCGACATATAAATCTAATTCCAGTCCCTGTTCTGTCTCATTTCCCAGATTCCGTGAAGTGATCGATCATCGCCAGAACAGACTTCTTCGCTTCGAGTGACTCCCAATGCTCGTCCATCTCCCTGCCTCTAACTCTTGCCAGCTTCCACGACCATTCTCACTCCCATGCTTTGAGATGGGCTCCGGATCCAACCTTTACCCCCGCGATGCGCGCGCTCAAGTAATCGGTGAGTTTGCCGATTTCACTCTTCTGCTGCTCACCAGGAAACAACCCCCCCTTAAACCCATGATCCCACTACTTACTGTTCTCGCGCGCAGAGAACTGCGAGTTCACCTACGGACCCGACGCCCGGTTCTCACTCGTTCTCACCCGGGAAGCTGCGGGTAACTTCAAGGCCATCGTTCTCAAAACGCAAGACGGTGCCCGCAAGGCCGTCTTGTCAGCAGCCGCGCCCCGCTATGAGGACGCCCTGGCATTGCTTCTCACCAAGTCGGCAGAAGCCGTTCAGGAGCACGTCGATGCCCATGGATTTGGCCTCGTCTCGCAACCCAAGGAGCAGCATGTCAAACTAGATGATGGCGTGGAGTTTGAGAAGGACAGCGGCTCGTCCACCGTGACGCTCGACGACTACGAGTCTTTGTCCGATGACGAGACCGTTTCTATCACCTCCGTCGGCCAGGCCAAGCGCAAGAGCCGCCGCAGGATAGAGACAAGACAATCGCCGGCCAAGACAAGACAGGCTACAAAGGCGAAGGAAAGCGGCCACCCCAAGGAGAGACGGGGTCGTTCCAGGTCCCGTTCTCCATTCAAGTTGCCCATCACTCGGACACGATCCCGTTCGATCCGCTCCGATACGAGCTCCTCCGAATCCGGGTCCGATTATGAGAGCCACGACGACAACCGCTCCCGGCCTCCCCCTCCAGCCCCTCAGTCTTCTCGTCGGATGGCCCCTTTCAGCGCCTTCGGCAAACCCGCCAATAGCGCTAACCCCGATCCGCGCCCTTTCGTACCTGGACTTCCCAAGTTTACCGCCAAATATCCCGCTACCTCGGCAGCCTCACTTTTACCACCACCTCCTCCTCCTCCGCCGCCATCCTCCATATCCTGCGCCCCTCGTCATATGCCACGCCCCCTCAGTATGCCACCGATACCTCCTATCAACGTGTCATACCCTCCCGGTAACAACAACACCACCGCCGCCAACGCTAACAATCCTCCCTTCCGCCCGCAACGCTTCGTCCCACCACCTCCTCCACCCCCACCTCCGCCTCCGTTTACTCAACCCACCCCGAACCAGCCCCAACCTCAGCCCAAAACGCACGACATTGCCCTACGCATCCGCTGGCGCGGCCACGGCGAGCACCGCGTTCTCGAGCGCCTCGCCCTATACCCCCACAGCATCCAACAGGCCGCCCTCTCCTACGTCAAGCGCAGGCCCTACTCCTTTGAGAACATTCAACCTAGCGCTGCTCCCACCGTGTTTTCCGGCCTGAAGGCTGCCTTGCGCAATGTGAGTGTGGACGGGGTGGTGTATGATTTGGGCGCGTGGAGCAGCGAGACCAGCAGCACTGGTACCGCTGCTGGTGGTGGAAGTGGAAGTGGAAGGGCAGATTTGGCACGGGTAATAGAGGGTCTGTTGCCATCGACCTCGTCGTCAGCGGTGATTCCGGTATTTGAGGTCGATGTATGGAATCAGACGACTGGCATGCCAATCCCGCTTGAGAGCGTGGGTGCGGGTGCGGGTGCGGAACAGAATCAGGGGCAACGTCAAACTCGAGGTAACGCACCTTGGTTTCCCCCTCCCCCACCACCTCCAGGTGTGACTGGGCGCGTGGACGGGAATGGTATCAACAACAAATTCAACAGCAACAACGGGACTGGCAACTCGAACGGAAACGTGGCGTCAAGCCAACTTCACAGGACCGCATCCGTTCCGTGGCTTACAAAAATGGAATCTCTGACCTCCGGTGAGGGTAACGCCACCAATACCCGCGGGGTGTTTCCCTGGGGAAGTCCGGCTCCTCCGGGAAATTGTTGATGAGGTGTAGATGTAACGAGGCGCAACCTCTTTGCGGTGGACAGTAGGCAGGCATGTGGGAGGGTGAGGAAACGTGGGAGTAGTGAAAGTGAGGCTGTCGACGGGAGAACCCGAGAGGTGTTGTGTGACTTGGGCGTCATGGCAGTTGATCATCGGGTTGGACAAAACGAGCTGTGCTTCAAATGGTGGGCCTTTGTTTTTGGTTTGGAAAAGGTTGGCTGTGCTTCGTTACAATTGGGGAAGGAAGGTAGGAGGTGGGCTTTTGGAGGGTCGCGCTTTCCTGTTTCCTGTTTCCTGTTTCAACACTGCACTTTCCCCTGTTTCTGGCTCAATGTTATTTCCTTTTTTCTTTTTTTTGCGTGGTTAGACTTTTCTGTATTTCCACACTCGCCACAACACCATAATCCCGATACCCGCAGCACCAGATAGCTTGATGTGTATTTACCCCTGTATTTGTCCTGACAACCGGATCTTTTCATGCTCGCTCTCGATCCTTTGTTTCTCATGAATTGAAGACGTGGAGCTCAACCGACAGTAGCCAACAGGTGAGGTACGCGAGAGACAGGAAAGCATTCTTTACTCGATCGAAAACCCTTAATGACAAGACTTACATTTCTAGGGAGTACTTCCTCCGTGTGAATCTGTGTAAACATCTCGGTGTCCCCCCCCCGACATACCGTCGTACCGCCACTGCATCATTTTCCCAAATCAGGAAGCCCACGTAAATCCGCCGACATCTTTGACGTTCGATAACTAGCTTCCGGCAGCAGTACGAAATGGGGAGGGGATAGGCCAAGGCGAGGAATAGCTCCCCCCCACGGCGCCACCCCCATATCTGTCCTATTATTCGACGCCTCGTCCCCACGGCTCGATCAAAATGCCGCAAGGATCAAGAAGACGTTGACATAGTTGGGTATCAAGAGTCGGATTTTCTTTACGAACCTGATGTAGCAATCATCCTGGGGCAAAATGCAACGACAGCTTGGACAAGGCGTGGGTGTCCCTCGCGCCCTCATTATCGTCACGCCCTGGGGCGCCTCAATGCTCGGGGGTGGGCGAGCTGAAATAGAGCCATCACGAGGATTTGGCGCCCTGGTTGAGACCTTGCTCGAACCCCCCCCCCCACCTCTCCAAAAAGAAAAATGGCAAAGCCCCGTGTCTTTAGGACCAGCAGGACTCGGTGATTCAAGGGCAAAACTGCGACCACGGCACTGTGAATCCCACGAATGCCGCAGGTCCCTCCAAACGCCCAACTTAGCAGCAAGTGCTCTTTCAGCCGCATTTGCCGCCCAGCCTGCCATCATGACAAACATGGCCGTCCTGGAGGTCGGTAGAGAGTGTGGGCGGCAACGGGACAGAGGGCAATAGCCTGATTCGGCGGCCCTGGCTACCAACGGGCGAATCCCTGGTCGCGATGCAGGAACGGCAACAAAGCGGCCAGGTCCCGCGGCCAGCCCGAGGCGAACGGACCTAAAGGTTCTCGAGATGGATCGCCTGCCCCTTCGCTCACCAAAAGCCCTCCGACGAGACTCCCCGCCGCCGCCTCGGTACTGTACTGCGTAAGCTGCTTTGATACAAAAAGCATGAATGGGTAATACGCGAGGATTGCCTCCTACTCAAGGAGGCGACTCAATCAATGGGCACGGCCTGGGTATGGGAAGAAAGTTACAGGGCGGCCAACTTGCAAGGACAACTTTCCGGCTCATCTCATCCCGAAGCCTCATCAGAATTGAATTTACCGCCGCTGGCGACCAAGACCACCTTGAAAGTACTGATCGGCACGGGCTGGGTATCGCGATACACCACCCCCATCTCCAGCCGTCGACTTAGGGTTGATTCGATGGCTCCAAGCCTGGAATGAGGCTCAAGCCAAAAGTTGGCCGACTGGACGCCAGGCTTCCTCGGTAACTCGTGCGTTAAGCAATCGCACAGGTTTAGCTTGTCCATGGCCTGTTCCATTCTCGTCGTGCCGTGCGGGTCGACTTTGCCTCCATGCTCCACACCCACAGAGTGATATACAGCCCTGCGGTAGGTGGACTATTCGGGACCTTTGCTTTCTTTTTAAAGAAAGAATACAAGGTCAGTATTGGAGGGGCGGGATTCTCCGCCCTGGGCTATTGGCAGCTCGGCAGTTTCCCGCGTGCGGGATATGGACATACGCTTGGTTGCCGTTCACGTCATCAAGGAATCGTCAAGAGATGAGGTCGTGGTTGAAACCCAAATGGGGAAATATTTGGGGATGATCGGAGTTTTGTGAGGCGGACTAGCCTGACTGGTCTCGGCGGCAACGACAGGTCGTCACGCGTGGCAGCTGGGTTGCAATGTTGTGCGTCCATTGAGCCTGTTTTGATCCATCGCCGACTCCATTATTGAGGGGAACATAATCGACTTGTCGGTCAATCAAGTCGACAAGATCTCACCGGAAAGATCATTGAAGGTGGGATGGGGCTCATGGAGTGCAGACTGAAATGTGAGTCTTGGCGCAGTATGTACTTCGTACATATGTAGCCCAAGCTGTGACCCGCCCGCGTGCGACCTGCCGAGCTCTGTGATGTGACCTAAGTCGCTTGGTGTTTTGAAGCCTCAACGACGCAACCATGTAATAACGTTACTAGGGCAGCCTCACAACACTTTCTAGCACTCCAAAATCCGGGAAATCTTTTGCCACAAGCTACCGATTTCGAGCGCTGGTAGTTAGATCTATTACACACGCATTTTACCGCCCCAAGCGATGGTGTGTTACCTTACTCCCGACCAAAAGGACGTCGCACGTCTGAGGTGTGACAACGGGGAGTCTGTAAAGGACAGAACTAGATGCTCCCGAGGCTACTGCCACAAGGTGAAGAAGATTCATGGTATTCACGATGAGACGGGGGACATGATACCGTCAAATACCAAGGCTAGGCTCAATGCTCGAGTATTAGAGCCGTGTGGGTTTCGTGTGTGGAATTAGCTGGTGGGCGTGGCTGGTACATGAATGTGCACATTCCTACTGTAAACAAACGCCATGCGATATGCCTTTCTTTGTCCGTGGCGAAAGTAATCGAGGCGGGGAAGTACCGCCCACAACTTGGAGCATGAAAACCAAGGAGCCAGTGTATATACGACGGAAAGGAGCCAACACCGGCCGTTCCGATTTATTAAGGCCCTCCCAAACCCAACCAACCATCATCATCAGCCATTTTCTTCCCAGTCCATCCACCCATCTGTTCCTTCTTTCTAGCCCAACTAGCCCAAGCCACCCCATCCGTCTAGTAGATCCCCTGTGTCCTATACTGGAAGGTGTCATAACTAAAGAACGGCACAATTAGTCACCTCACTCGTTCCCAAGTCGGTTGCGACTCATCGACAGTAGTAGAAACGAAAAGGGAAAAAGAAGGGCAAGGGATGGCTCACAGTCGTGTGTAGTAACTGCCAAGCGACTTGCCAATGAGGTCCGTCTCAACAAACTGCTCGGCCTCATCAGCGCTCAGCTGCAGCTGGAATCGCTGGCGTAGCGCGGTCGTGACCTGCGAAACCCCGGCCCCGAAGCACGGCATCTTCGAGTCGCGGCCCATCATGGAAACCAAGTCGATGATATTATCCGCCGAGCGGCGGAGGGCTGCGTAAAAAAGGGTTAGGTTAGCATCCGCTGCTGGCATATCCGGTAGGTAAAATAAGAAGGGATCCTGAGAAGAGAAGGGACATACCTTGAAACGCCTGTTTGCAAAGCTGCTTGTAGTCATCAAAATCCGACGAGCCCACGCCACCCAGCACGTCCACATACTCATACGTCAGCTTAAACGGCGCGGCTTCAAACCCAACCGACCCCGGCGAATTAGATAACATGAACCCAAAATCAATGTGGATGATATGCCCCTCATTATCAATGAGTACATTCCCGTTGTGCCGGTCCTTGAGCTGAAGGACATACGAAATGACGCTATACGCCGCCAGCGAGCGCTTGAACGCATCCACGCCGGCACGGTACGCATCACTCTCGGGTAGGCCAAACACCTTGACGAAATGGTCCTTGAGCGAGGCGATACGCCGCCGCGGGTTCTGGCCCGACTCGACAGTCGCCAGTGTCAGGCTGCGCTTGATAGAATGCAGCGACACGCCGTTGGCGATAGTCTCGATAAGGCCCGACGACTCACCCGTGACGAGGATGCGCATCAATTTCACCCACACGGGCACGCCGGCATCCACCCAGACCCGGTGACACACGCGGATCAACTGGCAGGCAAAGGCCTCTTGTCGCAGGTCCGATCCCGTCTTGACGATTACGCTGACCAGATCCCAGTTCTTCATCCATCCGTAGGGCGACGACTTGCGGATGCGCTCCTTTTTGGTTTCCCAAGCTTCGCCAAACACGGCTGCGCTGGGGTCATCGCGGTCGCCTTTGCGTTGCAGCCCGCCCGTTTTGATGTCGTTCTCCATGCGGTCGATGCCGGCGTTGGCGTTAAGGTTCGGCTCAACGGGGGAATCCTCGGCGCCCCCATCAGATCCTGCACCACTGCCATCAGACGTCCCTGTGGTTGCTGCAGCGGTCGCCGCCGCGGCTTGTGCGCGTGCCATGATCATATCAAAGGTCGGGCCTTGTCCATCGTCCAAGTCGAAGCTTTGCTCCTCAAGGCTCTGCATGCTCGCGATGATGCGCGCGCGGATAGCAGCCACTTCTTGCCGCGGCCGTTTCCCACTCGTCGCATCTAGCTGGGCAAGCATCTGCGAGGCTGTGCGCATGTGGATGGCCAGCGCCGAAAAGTCGGGTTGATCAACAGAGTTCAGGCGAGCGCCGGTGAGGGTTAGTCGCCTTCTGAGTGGCGGGCTCATGGGTTCGCACGAACCACCGGAATTGCGGGGTGACGCCTTCTCCGAAAGTGCCGGGGTCGGCGAGTTGACACTCGACATGCCCAAGGAAAAGCTCGATTGCGAAGGGGCCATGCCGAATAACTCGTCATCGGTGGGCTTGAGCATGGGCGAACTGCCGAGATCCCCGGATGATGGCTCAAAGACACTATCCACGACAGGTTCCGCTGACCGTGAGCTCGAAGGTATCCCCGGCGCATCCGACAGATCAAATATCCTCTTACGCGTCCCTTGTTCGGCTAACAGTGTTGTCAACAGTCTCTGGTTGTCCTGGGTCTCCGGGTCGAAAGTGAAGTCATCCCGGAGTATTTCTACCATCAGCAAGTAGGGCACCTTTTCGGCACTGTTCAGCACGGTAGCTTCGGCCGGGTTGAGCCGTACTATCCTGTGGTGGCGGCTCTTGGACGGAGAACCACTCGCCAGCTCGGGAGGGCAAATCACCGGAATATCGACTTCCGCAGGGAGATCTCGTGCGATGAGGGCCAGTTCTGCGCGAAGCGCACTAAGACGAGCCGGCTTCGGCACAACCACCAAGCGGTTCGAGATTCCTTCGAGTGCCGTCAAGAACGCAGTCTGACAACGAAAGTAGTTTTGGCGGAGTAGTTGTGTCTTTTGAGTCGTTGTCATCTCGGCCTGGCTCAGAAGCGTCTTGACATGATGCGGATGCCTTCTAGACAGGGCGTCGGGCGGGTGCAAGCCGGCTGAGACGGGCGTAGTTGGCCGTGTGACGAGACGCGGCCTAGGGTCTGGAAGAGGTAACGACGCCGAACTTATGCGGGCTTCCAGTGCGAGGTTCTCGAGCTGGCCGGACAACTCAGCTCCATCTTCATGGGGTTTCGATGATTCCGTCTCGCTTGCTTTCGACCTCGACCCTGGCCGACTCGATTTTGATCCCGACTTGCTTTTCCTTGATTTGCGCGGACTACCCCCGGGTAGCTTCCCCTCCTGGACGCTCACACTTCGCCCGTCCTTTGCCCGCTTCGATCTCGTATTCCCAGCCGTGATGGTGTGTGCCCGGGTCGGCACGTTCTTATTCGCAGCAACGGAGGGTTCGGATGATATCGTCTCGACGGGGCGTGGCTTTCTCGACTGGGCAATCGCTAGGGGGCCCGCCCAGTGCGGTAGCAGGGGGCATGCAATGCTGGCCAACACGAAACTGCCTAGGACCGTGACTGGCAAGGCATTATCGGTGATTTTTTCGTGACGGACGCTCTCGGAAAGGCCAAAGACAATGTGTTGCACCTTATTGTATACGCGGCGACAGATCTTGAAGGCTTCAGTTTGGGGATTCGGGGCAAGATCGTGGAGGTATGTTTGGAACAGCCAGAAGGTCTGCAAATTCGGGGTGTCAGCGGTCGGTCATCAACGTTATCTTTCCCGGACCTCGCGGCAACGTGTATGAGGGACGGGGTCTCGGACCAATAATGCAGCAGTAACCGATTCTTCACACAGATCCAGCAGAAACTCCTCCAGGGCCATCGATTCGTTGTCGACACTGATGATCAGGTGGCATAGCTGCGGGAGGAAGAATTCTATGTCCTCGTAGGGAAACTGTCGCAGCTTGCTGCAGAGCACGTAATGGATGCCTATGTGGTCGGCATAACGACTGAACATAAACGGAACCTGTCAGCGATGCGGGAGGAGGCGGGATGTTTTTTTTGAAAAAGTAAAGTCCGAGGCTCAGGGCGGCCACATACGAAAGGTACGACACCGAGAGGAAAGGATTCTGGTTGAAGACATCGCTCTCGAGGAACCGCTTTAGCAAGTCCCAAGACATTGGTCGCGGCGGCGTCAGGGGTCTCGGCTAGATCGGGCGGAAAAGGGGGCGGCAGCTGCAGCAGCAGCGGTGGTACTAGCGCAAGCAGTGGTGATGAAACTGGCGATAGCAGTGGTGGTAGTGGTGGGGGAAGGGCAGAAGCGGCAGGCCCATGTCATGTCCTCGAGGCCGTCTTCATTGAATCTAATGCTAGCTCGGTAGGAAGTTGGGAAATCGAAAAGTAGGCCGGCAGGAAAGATCGGTCGGGAAGCGGGTGGGTGGCCGCGCTGATGGGATCAAGTCTCGGCGTCGGCGACAATAGGATCGTGAATGTTCTTGGTAATAGCAGGTCCTGGCGCGCACAACTGCAGCAGCATGGCTAGCTCGCCGGGCTGCGGTCGCTTGCTAATACTCAGGGGCCGTCCTCGAAGGAATTCTCGATGCGGCGCGTCGAAGAGTCTGATCGAGGGGGAGCGACGATGGTGAAGCTTGTTCAGAATTGGCCCGTTCACGATGCACGTTGAGGACAACTGAGCCAATAGCTCCATTCAGCCACTCCCGGGGGGTTCAGGGGCCCCGCCTGCTCCGCTCCTATCGTTTGCGGAACACGGGATTTTTGCCCCACTAGCCGGGCCTCCGGCTCGGGCCCCAGATCCCGATTCCATGAGGGGATGTGGAAAGGAAGATTAGGAGATATTTGGGCTTTTGGCTCTGAATCTAGCGATTAGAAGTGATTTTCTCGCGTGTTTGTGCAATGAGTGCGCTGGTCATACACCATCTGGTCCCCCAGTGCCTCCCGTGGTCTCTCTCTCTGTGTGTGTGCTCGGTAACGCCTGGGCTCAACGTGAGAATGCACGAGTGCTACCCAAACGGTTTGTTATAGCTGTACCTTTTGAAATTCTCTCTTCCAATTTCTTTTTGGAGCACGTAACCCTACCAAAACTCCATGCCGCATTTGTACCCAAAAAAAAAGCCAAAAAAAAAGCCATTACATTCACCAGACAAATTGTCTCTCCCGATTCCATTGTCCCCGCCCCCTTTTCCTTTTCTTCGGCTTGACTCTCTGCAAATATCAACGTCAGCAAAACATATCATCCGTTAAGGCACTCTAAAGACCAGACGCACCTTGTATTTGACCCTTTCACTCCCATCCGGCATCTGCACAATCTCATGCTGGATGTGGTAACCTAGTGCTGGTAACAACTTGGCCCACACGAGCCAGTATATCGTGCCGATGGCCAACAAGCTGGTGCCGAGCGTTGGGAAGACATAATATTTTACGTGGCTGAGGAAATTATTCTCGATGAAGGGCGCCACCTGCACGAATAGCAGTGCAAGGGTCCAGAATATGGTGAGGACAGGCGAGCTGCGGAAGGTGGTGCGCTGCTCGGTCCAGCGTTCGGATGGTGCATAATTGAGGTAAAGAAGACCCACAGCAAGGAAGACTAGAAACAAAGGTCAGCGTCATGTTGGGTGTGAGGCAAAGGGTGCAGGGCATCATACACTTAATCCAGTTGCCGCTGTAAACAAATACGTTGGTGGCAAATGCGTAGACGTCGTCCGTATGCGACCCGAGGATGAAGATGACAGTAATAATCCAATGCAAGAAAATGGCCCCTGTAGGTGCATTAAACGGCCAGTCACTCGCCCAGAGCCGAGACCACGGCAGCACACCCTCCTTAGCCAGCTCCTGTTTTACTCGGGGCATGGCAAAGGATTGGGCAAAGGCATTGCCGAGGGCAGAAAGGCCGATAAATAACGGCACCACCTTGGTAACGAAGTTGCTCTCCCCCCATGTGTTTTCGAAGAACTGCGCCGCTACAACGATTTTGGCTTCGGCGATCTCAAGCTTGCTCATGGCCGCGAACTAAGATTCTAGTTAGAGAAGGGGGAAAGTAGAGAAGATGCAGGCATGCTCACATATGAGATGTTGGCGAGGATATACAGCACCGTGACGATAGAAACAGAAATTGGTGCCGCCTTTCTCAACGTCTTGGGAGCGTCTCGAACCTCGGTGAGAACCTAGGCCCCATCAGTATACGTCGTCATATTCCATTGCGTCGGACTGGAAACCAACTCACATAGTTGGCGTTTTCCCACCCACTATACGCGTAAAGGACTTGCAGTAACGCAATCGAATACCCGCCAGCCGCCCCCGCCGCAGCAGGGGAATTGCCCGGGTCCCTCCTAGAAGAGCCCGCCCCGTGAAAACTAGAAAAGTTATCCGGCCTTGGTGCGACTGTCCGCCCAGCGAGAGCGGCGAACCCGGTGCAGACCAACAAGGTGAGCATGATGAGCTTAAAGGTGCCGAAACCATTGCTCAGCCAGATACCCCATCGTGGTGCAAACGCGTGGATGAGGCAAACCACTAGGGGGGAGGGTCGTCAGTGGACATTACACTAGACGGGATACGGGGGATGTAAAGGGAGCTTCATTACCCGTGATGGTGGCAATCGCAATCCCCACGTTGAGCCACGTGTTTTCTTGTGGCGTCCCTGTGGCAGCTTGGAGTAGGTAACTGCTAAAGCTGATACTGTTACCGGTAGAGATGGCAAAGAGGACGAATTGCACTAGCATTGATTAGGGGTGAGTAACATGTACGCACATGTAAGGGCCACGATGACTACAAACCTGCGAAAATGCATGTGGCTAAGTATCTTGGTCGTTGATACACGCGTTCTAGCTAGAAAGAGCATGTTACGTTAACCCTTGAGCGCCAGAAGAAACCAAATGCCCGCTTACGTAGACTTTCTCGCCTCCGGATCGAGGCATGGCAATGCCATATTCTAGGTAGACAAACAGACTAACACAACGTCAATTAAAAACTGAGACTGAATAACATATTGGCTTATCATACCCGCTGTCGAACGTTAGCCCACTTTCTTCACTTCATCAACCAGGGGGTCGTTCATCAGGACTCACCAGAAGGTCATGAACCCCCCCAAAGCCCAAAAGATCAACGTTAATCCCACGCTGTCAAGGTAGCTGACGATGCCGGCGGGAGTCGAGAATATCCCTGCGCCTACCACCCGGTTGATGATAAGAAACGCGGTCGACCATAGCCCTAGTTTCCTGTCTAGAACACCACACCCCAGCCGTGTTAGGATCCAAAAGCTCGTTTATGTTTCCGAAGGCTGAACGAGAAAAGCATAGCGGGGAACCAACCCTCGGGGTAAACAAAATCACGGTAATCGCTCGCATCGTCGTCCTTTCCACTCGCCGGTACCAACCCGCTGCTGTAGATGGTTCCGTTGTAAGTCCCATTTTCGTCGCCGCCTATTTGACTTTCGGGGTCGTTGCTAGCCACGGGCTGCTCAAAGATTTCCAAGCGCTGCATATCGGCCATGCCGTTGCTTGCGGCTTGTTCCTCTCCAGCCTCTTCCTCCTCTTTTCTTCAGATACCGACCGTGCCACCTCTCAGTTGAAAAAGGAAGCCGCTCCACGCTCGGTCAATTTCAACTGCAATATGCGAGTGCCGATTCGTCGGCCGATGTTGTTCTGACCGAATTCGCCCAATTTGTTTCTCTTTTTTTAAACCAAAAAAAGGACCGAACAAGCCGCGAATAGGTGGTTAAAAAGGGTCGCAAATCCTTCCTTGATCATTCGTTTCGTTCATTCATACGAGTCGCAAAGTCGGGCCCAGGAACACCTCACCAACCACCCCGCCACATGCAGCCCGGGTTGGCGCAAGTTGTCACTCCATCCACCGACGCCGAAAAAGGAAGACCGCGAGGCTCGATGAACCCGCGCGGCCCCGATCAGGTCCCGGATAAAACGAGGCTGGCTGCAGCAGCGGAAGCAGAGCGTGCGCGCAGAGCAAACCCAAGAAAGCGACCGAGGCCGTTCAAGAGAACGCAAACCGCAAGCACAGCCCGATTTGGCGTCACAAGGCGTCCAGTCTTAAGAGTCCGCTAAAGCTGAGGGGAGGAGGGGAAACCGATTGATAGTACAGGCTCGGAATGGGGAAGGGTGGCGTGGCGTCAGGGATCGAAAAAAAAAGGTAAAATGTAAGTCAAAGTCAAGAAACCGCCAGCTTGGTAATCCAAAGGAATCGATGAAAAAGAGAAAAAGGGAAGAAACAACCACAAACCCAGCAAGGAACAGCAGAGCCGCATCTCATCTCATCTCATGTCATCAAAGCAGCAAGCACAGGGCCGCCCCCAACACCACCCCGTACCCCAGACCATTCCCAGCACTCCCCCAGTGTCACATCGACTAGGGTGTCGCATGTCTGGGTGCCCGTCCGATATGGACGTGCCCACAGCGCGCAGGAGAAATCCCTGTCAAAGGCATGGAGCCACCACCATCACCACCCACAAGCTGCACATAATGCTCAAGCTGAAGGAAAGTCGGGGAAGAGGGGGCAAGGCACATGAAGAATGAACCACTAAGCGGACAGAGCCAAGACCTGGGAAGCGAGGAAGTTGTCTCATTCAGCCGTCTTTCCGCCTTCGCGAAGAGACAGACTGGCCAGGAAATCGCGGGGGGTTTGCCCAGACCCCGAAAGTGGGAAAGTTAGAGGTTGGGAAAGGCCCAAAGAGCCTCTCGCTTCCTTCAAACGCTCCCACACAAGACCTCGCCTATCGTGGGGTCGATATGGAGGTTAATGGTTGGAAAGGGAATAGGGTCCACTCCAAACTACCTGCTAGGGCTCATCGTCAATTCTGATTCCAGACGTACGCAGTCTTGGGTAGGGAGCGGCGAAGCCCGGCGGTATTTGAGATTCCCTTCGGCGCTTCCTGGCATGAGAAGAGGGAACGGCCGATGGAGGCTTCATCAACGGACCGATGGAACCCAGAGTGGGTCGATCCCAACCGGGTCATCCAGCGTCCCGAAGGCTGTCGCTGTGCCATGTTTGCCAACTCAAAGCGAGGGCTGTGTGGAGAATACGCCGTTACACAGGCTCATGGTCGGCATGGGCAAGGCAAACCTTAATTCTTCATGAATTCCCACGATCTTCTCAGATGTTGTTCATGCATCCCCTGCTTGTCAAAGTCAAAAGGAAAAAAGGGAGGTTTCAAGGCAACGCGCGTGGCATCTCAACCCTTGTCCTCGGCCGTTTTTAGCTCTAGAAGCGGAGCACTGATACTCTGGAGCCTTGGGGTGTCCGTCCAATTCATCAGCTTGAGGTGAAGGTCCCCACAAATCCCAAATCCGATGCCTGGTCGCGTGCCCTCTTGCGCTTGTTGGCCGCCGGCCGAACATGTCAAATGCTCCTGACCCCCGACCTTGACAGACCCAGAGATAAGAGCTCCCCTTCGCGCCATGCCGCGGCCGACAACCCAGCAGCGGGACACTGAGGAGAGAAGCAAGGAATGAAGCCAATGGGCCGAAGCATGGACGGAACCACTTGCCAGAGAAAGAAGGAGCCAGCCCGACGGTCGCTGCAGTTACTTTTCTGCCTTCCGCCCGTAACGACATGAAGTTGTATTCCCCCCCAACTTTCGCTTCCCACGTACCGGATTGGGCCAACCATTGGAATTGAAATTGACACAGGGGCAGATGCCGGGCAGGCAGATAGCCTCGTTCACCCACTGGTTCATTCTCAAAGAGTCCCCAACGACATCATCAGATGCCGGTTTCATTTCTCGGCAGGCCCGGCAACGAGCGACGATGCAACCAACGAGAAGAGTCTGCAGATGATCCCAATGACTTGTCTCCCCGAAAATTTGACAGACAAACGCTACGGATACTCTGATTACAAAAACCCACTACTTACGATCTGACCAGTCATCCACCCGGTAGCCACCACGATCTTGCAGGACGGAAAATTGATAGCAGTGGAGTTGGTTTAATCGATTGCTTCATTTCTCACTCACAATCAACAAACCAGTACACGTAGTGTACTGCGCTGATTGCACCCATCGGGACTGCCCGCCTCCCGGAGTTCAGGTTAGCACGACGGAATTGATCAAATGATGCGGGTCCCATAGTTCTGGCGGGCTGCGCCGCCAGGCTGCTTCTCATTTTCCAGGTCTGTCACTCTGCTTATCTGCACCTGGTTTTGCGCTGTAACCCCATCCCCAGTAAACGCAGGATCAGTTCGCACTGCGGATTTGAGTCCCGAAGATGCGCCGCCGCCCATTTCCGCAAGAGGTCGTTTTTCCAGCTCCATGCTCGCCGCCACTGCATGTGAAAGGGTGCTCTGCGGCACGGATATCCGATTCAGCATTAAATGGGGTAAAAAATATCCAGAAATGTCCGAACATGAGGGTTAGCGCAGAGACAGGATAAACAAGCCGAGGATGAGAAAGAAGAGTGATGAGGGATAAAATCCCCCATAAATCTGTTGTTTACTTTACTTGCACTGAAATATGCAAAATACACAGTATGCCGATAATTAGATTTTGCTCTGCCAATATCACCGCTGTCATCAACCCAGGAATCTCCTTACAAAATTGATGCCCGCCTCCATGCGGTGTGGTATCTCCCAAAACAGACAAACAGATAATTGCTCAAGCACAACGCCCCAAAAGCACGCCCCTTTCCCTATCCCCCCATTACTCCCCTTTTGTTCTCCATGTAGACCGTTAGTAAATCGACGATATACCCAAAAGGACGCTTCCCGTTGTTTCATCCCCAGCCCGAGTATCTACCAAGGCATTCGGGGTCACATAAAAACACCCATTGCTACATGTCCAGGAAAGACTGCATGGTTCATCCTGTCCCGGTAATCTGCAACCCGCATACGTTGCAGCCTCCGCTCCCGCATTACTTCTTCCCATTTTCGCAAGAAAACGTCTTGGCCTGAGGGAAGAAGGGGCTGTTAGTTTCAGTGGTCCTGGGGGGGGAAATGGGGAGGCGGGGAAGAGGGGACATAACATACTCTGGGAGTTTTCAAATTCAATTTTAATAGTGCGGTACGAATCGTATGCCGACTCGACGTCCACCTCTACCACCCGGCCATGGATGTCCAGCCCGGCTGGCTCAGTGCCTCTCTTGGGCACATGGTGCGCCTTGACAGACTGCCAGCGTCGTATCGACCCCTTCCGGGGCCGTATTTTGACGATCGTCTGGCTCTCGGCTTTAACTTCGAGGTCATCGGTTACTGGAGAGGGAAACTGTCAGTTCACACGGGCCCCGGACTTCAATTGCCGCTCGGAGTGAATTCGCGAGGGCCAGGTAGGGGCGCAACGTACTAAATAAAGTGAGATACTCCTCTGTCCGTCCCAGATACAACATCAACCTTGACGAGCTCACCGTCACACGTTCGCGCAGCGGCCCCGATAGCGCTGTACCAGCCGTCACAAAAGATGCCACATCTGACTGAGCATTCCGCCGACCTTCGGCTTCATGCCAGATTTGTAGACGCGCGCTTGAGTACTGCGTGTTTGTGAAGACGTTGGCCTTGTTGATTGTCACCATGCGGACGCTGCCAATATCTAGGACAACTTTTTCGCCTGTGAGACAGGCCTGGAAATCAAAGAGAGCTGGGTGTACAAACATATCGCGTCAGATTGTTTGTCACACAATGGTGGGGTTTTAGATGTTTGTCCACACACCTCTGAGGCTTGAGAATTGATAAATCCAACTTGGCCTGTATCCAGCTCCGTTATTGCTTTCACCGTCCCGGATGTACACAACATTGAGCAGCCGTTGGTCGTAGGCGTAGACGGGGACAAGCTGAGCGTTATTTGCCTTGACTATACCCGGGTGTCAGTAACAAGAAAGCAGCAATCTCGTTGATGGGGTCCGGCGTACTCCGGAATGTCTCTGCCTCATTGACAACTGTGCAGTAGAACCTGAGATCATTCGTGATGTTATGCCGGAAAACTTTGAGCACGCCTTCCTTAAAAGCTTCGGGTGCGAGAGTTCGGGCACTCTTGACTGGCCTAATTTTACCCAACACATCGATTAGAACCGTGTTAAACTCAAACCGGCTCAAATTTATGAGGTACCCCAAAGGTGACTCACCCATCAAATAACAAATCCTCACCCGGAAAGACATTATCTCGCCCAATACTTGTCGTATCCCCCGAAGTAGAGTGGGCCGGTTCGGGTATGACCACCGGGGTCTGCGTATCGATCTCGCCATGCCCAATGTTCACCCACGTTGAATTTTGCCCCGAGTGTGACGCCGGTGCCGATATGGAGTGATGTAAAAGTGGGTATGACCCATGCCGCATCATCCGCTCATCTAAAACTTCCTTATGTGGCGCTGATAGAGATAGACTTGAGGGGTCAGGGCTCGCCTCCACGGAGACCGGTGGGTGTGATATAAGAGTGGCGCCTTCCACAAGTGACGGCAGCCCCGTCTTAGCCGTCGCTTGCTGGAGCGACTCTTGTACGAGCTTTGAGCTCTGTGTTGTGTAGCTGGGGTAGTTGACGCTGGTCCAGGGCGGTGAGGCATAGCTTGTCGGCAACTCCCACGACGCCGATACCACTGGGGGAGACACCGATTGTTGTTCGTACTGAACTGCCGTCACATAGGATATCGCCGGAGAGGCTGTCCCTTGGGAAAGCCCGTCGGTGTGGCGGCGGATCGGGCTCATAGGTGGCATGGGACCCAAGCTCGGATCCGTGAGGGCTTCCGCAGTATGCGCGCCACCATCCGATTCCCCATAGAATGTGTTCGCTCCGAAGCCATTCAGATTGAGCTGTGCCATGTTATCCGCAACGGCGTCTTGGGTGAACGATCCCGCTCTCCTGGGGTAACCTGGTCGAGGCGGGACAGCAATGGTACTGGCGGCCGTAGCATACCCAGATTGAATCGAGTACATCGAATGCGCACCGGAGGAGCGCGAGTATGAGCTGGCATTGGAGGACGATCGCCCCCAGCCGGCGCTGTTGTGGGGCGGCGCATGCAGGTGTGGCTGTTGCCCCGGGTAGGAAATCGAGGTTCCAGACACGTTGGGGATCGATGTGTATGAAGCGTTGGGCTGGGTTGCGGGCTGGGCAGCGGAGGGAGAAGGTGGGTGAATTTGTCCTGAGAAGGAGGAAGAAGGGGAAGTGGGCACGCGACCTCGACTTCGGTGGTGCGGCGGTTGAGCAGGCGCCAAGTAGCCGTCCTCGTCGTCGATCCTCTCGAGACGGTAGCGGATTCCATTAGCCGTCACAAAAATGCTGCGATCGGTGAGCTCGGCAAAAGCGGTGGTGTCCTCGGGGGTTGTCGAGTCGATAGGGGCCTTGTATATTTCGGAGAAGGGCGCCGCAGCATCGTCGTCGGCGACAGGCGGTAGGCTAGGAGCCGGGGATCGACCCCGAGCTGGCATTGTGGACGGCGCCGCGCAAGCCCCATCAGTCTCAACCGGCCATAGCGGTGTCAAGCTGACATAGAGAGGGTGCCGGCTGATCGACACGTCGCATGTGAACCTCCTCGCCGTTGTTGTTTCGGCGTCGGAGCATGCGTAAGGGCGGAATGCTCACACGACGGTTTGGGATGGGAATGCGTCCGTATACGGTAATTAGTGTACGTTGCGCGGAGGTTGGAGAGGAGACGATGGAAGCGGGAAATGGTGGAAGGACTTCAGCTGGGAAGCCAAGGGGGCCACCAACAGCAGCGCTAGCCAGGCTGCAAGAGAGAGAAGGTGCCCAGCAGCAGCATGGCAGGCTCGCACCCCGGGCGGTCGCCTCGGGGGTTGTTGCCCTGGGCGTTGGGCGCTGGGCCTCCTGCATTGCTTCGGGGTGGTCCCTCTGCCACGGCCCCACTTCCCCACGCCAGGGGCCAAGGTACGTAGCCCCTACCGATCGAGGAAGGTCCTCCCCAAGCTCCCCTCCCTCCCGCACAAAACCCCAAATTCACTTGCGACTTCAGCGATCCTTGTTGTCAAACCAAGCCTCCATGCCTGCCAAGTGAATATCGAGTGAGACCTGCAGAGCAGACCGATCTCCTCAAGTGTTGTGGCGTTATCAAGGCTTCTTCTGTTTAAACTTCTAGAACTATGATTGAATAGACACGTTTAGGTGGACGATAAAGGACCTATCGGACGAGCCGAAAACGCATCAGCCCACGCAATCCGGTGAGTCGGCTCGGTGGGTAACGAGGTAGCTGATTTTGTATTTCAAATATTTTGTATAACCCATCCATCCCACCTACTTTCACTCCAGACGCAAGCTCCCGGGAACGACCTGCCTGGCGGCCGACTCCGACGGCCAAGCCCAGGTTTGGGTGGCAGGGCGTCAATATTGCACCCGATAAAGCTGCATACGCCAGCAGGAGCAGCAGCAGAGCCTTATCGTCTAGGTTGACTAACACCGTCAAAACACCACCTGCCCTCTCGATAAGCGGGAGCCACACCATCATCCCCTCTCCACAACATCCGAACCGTGCATTTCTACTCCTAACTAGTTGTTTTCTCCCCCTTCTATGACAGCGCGAAGCAGAGACTTGAACCTTCATTCAACAGAGCAGGTGGCCATGCAAATCAACCTCTCATCAACCGCCGCCACTACCCAGTGTCACTATTCTCCTACACTACAATCAAAACATCGTATAAACGTCGCTCATTTCTATGCTCAAAAGTTTACCGTCCCAACGCCCCGTACTCCCTGTGCATGAAATGGCATATGCCCCGCCCATTCCCATCCAGTCCCTCGCATTTCGGTTGCCCGTCTGCCATATTCCTCAGCGAAAACATCAAAAACCACTCCTATCCTTAATTTCCCGTCCCTCGACAGCCCTCCTTCACTGAACTTTCTTTTTTCTCCCCCCTCCCCTCTTCTTCTTTACCGCGGACGTTGCCTCACCAGTGGCAGCAACGCCCATGTCTTCGTCTGTGTCGCTAGTCTCCCCCTTGACCTTCCCCTGGCCGCTCTGACTTGCGGTGCTTCCCCTCCCGGCCTTCTCCTCACCTTCCACCTTGCCCACAATGTCCCTCAAGAAATCCCACTGGTCATCACCCTCAACAACCTGCTTAAGCATCTGCGCTGACACCCGTTTCGAGTTGCGCTGCCGCGCTACCTCCGCACTTTTGGTCACCAGTGCTACCATAAACAACTCCAGGGCTTTCCCCACTGCGATGGGCGTTTGCTGAGCGACTTTGCCAACCTCTTCGTCTGCTTGCATAATCCGTTTGATCCGCGCCGTCGGGAATTTGGTCTTGACAGTCGCCGCTTGAATAGCGCTAGCCGACGTTGCCGGTACTTCTGGCGGCACGGGGCTTACAGACTCGTCACCGCCCGCATCGTCAGGCGCCGACTGAGCCGCCACTGCTGCCGCCGCGGCTGCCGCGGCTGCTCTCCTTGGGGGCATGTCGTCGGGCTGTTGTGACTGCACTTGAGCGGCGAGAAAATCGTTTGTAGGTTGGTAGGGTTGATGCTGGAATTGGTGTGGCGGATAAGGTGAAGGTTGAGTGTATGTCTGTGGTTGATATTGATACTGCTGAAATGCGCCCCGGTATGGAGGTTGGTAGAAGGCGGGTTGCTGTTGCGGAACTTGTGGTGCCGCGTATCCGGTGCTGGGTGGTGAATAACTTGTGGCGGAAAAGCTTGCTGCACGAGGAGGGTAGTATTCGTGCTGCGCGCCAGACGATGCTCCTACACCGACAGTCCCTCCAAATCCTTGGCTGGTGGTGCTCCAATTGTCAGTGGGGCGTGCCGAAGTGAGAGTTTGTGGCGGTTTTGAGAGCTGGTCATGCCGTCCCTGGGGCTCTTGAAATTGGGGCTGGCGCGAGCCTAATGAGAAAGAATGGCCGCCCAAAGAGGACTGCGGATGCGAAAAGTTTGGCTGGGTTTGCTGCGATGAAAACAATTGGGTTTCTGCAGGTTCGTAAGGTTCCGCAGGCGGGGTGGGGCCAGAGTTGAACGACGACAGGTCGGGGCTCTTGGGCGCATAAGTGTCGTCACCAGACATGGCTTCGGCTGGCCGGAAAAGAACCGGCTAGGAGCAAACAAAGAAAATATTTAACACAGAAAAAAAACAAAGCTGCGACCGTCTCAGAGGCCTGATTTATGATAGGCTGCCTGGGTCTCCGTGTTCTTTCTTTCGGGTGGGGCGCAGAGTCGCGTTCGCAAACGACCTGAGCGGAAACGAGGGTTGTGAGCGGGGTGGTTGGAGCTTCAAGTATTCTCCTGCAGGGCGGGTTATGAAGGACTCAGCTCCTGGGGCTGGGCTTTGAAGCCGGCAGGAGCCTCCATGTTTGGGGAGGGGCGAAATGGAGGGGCACGTTCAAGGTGGGGCTCCTCAGGCAGAACCGCGACGCCGTTGTTGGCCAGTCTCGAGCCAGTGCAGATTGAGATGATGGGAAGAGGTCTGTAATTTGACCAAGATCGGCATCGCTTGACTGCAATGGGGGTGGCTCATTGGACCATCCAACGAATGTCTTCCACAGACCCGAAGTTCGCATATCACTGCCTAGGTACAACATGGAAGACACTTGTTAAAACAATTAAGCAGTGATACTACCTATTTTGAGTGATGTTAATGACAAATTCTTGTTCTTGTATCGTTAACTTACATCCATCTGAATCGCCTCAGATCACATGACACGTTAACCCAGCGTCAAACATGTTTCAGCCGGAGCTACCCAGCACCCTAGAGATCAGAGTTTCAATAAATCTGTGTTTCGTGGTTAACATCTGCTGTCTGAAATAGGTACAAAAGGGTTAACTACCAGGGAGAAAATGAGAGTAGCATCTGACTGGTGGAATGTATCCTGCGCCCTACTCTGTACTTCATCCTGTTATCTGCCCTAGTTCTTGTATGAAACTAAATAGCAGCGATTTAAGTGCTTTGTTGTTCAACGGACGAATGCCGGTTTGATTCCAGTACTCTAATTCTAATGGGAGCGAATATATTCCCATACTGTGCGGCTCGGGCACTTAAGGTTCTACGTTAAGGTTCTGCCCTCTTATTGTAGGTATAAAACATGGGCGCTCCTTCCACTACGGAAGAGTTCGAGTAATCACCACACTCACCTTCCCAACCTCGCGAACAAAAAGGAAAGAAAGCTCCCCTAAAGAAGTAATCACGGCTTCTGTCACCAAACGAAGTGGTGGTGCGGCTCTTTGACATATTCAACAAGTACAATTTGACGCCGAGACTAAGACCCGCTTTCCCAAGAACGAGTAAGTGCCTTTTGAATTCACATTAGTCGTGCAGTTTTATCAAAATTGTTAAATCCCTAACCTCTCTACAGTGATTTTCGATCACGAAACCGCCGCCGAGGTCGCGGATGAGCTCGCCGAGGAAATTGCTGGCTATGGCGATGGGCCGGAGTATGACGCCATTCTGGCATTCGGCGCGTTCAGCTACCCCGGTAACAAAAGAGCCAACGAAGCAATGATGCGAGTACGCCGGAAGCTAGACGCAGGCCTTGGTGAACAACTATTCGGCGAGTACCGCGCTTGTAAAATTGGCATTACACAGGATGTGTCAGATGTCGAAATCGCCATGCAGGGCGCAAGATTTAAAACCCTAATACTAGCAGCCCTCATGATGGGGGTCGGCGCGAGGATCACCGATACCGAGAAAGCCCATCTACGCAAGGTTTGTGCGATTTACGACGGGTTTTTGCCAGAGTGCGGCGTTGTTGGGTCTGGGGAAAGGCAGTTCCTCTTCGCACTCAGGACCTACACGGCTGGAAAGCCCAGGGACTGGACAAGGCTGAACTGTTGTAAGTTAACCGGTGCTCTGCGCTTGCTGCTGGCCTAATGTTTCTCAGCCGTATAACCAATTCCGGTTCCGTGTTTAGAGAGACGTGGCTGATGAGAGTGGAACAGATACATGTGGCAGAACAAGCCAAGATACAGGAGCAGAGCCATTTAGGTGTCCTGGAGAGTGCTGGAACTTCTTTTGCAACGAGGTTTGTCAACCCGCCTTGGAGCTGGGACAATGAACACAAACTAATGCAATGCTCTGAAGGATTGTCGGCAACGCCTGAGCCACGTGTGCGATAGCGATTATATTGAGGAGTGAGGCATTGGAGGAGGAGGGCGAAGCTAGATTTGTTCCGGGGGGGGCTGTTCGTAGTACAGATGTGTGAGCGACCAGGTCGGAATGTAGCAGGAACTTTTAGACAAAGTATTATTAGTTGGTCCAACCCTAACCCTTGCCTCACGAGCCACCCGCTTATCCTCTGCCCCACCATGCACGGCTCCGCCGCGTGGAACTGGCGCGTCAACCAAACAACGGGTCCCCGAGTACAACCCACGGATTTTCTTCCCCAAACACAAATTCATGAAGGTACGGATAATCATCTCATTCTCTCCCTTCCACTGCCCTATGATGAGTTTTGTTGAGCAAAACAATGGCCGGAGACCAGAACACAGCATTGTTGAAACCGAGCATTGCCTCTGGGGTCGGCTCTGCTTAAACGTCCATGACGGTACAAGAAACTTGATCTAATCTGAGAGCATTTCTTATCGCATCTTCATTCTCGACCCTTACGGCCCTGGAATACGCTGTCTAATCTTGTATGTTAGAGCTTTTAACTCATCCAACCGACCCTCATGGCTACTAGAGAGAAATAAGGAGGCGACAGGCCAAGCGTGAATACCCCCAGGCTCCGCCCTGCTCTCAACAGCAATTTCGGCCTCCCGAAGAGTATCGACAAAGTCTTCGATGGCCGGCGCCAGCACCTCCTCCGTGCCATACGTGACCACGAACCCCCGTTTCGGACTCGCCCGCTTCCACCACGAGGCGTCCCGGCAGCAGCCCGGTGATGCCAACGGATTGGCCGCCGAAGCGTAGCTCCCGGCGAACTGCACCCCATACTGGCACAGCTTCTGCGCATCTAGATAATCGCTGACAGTATTCCTATGTCGTGTTGACACGAGCGTGGTCCATGGCGAGATTAGGACGGCGAGCGCAGGCGTAGGGGGTAGCCACCGATCGAATTCCTCGCGACCGTAGATGGTTGGGACTGCTAATCGCTTGTTCATCAAGCAAAGAAGTAGACACAGTACGAGCGTCGCGCCCGCCGAGTCGCCGCTGACGCAGACGATGGAAGGGTCGTTATGTGTGACGTCCAGGACATGCTCGTAGCCTTTCCATGTCTCCTTGACCTGCGTGGGGAACGGCGCATCGGGAACGAGGGTATATTCGAGTGCGAAGATGGCCGGGTTCTGGTACCCTGCTAAGCTGAGTAGCCCTAGCCAGGTGAGGAGATACTCGAGGTAGAAATGGGCAGAACCCATTGAAAAACCGCCACCTGGGGAATTGTTTATGTCAACTCGGCTGTATCACTGGAAGCGCGTCTTCATCGACCTCATCGTCTTACCATGCAGATAGTAGAGCACTAAATCAGGCTTCTTCACAGGATCCTTACGCACCCAAATCCCTCGGAACCCCGTCTATCACATTCGTTAGCCCGAAATGTTCTCGTATTTGCTACAAACCCTGGGTTGATCAACACCGTGGATCGCACGCACATCACCATGCTCCCGCCAGTAGATTGGCGACCCAAAGTGCCCTTTCCTTAGCAGCCTGAACCATAAGTACGGGAGTGCCACTTCCCGCGCAAAGAAGACCCGACCGATCCTCGGCGGGACGTTCGCAAACGCATATCGCATGCAGCGGACCACGACATCCTCGAACAGTGTCACTCGTTGCGAGAATGGACGTTGCTCCAGTCGTTGGTGCCGCCGATTTCGTTGCCCCCTCCCCAACCCCCATCTGATTGTTCGTTTGCCCCTCTCCACAAAGGGGGACAAAACCCTGTCCCATATGATCACAATAGGCAATTTCAGCACTTTGAACTCGAACCATCCGTCATCAAAGATGGTAAGCCATTTTTCAGGTCCATTCTTTACGATACTGGGGTAGACTTAAAACGGGATGCGAAAGGGATAACGATGTAAAGTAAAGGGGGGCCGAGTGTCTTACACAAAAAAGGTAGCGCCTGCAACGCACACCACACCGTCTCGAAGAGCCCAGCCTTCCAAACTAGAGTTGGCGCCAGGAAGAGACAAAATATTAAACAGTCAATGTAAGCGACCGTGCCGAGGTTCATGGCCGCTAGTGGCCTACCGGCTGCTGACGACGGGTTGGTACGTTGAACTGTGTTTGTTTTCTGTCAGCCCTGGATTCTCCTCTAGTGAGAACATTGTTGTATTTCGTGCAATGATGCCCCCCAGCGGCTAGGCGGGAACGTACGAGACATTTTTTCGATTTGCGCCAAACGCCGTTAAATGAATGTTCACAGAAGTGTTGACAACAAGCCCCGAATTAATTCTCCGCTGTGAGGAGAGATGATGTAAGAGGAATACGGCCCGTTCGGTTACCCGGGAAGGATTGATCCTTTCGTTTGTTCACTCGCTCAACAGACTGTTAACATTATAACGCTATACCAAACATTGCCATATAAGAGAAAATTCGGGCTCAGACGCAAGGTATCCCAAGTTATTTTTTTTACTCATTCGTTCCTCCTTTGCATAATTTACCAAACTCCGCATAATGGCCAAACCCCTCCGCTACCCTACTGATTCTTTGCTACCTTCAAAATCCGGTTCTCCATCTCCTCAAAAGCGCCGAGAACGGCGCCATACTTCTCAAACACACCCTCGAGGTACCCATCGCCCACCTTCTGAATAGCCCCTTCCTCCTTCCAACGCTTCCCAATCAACTCGTCAAACGTCTCGCCCTCAGACCGCTCCAATGCCCACACGGCCTTGTAGGCACCCCCCAATGCACACGCATTGCCGCCCACGTCCAGTTTATACACACCATCGGCACCGCCCAGCACATCACCGACAATGCGCGCGATCGCGGGGTTGAGCGAGCCGCCACCGACGAGGTAAATACGTCGTGGCTGTGCGGGGAGCTTGTTGTTGCCGTCGGGTGACGTCACGAGGCGCTGGCTGCGCAGACGCATCGAGAGAGCTTGTGACTCGACGATGATCCGGGGGTCGGTCTCGGCCTCCCATTGTCCGGTCTCTTCCTGCAGATTGGCGCCGGTGGCGGCGTCGCATGTGTACCGCCAGGTGCCGGCGCGGATGTTGGGGACGATCTCGGGTTTGTCGAAGTACAGGCCTAGCTTCGCGCGGTCGGTGGAAGACTTGAGGTCGAGGGGCGGGGTGTTGAGAGCGTGGTGGTTGAAAGCGGCCCAGGTGTCGTCTGCGTTGGAGGACTTGGGTACGGCATCGCGGACCTTCTCGCGGGCCAGACCGCCGTTCTTGTAGCAGAGCATGAACATGTACTGGCCAGGGGTGGTTGGGTGGTTGAAGAAATGGTAGCTCGAGTCTGGTTTGTACACAGGCGTGCTCATGAGGAAAGTAGTGCTGGTACCTAGACTGACGATGGCATCAAGTGGGCGTAGTGGCAGGGCCAGGATGGTGGCCGGGTTGTCTCCTGTGAAGGGGGCAACCTGGCAGTCCCGGCTGAAGTTGTATTTGGAGATGAAGTAGTTGCTAATCCCGCCCATGCTACCTCCACCGTCGTGGCGCACTTCACCCAGCTTGCTGCGGAGTTCTGACACGCCATCCTTACCGGCCGTGAGCTCCAAGAGCGGCTCGGACCAGTTGTTCTGGGAGATGTCCCAGAGGTTCATACCGCAAACATCGCTGATGTCCATGGGGGCAACGGTGCCGAGTAAGAGGGAAGCGAGGAAGGACGAGACGAGGGAGATTCGGGACGTATTGGCGTACATATCGGGGAGCTTTTTCCTAAGGCGCAGGATTTGCGTGCCAGTGAAGCGCTGTGGTGTGATGCGTTACTCATTAGCCAGGGTCGCTATAGCGGTTCATAGCAGAAATACTAACATGATGGGCCGCGCTCCCTGTCACCTCAGCCAAGCGATCCGGGGACCCAAGTTCGGCATCGAATTGGTCGCATTCCCGTTGGGTGCTGTGGTCCTGCCAGTTCGGTGCGTGTGGGTGGGAAAAGGCCTCCTTCAGCTGATCGACGAGCGCCTTGTCTGACTTGAGACCACCGAGCAACGTCTCGGCCTGCCTACTCCAGTAGACGCTCCCGTGTTGTTGGCACGACCCAGAGATGCCCCGGATCCGGTTCAAAGGTGCCTTTTTATCCTGTAGCCGTTGGAGCACTAAGTCGAGTGACTCGAGCCACATGGCTACAGGAGCAAAGACTTCACCTTCCGCATCGTCAACTAGCACACCCTTCTTAATCTTGTACTTGGAACCGAAGTCTTGGTCGAAGTCGACTTTGGCGTCATAAACAACGTTCAGGTCAGATTGAACGACAATGGCTAGATGTGAAGAGAGTGTGTTAGTGTGATGGGATGGGATCCTCGCAGGGTACAGGAGACATACCCTTCAATTGTTGGGTCGAGAGGTCGAACCCCAGGTATAGAGGCCCTTCACTCATTTTGGATGAACTATTAGACTTCAAGGATGGATTGAACACGCTTCGTTGGATGACAACAACGAGATGGATTCGAAACTTGGCGGGGTATGTATGTACAAGTCGAGGCCCTGTCGGTTTGTAGAACGAAAGAAGACTCCGATCAGGACTTGGGAAACACAAAACCGTACAGGACAGTTTTAGCACAAGAGTACAGAATCATGAGATGAATATAAGAAAAAAACAGCCGCGTCTCGTTCCCCTTTAACCCGACGTGGGGTCGTCTTCGTCATACCCGGGCGAAGAGGCCGTTCAGGTACATGGCGGGGCACGAAGCCCCACGTCGAGAGCTGCACAATCGGCCAAGCAGCCTCGTGAGCACACATTTAGCCTAATTTCAACCGATATTTTTGACCAATGCCGAGTCGTCGTGACACCCAGGCGCGTGGGATCCCGTGGCACTTGAAGGCGGCGCGCTTTGCATTGCATCGCAGTCACATTGACATTTGCATGAATTGGCTTAGTCCGCGGGGACATTTTCCGATATCGCTCGATGGTGTGGGCAAGTGGAGGTTTGGGCGTGAGGGATTAAAGAGATGTTCTGATTTGGACTCCCTCCCCGAATTGGAATTGTCGCATCATGAGGGCGGCACTGGCGGGTTCTTTGGAGTGCTCGCCTGACCAGAGAGTTGAAGGTGGAAGGGAATTGTGGAAGGACGGATGAGATCATTCTTCCAAAACCCTAACCCTGGCGTCGGCGTGTTTCGAACTCGGGCCAAGGTGTGGCCTCGAACCCCCTGTCTGCTGCTTCAGCGAGGTGACGGGAGAGCCAAGATGAAAACTGCCAGCTTGCAGCTACAACCCTGCGATCTTCCTCCCCGGTCTCGACCGACCAACGCCCGTTTCAAGGCCGATCGATGACAGGAAAGAAGAAATCTGACCTGATGCATCCCTGAACACATCGATCCGGGCACGACCGGACGGAGAGAGAAAGAACAACAAGAGACGAAGCGCTGGTACATGTACAGCCGACAACCACCCGTCCATCGCACCACAGCGCCATGGACGAGCTAAGACGAAGCGCCACGGCTTAAGAAAACCGGAACGAAATGCGCGCTCCAGAAAATTGGCCAAAGCCACTCGTCTCGGCACTATCGATCCTGGCATTCCATGCCCTCGCCGCTTATGGCTCGCGGACGAGCTCCGAGACGGCCGTGACCGACGTATGCGAGTCGAGGACCATCAACTACATCACCCACACCCTCCCCCAGCAGTGCCTACGGACCTCGTGGACGAGCCCCACCCCAGCGGTAAACGAGGGCGCAGACGTGACCGCAGTTACGGCCACAACCGATGACTCGTCGAACCAAACCGCCTCTGGGGCGACCACTGCTGCCCCGGGCACCGTCACGGTCACCGAGACCCCCGAATCGGCCCAGGAGAACACCACGGCGCCCGAACAAGATGGGCAAGAGGATCTGGCCGCCAGCTCCTTTATGTCATTTGAGGAGTGGAAGGAGATGATGCTTCGGAAGTCGGGACAGGACCCTGCCAATATTGAAGCGCAGAAGCGGCGCGAGCGTCGGGAACGGGAACGGGGACCAGCCGCCAACGCCGGTGACACGGACAGCTTTGGGGAAGAGGGGGAAATATCGCTCGATTTTGACGCCCTTACAGAAAAGGTCTCTGAAATCGCCTCGTCGGCGGACAAGACAGCACCGAAAACTGAGGAAACGAAGCAAGAACAGCCGATCTTCTACGACGACGGTAAGACGCAGTACTACCGAAGCAAAGACGCTGGGAAGACCTGCAAGGAAAGGTTCTCGTATGCCTCGTTTGACGCTGGTGCGACCGTCCTAAAGACAAGCCCCAAAGCACAAAATGCAAAGGCCGTCCTTGCCGAAAACAAGGATTCTTATATGCTCTTGGAGTGCCGCAGCAAGAACAAGTTTATCATTGTCGAGTTGAGCGATGATATTCTAGTCGATACCGTCGTCTTGGCCAACTTTGAATTCTTCTCCAGCATGATTCGCAAGTTCAAGGTCAGCGTTAGCGATCGCTACCCTGTGAAGCTGGACAAGTGGGTGGACCTGGGCACCTTTGAGGCACGCAACTCGCGGGACATACAAGCCTTCCTGATTGAGCATCCCCAGATCTACACCAAGTACATCCGTATCGAGTTTCTGACTCACTGGGGGAACGAGTTCTACTGCCCGGTGTCCTTGCTCCGTGTCCACGGCACTCGCATGTTAGATACATGGAAAGAACCCAATCACGACGACGAGCAGGAACAGATCGATCGGCCAGCCCAGGACCCAGTCACCGAGACGCCCAAGGTACAGGAAGAGCAAGTCGTTGATGACAATCCCCCTGTGGCCCAGGAACCAGAGCCTGTACCGCATGTCCACATCGAAACTGGCCTTACCCTATGGCGCCCACTCGGTGAACTGTCGTACGGGACGTGTAAATCGCGTTCCCCCACAACGGCCAGGACTACACACACCGTTGCAAGCTCAGACAGGCTTGCCAAACGAGCTTCAACCCCTTCAGAATCGCCGGTCCCGCCGCCACCGGCGGCTTCGCCTGCTGATGAAGGGCCTCGATCCGGCGGTTCGCCTCCGGCCGAGTCAGGATCATCTGGAACGCCAGCATCCCAGAAGCAGCCGGCGGGAGATACACCTTCCGGTGCCCCTTCAGCCCCACCGCAAGCCAGTGATAACGGCATGGCCAATAATTCGACCCAGAAACCTTCTGATGCGAGAAGAGACAGCGCAGAGAGCGCATCAGCTTCCACCCCAGCCGCCACGGCCACCCCTCGTGACAAAACGGCAACTACTTCCTCAGCAGCCGCTTCGCCTACCGTGCAAGAATCTTTCTTCAAGACAGTAACCAAGCGTCTACAATTGCTGGAATCCAACACGTCTATGTCCCTTCAGTACATCGAAGAGCAGTCACGCTTCTTGCAAGATGTACTCCTCAAGATAGAGCGGAAGCAAATCACACGTGTCGACTCTTTTCTTGACAACCTCAACAAGACGGTCCTCTCGGAACTCCGCAACGTGCGCACCCAGTACGATCAGATTTGGCAGAGCACCGTCCTAGCCCTCGAAACTCAGCGCGATCAATCCCAGCGCGAGGTCGTCGCGCTCACCTCACGTCTCAACATACTCGCCGACGAAGTAGTTTTCCAGAAGCGCATGGCCATTCTACAAAGCGTTCTCCTCCTCTCTTGTCTCGTCCTCGTGATATTTTCTCGCGGGGGTCTCGCGGCTCTAGATAGCGCTTCTTTCCCGACGTTCCCACCAGCCTCTGCTACCGCCGGTTACCGCCGTTACGGCTACGCCCGTTCTGATTCGATTTCTGGCATGTCCCCGCCTAACGCCTCACGTCCTCAGTACCCCAATGGAGGCCCATCCCCTATCAACGAGGTCAATTCCGACCTCAGCCTCAACACCGGTAACGCGGACCACAGCCTCGCGGCCTCTGCTCTCCCGCGACACTTATATCCAACCACGACTTCTTTCAAAGACAAATCTCTCCCTCTAACCCCTCCTTCAGAATACAGCCGCGAGAGCACACCCGCAACCACAACCCACCATCATAACCTCAACCAGAGCAGCCCCGACCCCACACGTAACGAACAAGATCACGGACGCGAACGCGGCCATGATGATACCGGAACACCTTCCCGCGCTCAAAGAGGGCAAGGACTACAGCGCAACCGAAGTAGCGGCAGCAGCAGAGGATCGTCCAACAAAACTTCCGCGACCCATCAGCAACCCCTCCTATCACCCAACCCATCCTCCCCATCAGGAAACGACACCGACACGACCTGTACAGACAACACACCAGAGGTATCCTCGATCGAGATAATCGAATCCGCTTTCTTGAACGCTCCCTCCCCACAACCAGCAGCAACCTACTCTGGGGGAGTGCAAGAGCGGATCCCAGAAGAGGCGGACGAAGACGTGGAAGAAGAAGACCCGGCGGAGGAGGAAAGGGAGCGAGGGGCCCAAGGGCATGGGCAAAACCAAGATAAGCCCCCGGTCCTTAGATCACGATCTGCTGTGTTGCCATCAAGCGCCAGCGGTGGGCTCAGGAAGCCTTTGCCTGCGTTGCCCGAGGACCCAAATTAATTAAGTGGTTCGTGGCGGGGGTTTTGTTTCTTTTTTGATGGCGAGATGTGCTCGAAGTTGACACTAGACAATATCAAATAGTATAATAATAGTCAACGGCTCGATTTAGCGATGATAATCAGGTTTTTGTCCGTGTGCAGCCCTTGCCGGTTCTTCGGGTCAGAAATCCTTGCTTCAGCGTCATTTTCCCAGCTGTCTATGCTATCCTTGGTGCGCCGGGTTATAGTCACGGTCAAAACCAGGTATGGAAATTAGTGTGGTAGAAAAGGTATTGCTAATTGCTGCCAAAAGCTATCTCCGGAGATCCTAAGTATGCAGGATAAGTGTCCGGGCATTGCTCCCATGGCAATTCCGACTGCTAAACATCCCAGGCTCTGCAATGTGGGACGACCTTTCCTAGACTACCAAGGCTTCAAGAACCCCATAGTCCAATCCCAGATGTCGTCCCGTTTCTGTGCCCGATTATTACCCTTCCGGCTCTTTTGTTCATGATGCATTTGAAATCCCCCCCCCTTCTGTTTTTCCGTTTTTCCGTTTTTCCGTGTGTGTTCTCGTAGCCCCAGAAAACAAAGAGGCAAGATAATGCTGCAAGAAGAATACTGTCTCTCGCCATGGCTCGAGATTGGAATGTATCTGTCAAGAATTATATCTTGAAAGACAGCAACGGATTGCATCATAAATGCTGGCCATCTCCGTCCATTTACCACAGATTGCAAAGCAAGCAAAACCCAAGGCAAGTCGCCGTTTTGCCGAAAAGGTGCCCAGTTTTCCGTCTAGAGATCCCGGGCCTTCAACAGGAGAACGGTCGGAACCTACTGCTGGAGGTAGTACCCCTGCGGGCGAGCCTGAGTGTTGTAATCGTACTCTTCGAGGGCAGCAAGCCTGGTGCCGCGGTCATACTGAGAACGGCGGCGCCGTTGCTCATCACGGAAATGCTGGCCAGCGTTCGGGGTGAAGAGACCTAACGAGGCGGGAAATTAGCCATAGAGCCGTGGAATTACTGGTTTCACGTTACTTACCGACATGCTCAGCGTTCTCACAGCTGCGCTTCATTTTGGACTGGTTGTCGGGCTCGGGGAACGGCTCCTCTTGACCCGCCAGCTCTGGCCGAGGGCCATTGGAAGTGAAGTAGAGCTAAACTGTTAACAGCGAACACCATGGCATACTTGGTGTGGTGATATATTTACCTTCGGTCGATAGTGAGGCGCTTCTAACATGACAGAGCTGTTGCGGAATTTTTGAACCAGACAATCCTTGCCTTGGATAGCTTGCCGAAGTTAGCATGATATTTGGCTCACGTTTCACAAGATGACACTTACTGGCGTAGGAGATTTCCGCGATCTTGTCGCTCTTGAAGCAGTTCCAGCGCTGGTTGCCCCGCGCATTGACGAACTATACGAAGTTAGCCGGTGACATGGAGATAGTCATACATATATAGAAGCGTACGTCGATGATGTCCAATGGCTGGTCAAGAGTTAGCCGAGAGTGCTCTCAAAACACGTTACATGAGAAAAACTTACATCCACGAAGTTGATAAACGCATAACCAACGCTGGTGGCATGTCAGCAAGGGTCCGTCGTCAACGTACGGGTCATTCCGGTACTCACTTGCAGTCGTTGGCGAAGTCGATGCGTAAGTACATGAAATCATACTTGCCCCAGCTCGACTCGTCAATGATACGCTTCAGCATTGCCTGGTCGACCTTGTTGGGAATGTTGCGCAGCATGATCTAATAGTTGTGAGCCGGCCGCATTTGAGGCAGTAGCGTAAGGGGAAAGACTTACTGTGGTCCGTACATCGATACCGTCTCGAATGCGCGTGATATCAACATGATTGTGATGGCCGCCATTGTTGAAGTAGGGAGACCGGTTAACGCGCATGGCGCTCTGACGGCGACTGTCTGTACGTCCGTAGTGTTGGTTGCTCCTCGGGCTGGTGAAGTTGCTATGCATTCCCATTGGGGTGTCAGGGGGGGTTGTGTTGAACGGCGACGACACAATCTGCATGCTCCCCGAAATAGGTGTCATCGGCGCCATGTGGCTAACGCTTTGAGTACGAGTGGGGGTGTGATCGAGCATGAGCCTGTTCGGGCCCGGGTTGACGGGGCCTTGGTAAGGGGCGGGATGCATGGGGGCGTACTGCGGCGGGCCATGAGGGCCAACGGGAGAATGGCCGAGATGGTTGCGGGGGATAAAACTCCCAGCGTTCTGTGGCGTCCCTGGGATACCCACGCCCTGGTACATAGCGGGCATGTGGTGGGAAGGGTTTCGGTGGTTGTTGGAGGAAGTTACCTGGCTACCGACCACTCGAGGGATCGCTGCCGCGCCATGTAGCTGGCACAAAGTTAGGACAAGGTGAACCCCCTGGAGATGATTTATGTTAGATGTGTTTATCTGAATAACAATTGACTAAGAAACTTACACCCAAGGCCATGCCGTTGAATCGGTGGACGACGGAGACGGCAACATCTGCATCGGAATACTCGACCATGGCTCGGAAAGCATGCTCATTGGGCTCGCTCTGGCGTAGAAGAGCGAAGACTTCGCCTTGAGTATCGAGGAAGGTATGGACGACAGTCTCAACATGAACAGCACTGAAGCTGACGCCTTGGTCAAACGCTGTGACCTGGATTTTACCGTCGGAGATTGGGTCAACATTCTCAGTTGAGCCGCAGACCTGGAATTTAGTTAATATAGTAGTGACAAACAGGAAGAGATAAGCGTGAGATACCTTGTAAAACTCAGCCGAAGATACATATGCAGCCTGCCAATGGGGAGAGCCTAGCTGAGCGTTCTCGCGGGCATTTCGAGCGTCGCGAACGTTGGGAAGGTGGAGGAAGACCTTACCCTCGGCCGGGACGATGTGGCGTTTACCCCGGCATGGGGACCCGAGCCTCTCTAGTTTCTATGTGTAAAAGATTAGGCCACACTCAGTACTTAATTAAGACTATGCATGTGGACTTACCACAAGGTACTCCTCGACCTCGACAACGTTGACGGGCTGAGTCTGTGAATAGAGGACCAGGCAGCGAGAGACTCCCAACTCGTCGCTGAACTTAGCCGTGGCTTGCGGAGCGAACAGCTGACGGTTAGGATTCACACTGATGTTAGCACCCAGAGGTGTGTTGGGAGGACCGTAGGCGGCAAGAGAGCCTGAGACAGGGCGGAAAGCTGAGGCAGTGGGCGACAACTTTTGCTCAGGCTTGATGGTTGTATTTGAGACGAAAGGGTCTCTCTCAACAGCGCCTTGGGCGCCACCGTAGCACTCCTGTGAGGTGGTGTGAACATTGGCGGCGTGGTTAGAGGAACCGTCGCGACCAAAGGTTGTCGACAGCAGCCGGTTAGATTTGGTCAAGTTCTCATCAGGAGAAAACACGGTCAGTCTGGTATCCGGGGTACCCTCTTGTTTGTAGGAGTCGGCACCACCACTCGACGAGTGGGGCGACGAGGGATTGAACGAAGAATCCTGCACCTGCGCCATGATGATCGCGATGAGGCTGTTGTTGCAGAGTGCCTTCTCAATGGCGCGTGTGTTGCGCGTTTATAAGGAAGTCAACGACGGTGGTGATACAGTATCAGGTAGGAGCTGACGAGAGATGAGGTGGAATGAGGGTTGTTCTCGTAAGTCGACCTGTGGTTGGGAGAGGGAAGGAGATGACCGAGGAGGGGTCGAGGGAAATTGTGGAAGGAGAGATCGAGACTTGGTGCGGTCCTTCTCAAATTTGAATTCCACCGGGGTAGAAGCGGAAGGAGCGAGGCTCAAGTCCGAAATAGATGGTTACTCGGTCAAAATTATTAATGAAGGATAGTAGGCCCGGTTGAATATTCAACTCGAAGCCTTGGAAATCTGGGAAGACGTAAGGTATGTAGGGGTTGCCTCTCTTCCTGGGAGGCGTGGGAAGTGGGTGTGGAGGTGGAAGAGGGAAGAATCAAGATTCAAACCTGAGCTGCCCTCAGCCACTTGGGTAATTTTGAAATTTGAAATACACGCGAGAAGAATCGTGGGTTCGCCGAGCCAGATTTTCCTAATTTTAGGGCTTGGATCGAGTTCATGGCGGCCAGTAACTGAGACGAGGATGGCGTGCGGCTCCGAGGCCGCGAGGCCATGATGGGCCGGGCAACCGGGCTAGATTAACGGATGACCGAGAAGCTGTCGGGCTTGATCATACGGCGGGAATGAGATGATATACCTATCCAATCTTCTGTATAAAAAGAGTGGTTGTGAATATTGGTTCAAAGGTAGCTGCACACCTTTGTTTGGAGGGTACATCAACTATGATTCACGAGCTGGCAGCGTTGTGTTTTCTTGGAGGCCAGTAGGTCTTGGTATGGGCCAAAACTAAGATCAGACTACTAGAACCTGGCAGACCTTTTCTGGGCGTGGGGTTTTGAATTGGTTTGTTTGTAATCTAAGAGATGCTATTTACGAATCTGGTAGCTAGGTACTGTAGACCGTACATACATTACCACGGGATGTTGGGGATTGTAGTTTCATTATTTACTTTTAGTTCGTATCTAGAGGGGAAGGGAAATGTAACAACGTTACATGTAATAATAGATATCGGTGGGTAAACATTAGCTTTACCCATCATACTCTATCTTCATTGTTCGCCGGATGTGGAAGGCTGGTTTAGTGTTGAGTCTGGAATCTGAGTTTGGCTTATTATAATTAGAGGGAGTTCACTAGGTACTCCAGAGGCAGAGTGCCGAGATTTCGCAACACTAAACATATGCTGGAGCAAAAGAGTTAGAATAAGACTGGTAGTAACGTTCCTAGGAGCGGCTTAGTTTTTCATTTGCCGTTCTTCACAAATCCTGTTCATCAATAACAAGCCTTGTCCAAGCTGTTCGTTCCCTCTGTCACTGTGTGTTGTGAACCTTGCGCACGGACCAATTTTACCTCGGTTTGGCAGGGGGTGGGAGACATGACGAGGGGCTTTTTTCGACACTACCAGGCCTCAAACCAACTTCCACAACCACCAATTTGGTAACGACCGAGGCGCTGATGCCCTCGATTCAAAATGCCAAGGAAACCCCAGACCTGGGATGATTATGACTCGGCTGTCACTCAGGTAAGTTGGATCAAGAAATTGAAAGCCCCCATCCAAACGGCGCGCCCCAACTTGAAGCTGACCATGCGGGCCGCACCCCCCCCAGATCATCCTTGCGCCATCCGACTCCGAGTTTCTCGATCAGTTGATACCCGTTCTGAAAGATGCGACCGCTAGCAGCCGGATTGGATCGCTAGTCCAGAGCCTCTCTCAATATGCCGAGGAGCGCGAGGGTGATATCGAGCGGATCGGTTTGACCAAGCATGAGGAATTTCTGAGCTCTGTCGACCAGCTGCAGGAAGTGCGCGAAGGCACCGTGGTTCTGACTGCTGAGATTCTTGACCTCAACCAGTCGATTCAAGCGAGCACGGAGAAGCTTGCGGAGCAGAAGCAGGCCCTAGTCAACACACGAGGCGTACGCCAGAATATTACGGAGGTCTCCGATGCCCTCGAGGAGTCTCTCAAAATTTTACACGCTGTAAACAATGCCCACGATCTGATTCGGAAGAAGAAATACTATGCCGCCCTCAAGTCTTTGGAGGACCTACAAAATGAATATCTGGTCCCCATCATCCAGAATAAGTTTGCGACTCAGTACAAGCTCGCCGATATGATCCAGAAGTCGATACCGGCATCCCAAAAGGCGATATCAGAAGCTGTCATGTCGGATCTGAACACTTGGTTGTTCATTGTTCGAGAGTCGTCGCAATTTTTGGGGGAAGTCGCTTTCTTCCATACCTCGGAAAGAAGAGACAGGCAAAAAGAAAGGATGGCGGGGAATGAGTTGTTGAGTCGGTTCAAGCTGAACTCTGCCATTGAGCTGGTATTTGATGAGAATGACGAGTTTGACGTGCTTTTCAACGATGAGCTCCAGGTCGATTTCACACCCCTCCACGAGGCGTTGCATATCCACGAAGCCCTCGGCCAGGTTGACAGGTTTCGCGCCGAGTATGCTGCCACAAGGCGGCAGCAGAAAGATTTGATAATACCTAGCACGGAGAACATATTTTCCAACGACGATGATGAGTCTCTCAAGGGTCTGTTGGAGAGTGTGGCCGGGTTCGCAATTATTGAGAAGGCCACCATGCAACGTGCGCCGTCAGTTCGGTCGACGCTGGACGTAAGCTTTTATCGCCGTATGGAATTCATAGCAGGTATTGACTTTCGACAGGTCGACGAGCTTTGGGATTCAATGTGCCAGGCTACCATCAGGATTACGTCCAAGTCATTAGATATGATCAACGACGCGGAGTTGTTGCGCAAGATCAAGGATGATATTGCCCTCTTCATTCAAACTATGGAGGCAAGTATGTCAACCGGTTTACTTGTATCTCTTTTCTAACATTTCTCTTAGGGATGGGGGTATTCCGCATCGTTGGTGGACAACTTTCAGCTTGTCCTGTTTCGCAAGTACGCTGACTTGGTGCAACGTAAATTTGGGGAAGACTTTCAAGAAGTGAGTAGAATGAGGAATCAAACTTCCTTGGTCGTGGCTAATAACGTTGAAAGGTCGTATCGACGGATGATTACATGCCCATGACCATCAAGTCGCGCGAAGAATATGATGAGGTCTACTCCGCGGTCCTGTTTGGCGGCGAGATACCCCCCGAGGAGGTTACGTACGTGTTCATGGAGCGGGAAGGCTTGTGTGCTTCTTGTTAGCTAACACACCATTCAGACTACCAGCTGTCTTCCCCTTTTCCAAGATGTTTCCGCTTTGTTGCTTAAATATCGAGGGGTGCCAACAGCAGTTCCGGGCTTTTACCAAGGAGAATTTTGATCATCCCAATCTCGTCGACGAAACCCTTCGAAGGGTATGTCACCAGCAACTTTATGTCTATCCGCTGGCTAATTGTTCTCGCAGACATTGGATGAACTGCTTACCGATATCGTTTGCCAAAACCTGGTGGAGCGGCTAAATTCCCAATACCTTGGCCAAATCGTTCAAATCTTGACGAATCTGGAGCATTTCGAGTCCGCTTGTCAAAACCTTGAGAAACAACTGATCAAGGGGCGCTCGACCACATCGGCCGGAGGCCCGGTGACTTTGAAAGCGACCGAGTTGTTTAAAAGTAGTAAGAAGACGGCCGAAAAGCGAATTTTCGAGCTTGTCAACTCTAAAATCGACGATTTGGTGGACACATCCGACTACGACTGGTGAGCTAAGTAGTTGCCACCACCCATATCTCCATTGTGCTGACCGTGCTCTCCAAAAAAGGGCCGCCACGACGAAACCGGATGCGCCGAGCGGTTACATGGTGACGCTCACGCGCTTCCTCGAAACTATCATGACATCGACACTGCTGGGCCTCCCACGAGAGATCAAAGAGCTCATCTACTTTGACGCGTTGAGTCATGCAGCAAATAAGATCCTCGTGAGACATTTTGTTCCGGCGCCGACTTGCCACTGTAACTAACCAATGCATCACAGGCCCTCCCCCTGTCCCCGGAAGTCAAAAGGATCAACCCCAACGGTGTGGCCGCCATGGCGCTTGACGTGGCCCACTTGACCGGCTTTGTCAGCCAGCTCGAAAATGCTTTCATGCTGGAGCAGAACCTAGACGAGCTGCAACAGACGGTGGCGCTAATGCAGAGCGAGAACCACGAAGAGTTTTATGATATCTCGATCCGCAACAAGAAGTACGGCCGTGTGGACGCTATGAATGGGCCTGTGTTATTAGAAAAGTATGTTGCGTTTCTTCTGTTACCCACCGTGCCGAGGTTGCTGTATGGGGAGTTCGGAAGCGGAAGGCTAACCTTGGTGGTGACAGAATTACAACAACGGTGGAGAACACAAGCCGGACAGCACCACTCGCTAACTTCGGGTCGCGCTTTGGTTTGAGGTGATTTATTTGGGAATGGAGATGGTTTCGTGACAGACGGCCGGGATGCCTTTTGTCTTGTTTTTTTTTTTGCCCACGGCTTGATTTTACGATACCACCTCTAGCGTTGGTCTACGGATCCGTTGTATTTGCAATCACATGTACACTGGGTATACGAGGGGAAATGATCGAAATGAAAAACAGGAAACGGATCATATTTCGGGTCATGACAGAGACAACAAAACAAGAATAAAACGTACTAACACCCATCCTCAAGATATCTTGACCGGCCCGGTGTCCTTCCCGAAGATCATGAATGGATATCCCACTTCCCCGAGTACCTCATCAATGCCCTAAAGGAAAAATAAAACGCAAACCCAAGCCCTCGACGGGTATATTTTCCCAATTTAGGAAATGAGATATGAACCTAGGCTCCTTGCAGCTCATCCGACCGCTCACAGATTCATCTACTTCGGTATCTACTTATTTACCCCCATCATTCTCCCGCGCTCTTCTGCGCTAGCTCTACAACCCACGGGAGGGGTGGGAAGAATAGAATTAGGGTCGCACATCATCATCCGACGCAGCAGTTGTGTTGTTTGCGAGAGACACGGCAAGAGCCGCTGCGTCTTCAAGGAGTGCCTGACTTGTCGACGGCATCTGGCGTTGTGCGACTTGGTGAGTCCCGGCTGTGGATGTTCTTGAGCCTCCCGTCTCTGGCAAGTCTCCCCAGGGGCTGGGCGCATATCCTATGATAGGGTGATGCTGTGCTTGTGAGGGCGGATTTTTGTTTTCCCCAACCTCCGTTTTACCGTCGACGCCATCTTTACCCCCCAACACCGCTGCGGCGGACTGGCCCCCAAATTCTGGACCCTCCACCCCGCGACCTTCCTCTGGATTCACCCCCTAGGCGCCCTACTAGGTTTGTTAGCTTTCAGTCAGATCGTGAGGATGGTGGGGATGGGGCTGGATGAAAGGGCGGATACTGTGGGAAGGTGGTAAGGAGTCAAAACGTACCTGCTGAGGAGGTATCCCACCGTAGTTGTAGATGTCGTCCACGTTGTACATCGGAGCCTGGGGTTGGCCGTACGCAGGTGCACCGGGTTGGACCTGGCCGGGATACATTGTTTGCGGCTGGCGGTAGTCAGGATCAGGCCCCATGTTATGACCCCCAAGGGTGTAATCCGGTGCGGCCATGGGGTGTTGACCGGCGTGGTTCGGGGCGCCAACGCCCGGGATTTGCGGCTGTGGGGCCGCGGGCTGAGCCGCGGCAGTCGCTTGGTTAGTGGTCCGCTTGGCATGCGAGGAAGCCTCTTCACGAGGGACGATATCGATGAGGAAGTCGAACATGTCGGACTTGGCGAGCGCGGAGGCAATATCGGATCGTTGTAGGGTACGCCGTTTGTTTTCCTCGGCATGGATCCAGGCGCGCATGGTGAGCTCGGTGATGAAGATGTCGCAGCCCTTCGCGAACAGAATCGGGGCCTCGGCGGAGATCATCTTGACTTCCGGATCCGCCTTCATGACCTTCTTGATCCTCGCTAAAGGCAGCTGGTGCATCTTGTAGTCGTGCGTATCGCTTTCGAGGTGGTTGATGGTGTGCTGCCAGTAAGCCGTGAGCACATCCTTGTAATGGCCCGTTAGGCCCTGATGGACGTTCGCCCATGTGCCGGTGTACAACTCAGAGGGTGCAAAGCCTTGAGAAGAGATCTAAAGCCGTAATGTCAGATACAAATCGGCAATACTAGGGGTTCAACAGGAGTAGTCGAGAGCTTATATCGTACCGCTGCACTTGCGCCATAATGCCCACCTTGACTAAGGTCGTATACGGGCATCTGCCGAGCCTGCTGGCCGTGTTGACCGTGTTGCGCAGAGGAAGAGTTGGGATCCATGATGTAGAGTGGGAGGCGTATGTTTAGCGCGGCAGGATGTTATGGCTATGCGTCCGGCGCGCAATGTGGGCTTCGATGTTTGGATATGTTCAGGCTCAGTTCCCCCGCCTCTACTCGTGCATGGGGTTCCGATTCGGGTACTATGGTTTATGTTCTGGTGTTCCTCTTATTATCCTGTTAGCAACACGCCTTTGTTTACTTTCGGGACTTGCCACGGCTGGCAGCGCTCGTCGCAGTCGCACCCAGCCTCTTCGCGCGCAAATGCTCCGTTGATTGGCGCGGAATGATGATTGGGTGGGTGTGTCTGGAAATGGAGGGGAGCGAATGGGTGGAGTTCCGGACTTCGCTTTGAACGACTCGGCCAGGCGAGGGGAAGACGCGGGCCACTCAGCTCTCGTTGCAAGCGGTATGAGATGATTGGTGAGATCGCAACGGGCGGATTGGATGGAGAGGCTCAAGTGGGAAACATTTGAGTGCGGCCCGCCGAGAAGCAGGAACAGGCAAAGGACAGTTGAAACGTACCTTGCAATGAAGCTCGAGAGGCGGAGATTTTTGGGTGAAAAGACTGAAGTCTTGAGATCTCGGGGCTCAGTGATTTGTGCAAGGCGGTCAGTCAAAGTCAGGAAGGTTGGGCATCAGCGCGGGCAGAAGGCATGGGCAAGCGTGGGCGGACAACAAGTTGTGGCGCAGGTCCCGGTTCTCAGCGGAGAAGACGCGCGGGTATTGGCTGCCTTTTATGGGTATTTCCGACACTGATCAAGCGCTGCCAACTGGCTGGTCTCCAGCCTCATTTGTTGCCTTGGTCCAATCATATTTGGGGCTGATGTGAAGGTGGGCTGTGACGTCCGGCCGGGCATCACGGTTGTTCCTCCACCGAGCGCACGGCCCTACTGACGCGAGCCGCGCCGGGCCCCTTGCTTGAGTGGGGCTTTGGTCGGGAAATTTTCTTCCTTTGCTCTTGCAGAGCTCGTGGTGCTCTTTTCTCCATCCCACCAGCACGATTCGAAGCCACCACCCCCCAAGCAATATGGCGGCCGCATTGGGGCTCCCAGACGATGAGATCGACAGGTTATTATCGCAAGCTGAAACCCGGCTCTCTGGCATTGGCAGCGTAGACACCGTTGCCATCGCTACCGCTCCGGCCGCAGGGACAGTGGCACCTGTCGCTGCGTCTCTCGCGCCCGCCGCTGGGGAACAAGCAGCCGCTCTGGAGAAAAAGTCCGAGAAGCTGTCTGTACGGGTTCCCCAGCTTGCCCAGAAACAGAAGGTATGCATGGAATCCTGTCCAGTTTGCCCCTATCCACGTGTTCCCTGATGAAAGCAAATCCCAAACTCGATGACGCCAGCAAGACCCCGTCATGGGGCTCAAGCTGGCACCACAATGATTACCTTTAGTTCATAGTTACTCTGACTGGAACACCCATTTTTATCTTGTGTTGATTCGCGCCTCTACTGCTAGTCTTGTCCTAGACGCTGACCAAGAAAAACAGGGACCCAAAGACACCTTAGGCGCCGACTGGTTTAATCTACCACGTACCAACTTGACGCCCGAGCTAAAGCGCGATCTGCAGGCCTTAAGGATGCGTGACGTGGCGGCCATGGGCAAGCAGTTTTTCAAAAAGGATTCTCGCAAGGGCTTGGTCCCAGAATACAGCCAGGTTGGGACCATTGTGGCTGGGCCAACTGACGGGGCGAGGAACCGCCTCACACGCAAGGAGCGCAAGCAGACTATCGTCGAGGAGCTCATGGCTGCATCGAACACCAACAAGCTCAAGAGCAAGTACCAGGATATTCAGGAGCAGAAGAGGAGCGGAAAGAAGGCGCATTATAAGAAGCTTGGGGCAGGCCGACGGAAACGGAATGGATGAAAGATGCATGAGGGTCCTAGTAGAACGACATCTTGAGGAATACCCTCGGCATCAAGGAATTGGGGGCGATTGAGTTGGAGCTTGCTACAGTGCTCTCTGTAGTCTTGGACTCACGATGCGACAGGCGCCGTAGAACGCGCCGTTGATCGCGCCGTCGAACATCCATCGACCACGCCGTGGAGCATGCCATGGAACACATTCGCCGAACCCCGGCCCGACACACCAAGATGGGCTGGCTGGCTGGCTACCTTAGTAGATCAGTGTGACATTTACGCAGCAAACGCCGAGGTTTGAGGCGAGTCAAAAATTTGACACTGATAAAATAAACCAGGTGCTGAGCCGCTTCCATTCCCTGAATCATGACTTTGTGATTGATCTCGTTGTTGAGTTTCCTCGTTAAGTGGATATTCTTATCGATAACACGGCTTTGTCACATCCACTCCGAAAACTCGGCCGAACAAGGGCTCGGCGGCGCAAGAACGGACATCCACCCTAGTAATTGAGAGCCACGCAGAGATGAGTACGCCACGGTTGATGAGGCCATTACGGCCTCTTCTTCAGCGGCAATTGGTGAGAATGAATCTGAGTTGCGCGGAGGCGAAGGATGCGTCTAACACCTCAACATTAGCCCCTTACCACTCCTCGATTGGCACCTACCACACCCCCTCGCGTCTCGGCCCAGCTCCGAACCTATGCTTCGGTGTAAGTAAACCTCGCGCCGCTGTGATATCTCCTTGATGGTGTCTTATTTTTACTGACTTAATCATTGACAGCGAGGAACCCAGCTCCGCCGCGAATACCAGGTCCGCAACCTCAGCTTAAACCCCTCCATTCAAAGCCCGCCCCTCGCCTCACCACCCGATCAAGTACCAGCTGCGCCACCAGAACAGACACTGACACATCTAGCAGCGCCGAAGCAAACGAGAACTCTGACGATGTATCGTCCAAGCCCCGCGTCTCCCGCATGCCCCGCGCATTAGAAGCCCTTTACCTTCAACCTCTCCGACGCGAAGCCGAATTCGGGGTGCCTTCGTGCGACCTACAATTGCGCTCTTACTCGCTACGGAACCTCGAATTCTTTTGCGACTTTGCCCTGCGTGCGGCGTACTTTTGCGGTCTACCGGCGTTCGGACCAGTGCCCTTACCGCGTATGGTCGAGCGTTGGACGGTGCCCAAGTCGACTTTCATTTTCAAGAAGAGCCAGGAAAACTTCGAACGTATCACGATGCGTCGGTTGATACAGATTCGCGATGGGCACCCGGAGACAGTGCAATTATGGTTGGCATTCTTGCAGAGGCATGCGTACTACGGTATTGGTTTGAAGGCGAATGTGTGGGAATTCAGCAAGCTGAGTATGTTTGGCCCTTGCCTTTCGAAACGGGCGTGGGAAACCAGTTATTTACAGGATGGAGTGGCTAATTTATGGGTTTACAGGCATCGGCAAAGAGATGGACAACCGCTTCAAGGAGACGGAGAAGCTTTTGGAGGAGAAATGGGAGCACCTAAATTTCGTGGAACGGCGGCCGAAGGACCCGTCAGAGAAGACCACGACGCCGGAGAATCGTTTGGCGCCGGAGGATGTAGCAGAGTATATGGCGAGGCGCCGGAGGGAACTTACGGGCGGCCGGTAAGGGGTAGGAACAAACGTCATATGATGTATGTATGTTTGTGGATGTTCAATGTATCATTACGTCTCATGTCTTCCACATGTACCGCCCCGTAATTGGAGGGCGGGGTTGCAGAGGGTCACCCTGAGCTGTGTATTATACAAGCAGTATGCTACCGTACAAAAAAGGAAGCATCGCGCCTAAAAAAAAAAAAAGAAGCAAAATCTCTTGACCACCGAGAACACCTGCTATTAGCATCGGTTGTGTAAATTGGGTCCATGTCAGGAGCTATATTTCCGAGTTGAGTCGCGGTATGTACACACATATGGGGCCGTATTTGGTCGCAGTCCAAACCCGCTGGACCTTGCAAGCCGTAAAAATAAAATCCCTGCAGCAACCATTTCACAGCATTTCCCGACTTCGTCTTAACACATACACGCCCCTCTAAAATTCCGGTCTCTAAATCTTAGACCTAGATTCATATCGATTGGCCTAAGACAAGGATTCAACGTTATACAGCAATGTATCGTGGGTGTAGGGCCGGACAGGTGGCCTGCCATCAGTTGGTAAACCAACTTAGCCATCACCAGGTGCACCGAGGATCAGTTGCGGCGGCTTCTTGGACATCCACCACACCACGGACAACCGTCCTGGCCCAAATATCAAACGCCAACAATATCGCCCCACTGCAAAATAGGTCATTCACGTCCACACCCCCCGCCAGATCAGACTCCGGGACGGAAACCGAAGTCAAGACTCCTGCCAGTGAGGAGAATGATAAGAGTGTCGAGAGCACTCGGGCGAATGAAAGCCGGATAGGGAACGCAACAGGACTACCAGAAGCCCCCGGATCTCTGATAGCCTCAGCGACGGGGGATGGTTCAAATCCAAGTTCGCAGCTATCAGCGGCTTACAAAGTCATCTTCTCTGGGATCCAGCCCACCGGCATACCGCACCTGGGGAACTATGTTGGTGCTTTGCGGGAGTGGAAGAGGCTGCAAGATAGGGCCGGGCCTGGCACTAAACTGCTATTTTGCATCGTCGATATGCATGCCTTGACCTCCCCGCGGCCGGCAGAGGAGCTGAAGAAGGGCCGGTTGGAGATGCTAGCCAGTCTCCTTGCTATCGGGATCGACCCCAAAAAGTCGACTATCTTCTTCCAATCGAGCGTGCCTGCTCACACCGAGCTGCAATGGATTCTCAGTTGCACGGCATCGACCGGCTACCTGTCGCGCATGACACAATGGAAGGTAATAAATCATGGCGGTGATGCTAGAGAAATAATTGGAGACCGCATGCTAATGCAGTTTGCAGAGCAAGTTAAAACTCAGCAAAGAGGTCACGATGGAAGACCCTGAGGCTAGGAAAGCCCTCAAACATGGCCTCTTTTCCTACCCCGTCCTTCAAGCCGCTGATATCTTGTTGTACCAAACCACACACGTTCCTGTCGGTGACGACCAGCGTCAGCACGTCGAATTTACCCGAGAGTGTGCCACCAACTTCAACCATGCATACAAGATGAGGTGTCTGATTCCACCGAACACGATGTCCACAATCTCCCGACGCATAATGTCGCTCACCGATCCGTTGAAGAAGATGTCCAAGTCGGACCTCTCCGGTAAAACGCGTATCTCCATCATCGACACACCTGACCAGATCACCAGAAAGATTAACCGTGTGAGGACGGACAATTTTCCCACCATCCAGTACGACCCAATCAACCGGCCGGGCGCGGCCAATCTGATACGAATTATGGCCGCCTTTGACCCGAAAGGCCGTACCGTGGACCAGTTGGGCGAGGAGATGACTGGAAAAAAGTACAGCGAGCTCAAGGATGTTGTTACACCACTTGTTATCGACGGACTCGCTGGCCTCAGCGAGCGATACGAGCACTTCATCTCTGATCCTGAAAAATTGCTGGATATTGCTCGTGCTGGCGGGGTGGTTGCCCGGGCAATGGCGGACGAGACAATGAGGCAAGTGAGGGAACTCGTGGGCACCACACCGGTGTGAACTAGGGAGCTGACCTAGGTTGTTCTTCCTCACGGCCTGGTACATGTATTTATAATGAGAGGTTAGGGGTGTGTTTATAAAACCTTGTATAATACTAGAAATGATCTCTCAAGTCAATCCCACGACTTTCATCGCCCGCAACTTTCAATCTGCAAGCCTCACTTGATTGAGTCTTGTCTTGACGGCAAGTGGCACGGATCCTAGCTCAAACACCTAATTATTGCGAGCCACTGTGTGATTCTACGTGACAACACCATCTTTAGCCACCATGGTCTCCGTCGGTGGCCGATAATTGAGATTCCGACCCTTAGCCAGTCAGTTAAATGCCCTCATATGGACTTCTTCCCGCTCCGTATTCACGAGGTCACCCACAACACTCTATTCTGTACACTACGCAGTCCGCTTTTCCAGTTCGCCTCAAGTCCTACGAAACATACGCAAAATTGGCACCACGGCACGCCATCCAGAACTCCCTCACAACTTGATTTGTTTGTCTCCCGCCTCTGAGTCTGTTTTCGTAGCGGTACCCGGTCGGAGCTTTAGTCAGTGATCGTTACACAACGCAGGGAGGGAGTAAGGAGAAGTTAGAAAAGGGGCAAGGACTCACGCAATGATTTTCTTCAACCACACCACTCTCTCCTCCGGGCTCACCCTTTCCGCACCGGGAAATCCACTAGCCGCATTTTCGCCGCCTACGTCGCCGCTTTCTGGACTTAGTAACGCCTGCTGCAGCCAGCTCTGGGCTTCGACGCGTGACATCACCAGCCGCTTCAGCGGCTCGCACAGTTTGTCCAACTCGCTGCGCGCCGCGTGACCGCCGATGTTGCGGACCAGGGAACGCGCAAGGAGGGGGCCGAGGTGTGTCATGACGGACGAGGGGACGACGGTTGATGCGGCGGCGTGGGAGGAGGAATTGGTGAGAGGGATGAAATTGGCCTGGGAGCGTGGAGTTGGAAGTTAGTTTGGTGTTAGAGTCGATGATGTGATACGTGATTAGGGCTTGGGCGGTTTAAGGAGCATAATGGGGATGCCGGAGAGGGAAAAGGGGTGGGTGGGCTAGTAAGGTACGACATACCCAGAACTCGGCTGCGGCGCCCTTGGGCAACGGCTCATTGCCATCAAGGACTTTGATAGAGAACAAGAAAAAGAACTCGATTAGCTGCTCGTGGTGGGGGTGGAAGAGCACATCAGAGTATTTTGACATGATCTTGTCAACAAAGTTGATACCGTTAAGTGAGATCTCCGTGTCGGCTTCAGGTTCTGTAAGGGGTTAGTTAGTTGACGAAATAGACATAAATGGTTGGGAAGAAACATACGAGGCAACGCCTGCAAAATCGACACCACCCAAGGTAAGAGACGTGCCAACTGGGCGGGCACATACGCCTTGGGCCCACGGTAAAGACTCCCTACAAACGAGCATGCCGTGCTAAGTAGCGTGCCCACACGTGGCGTCTCTAGCCTCTGTTGTACGAAATATTCCGTCACCGCATCTGGCGCAAACACAAAGGGCCCCGGCTCCGTCTCAGAGAAGCCCGCGCGGAAGATGTTACAGATGATCTCGACGGCTTCACTGCTGGTGCCGAAGACGCGCTGGACTTCGACCAATACTTGCATGATGTTCCCTTGCAAGCTACCGAGGCGGCTGTTGGAGCTGAGTGGTTGGGGTTCGCTGTCTAAGTCGACGGGTTGCTCCTTAACATCCTTCATACCCTTTGCGACGCTTACGAGACAACGCATTGAACGTAATGCAATCTGAAGCGCGATTTCCTCGATTGGCGGCGCAGATTGTGGGTTAGGCGGGTCGAGACCTCGCAGAAAGTCTGGATTTTGGAGGTTTAGAAGGCCTGGGTTTGCCTGGAGCTGTACCGCGAGTTCGAAGTCCTTTTTGAGAATATTGTACAGCTCCTCGAACGTGTTCAACTTGTGGTCTCGGTCCTTAATTGCCTGGATGATGGAAGCAATGGCAAGGACTATCCTCTCCTCAGCTAACGAATCCAGCACTTGGCTGTTGCGGATGGTTTGGTAGTGACTGATGAAGGCGCCTGCTTCGCCGGTGAGGATGGCGCGACAGGACGAGCAGAGGGTAGAGATTGAGCGTGCCGAGGGGCCTCCAAGAACGGAGTCGCCGACGGCAGCAAAGAGCAGGTTGAGAGCATTGGGGAGAAATTTGGCATGCCGCTCAAAGTATTCGCAGTATCGCTCAATTAACGCCAGCCCGGTCTGGCGCAGCCGTAGCGGTATGGGCCCTTGAGCTTGGCCCAGAAGCTCAAAGAAGTGAGAAGCGAAAACTTTGTCCAACTCCTGATCAAACCTCGACTCGTCCGAGATACAGTCGGATAGGGCACCCAAACAGAACGCGGAGGCTTCTAGTTCGGACCAGGATTGGGCAGCGAGGGCTTGAAGGAAGAGGTCGGTGAAGAAGGATACAAGCCGCATTCCTTCAAGCGTAAAGACTGACTGCAGCATGTCGGTGACATCCTTCCTTGCATCCCCAAAGGCAACGCGTTCGTTCGAATCCCACTCAGCAAATGCCTCGGCGGGAGGCCACTGGATCTTGCGCCAACAGTTCATCACCACGGTCTTGAGATGTTGTTCTGCGTAAGGCTTCCAAGCCTGAGACTCAACTTCGTCAGAGTAGGTAGCATCGATCATAGTCTCAATGAAGGTCGACCAAAACTCCAGGGCCGGAACAAAGATGGTATCTTCACCAACGAGATAGCCATCGGCAGCGAGCAAGCCGCTCAAACTCTCGAGAAACCGCTGGGAACGAGCGTCAGGACTTCGCATTAGATCGTTGACCTTGGCGTCTCCATAAGCCAGAACAACAAGGCCGAACGAGATGCCGTCTTCTTGGTGGTTGCCATGGAGGACGCGCTGGTAGTGCTCGGCAGCCCAAGGGCTCTCAAAAAGCGAGGCTAGTGTGTTACAGTGCTCATCGGTGAAAAAGGACGAGTAATTGCTGAGTGCGTCACTGAACAGCTCAGCAGTCGCCTGGAAGAGGTCTGGGTCGGCGAAGCAGTTGATGGCATGGCCAACAAGTTGCCTCAGGGGTGCGACTAGATCCGGGATGGGAGATGCCCGCTGAGCATACAAAATCCAAGCCTACCACAATCAGAGTCAATATCGGCACGTTCGGTCGTCAAGGTTGAACCGTCTTAGCACATACCTGGAAGCAATTAAGGGCCTCTCCCTGAGTCTTGAGGTCGGTGCTGTCTTGCAGTGGAGAGAAGCCACGAGCGAGTAAGCAAGTGACATCGGGCCCGTTTTTGACTAGACGGCTGTGTACTTGAACGCTAAATGGGGGAATCGTTGGTTAGGAGTCGGCTTTTATCATACCCATGAGGCGTGGATATGGTAGATCTCACAATTTTGGGGCGCCCATATCCGTCTTGCCAACCTCCTCGACAAAAAAGGTAGCAAACCATATCGCCGCCCTTATCTTGTAGCTGTTGAGTTTGCCAATGAGGATCTCCGTACTGAGGGCATCATCCAGGCTATCCACCGAGGCACCCCGTCCCAAGTCCAAGCAATACAGGAAGTGGCGGATGCAGCTCGGCCACAGGTGAGAGAAGTGCATAAAGTAGGTAATAAGTGCCGTGCATAGCTTCTTGATGACAAAATTACCGGCACCGTCGGTAATCGATTGGATAGTCCATCCGATGAGGTTCTCGAGAAGCTCCTTAGCATCGTCGTCGCTCAGGCCATCACTAAGCCAAAGAAAGATGAGCGTCAGTCAAAATCTTCTTATATCCCTCCATTCAGGTTAGGGGGTTTCCAGCCGGCACATACCTATCACGGTTGAGCTTGATGATAAGGGTTAAAGCGGCGTAGAATCTAATGTTGTCCTCACGGTGGGCAACTAAACTCTGAGCCAATTGCCATCCCTCGGGTGACCTCTGGAGACGATGCAGTACCTCCTGGATTTTGGAGATGGTTTCGGGGGGATTTGGTTGGTAAAGTGCCCGAATCAACTACCATTTCAGGTTAATTACTGCACTTGTATTATGTTGTCTCGTTCCCCTCTCCCCCACGCAATCTCAACCTTGAAAGTTTTCACGGCTCACTTACTTCTTCGACCTCAGCGAGGCTTGAGGGCAGGGGTAGTGGTTCCATGGTCTCGTTGCTTGCCTGGGTGTCACCAGATTTATTGGATCTCCGGGAGGATGAAATTCACGTTCTCTGATTAGGATGAAACCCCTCCACCAAAACTACCACGTCAGCGATCGAATAGCTCGGAACGTCACGTTCTGGATTTGGGCTTCATCGTAAAAGGTGGAGTTTGTGGATTTCTGAAGTGCCGCAAGCTAAAATCCGCCCTGTTTGGTTCTTTTTCAGCCCCGCATCCTATCTTAGGCTTCCAAACGCCGTGAGAATAAAGGTAAATAAAGCAGCCTTGTCTTGCGTTCATCCCCCGCTACCAAGATGATAATCACAGTATGTACAAGGCATAGCTCGGCTCCTCTTTGTATTTTGAAATTATTGCAATATGCGACTAACGGGTACTAGACTCACAAGGACAGGTCCCTCGGCTACCGGCGGAGCTGTCCCAGCGGCTAGGAAGCTTAGGTACCGAGGGGCGCCTGAAACAGTCCGCTTTAAGGGCCTAGAACAGCGAGACAACCAGTAACACCGTGACACAGTACAATCACCGGGGTCGCGTGCTAGCTCATCCGGATGCAGGTATCCGGAGCCGGGCGCCGGTGAGTTCCAGGTTGTCATTAAACTTGCGCAACAGGACTTAGGGCTGTTGACTTGCACAGCATCTATTATTGAGTTTTGATCAAATGTATCCAAGCTGGCTTGGGGGCATATGTGGTTACCTAGAGGGCAAAGAGCGTATGTGCCGGACACTACGATATAACAAAGTTGAAGCTGAAACAAGAAGGCACAGCATGGAAGCGTTGAAGCTCCCCGCACCAAAAACTGAGCAAAGCGAGGGGCAGTTAAGCATGGCCCGGGGAGGCGGGGCTACCCGCACTGCAACTTTCCCGCAGCTGCACCTCTTTTTGACCCAAATACACATTCTTAGTGGCCCCTCGACCTCGCTTGATTCTTGCGTTGACATCCCCCCCGCGTTTCGCGTTGCTCTATGTTCCTTGCCTTCCCACTCCTCCATGTGGCATAAATTAGCTAGGCCCAGCCCGACCCTCTCATCCTTGCTTCTAACCCCCTCGCTAACCCTCCTACGAGCCCGGTCTTACCAGCCAGCTTCCGCCGTTGTAACACTATTTCGAACCACCAAAAGCTTCCACACCACTGCGGCTTCTAGATCCCCACTGCTCGAAGAGATGGAGAAGGTCAACACCACGGCCCGGCTGGCCACCCTTAGGTCGTTGATGAAGGAGACGGGTGTTGATATCTATGGTACCTACATCCACATGCCAACTACCCCTCCATCCGCTCATCACCAACCCCCGAGCGCAGCCATAGCTGTTGGCTGACTTTAGACCTTTTCTCTCTGCAGTTGTACCTTCCGAAGACAGCCATGCCTCCGAATACACTGCCCCGTGTGACAACCGGCGGCCCTTCATCTCGGGTTTCACTGGCTCCGCCGGCACCGCAGTAGTCACCCTTGACAAAGCCGCTCTTGCAACCGACGGCCGGTATTTCAACCAGGCTACTCAGCAGCTCGACGACAACTGGCACCTGCTCAAGACCGGGTTGCAGGACGTCCCGACTTGGCAGGAGTGGGCCGCCGACGAGTCTGCTGGTGGCAAGACGGTGGGCATTGACCCAGCGCTAGTCTCGAGCTCAGTTGCCGAGAAGCTAGACGAGAGCATCAAGAAGAAAGGCGGTGCCGGCCTGAAGGCTGTCAGTGAGAATCTGGTGGATGCCGTCTGGGGGCAGGCCCAACCCGCTCGCTCTAGCAATACTGTGAAGCTGCTGCACCAGAAGTATGCAGGCAAGAATACGGCCACAAAGCTTACGGAGCTGCGCAAGGAGTTGGAGAAGAAGAAGGCTGCCGCTTTCGTGGTGTCTCTGCTGGACGAGGTTGCTTGGCTGTTCAACCTACGTGGCAGTGATATCACCTACAACCCGGTCTTCTTCTCGTACGCCGTGGTGACCCAAGATTCGGCGACGCTGTATGTGGATGATGCTAAGCTCGATGAGGATTGCCGGAGCTATCTGGAGGAGAACAACGTGTCGGTCAAGCCGTACAAAGCGCTCTTCGACGATGCCAAGGCGCTGGCCAGTGATGCCGTAGCCAACGAGACCTCAGAGAAACAAAAGAAGTACCTCATCTCTAATAAAGCTTCGTGGGCACTCAAGCTGGTTCTCGGCGGCGACAAATATGTGGACGAGGTTAGGAGCCCCGTCGGCGACGCTAAGGCTATCAAGAACGAAGTCGAGCTTGAAGGCATGAGGAAGTGTCACATCCGGGATGGCGCGGCCCTCATCAAGTTCTTAGCCTGGTTGGAAGACCAGCTTGTCAACAAGAAGGCAGTACTCGACGAGGTGGCGGCTGCGGATCGTCTAGAGCAGTTCCGGGCGGAGCAAAAGAACTATGTTGGGCTTTCGTTTGATACTATTTCGTCGACCGGGGCAAAGTAAGCAATCGTGTACGCGATGGGTCTTCAGCTATTAACCATCTTCAGTGCCGCTATCATTCATTACAAGCCGGAACCAGGGGCCTGCGCCACCATCGACCCAGAGGGCATTTACCTTGTGGACTCAGGGGCTCAGTTCCTGGACGGCACTACCGATGTCACCCGTACCGTCCATTTTGGCACACCCACAGAAGAGCAAAAGAAGGCCTACACACTGGTGCTTAAGGGCAACATTGCTCTCGACACGGCCGTGTTTCCCAAGGGCACCACTGGCTTTGCCATTGACTGCTTGGCTCGGCAGTACCTCTGGGTATGCCTCCCTCATTGCCCCCCACATTTCAAGACCGGAAAAAGTACTGACACACCCATTCTCTAGAAACAAGGTCTAGACTACCGCCACGGTACCGGCCATGGCGTGGGTTCGTACCTCAACGTGCACGAAGGCCCCATCGGCATTGGCACGCGTAAGCAGTACGCCGACGTGGCGTTGGCGGCCGGAAACGTCCTATCCATCGAGCCAGGATATTATGAGGACGGGAACTACGGTATCCGCATCGAGAACCTAGTGATGGTCCGCGAGGTCAAAACCGAACATTCTTTTGGCGACAAACCATTCCTGGGGTTTGAGCACATCACGGTTGCGCCGTACTGCCGCAAGCTGATCGATGAGAGTTTGTTAACGGAGGAGGAGAAGCAGTGGTTGAATGAGAGCCATCAGGAGGTTCGTGAGCGGATGGAAGGGCGGCTAGGGGGCGACGAGGTTGCGCAGCGGTGGCTGGAGAGGGAGACGCAGCTTTTCTAAAAGGTATTGGATGCCTTTTTCAAGGAAAATACTGCGGCTGAATTCGACAGTGCTCCAATCACTTTTGTCTAACTGGGTGGTCTAACTGTTCCGCATGGTTGCTGTCTAGTTCTAGTGATGAAGCGAGGAGACAGGCTCGGGGGCTTCCCCTGTACTTTAGAAGGACATAAAAGCCGAGAGGGAGAAAGCGACGGCAAATGCTAGCTTGAAGGCCGTGTGCCGGTTTAGGAGGGCTAGAATGCGTGACGTGTTGGCGCGCTCTTTGAGCTTGAACATCGAAATCAGGTTCATCCCGTTGCGTGCGGCGACCTGAAGGAGGGGAGTAACGCGGGAGCGTGGGGCTGTGGTTAGCAAGCAACCTGGTGAGTGGAGTGGGAAATAAGGGAGGTGAAAAGGGTAATGGCATGTTTTGATATCCTCGGCCGGGTTGGATAGATAGGATGGGGGATGATGGAAGGAACCATAAATAAAGCACTGCAATTCCAACCAGGAAGAAATCTTGTGCGAGTGGCGAGGTGAGGGGGGCATCAAATACCTGGATAACCACCATGCCAATACCCGCGAGAAGCACCAACGTCTTAGAGAAGACGCTGACCAGCAAGCCCGCCGCGAAGCCTGGCGGTTGCCATCAGTCAGCCTAAATCCCAATATGTCGACACCACGGCTACCATGTACCTGCTAAACTCCCTCCAGAAAGCTGCTTCACTGTATCCGGATTCAGCAGCTCGTTCCCGCCCTCCCTTTTCTTCGGCTCTTCTCTTGGCGTGGTGGTTGAGAACAACCGCGTCTGCGAGTCAAACTTAATCGGCTGTTGCTGGTGGATGGCGACGAGACTGAGACTGGTTGTGAGGCCGAGCCCGAGGCCGACGGTCCTGGGATTGAGACAGATAGAGCCAGGCGGAGAACGAACATGGCGAGCGGTTGTGAAGGTAAAGTTCCGGTGTGACACGTTACGGGCTAGGGTACGAGTGAGGGAGGCTCGGCTGAAGGTTGCTGTCATCTTGAATGGATGTTTGGTTGTTTACTTAGGCAATGCGATTGGGAGGGAATAAATGACGATCACAAGTGAATCGAACTTGAGGTTGGAACTTTTGTGTCGTCGAGAGGCGGTGTTGATGCAACGGCTGTGGATAAGCTCAGGAATCCAATTGCTGGGGGCAGCTGCTGCGAGAAGGGATGGTCGTATGACGTAATAGGCATTGGGAAGCTGCGAAGTCACCGGACACCGCGAGCAGTTCGCGTCAGCGGAAGTCAAGATATGATGGAGCAAATTGACCCTCTTGAAGAGAAAGCTTCCGTGAGTTGCACGGCCCACCGTAGGCCACGTTACTTCGTTGACGGATTTGAAATCAAGATACAACAAAAAGGCTGTATTTCAGATAAGAGGCAGACGGGATACAAAGTAGTTCACTCCTCGATGTTGAGGGAATGTGCTCTGATTACCTAACCAGGCCAAGTAGAGGGGCCGTGCACCTAGTGGGGCCGAAAGTTTCCCCCGGAATTGTTATGGTCGCGTCAGACGCGTCGAGGCAATCCTTCCTCCCACACCCCACACGATTATCTGAGCATCGCGACCATCACTCTCATTTCCCCGGAATTCGACACGCATTCCGCCCTCAAGTACAGTCCCAGGACAGCGATTTACTGTGCAGAAACCATGCCTCGCCCAAAACGGTCGCGGGTCCCTTCAACCCAGGTCGCGAAAGCTCCGTCTCCAGCGCTAGAGGGCGTGGGAATTGGGGCGGCACCAACACAAACGATTGAAACTACAAAAGAAAGCTCGGAAATCAAGAAGACGCGCACGTCGCAACTCACGGATACTCACGCAGAACAGGCGGCTGCCTTGGAGGACTCGCGGCGCAGGCGAGATGCTGCAATGAACCGCTTGGACGATCTCACCTCGACATCCACCCCGGGCCCGGCTAACAGCCCTAGCCTCGGCCACAATGCGAGAGATGAAACAACTGCTCGGCAGCCCCGGTTGACTGACGTGTCTGGATTGGAATTGGATGATGACCTCTTTGGCAACCTCGACGATAGCCTGGACGACACCGATCATGGAATTGAGGAGACACGAACGGGTTATCGCTCGACTGATACTTCGTCATTTAGCGTCGGGATGTTCAGACGTCGGCCTAGGCAGTCGAGCGTTGCTGGCAGAGACGACGCGCCAATTCGACCGAGCAGCAGGGGCCAAATTACGCCAAGCATTAGCTCTACGCTCAACTTTGGCAACTTTAGGCGACGCGCGAGGGAGCCGAGTATTCTAGGGACAGGACGAAAGCGTCGCATGGCGCGATCTCAATCGAGGGCGTCACAGACGTCGCGGGCCTCCAGGGCTGCTAGCGTTGCAAATGACGGCGACGAATCTGGGCCGGACGGCGAATCAACCCCGCTCGACCGAACGAGGAGACAGACACAGGCGTTGCTTGCCGCCAATGGCTCGAGAGAGAACTCTCCCATCCCAGCATCCCGCAAGCGCAAATCCCTGGAAAGCCACGAGGATGGCCGCGAGAAACGTCCTGCCACCGGCGCCGATAGTGGTATGTCGGAACTGGAAGAGATCCACCAGTCGATCGAAATCGAAGTCGAGCGATCCCCAAGTCCACCACCGCGAGGTCGCGCACTAGAAAGGGAGCGGCCATCCACTCCCGCTCAGGAAGACGATCCGGACATGGCCCCCCCACTCAGCAGTTCTTCCGAGGGCGGTAGTCCTAGGGTTTGGCCGTCGATGGATACACTTGCCCACCGTACCTACACGCGTAAGCCGCCAACAAGGTCGATAAAGACACCAGAGCTGCGCAAGTCGTCCTCAGAACTCTCGTCACCACCGTCACTTACCCACTCGCCGAACTACGCCGCCCCAAGTAAAGCGCCTCCGACAAAGAAGAAGGCCGTCCCACCGCAAAAGAAAGTCACCACAGCCGACCTCACTTCTCTCCTTCCTCGCCGTCGAACCAAGGAATCGAATCGTAGCCGCAATTCGAACGATCCTTTCGATATAGACGCGTCAGAAGACGAACGCCACGACGAGGAGGATGTTTCTTACGTCAACACGCGGACTGCTATGCGCAAGAAAGCGCAGCGGCCTTTGGCCAAATCCACTTCCAATGGGAAGGGTAAAGCAGTTGAGACTAGTGCGACAAAGGGAAAGAAGCGCTCCGTTCGGACATACGGCGCGGCCAACGAGGATAAAGAGAATGACGAAGTTGAAAATGAAATTGTGGTTGCTAGTGGAGATGAAGCGGCAGTGGACGGCGGGCGAGAGGAAAGCGAGGAGACTCCAACCGAGGAAACCAGCCAGATGATGGTCGAACGGATTGGGGAGGAGCTGCAGAAGGCGGCGAAAAAGTTCAAGGAGGTGGATAAGTGGCAATTGTCGTTTGAGGAGGCCGCGCCGAGCTCATCACCTGGGCCGTTTGCAAGGTGAAGAAACAGACCCGGAGGAGTGATTTAGCCACCACTTGATTGCTTTTCGTATTAAATGATACCTTACAAGGAACGGGCTTTGGGTTTTGCGATTAAAGATTTTGCCGCAGCAACGAGACAAATGGATCACGGGCGATTTATGTCATGGACGAAGGGCTTGCACTGGGTATCAGCGTTTGCTTGGGTTAGGTTAGCCTTCTAGTATTTCTTAGCCTCGGGCAAATAGAGAGCTATCGCTTGTATTCGGCGAAGTCGCACGTCCCTAATCCGCCATGCCCCAAATTCTGGTTTGCAGCTATCGCATCTAGCTCCATGGCAGCAGGTCTATCATCACTTCCGAACCAGCCAGTGTCTTATGGTTGTCCCGCTAAACACACACTATCGAGGGAGTGGTCGACGACCGGGAGGAGATTAGCAACCTGGTTGGAATCTCGGAGCGCAACAGTGACGGCATCGGGCATCAACCCGCTCATGTAAAGACTCTGTTCTCCTGTCAGCACAAACGGTATTCAAAGAGAGGGAAAGGGCTGCTTACCCGCTTCACGTTCTCAAACCCGTCCTCCCGCGCCGTGTACTCTCGGATCACTTTCTCCTTCTCGAAATCCACGTACACCCTTGTATCCCTTACCCGCACCACCACGCCATCCAGCCGCATGTACAGCCGGCACAGTAGCAACATACGCTGCTCCATAACCCGTACTTTCACGCTCAATATACTGATCCCGTTGTCGTCCAGCTCGCTCTCGTACAACACCACCTCGTCGGCAAACAGAATAGGATCCCGCCTCTTCAACAACTCCAACGGTATCCCCTCCTCCTCTTGTCCTTCTTTCCTTTCCCCACCGGCACTCCTCAAACTCCTCCCATCCCCCGCTTTCACCTCATCCCCTCGATACGCCGCACTATAACTCCAGTCAAACGGCCGAACCACCTCACTAATCCCAGCACTCGTCTTCTCTCTCGAAGAACTCCATTCTTTCGCATATGCGACTCTCAACATCCCCGCCTCGCCCGTCTTATCCACTGTGTCCAGAGCCGGTTCCGCGCTGAAAGCGATGCGCCACCCCGTGCGTGGGTGTGTGATGGCAACGAGATTGTCACCGAATATCATCTCGGGGATGGGAATCTTCAGGCGCTCAGACATGGCGTCTATTGGGCCGGCTTTGAGGATGGGGAGCTTTCGGGAGGAAATGACGAAGGGGTGTTGGTTGTGTGTGCGCGTTGCGAGGTCGAGGTTGGAGGGAGAAGGGTATGGCTCGGCGGTGGGCGAGTCGGGAGGGGGGAGGGTTGGTGGTTCCATTGTGGATTGCGTGTGGTTGTCTTGATGGATTATTTGTGTGCCGCCGTTCGTGGACCTGAAAGGGAGCGCTGGGTTTCGTCAAGAGAGCAACGCCGATTGTACGTTGAAGGTTAGACAAGCCGACTGATCCAGGCATGGATCGCGTGTCCGTTTTAGGATTTGCACAATTTAAAAATCGTCGAATCAGGATGTTGAGTAATGGGATAGTTGTTTTGTCGTGTTCGAATTGTTTTGAGGCGTTCACGGAGAGATTGAGTTCAAGGCTCAAGATCGGGTTTGCAAGTTGGAGCTCTCGCAGCGGGCCGTTTCGCGGGGTAGTGGGGCACTGCTTGGAAGCTGCAGTTACATGGTACTTCTAGCATCACCCTCGAAGGTGGACACAGAAGTGACAACCCAGGAATTCAACACATCGTAATTCCCTACGTTGAACCTTCCCGACGGAATTATTTACGCCAGGGGTTGCCTCGTGCGGCAGGGTTCCTACCAGACGATGCGGAGATCGTCTGGCTAGGTTTTGTTATTGCAAGGACTAAGAAACTGTTTGTTTTTGATCTGTTAAGATACTATCCGCTCTGAAAGTGGAGCTCCACGCACTCGCAATCACCGCAGGGCCCAAAGCCACACCAACAAATTCCAGGCGGCTTTTCGAGATTCATTGAATTGAGACTCACATGGCAAGTTTTGCGCACGGCCCTCGCTGACTGGGGAGCGGAACCCATCGACAACGCAGAGATGTGGGGCACCCCAAGCCCAGCGGTTGCTAGGCAACGCCCAGTCCAATGATCGGTAAATAATCCGCCCCTTGAACTTGGGACATCCTGGACTTCCTCCATTCTTCATTGAAACTGGGGGCCGCCAAACGACATCCGCCTTTTTTCTTTCCCCCATTTGAACGCCACAAACTCGTTTCTCAAGTCATCCCGACCACGCCTTCGACTAACACCATCACTCACCATGGCTACCCGAGTCCTGGAGACTTGCTTTGACCGCTTGTCGGTCAACGATGAGAACAACACGGGCGAGACTGGACGGCTCTACCAAAAAACAAAAGTACGAAGAGAACAGGCATAACAGCGCATAATTTGCACAATGCATTGCTAACATCAACTGCTAGGCGACGGCAACTACAACACAGCTGCCCCATAGCTCTGCTCGCCCCAACCTCCTCAAAGTAGCGCTGCAGACACAGCATGCCAACACCGTCACCGCCACAGTCAACCTCCCATCACAAGCCGCGCAACGGAAGGGTGCTGCACCTCCAATCAACCCAGCCTCGCCTAAGAAAGACAAGGTCACATCGCAACCCAGCTCCCGGCCGTCTGAGGAAGATGGTCTTGAGCAGCGGACTTCATCCTCGTCATCGTCTTCCTTCAACGACCAGCCACTAGTACCTAAGCAGTTCCATCTTGGCATGTTCGAAATCGGGCGGCCGCTTGGCAAGGGAAAATTCGGTCGCGTGTACCTAGCGCGGGAGCGCACGACAGGCTTCATCTGCGCGCTCAAGGTGCTGTACAAGTCTGAGCTTCAACAGGGGACAGGCGTTGAGAAGCAAGTCCGTCGTGAAATTGAAATCCAAAGCAATCTGCGCCACCCCAACATCCTCAAGCTCTACGGACATTTCCACGACAGCAAGCGCATCTTCCTGATCCTCGAGTTCGCGGGCAAGGGTGAATTGTACAAGCACCTCCGGCGCGAGGGCCGGTTTCCGGAATGGAAGGCGGCGCAGTACATTGCGCAGATGGCCGCAGCACTGAAATATCTCCACCGCAAACACGTCATCCACCGGGACATCAAGCCGGAGAACATTCTCGTCGGCATCCACGGCGAGATCAAGATCTCGGACTTTGGCTGGAGCGTTCACGCCCCCAACAACCGTCGCAACACCCTCTGTGGCACCCTTGACTACCTGCCGCCTGAGATGATTAAGTCGGGTAGCAAGGACAACTGGTACAACGAGAAGGTTGACCTGTGGAGTCTCGGCGTGCTCATGTATGAGTTCCTCGTCGGCGAGGCGCCTTTTGAGGACACCCCCATCATGACGCATAAGCGTATTGCACGGGCTGATATGACCATCCCGGAATGGGTGAGCAAGGACGCCAAGGATTTGATCAAGAAGGTGTGTACATCCATCCATCCATGGCCTCTTTACGTATTGAAGTATGGTTCCTGACAGCTGTTGTTTAGCTTTTGGTTCTTGACCCTGAGAAGCGCCTGCCACTTGAGGAAGTCCAGAACCACCCCTGGATCATCAAACACTGCGTCAAGGGCGAGCGGGCGGCTAACCGGGAGAAGCCCGTAAAATGAGGAGCAGACTAGAAGTGAATGTGTGCAGATTATCGGAGTCGACAAGTTGGCGTTTTATGTCTTAGGTTTTACGGAGTTTGAGGATGTCTCTGCTGGTCGGGTCCACCGGAGATACGGGGTTTGTGGACTTTATAGCATAGCGGCGTCGCCTATTTGGCCATGTATGATTTTTGTTTTTTTGTCGTTTAATTAATCCCACGCCTTCAACAATGCGCTGGTTGAAGATCTGCAAGCAACGGGCAGGTTGCTCTTAGGTGGACAAGTTCGTTACTAGTGTACAGGCATTATTACATTTTACAATGTGGGAGAGGCTGAGGTTTACCCTTATCGTGTGTCTAAAACGGGTTTGCAGCGAGACAGAGAACACCTCAACGGTAGATCTCCTCAAACGGCCTCTTGTCCGTGAAGCACGAGTCCCACACCTCGTTGACCACCTTGGTCGCGTGCACATCGTCCCGGCACGCAGGCCGCGCCATGACCGACTGGATAGCCCGCATCCGCACGCAGTTTTGGAACTGTTGGGTCAGCGTCCAGTTGCCCCGCGTCATGGTCTCTCGCGTCCACCGGCACTCGCCGCTCAACATAGACGCGCGGATCTAAAGGAATCCAGCATTGGTTAGCTGCCGTCTGGAGTTTGCTTTTCTCTTTCATGTGTCCATCCCGAGAACATTCACACCGCTAGGCGCAGCAATAAACTCACCTCAGTACAAGCGGCGTGCTTCAGATTCCCACCCCCATGCCAATCCACCTTCCATCGCAAATGGTCCCACGCATGCACCATCTCATGCGCCAGCGTATCCTCCAAATGGCTCCGATCCCGCATCTCGTTCGCACAAATCAATATCCCATGATCCGGGCTAAACCCGCCACCCTGGCGCACCACGCGACCATCCTCAAAGATCCGCGCCGGACACCGTCGACACACCACATTTTCCTCGTCGAGCGTGCCGTTCAGTGCTGTGACCTTCTCGCGGAGGAACCGGATCACGGGCGAGTACTGGAAGAGGTAGGCGCGGTCGGCTTCGCAGCGGGCGCAGTCGCGCTCTTCGTTGGCACGGTATCGGTCTTCGCGGTAGTGCTCGACGCCTTCGCGGGTCACTTGGCCGGTGATGATTTTGAAGTAGTTCATCCACCATGTTAGGGAGGGGTCGTAACCGGTGCGGGCGGGGTCGTTTTTGAGGAATCGGGGGAGAGGAGGTTGGGAATCGGAGGATGGTGGTGATGGTGATGATGAAGGCTGTGGTGGTTGTGATGGGCTCGAGGAGACGTCTGGGGGGGAAGAAGGGGGTGAGGAGGAGGATGATGGTGGTTGTGAGGCGCCCATGATGAGCTCTGGCGGGGAGTCGATGTCGGGGGGTGTACCCTTTGCTGTGGGTTGCTGTCGCATCCGACGCGTGGGCTTCTCAGTAGCGATCGTCAGGAATTCGTGTGTCGTCGGGCCGAGGCGGTGAGTGGGCGTTGTCGTGGCGCTCCGGCACTTTTCGTCAACGTCGTTGAGATTATCCAAATTCTAAGAATGTTCAAGTTTATCGCGATCCGATCTGCAATGCCAAGGTGCTGTCTCCGACTCCACCCGTGTATTTCAATGCCCCACATATTGCTCTTTGCAGCTCACCGCGGTCGCCCACGCCCTTCTTGGGCAGTAAAACTTTAAAGAAGGGCGCGTTTGGCTTGGAACTGTTTTCGACCCCGGATTTATTTTTGGGCCCCTCCCGATGTCGGCCAATCGAACTGCTCGCAAGCTGCCCCAAAACTCCATCGGTCCTTGTTCCCGCCGTCACAGTGGTCCCACTGATCGGACGTGAGTTACCCTGGACTTGGGGCCAAAGAAGGCGAAAAAATTACAGCAAACCCCTGGAGCAAATACCCGAGGGCGGGCCGATGCTATATAATGGAAACGAGTTGTACTCTGTGTACGTGTAGGATGGAAATCCCGCAAACTAAATCGTCTTCTCTTTTTCTACAGTTTTTTTTGTGCTCATTGTTCTTGGTGTTGTGAGTTGTGACTCTTGCTGACCCCTGGGTGACGTCAAATCACAGCGATGAGAGGACCACGCCCACTTGGCGTAGTGATCAAGTTGGGTAAGTGAGGTTCAGGAAGAGACATGACGGAGTAAAATTTGGAGGCAGGGGCTTGGTGTAACTAATCAAGATATTACTCCTAGGGACGAGCTCCATCGTCGATGAGAAAACCCATGAGCCTCTCCTTTCCATCCTGACGTCAATAGTGGAAACGGCAGTAAAGCTGAGGAAGGATGGACACAAGGTCATTATCGTTTCGTCGGGCGCCATTGGTGTTGGGCTGCGTAGGATGGATGTCGAGAAGCGACCGAAGCACTTGTCGAAACTGCAGGTATATCCTCCTTTCGTGACAACTTCTAAACCACCAAGATGTGAATTCTACTAACATCTCAAAAATGAAGGCCCTTGCAGCCATCGGCCAATGCCGCCTGATGAGCCTTTGGGACAGCTTGTTTACTCATCTAAACCAACCCATCGCCCAGATTCTTCTGACGAGAAACGATATCGCCGATGTGAGTGGCCCTGATCCGCAGTAACTACTTTTTGTGGTCAACCACTTACACCAAGATAGAGGTCACGCTATCTCAACGCTCAGAGGACCATTAACGAGCTGCTGGACATGGGCGTCATCCCCATCGTCAACGAGAACGACACGCTGGCTGTGTCCGAAATCAAGTTTGGTGACAATGATACCCTTTCAGCCATCACGGCTGCCATGGTCCACGCCGACCTCCTTTTCCTCATGACCGACGTCGACTGCCTGTACGACAAGAACCCGCGCACCCATCAGGACGCTCACCCTATCGAGGTGGTCGAAGATATTGGGTCTCTAGTGGCGGATGGTGAGACCCCTTTGCATTGCAGTTCCTCCCCACAGGCCGGTCATTAACAATCTCTCCAGTGTCAAGCGCCGGCTCCTCTCTCGGCACAGGTGGCATGTCGACCAAAATCGTCGCCGCCCGTCTCGCCACATCAGCAGGCGTCACCACCGTAATCACCCGATCCTCCAACCCCGGCAACATCGTCAACATCGTCAAGCACATCCAGGCCAGCCGCTCCCCAGCCTCGCCCGCCTCAAGAGCCAGCACCCACACCCCCGGAACCCACGACAAGCTACCCCGAATCCAAAGCAGCGACGCCTTCTCCAAGATCCAATCCCACGCACATGTCGAGCCCGACCGCGCACCAACCCCTACGCCGAAATCCATCCCGCTCCACACCCGCTTCCTCCCTTCTCCGCATCCCGTACGGGACCGCTACTTCTGGATCCTGCACGGTCTGCGTCCCCACGGCACGCTGTATATCGACCAGGGCGCGTACAAAGCACTCGTGGGCAAAGCTGGTCTTCTTCCCGTAGGCGTGGTCGGAGTTGAGGGGAACTTTGCACAGCATGAGGCTGTGAGGCTCTGTGTGGTAGATCGGAAGAAAGGGAATGGCGGTGGGGTGAAGAAGGAAGGAGAGAACGGAACCAGTAGAGATGGAGAGGAGGAAGGTCCAGGAGGAGAGGTGGTCGGTTGGGAGGGCGAGCCGAGGGAGGTAGGACGCGCGCTGAGCAATTACTCGAGTACAGAGGTCGCGCGGATCAAGGGGAAGCAAAGTGCTGAGCTAGAAGGGATTCTGGGGTATGTGGATAGCGAGTATGTGGCGCAACGGGAGAGTATTAGCTTCTTTGATGTGAGGGAAAGCCGGTCGGCGACGCCGGTGAAGGAGATCATGGAGGGGAAGGGGATTGGGGGGTATGAGGGGGAGGGTGCGGTGCTGTGAGGAGTGGTTGGGTGAAGCGCGAAAATGGCATTTTCAGGGGACAAGGAAAGGGGGGTATGGTATGTGTGGGTTAGATGCGAATAGGGGTGACCCAATAGCTAGATAAAAATAGGCGTGATTTTCTGGTATCTTCAATCAAACATATGTACAGCTCTTGACTTGATCTCTCGAAAATCCCTGCCCCTGTTCGCATATGTAAAACACCTAGCCATAAACGCCTGACGCCGTCCGTCTGTTTTGTGGTAACCAAACCAGTAACTCGATCGTTTACCCCCCTTTACCCAGCAAACAAAGTGTCCTCGTCACGGAGATACTCTCCGCAATCCGCCTGCCGGAAACACACGATGCCCGTGGGATCCAACCGCCTCGCCTCGGTCGTACTCCTCGCAGTCTAACCATCATCGCTGTCAGCCGTGTCGCCATTTAAGACAAAGTCGGGCGGAAAACTTACCACACCAAACCCCAACGGCACATCCGACATGCTATAAATCACACATCCCTGGTGTTCGGGACAGTCCTCCGACCACCGCCCAACATGCGCCTTGACCACTGTTCATCCCAAGATTATCAGTTTCGTCCTGCATATCCCGAGTCTGCCCACATCTCCCGCCATCAACAAACATACCGTTGGACCCATACAAGAACGGCTGCGCCCCGTTATCCTTGACCCAAATCTTGTGACGAGCACCGGATGCGATGATGGGGAGCGCCGTGATATGCAGGCGGAACTTGCCCGACTTGGTCATCTTCCCCAAGCAGGTGCCGAGGCTGAGGAGGGCGTCGCGGCTGATGCTGGTGGCCAGGTTGGCGATGGAGAGCTTGACGTAGTATACCTATGGTCCCAAAAAGAGGCGTTAGTATTGTGTTCTTCGGATTGGCTTGTCGAGAGAGGGGCTGGGGGAAAGGCTCGGTGCTTTCTGGGTAAGGTGATGCGTACGCGGGAGTGGTTGAGTCGCATGACATAGCGGTCGCCGTCTTCGAGGGGCGCGATCAAGCTTTTGAGGTCGGACATGTAGTTGGCCAACTGCACGACAGTGTTAGCTAGTTTAGCTCCTGGGTTGCCTCGAGAATGTGGCCAAGTGGAGGATCGCAGAGGTTGTCGAGGAATGCTTGATGTACCTTGTCCAACACAGTCTTCATTTCTTCATCCGTTAATGGGCGCATCTTGATGGCTTCCAGAGGCTGGGCGCAATTGAATGGTGAGTTGGGGTCGGAATTGCTAGACAAGACGGCGGCGCGGGTGGTGAGTTGAGGGCCCTCGGCGGTTGTTATCGCGAGATAGAAAAAAAAAACAAGGTGAAGCTTATCGCAACCCCACACCGAGACATTCCTTGGTGACCCAATTTTACCCGCCTCACCGCGGTGAGTCTCTTCCCTGCCCTCCCACCCCAGGTTCGGAGCATGCATGAGCAAAATCTTGGTGGATCCCAACGCAAAGACACTCAAGGCCCGCTGGCCAAATGGTAAGGCGCCAGATTTCGGCTCTGGAGATTGTGCGTTCGAGCCGCACGTGGGTCGAGTTTACTTTTTCTTAATTTTTCCCACTTTGCTGCGAATCCCCGCCCAGACAGTAGGTACATACCTGCCCAGACAAGCGTGGCATTTCTCTTCCAGAGGCTTGTCACCCACCAACCGCCACCACGCAATTTGTATCTGCGGCTTTCCCGCTTTTGCATGAGCCGCAATTAATTAAGGTAACTCGCTTCACACAGCGTAGTTAGCTTCAAACGTCGATCTTCAACCTCCAATTCATACTTGGTGTTTTCCGTCATATTCCATACACCGAGTGTCCATTGTTTATTTCTGCTTCTTCCATCTTCCCGCCGATTGAGTTGCGGGCCCGGCCGATCAGTGGGCTAAGATAGGTCTCGAGGTCTTCTTGACTGGACAAAAATAGGACAAGCTGCAAATCACGGGAATCGCCTCCTCGCATGGGTGGGAGTCAAGACGACAACCGGGTTTTCGGGTCGCGGCGATACTTTCCCTTTTTGTGAACATTGCAACGTTGGTCAAAATACCCGGCTGCCTCCTTACTCTGGTCTCTTCCATCTTCCACATCTCGAACGTTCGCCCCCCAATATTGCGCAAGAAATACCACAGTAAATCCTGGAGGATGGAAGCAACGCGGGGTCGTTTTGCGTCCTTCTCCACGAGCATGCAACGTCCAGACACCCGCCAAGGCCCCCGTCCTGACAAACGCGGCGTTCCCTGTTCGCCGACAGACCCGACACCACCAGAAACTTTCAGAGATCCCAGACTCTCGGCGAGCGGCTTGGGCGTCTTGGGCGTCTTGGGGCGTCTTGACGGCGGGACCCTTCGGAGGGGACGTGCCGCATGGCTCGTTTCCGGAAAGGCTTCGGGATGCCGGGAGGGTCGAGACCCAAGCGTCCGGCTTGGTGATGGTTAGGTCATCCTCCAATTAAACCACGATGCCGACCTCCCGTTCAGGGCGTTCAGGGCGCCCCATCGCCTATCGCGCGCGCCTCACGGCACGGCCCAGCCAGCGCCCCTGTTCCTTCCGTACCTTGGCCGGGACTCCTTTCCGAGAATTCTGTCTTGATGTCTCGGCAGGGCCGCTAACGTTAAACTGAGAACCCACGCACCTGGTTTCTCCTTGTGTGTAGTGTATTCTCCCACGAACCGGGTTTGCATCTCTCTCCCCTGGCCTCCCCCACACCACCTCCAAGCCGTCTCGGGAATAGTGGAGGGCGGGCGTGCACGCGCAAGAAGAGTGATGTTTGGAATCGGATTCTTCTGCATCCTTCCCCAGGGACGAGCAGACTGTGTGTGTGTGAGTGAGGCGCGTCAACTTTTGAGCCCTTGCCGTCTTTGGGAGCGGCCGATCACCTCCCTTCCCTTTTGAGTTGGTTTCCTTTTTGAGTTGGTGATGAGGAGAACGGACGGGCCTAGGCACAAGCTTGTCCTCGTGGTCTTCGAACCAGAATAGCTTGAGGAGAAAAACGGTCTTGCCTGCTACCCGAATGCGTCGCTGGTGTTGCATCGAAACTCCGCGATGGCGGACGAGGTTGCCGCCGTTCCTACCATCGCACTGCGTTCACGCCGGAGATTTCACACTTTTCCCCTTGTCCTAACTTTGGCATTCCTCCACACCGGGGTGAAAGGGCGCCAATACCGCCAAGATGTGGAACCTGGAGAAAGGGAAAACGAAAAGGGAAAGTCAACCCCCCGCCCAGCCGCCATGGGGGCCCATGGCCGAGTGTGAAGTTTAAGAAGACGGCCATGCCCTCGTTTTGTGACCCGCGTGTAGGCCGGTAGAGTCGAGGTGAGCCAGTGTCGTTTGTCTACATTCTCAACACCATGAGGACCTCCTCTCGCATCGTCGGTGCCCTCACCGCGGCGGCAGCATGTGAGTGTTAGCGGCTAGGGGCCGTTGTGTGCCTTTGAAGAAGAAGCAGACTCGGATCGTAATTAACTAACATCTTTCTTCTCTGCGTTAGTCGTGCCGTCCGTGTTTGCCCAGAACAACGCCCCCAACACTTTCACGGACCCGGACTCGGGCATCGTCTTCAACTCCTGGGGCATTGCCGACGGCGGTGCTCAGACCCAGGGAGGGTTCACCTTCGGTGTGGCACTTCCCTCTGATGCTCTCACCAATGACGCTGAGGAGTTCATCGGGTACTTGGTATGTTTTGGTTTTCTTTGTTTTGGTTGCTTGAAACAACGATCTAATGCAACCCCTCAGCAATGCGCGAGGAAAAACGATGCAGGATGGTGTGGTGTCTCGCTGGGTGGTCCCATGACCAACTCCCTGCTCATCACCGCGTGGCCCACGGATGACACTGTCTACACCTCCCTCCGCTTCGCCACCGGCTACGCCATGCCGGACCCGTACACGGGCGACGCCGAGATCACCCAGATCTCGTCCAATATCAACTCCACCCACTTCACTCTTCTCTTCCGGTGCCAGAACTGCCTCTCATGGAGCCAAGACGGTGCTACCGGCCATGCCTCAACCACCGGCGGCGCTCTCGTCCTCGGCTGGGTCCAGGCCTTCCCCAACCCCGGCAACCCGACCTGCCCGGCCCAAATCACGCTCGAGCAGCACGACAACGGCATGGGCATCTGGGGCGCCCAGCTCGACTCCAAGGCCGCCAACCCGTCCTACACCGCGTGGGCTGCCCAGGCCACCAAGACCGTCACTGGCGAGTGCAGTGGCCCTACCGAGACATCTGTCGTCGGCGTCCCCGTCCCGTCCGGTGTCTCGTTTGACTACATCGTCGTGGGCGGTGGTGCGGGTGGTATCCCCGCTGCTGACAAGCTCAGCGAGTCCGGCAAGAAGGTGCTCCTCATCGAGAAGGGCTTTGCCTCGACTGCCGAGCACGGCGGTACCCTTGGCCCCGCGTGGCTCGCTGGCCAGGACCTGACCCGCTTCGACGTTCCCGGTCTGTGCAACGAGATCTGGGTCGACTCCAAGGGCATCGCCTGTGAGGACACCGACCAGATGGCCGGCTGTGTTCTCGGTGGCGGTACCGCTGTAAACGCCGGTCTGTGGTTCAAGTCGTACTCCCTCGACTGGGACTACCTATTCCCGACCGGCTGGAAGTACAAGGACATCCAGGCCGCCCTCAACCGCGTCATCACGCGCATTCCGGGCACCGATACCCCCTCGGTGGACGGCAAACGCTACTACCAACAGGGCTTCGACGTGCTCTCGAGCGGTCTGACGGCCGGCGGCTGGAAGAAGGTCACCGCCAACCAGTCCCCCGACAGCAAGAACCGCACCTTCTCCAACGCCCCCTTCATGTTCGCCAACGGTGAGCGTAACGGCCCGCTGGGTACCTACCTCGTCAGCGCCAAGAAGCGCAGCAACTTCAACCTCTGGCTCAACACCAGCGTGAAGCGCGTCATCCGCGATGGTGGCCACATCACCGGTGTCGAGGTTGAGCCCTTCCGTGATGGCGGCTACCAGGGTATCGTCCCTGTTACTGGTGTCACCGGCCGTGTCATCCTATCTTCGGGTACCTTTGGCAGTGCCAAGATCCTGCTTCGCAGTGGTATCGGTCCCAATGACCAGCTCCAGGTTGTCCAGGCTTCGGCCAAGGACGGCCCGACCATGATTGGCAACTCGTCTTGGATCAACCTGCCGGTTGGCTACAACCTGGATGATCACTGCAACGTGAGTATTTCAAGGACATTCCAGTTGTCTCAGACAGTTAGAACTTAGTACTAATCTCTCTTCCTCAAAAACAGACCGATACCGTCATCACTCACCCCAACGTCACCTTCTACGACTTCTACGCCGCCTGGGATAACCCGATCGCCTCCGATGAGAGCAGCTACCTCACCAAGCGCAGCGGTATCCTCGCTCAAGCCGCGCCCAACATCGGCCCTATGTAAGCCCCCCCCTCTTCCCCTCCCTACTCACCAGGCGATATGGTTATCACACGCAGTCCGCTAACCCAACCCCCACCAGGATCTGGGAAGAGATCAAAGGCGCCGACGGCATCGTGCGCCAACTCCAATGGACCGCCCGCGTCGAAGGCAGCTTCGACACCCCCAACGGCCAGGCCATGACCATCTCGCAGTACCTCGGCCGTGGCGCCACCTCCCGCGGCCGCATGACCATCACCCCGTCGCTGACGACTGTTGTCTCGGATGTGCCCTACCTCAAGGACCCCAATGACAAGGAGGCTGTCATCCAGGGTATTATTAACCTGCAGAAGGCCCTTAGCAACGTCAAGGGCTTGACTTGGGCTTATCCTAACGCGACGACCTCTGTTCGCGACTATGTTAACAACGTAAGCCTCCCCCTGTTCTCACCTGATGATCCATCGCAACATATAAACTAACCCCAGAAAAACAGATGGTCGTAGCAACAAGCAACCGCCGCGCCAACCACTGGATGGGCACCAACAAAATCGGCTCCGACGACGGCCGCAACGGCGGGTCCTCCGTCGTCGACCTCAACGCCCGCGTCTACGGCACCGACAACCTGTTCGTCATCGACGCCTCCATCTTCCCCGGTGTGCCCACCACCAACCCCACCGCATACATCGTCACCGCGTCCGAACACGCCACCTCCAAGATCTTGGCCCTGCCTGCTCTGTCGGCTGTGCCGAAGTGGGGACAGTGCGGTGGGAAGAATTACTCGGGGAGCTTTGTTTGTGCTGCTGGGTCGACTTGCCAGAGGCAGAATGATTACTACTACCAGTGCTTGTAGAGGGGGGGTGATAGAGGTATGAGGGAATAGTTGTGGGGGGTTTAAAGGGAGATGTTGAGTACATAAACAAACGGTATACACGTGTAAACCTCACCCTGTTTCATGTCCATAGTTTTTTTTTTTGATCAAATCGTACATATCTTTCAAACAAGACAACAAGCCATGTCTTAACGCGCCAGTCACCTGATGAGAAGTCACGCGAGAAACAATGAGAGCACAAGTGTTGGTACATTACAGAATTTTTAGCTAGCCCACATCCACCTCCATGTCAAGTAGATCTTACAAAACCGGCTTTTCTCATACGAATGAGAGATGGTGGCGAGCAAGACCGTAATAGACCGAGCCCCATACCGAACCGTACCACGTTTCCGCCCATGAAATCCGCCAAGATCAACCGAATTAACCTTGCTTCAGATCTGCTGAATGACTGTCCATGCCATCTAGCTCGGCCCTTCCGTCCGCTTGTTCCCTTCATCAGGGCATCCGTGTCCTGATAGGTCACGTAGAAAAGAAAGAATAAACGAAAACGAAAAAGGAAAGACAGAAAGTGATAACGGAATAGCGTACACAACGCCACACATAACCGGGGAGTCGGGAGTCAGAGAAATACCCCAAGGCGCCATCTTGGGCGCCCACCACCCATGTTGCTTCTGCTCCGTGTGGAAAGCAGACAGACCCAGTCATCTTGGAAGAAGAGAGTCCCGCCAATCTGAGCTCGGCGGTCGGTAGAACACTACTCTGCAACTAGTAGTCCAGCCCCACGCTATTCGGATCATACGAGCAGGTATGCTCGAAGACCACCTCATCCATCCAGATCGGCTGTCCCTTAGTCCACTTGCCACCGAAGACCTCACGGTGGACAGCCTCAAAGCGCACCAGCTCCACGCAATTGAACTTGTCCTCCAGGAGTTTCTTCATCCAGGTCGGATCATGGACATAAAAACCCTGCGCCATATCCCTTGTCTCAGCCTCTGTCAACGGCGAACACTTGCTCCGGACACGGTAACTGATAAAGACTTTATATGTCTGACGAGCACGGCTGGCGATCTTGCTTCGGTTGTACACCGGATCGTTATTGATGTCAACAAAGTCGTAGGCTGTCTCGGAAGAAAAACATCCCGACACGGTGGTAAGTAGCATGTCCAGGAGGGAGAAGCCGACCTTCCGGCGGCGGTGGACCGGGTGGACAACGACATGCGCTTGGGCCGTACCGCGGCTGCTGCCCGTGGCACTGCCGGCAAGGCCCGGCTTCCAGACGGAGAGGTAAGCAAAACCAATGACCTCGCCATATTCGTCACCTGGCTCGACCGGAACCTGCTTGAAGGGAGAATGGACGATGTGACCCCGCGTCGGGGCCTTGTCTCCTCGGGCTGAACCACGGACAGCGACGAGGAAGGGCAAGCCAACTTCTTTGGTGGTGTTGAAGATCTGAGTCATCTGCTCCTCGGTGAGATCCTGTGAGTCGAGCATCTGCGTGCCATTCTGCACCTCCCAATTGTAAATGCCCCAGATGGCTCCGATGTCGGATTGTTCTGCCGGGCGCAGAAAGGATGCAACCCGCGGAACATATCGATGATACTCGGGACGCTGAACAACGGGCTCTTCGATGACGGGCTCTTCGATGACGGGCAGGTTGACGACTCGGGGAGGGGGAGTTTCCACAACTCTTAAAAGCTGGTTAGGCTCGTTGCGAAAAGTGTGGTCTGAGTTCCGACCCCTCCGACGCCCAGGACCCTGAGTTGTGTAGTGAGTTTGCAGCAAGGTCGCCGTCCAGTTTTGGCGCCTTCGGTCCGTATTAGTATCGAGAGGCGTGGGGTTCGTCACCGATGTTGGCTGCTCCACTGGTGGTAAGAGCTCTCCAGTCAGCACGTCGATATCCTTGGTCCAATGCGGCTGTTCTCCTTTATCGAACGAGGCCACCACGTTGTTGGGAATGTCGTCCATCCATGCGCCAATGAAGGCACCAAGATATGCGTCCTCGAGAAATACTTCGTCGTTATCTCGTCCCGTTGGTCCGTCCCAATTGTACGTAGTCCAAGTTCCGTCATGTTGGCGGTGAATGTTGTGTTTCAACCCAATGTCATGGCGAACGTCCGCACTTTTCTTGTCGAGGGGTTCTCTAGCTTCGATGCCACTGTCGCTAATCTGAAATCCAGACCCAACGGACAGTTCGCTGGTCTCAGACCCAGGGAAGTTCATATCCGGGCGCGGCATCTTGTAGGTCCTAAGATCAGGCTCGATGCGGTCAAGGCAAATAGGCCGCGGGTTATTCCCAGATGGGGTGGCAACCGGCTTGTTATTCCTGCGTGCGCCAGCACCCCGATTGCGACGGCCACGGTTACCACCGCCACCCGTTTGCTGTTTATTGTCCCCATACCAATCCCTCAGAATATCATCGGGTATAGCGTGGCCAATAGGTGTGCCCTCTGGAACCGGGTCATCCCACCCCCACCCATTAGGCTTCGAGGGGAGATTTGACCGGCGATTTTCATCGCGCTGGGTTAGTGTAGGCGACTTAGTCTGCGTCTTGACAGGACCAAGCTTATCCATGGTGTAAGAGGACGGGTCAACAATGCCCTTTGCGATCCGTTGCGCTTCCCAGTACGTGAGGTCAGCAGGTCCGTTTCTAATTCTTCGCTGTTGCGCTGGTGGTGCCTCAGCTGAGTGATTCGGTTGGATTCCCGGAACCCAAGCCGGGGCCGCCGGGCTGTCCGTAAAAGCTTCTACTCGAGGCAACCTGTTGCCGTTCTTGGTCTGGCCACCCCGATTGGGGAATGACTGCTGTTTTTCAACTCCCTTTGGAGCCGAATCACCCGGTGTTGGAGAGTGATGAAATCCGATGGCCGAAAGGAACGCGCTTTGGACCTCTGTAGAGTCAAGGTCTAAGGTATTGCTGTGCTCCGCCTCTCCGGTTCTCATGTTGATGGCAGTCCGACTACCACAAGAAGGGGGTAGGACCTGTCGAACTAAATGGGTAGAACGAGAGCATAAGCGAATGTATTCCAAAGCATTCAGCCGTCTGTCTTACAGCGAAATTGGAAAAGAACTATACCAGCGTATTCGTATGTCAATACGGCATAATCTTATTGCGAATCTACAACATCATTAGTGAACGTAGACCATCTTTGGCTGAAATTGAATACTACCGACATACCTCGTCTGGATGTGAGCCGATGGCAGCAGTATACCTCAGATCTGGCCGCTTCCAGAGATCGGGATTGAAGGACTAGCTCGAGAAGGGAATGACAAACGGCGAAGAGGATACTCTCGAAGAATGTCCTTTGCCAGAAGAAGTCGCCGCAGCCAATGTCAAATTGCGCAGAGAAATGAGACGGGAAGCTGCAGCGAAGAAAAGGATGGAGAGGAAAAAATTCCCACTCCGGTCGATAAATGAGGCGCGTTTGCAGGATGCAATAAAATGAAGCCGGGTAGGCAGCGTGTGAGTGCGCGGGGAAGGATGAGGTATGGAAACGCTCAAAGTTGGGGGCAAACGAGTTGGAAGAAGAAAACAACGGGAAGCTGGGCACACAAACGGAACGGTATATATAAGGCTGCAAAGAAACCTAAGATTGGCCTGCTATGTTTCCCGGGCTTAAGGTTTTAACCTCACAGGATCGAAGCTGGGGAAGGAGCACCCCGAGGCGGACAGACCCACAGGTAGAACAACGCATCTGTGCCATCATGAAGCAATCAGTGCGAGTACCTCATGATGAAGTAGCTATGCCATGCAGGTACGTAATGTAGGGAACGTAGATTCATCAAATCAACCTTGCTGGATGTTGCCTGACCACCTAAGGTAGTCAATGTTCGACTTATATTACTTATTACGCGCAATCCGGTCGAAGTGCTTTTGAGAAAACGAGCCGCGAGCCTACCTTTCAAACACAGTTACAGAATCCAGGATGACGTGTGTGCTTCAAGATAAGCTTGAGATGCTATGACGATATTCGGGTTTCATGTCCGAGGTCTGGCCCAGAGATGTTCTAAGTATTACCGCAGCGAGCGGGTAGTTACTTCGGTATTCTTGCCCTCGTTGTTTAAAGCCACAAAATAGGTGGGAGTTTTAACAACAACATGCATTCCGAGGCATCACCCGCGATAGTATAAATAGGACAATATATCAGGTTGGAGAAATCAAGATTTTTTCGAGGCAGTTTGACCGAATCACTTACACCACTCAAACACAGACACAGATATGTTCTTGGGGGTGGTTACTTAACGTTGGCGATTGTCACGTGGGTCTCCGCTAACGCAGCGCTCGTCGCTACCTAAGTTTAGGCGTCCAAGTTGTTGCGACTTGCGCACGGAGCTAATTACGATTCTGGGAACCCTCGAAAGACAATTATGATATTTTATTGCTGGAGCCCTCGAGTACCACTTATGTGAGCTTTTGGTTTGCTCGAACTCGCCAGAAGCCTGAGGACCCCACCCCCGAGATGCTGTCCATTTTGCGCAAGGCGAGGCTCAAGGATAAGGAGCTCCGGATCCTCATGCTGTATGGCGGCTTCCACATCCTATTTTAAATTTACTATGTGCTCCAACGATATTGATGCTAATAGTCTCATAGTGGCCTTGACAATGCGGGAAAGACCACAATTGTAAAGAAGGTTATGAACGAAGATGTCAATACGGTCAGCCCCACACTCGGCTTCATTATCAAGACCATCGACTATGACGGGTATGTCTGAGCTGCCCAGTAACGTGTGATGTTACCTTCTAGTCAATATCTTTTAACACACTTTCATCTTCGCTTAGGTATAAGCTCAACATTTGTAAGTGGCCTTTTGGTCGGAGGAAGGCGCTGTTTTGTCTCCTCATGCTGAATAATGTCTTAGGGGATGTGGGTGGCCAGAAAACCCTCCGGTCATATTGGCGAAATTATTTCGAAAAGACAGATGCCTTGATTTGGGTTGTTGACGCTACGGATCGGCTGCGCATTGACGATTGCAGAGAAGAGCTGCATGGGCTTCTTCAAGAGGAGGTGGGCGTTCATCCCCATCTTAAAAGTCTCCTCTCTTTACTAACGGACGAACAGCGGCTTTCAGGGGCAAGTCTGCTGGTGTTTGCGAATAAGACCGACGTCACAGGATGTATGGCAGGCGAAGAGATGCGGAAGGTTGGTCTTTTCTTCCTCGAGCTCGGCTTATTCCCTGCTTCTCTCACTCACCAACCAATGTAGGCTCTGCGGCTTGACGAAATCCGCACGCATAGGTGGAACATTCTCCGGTGCAGTGCGATGACTGGGGAGAACCTTAAAGAAGGATTGGCCTGGGTTGTGGAAGACGCCAAGGCCCGCCTCTTTCTTTATTGACAAGGGTCTCGTTACTCGTTACTGGGGCATGAGCGAAGATGAGGTCTGAGAAAGACAAGAAGGTGGGGGCCGGATTGCTTGCGGGATTTGAGGACACTCGTGATTTTTTACAAGAACGCGGGCTCGCGAAAAGTGGATTGTTGACGTCGATAACTGACCAAGAATCTGGAAGCGGAACGTTGGCTGAGATGGTGTCAGGGGTCGGGGAAGTTGGGTGCTGATGGCCATTGTTACTGGGGCAATCTGAGCAGTATGTAAACAAAGATCATGGTGGGTCAACAAGTCAAGATGGTGGCGGATTGGGGCGAAGCAACCGAGGAAGCAGCATTCCTCGAGATGTTTTCGGAACGATGTGTATGGCCTCTTACGCGCGAAGCCGGGCCAACTTCTCGAGTAGCACAAAGCCTGGTCCGGAAACAGCATGAAACAAAGGCATTTTATTTCGAGGTCGCATCAATTCAGACAATGCCGGTGAAAGGGGGTGCACAAAGCCGCATTTCCATTTCTTCCATTTGTTTTTCTGAGACAGCTCGAACAGCACAGCTGACAGCGCTGTCAGGCGGAAATTTGGCTAATCAGGAGGCGTTAAGCTTGACGCCAGGGCCCCATTGATCTTGGCCTTCATCACGCGCAGCTGCGCAAACTCCGGTTGGCGGCTGTGGGCCCGGCTGGGCACATCAAACTGCCCCTCTGGGACTCTGCTTGTTAGGTCATCTCCAAGGATTCGGGATTTGTGAATGTTGACATTCCGCCAACCGAGCCAACCCTGGGATTTCCCAACACTCGTGTGCCCCGTGCTCCTGCCTCCCAATTAAATACCAGACCCGAACTGCATACTCCCGTTGTGTGTCATGTTGAAGACGTCGCCGCGGATACAGCCATGTCTGACGAAGTTTCCGACTTTTTGCGCTCAGTTGAGCTACTGAAGGAGAGGCGAGAAGAGGAAGATGAGGCCCGATCACGCGAGCTGGAGGAGAAGATTCTTCAGGAGAAACGGGAACGCCAGGCTCGCCGCGCAGGTACGTCAACCCTGACCTCACTCTCCTAGTGCCTCCCACCTCCGAAACTGGATCAAGGGGGAAAAAAAGACGGCGTACCTTCCTTACCAAACTGCACGAGCTTAAGGCCCCCGTCTCTTCTTCCTCTCTGAATTTTGGCCCTTTTGAACCCCTTTACAAAAAGCTGGAAACCTTTGGTCACTAGGGCAGCTTCAGGGCAACTAACCGGAACTTTTTGGTCCGCAAGGCCTAGTACTGACAAACTTCCTTCCCAGAACGCGCAAGATCAATCTCGCCGCAAAAGTCGTCACCCGCAAACACCCCCCCACCAACCGCAAATCGTGCTGGAGTCCTCCCGTCCACTGCCGACGGCACGAGCCTCGAATCACCCGTACTTGGGAGCTCTAGTAGCCCCAAGCCGCGCACTGCCGACCTCACGTCCGATATCATAAATACCCCGACTGCAACCGAGCCCTCGAGCTCCCCAACCAAAGAAAACGATTCTCCGTTCGATTCGGACACCAAAAGGAGCAGCGTGAATCCGGGTTCGCCTTCAATAGGCATGCCTGCACGATCTCCTTTGTCTTGGCAGAGGCGGCCGACCTCTCAAGCTTCCGATCGCCCCAAAAGCCGCCCCCTCTCTATGGTCGCCGCCGAGAATGCCGCCCGTACCGCCCCGAGCGGCACGGAAGCCGCCGAACCGTCAGTATCACGAGACCAGATTGCGTTAACTCTTGCCGGAAAGGACCCCTCGTGGTTTCGCCAAACTGCAGACCCTGGGCGGGGATCAGGTGCCTTCAGGAAGAATCAAATAGAAGATAAAGACACGGTGGATATGCCTACCCTGCGCACTCAGCTCCCCGGCATGACGCGAGAGTTGGCGCCGGAGCCCCCGAAAACAAGTACAACGGCCCGACCGGTCACGCCCACCAGCCCGTCCAACAAACTCAGCTCCGGATTTCCCTTGGCCGGTACCCCGCGTCTGGACCCGCCAGCCAGCGATGGTGCCCAGGAAGAAGACACGACCGCGAGCCACCGTCAGTCGATTACATCGCCAGGAGGTCGGACATCGCCCACGAGGCCGGTCTCGCCCACCAAGGGCATGGGAGGGTTTGTGCAGAGTGCCATGATGAAGCGGTCTGACAGTGTGAAGCGGTGGAGTGTCAACTCTCCCGCGGGCTTGCAACGAGTCGACTCCGTTCGATCCAATGCAAGCAATCTCGACGGCGCACAGCGGCCCACTACCCCGAAATCCACCACGCGCCCAAAAAGCATGCTTCGAGAATTCTCCGACGTATCCGTGTTTGCTGCAGGCGGGCAGGATGAGAAAGTAGTTGAGCAGCAAGAATCCCCAGCCCTGGATCGGCCATCCACGCCGACCGGGCCAAAGGCAAAAGAGGACACCGAGCAGAAACCGAGTTCACCCGTCAGTCCTTCCAAGACGATGGATACTCGGCGGTGGAGCCCGACAAAGAACTCAAGCTGGCTCGGTGCCGCCTTGAACAAACCCGAGTCTCCGAAAGCGAAGCCTGCCGCACCTGCGCCTGCGCAACCGGCGTGGATGGTCGAGCTGAACAAGACAAAGGCGCAGAAGGCAACCGCTGACTTGGCTCGCACCACCTCCCAGCCTAAGAAGACCGAGGTCAAAACTGGTGGACTTATGAGGTCCACTCCCATGGGTGCAAGCCTGAAGCCTAGCGTGTTAGGTGGCTTTCCCGTCGTGCCCCCGATTTCGACCGCAGACAAACAACCTGTTGATGCTTTTCGCGGGAATCTCCGTCGAGCATCCCCGACGGCTGAGGACCCCAGCGAGTCCCAAGGGGACCCGGCCGCGGTTGCTAAACCTCAGCCGGAAGCCCCTGCAACGAAAGATTTCCGCGCCAACCTCAAGCCCCGGGCTCCTCCACCTGGGCCCAAACCTGAGGGCTCTGCCGATGAGCTGAAGAACGTTGTCGGAAGCCTGCGGCGGACGAAGACCCAGAACTACGTGGCACCGGATGAGTTAAAGGATAATATCCTTCGCGGGAAAGCAGCACTGAATCTTACAGGCGGACCTAAGAAGACGGAGAGGAAGGACGAGTTTAAGGAGGCCATTTTGAAAAAGAAGGACGACTTCAAGAAGGCACAAGAGGAAGGTCGGGGTATAACCCGGGAGCCGAGCTCAGCGAGTGAGAAGAGTGTTCCTGAGGGGATTGCAAAGAAGCTGCAGTTGCAGCGGACGGGGACGTTTTCTAAGCAAACTTCGGCTACTCCTGACTTGCCTCCAGAGAGTCCTGCGGTCTCCCTCTCAAACCGGTCTAGCCATACTTCCACTCGCTCTCGGCATGATATTCCCACCTTGGCATCTCGTGAGGCCACCAGCGAGGCCATCACGAACCCAGCCCCGCCGATCGCGCCCCAGAAAACAGGAGACGCCCCAAGTCTAACGGGAGGTAAAATTGGCGGGTTGGCGAATCGTTTCAACCCAGCGTTGGCCAGTCTCATTGCGAGAGGGCCTCCAGGCGCGGCTGTGGGGCCGAAATCGTCGGCATCGACGCCTGCTTCTGATGCGCAAGGAACAACATCCACCGAGCCCCCCGCGCCGGGGCCGCAGCTGACTCACATGACGAAGAACCGAGCCCGTGGTCCTAAGAGAAAGGCTCCAACTTCTGTCGCGGCGTCCGTTGCGCAGCCCAAGGAAGAACCTGTCCGAGCTGCTGCCGAACCCGAAAGGAAATCAGCCTTCTCGCCCCCGGAGCCAAAGAAGATGACGGCATTCCCACCACTCGACCAGGCCGAGCGTATTCCTTCTCCCAAGATGGAGCAGACACCAGTCTCTGCAAAATCTGAGGCACCCGTGGTTTCTCCTAAGCCGGAGAAATTCACCACCCCCGCTTCTGGGACCATGTCGTTGGCGGAACGCCGGAAGTCGCTGATGCAAAACATAGCGAAGCCTACAAGCGAGGTAATCTCTCTAGTGGATTCATCCCGGCATATGCCTAAGGAGGAGCCGAAGCCTGTTGGGGAGCCTATCGCTATTATTGAGTCTACTCCGGCCCCTATCAAGACCCGTGCTCGTTCGCCAACCAAGGTGCATGAACAAGTAGCTGCTCTGGCTGCTTTGACCGGACAGTCACCCAACCTCGCCGAACCAAGCCCCGAGATTGTTTCCCAGCCGTCGTCGCCCAAGAAGCTGGATATGAAACGGATGTCGAGGTTCATGGATGAAACGGCTCCCGAGAGCCCGGCAGTCGAACCCGTCAAGTCGCGGCCATCTTCTCCCGTCAAAGATCGATCCGACTCCGTTTCGGGGCGCCCCACGTCTCTCGTTCGGGAGCGTACCAAGTCTATTACAGGACGGCCAGTCTCTCTTGCTAGAGAGCGTGCCGAGTCAATTACAGGGCGGCCGATATCGTTGGTTAGGGACCGCGCCGACTCCTTTAGGTCAAGATCGTCGTCCCCAGTCAAGGAACGTTTTCCTGGGCTAGACAAACCCTCCTTGAAGCAACAACAAGGGAATGAGCCAGTCGATTTGAAGCCTGCGCTTCCCGTTAAAACTGGTCCCTCGTCGTTTGGGGGCACCGGCCTGGGACTGACACAGCCGGTCGTAGCCCCCACACCAAATATCCCACAGCCTCAAGAGGCGGAACAACCGCCAGCTCTCCCCCCGAAAACGTCGCGACCGCTCCCGGCACCTCCCCCGGTGACCTCGCCTCCCCCATTGACATCTCCGCGTATCCAATCCCCCACACGGTCGCCGGGCAAACAGGCCGCAGAAGCATCCAGGGATATTGGCGGATTTTTCGGCCCTGATCGGCCCAAGCGCAAGTACACGGCTGATGCGGCCGATATCCTCATGAATCGGCCTGCCTCAACGGCCAGGGTCCAGTCACAGCGCGCTCAGCTTATCCAGCTCACCTCAGAGGGCAAGAAGATCCCTGTGCCATCACACTACGAACGAGTGCTGTTCGAGCGGGAGATGTATCTCTGCCCGCATACATATCTCGATCCAACGGGTAGGAAGGTGAACGAGGTATACTTTTGGGCGGGTGATGAGGTGCCCGAGTCGCAGATCGACGACGCCCACTTATTCGCCGCGCGTGAGGCCCGGGCTCTTGGCGGCAGGCTGGTGAAGCTCACGCAGGGCAAGGAAACGTCCGGATTTCTACAGGCACTGGGCGGTATCATCATTGTCCGCCGGGGCTCAAGTAACAAGTACGATTCACTGGCACCCAATATGCTCTGCGGTCGGCGGTACCTAGGCCAGGTCGCCTTTGACGAGGTCGATTTCTCCCCGCTGAGCCTGTGCTCCGGTTTCCCGTATCTCATCACGCAACAGGGGAAATGCTATCTCTGGAAGGGTAAAGGTAGCGACGTGGAAGAACTGGGATGTGCCCGGCTCGTGGGCATGGATTTGGCGCTCATGGGGGAGTTGCTCGAGGTCGAGGAGGGCAAGGAGTCGGCGAGTTTCTGGCAAATTTTCGGCGGCAGCACACGGCCAAGCTCCGCAGACCACTGGCGGCTCAAGCCGAACTATGACAAATACTGCGGCAGGTTGTTTTGCGCCAGCTCAACCGACAAGCACCAGGTAAATCATCAGTCAACCTTCTTCAACTAAACCCATACCAGCCGCGGCATATACTAACCCGCACCCCTTTTCAGATCACCGAAATCTCCCCATTCTCCCAGAGTGACCTTCACCCTTCGCACATCTACGTCCTCGACGCCTTCTTCGAGCTCTACATCATTGTCGGCGCCCGCTCTCAACACCAGTATGCCGCCTTCCGCAACGCTCTCGATTTCGTTTCAGAATATTCGATCCATGCTGCTACCATGGAGGACCGTCCGTTTATGCCTACCGCGCACGTTGTGCTGGGGGGAATCCCGCGGGATTTGAAGAGTGTGTTCCGGAAGTGGAAGGATGGGAACAGCCCGACGATGATTATGCCTGTTAGCGGTGGGAGTGGAGGTGCCAATGGTAGCGGTAGTGGGACATCAAGTCCGTTGAAGAGGGCGCGGAGTTTGCGGGTCGTGCCGTTGGCGCATGCGTTGCAGGCTTTTGCGGATTGAAGTTGAAGAAAGCGTTGAGGGGAAAAAAGGGAGCAAAGCTCTCTCGTCAGATATGATTGTCAATGGTGTTGGCCGTTGGTACGGCTATTTGTTGGCTTGATGTCGTCATCATATGGGCGCTGTTTTCTGTTACAAGATCGCAAGCATCTTTGTCTTGTTACTACCGTGTAGGCTGCATTGTTGGCGGGGTGTCGGTTGGTTGATTCGTACTGTATTGTATAGGTGGCAGGCAGACTCATTGTAGATGGGCCGTGGTTCGGTCATTGCAGGACTCGCGTCTGCATAGGCGTTGAAAAGGATGAAATTAACCTTTACCTTTAATCATCTTTTAAATCCATGTGAAACGGCATTGTGTGGCAGCTAAGTTTACTTATCCTTCCACTCTTGGCACGATTCATCTTCACAAGCCCCTTCATAGAAAGGTCCATCATAGTTGACAGTGGCCTCTCGATGTTGACTTTTTGAGTTTCAATCAGCTGGCATGGGAGTCCAGCGGGTATCCTAATTCCACAAACGCCAGTTAATGCTCGCCCCGATATATGTCCCCTCAAACCCTACTAACCCCCTAGAACGCCGAAAAGTAACCCAAACCCGTGCGCTCCTCTATCCCCACGGCCGTACCCAACTTCACCGACGAAGGCCGTTAATCTCCAGCCATATCCGTTGTTCCCATCACTATTGCTGTTGCTGTTGCTGTTGTTGCTGCTGCCCCGAAGTCCCTCCCTGCTCCCCAGCCCCAGCCTCCGCGACCCCAACCTCCGTCGTCACCCCCCCAGTAGCCCTCACCACAGCCTCCACATCCTCCCTCAACTCCGGCAACGCCCCCATCATCTCGCGCGCCAGCACGTCCCGAAAATCGCGAAACGCATGTGTCTTCCCCCGCGCCAGCTGGTTCATGCGGCGCACTAGCTCGGCAAACTCGCGCGTGTAGATATCTGGGTTGCGGCCGTTCTCGACGTATTGGATCAGCGGTTCGGGCACGGCGCGGTCGGCGGATTTGGGGGCGGCCGCCGCCGCGTAGGAGGGGTTGGTTTCGGGTGCTGTAGTAGAGGGAGAGGTGCTGGGGGGGAGGGTGGGGAGGCGTTGGGCGTCGCGGTAGAGGGTGAGGAGGCTTGCGTCGAGGGTTTGACTGGGTTTGGTGGGTTAGTTGGGATTTGAAGTGACATGATGGGTAATGGAGAGACGGGGAGGATGGTACATACATGTCTTGGGAGAGAACATCGCGGGTTGGGCGGCCGGCGCCATCATAATTGGAGACCTGGACCATGACCTGGTACAGGTCTTGGATTACGTTCTTGATGTCCTCTATGACAGGGTCAATCGTTGGGTTTTATTGGAAAAATTGGAGCGTTGCAGGCTAATCGGTCATACCTTGGACATTCTGAAGATCGGGATTAATCGGCGCCATGGCTTAGGGCGGGCGCTGCTGTTGTTACTATTCGGAACTTAGAGGCGATGGTAGTTTCGATGTTAGAGATGAAAGAATGGAGGACGGCGAGGCTGTGAGCGAGGATGTTTAGGCGGGAGAACGTGATGTGATTGGTTGAAGCTTGAGTTGGGTGCCCCGCAGTTTTAAGGTTTGGGCCAGCAGCCTTGCTCAACCCTTGTAAATGCACCTGTAAAATGGAATATCGTTTGCCATGAAGTAACCAAATACTATGTATTCCGAAGGGATAAGAATATGAATATCAATCTCCTATTTGTGATATGTACGTCTTGTATATTTTTTCTGCTTGAAATGTTGAATTCAGCCGGGTCTAAACTTTGAGTTCTCTAAACAATACATTACTCCGTATCATACCTTAAATTTAGTTAACATATTTCCTTTTTCAATGAGACTCAACGGACATTCAAGAACCAGGGTGTCATTGCTGGTATCATCACAAATTCCTCATGAATAATGTCTCTGGAAACAAATTCATTAATTTGCATTTAATGCCATACATTTATCAACAACCCCCTTTCTAAAACAGTCACAAGTGTATGTCATAACATTCATCAGACTACCAAATATCGAAACAAAACTCAATACAAACAAACACCCAATCAATCAAGCAATCAACCGCAATCTCCATACTCCGACATGCACGCCCTTCCTCTCTCTCCATCAAACAAAATCAACATGCACACCAGCTGGAATACCTCCAGCGTAAACGCCACAGGTTTGCCCCCGTTTATCCATCTAGGGTCTATGTATGATCCTAGGACACGGAAGGGCAATGCGAACAGTCCAAACTCTGGACGTCATGCAAAACAGAAGGAAGAGAAATAGTTATACAAACCGGCTAGCAAACGGCATACAATGCCAAGCTCTAGAAGGCCAGTCTGCTGATCAATAAAGGCCGGTTAGGCAGCGGAAGAATAAGGGGGCTTGGCCACTAAATGTCAAGCTACAGCGTGGTGTCACCCACAACGCCCGAACACAGCCAAGTATCACCCCATCTCCCTGACTACGATGACAATGATGCAACAGGCACCGTCTATTTCCGCATTTTCGGCCGAGCCAGCATATTCAGCCGGCTCAGACTGATCCCCTTCCTCTTCATCGGGCTCGGCGTGCCCGGCGCAGGTCCCACGCGGCCCGGCACCGCCAGCTTACGCGGACTGGTGAAAGCACCACGCCTGACACTGGCGTTGGGGATGCCACCATTGATCGTGCTGGTCTTGCCAGCCGCAACAAGCCTCGGTGCCAATAGCGCGTCGCCTTCGGGGAGATTCTCCGCGCGTCGCTTCTTCGCCGCACGCTCGGCAGCTTCCTGCTCGGCTTCCTCTTCGTCAGTGCTGACGCGGTGGCGCTTCTTGGTGGACATGCCGTGTGGCAGGGCGCGGAAGACACCAGTGTTGTTGTTGTCGTTGGTATAGCTCGTTCCAGTCTTCTTGACGCTGGTGCTACCGGGGCGGGGGAGCGTGGGGGTTTCGTTCTCCTTATTTGAACCAGCGCCGCTAGCACCGGAACCCGGGGTGGCCGAGTCGGAGAGAGACTCTGTAGCAGACGGTGGGAAGCTACCCGGCATACTGCTAACGCTGACATCGGTCTCGACAGAAGGGGGTACGATCGAAGGGCGCACGGCGCGGACAGAGGTCTGACCAGGGGAGGAGCCAAAGGACCGGGTAGCGGTGGTGTTGAAGCTGATGGTGTGGTCGCTTCGGAAGGTAAAATCGCCCGGGCCCGAGACAGGGAACGCGGGTTTGGCGGAGGTAGTTTTGGCGGATGAGAATGGCGTGGAAAGTTCTGGCTGTAACGGTGGTTGGGGAAGCGGCCGGCGCGCCGATAGGTTGGGGTAGGAAACGCCGTCTGAATCTGTGGTCGCTGTCGACCCCGTAGTCTCGGCTAAGACGCCTTCAAGGGAAGGATAATGGATCTCACGTTGGGGCTGAGAGCCGCCGACGCGGAGGATAGATTTGATGGGAGATGGTGAGTTTTGGGCCAGAACTGTGCGCTGGGTGGTGTCGGGGGTGAAAGCGACACGTTTGATTGCTTTACGACCAGGTGTGGTCATGGGGGCAGTGAAAGTCGGGCGCTCCTGGCGAGCGGGCGCTGGGGTCTGAGAAGTGACGGCCGAAGGGACTGGTAGAGCACTCTTCGGCTTGGTCGTGCTCGCTTTCGTGTTGCGCAACATGGCTTTAACTCTATCGAATCGGCTAGCAGGTGTCTTAGCCTCAGCCTCGGCCTCGGGCTCCTTGTCGGTTGCGGGGTGGGAAATAGGGAGGCTGTTGGTAGTAGCAGACCGCGGAATGCCGCTGGGTGTGGCCTTGGACGGCGACTTGACGCTGGTTGTCCGAGCTAACGAGGACTTGGTCGGCGTCATGGTAGACGCGAGGTTCGATTTCGACCGGGGGATACCGAGTCCTCCCGACCTGGGCGCCGGAATGGAGCTCCCGTCACGAGATGTGGGGCCCTTGCTCGATGCGTCATCATCCACCTTCTGTCGCGCACGCTTGGCGGTTGTGCTAGGCTCTTTAATAGTTGCGCTGCGGGCAGGAGTGGGCGCTTTGGAAGAGGCGACCTCGTCCACCTCGTCAAGATCCGCATTCGACCGCTTAACGCCCGCCTTGAGTGGCGTAGTCCGCCCCTGCTGGGCCCGAAAAGCGGAAGGATGGTTGGCAATTGAATCCATCTTCTTGAACTCAGCCATATGCGCAGCACTAAACCGGCTGGCCTTGCCTTTGGCCAGGGCAATCTTGCGGCCGCCGACACCGTCAAGACCCGCATTCGCGTCCGCCTGCTCTGCGTCACGCTTAGCCCTCAGTTCCTCGCGAATCTTGGCTGCGTCACCACGAAGCTGCTCCATCATGCGCTGAGCCTCTGGGCCCAGCCCCATATCCGAGTTGGGCGTGTCGCGCGTCATGCGGAACGTAAACGGCGATGAAGGGACCGTGACGCGCGAAGGCGTCGTTTGGGTTGCTGCGATGATGCCGTTGCCATCGCGGCTGGTCGTAGGTTTGATGTCGGTGAAACCGAGGCGCAGTCCAGACGAAGGAGGTCCCATTGTTGGGCGCACCTTGCTCGGATGCATTTCCGACATGGGCGGCTTGATGGGAGATGAACCGCCGGGGGTCTTAGGTCCGAGGGCAGGAGATGAAGGAACGGGATCGCGGCTGTTGCCAACAGGTTTTGGCTCTGGCTCGGGCGCGGGCGCGGGCGCCGCCTTGGTTGGACTGTCATCGTGCTCGGCGACGGATGATAGAGGAGGGGATTCAGTGGCCGGTTTTGGCGCCTATGAATTGGATACTCTGGTCAGCACACAATAATTTGTGATGATATCTTGATCGATCCCCGACCGTTAGCGGTCTCGATGGGACAAAGCAGGTTTGTTTACCTTGGTCAGGCTGGCCAAGCGCGCGGAACGGCGGGCCATTTTGAATCGAGCAATCTGGTGATAGCAGAAAGATTCTTTAATTTGACACGCCGACAACCTGACTTCTTAGCAATGCCTCAATGTGTATTTTGACGAGGATTACGAATTGGTCGTGTGTGTCGGATCGCCGCGTGGAAAATGCGTTGCGAAAAGTTGAGTGGGGAGACGTGTGATTCGCTCGCGGTGACGGTAAGTAAACAAACGTCAGGACTGACGTGAGTGGACCCATAAAAAGTACTGTGCGCATCTGCAATGCACTGTGACGCTGCTCCGGCTCCCAAGTGTTTCTTCACGGTTCCTGAACTTATTACGACTTCGAGATCTCAACACTACCTACCATGTACATCATACGCGTAGGTACTAAGAGTTTACTTCGGAGGCACAGCAACTGGGGCCTAGAAGACAGCGTTCAAGAAAGATGACGTCGAAATCTTTTCCAACGCCGCATCGAAGAGAGCTAAACGGTGCGCTCATAGCGTCGGAGTATCGGAACCCTTCAAGAACTTCATGACGCTGCGAACCTAGTCTGTGTTTCGTGAAGAATTGGAGACTGGGGATCCTTCTGCATAGTGTAGTACGCTCGGGGGTTCAATTCCGCCGATAGAGAAACAAAATGATCAACGCCATACACACGGGGCGGGGGGTTGATACAAACAGACAAGGCATTCAACAAGCTTCAGCTGAGGAACAAGATGTTGACCTGCCATTGGAGATGTGCCCTTGAACTGCACCCGGGTTAACGAGTTGGGCTTGGGTTGGAATGGCAAAGGGCTTCAACAGAATTGCCATGCCGCCAGATCCATATCGAAGTCACAAGTGGCTGGCTCAAGATCTCCGCCTCGATGGCAACATTCAGCTGGGGTTTCAAGACCTGGCTCAATGCCTCAGCATGACGGTTCCTTGTGTCGGACAAAATCAACTCCCAACCTGAAAGAAACATTGTGATGGTCCGATCTTGCGTCGCCGAGCTTGCGCGTTTTGGATGAGCCAAGATTCTTGGAACCTGAAAGCAGCGGCAACCATTGGAGCTTCTCATGAGGTCTCAAAAATGCGGCATTTCTTGTCCGTCTCAAATCTTCAGATCTTTGGTTCCCAAGGAAATGCTTATTTCCAAAAGTCCGAGATAGACAGAGTTACGATGTCCTCGGAGATGCAACTCTCGCAACAATAGTGTCGTGGCTGATGTCCAGGGTTCCTCCTGTGAACGATGGAGCGAGGCTGAGCTGGCCCCTTGGGCGAGTGAGACATGCTGGGATGAGCGAAAGCCGCTCCCTCAGCTCGTTGAACAGCAAGAGCCAATAATTTGGACATCCCAAAGTTGCCCACGGCAAAATTTCACCGCAACAGCGCGTTCACGTACCCGCCTCGTCTCCTTGCAGGATCCTCGTGTCAAACGTTCCACTAGCCAACCACGGGCGCCATCTGAATCCGAAAAGGGGGTTTGTGAATTGTCATGGGGAAAGCTCGCAAGCAATCGCTTCATCTCCACTCCACCTTGCAGGCTCCTACGCGGGGGTTAAGACTTCATGGAAACTCTCCATGCGGTGCACATGGTAGTTGCAGAGTAAGGGGATTGGAAGCACTGAAGGACCCTTCGAACCTCAACTTTTCTGTTGTACCCAATCATTTGCTTTCTTACACGGCACAAGCTTCATCCTCCCGCCATATCCCAGCGTGCCCATGAACCCCTCGGTGTGATGCCCCGCACTGACGCACCTGGGGATTGTTGCGGTTTTGGGCTAGGAAAACTCTGTTGGTGGTTGTGGGACGGGGGTCAGCCAAGAACTTGTGTGTTTTCGTGCAGTGTCGCGAGCAGTTGGCCTCGACCAAGCCTTTCTCAGAAAAGGGGGTTCTGCGGGAATTCCGGGAGGGCGTGACCTGCATCCCCGTCCCCGGCTTGCCGTTTTGATCCCGTTGCTCGCTGGAGCGTGTGAAACTCATGCCCCATTCCGCCTTGGTGCGATGCGTGGCACGGAGATGCGGGGCACGACCTTGACTTCCTTGGCAAAACGCCAAGTCTCGAAGCCATCTCTTGGAACTTCTGATGATGGTCACCTGAGCATCGGCGACAAGTTGCAACCAAGGGAACTCATCCCAGCGGCGGTGCTCGTTGGGGAAGGGACATGTTGTCCATGGGATTTGACCCCGATGTCGGCTGGATTGCGCATTCTTTCGAGAGGTCCCGGCCACAACCTCACTTGGGGTTTGCACTTGATGCTTTCATTGTTGTCCTTCGGCGGTCTCGTACTTTTGTCCCTCCCTAAAGTAATCTTACAAGTTGAGGTAGTTGGCAACATATCTTATGGCTGTTATGGCTGGGACAGGCCTGTCTGCTCTGCCTGTGAGCGACGTGTGAGAGCCTTGTCGAATTTCGCGTTGACCTGACGATGGACTGTTGGCAGTGACCATTCTTCTTGCCCTTGAGCCCTAGGAGGGGCGCGGACAGGGGCGATTTCTTCAACCGGTTCGTTTTAACGGGACGTCCAGAGTGAAGAAATGGGAAACGCGGAGACTGCGTTTGCCACAACTGAGAGGGCCGGGAGGGCTCATTCTTGCTAAAGGCTTCTAGTTGTTGTCCAAGCAAACAATGCGGGCTGACACACAGCGTTTCGAAGTCAATGGCCGAGTCATCGTTTTGATTTTTAGGCCGAGGATCTAACCCGAAGTGAAGCGGTTGCATCCAGATCCCCGTGCAGCGTGGAAGTGGCTGATCCGATACTATGCTGCTGAAGCCGCGTTTTTGAACAATCTACAGTACGTGCAACGAAACGTGGCTCTTGAACCGTCGTCGTCCTCGGCTGGCGGGCCCCGATGCTGCAGCACAGATCCGACCCACTCTCCGGCACTCGGGGGGATGTCGGGGACGGCTCCACGACCGGCTCCCGGGGATCCCAGTCATCGTCATAACTAAGTTATTGACAACGCTACTGTGGTTCCGTCGCTACGCAGGTGGGAAGCAACTTACGCCCGCGAACAAAGACGTTGAAATATTTAGTTAATGAAGCGCGGAGAGTGAACGATAGGAGCATCTGGCTGTTTTCGGGGGTGGTTTGCTGCGACTATTGCCTCTCCACCTTGACCGGGAACCAATGATCCCCGTCTCATCCTGTACGCTGGCCATGGGCCGCGCTGAGTTTGCGGCTGTTGAACATCAGAACCGTGGCCGTTGGAAATCGAAAGAGTGGGCTCGATGTTTTGAAGCGCCCCATGCTCTCATTCGTTCCTTCTTGTCGTTCGCATTTTGATGGTTGTGTCTGTTGGGGGAAAGAGCAACGGTGGGCCAACCGTTCACTTCCCGCCTCCGAACTCGCATCCGCCACTCAAACATCGGCGGGTTTGTGTGTTCATGCAGAACAGACGCATTCCTCGATGGCCACAGCGCACCATCGCGGGCGATGAAGGAAGGAGCGTTCGTGCTTCCATCGGCGAATTCCTGGCTTGTACGGAGTAAGATTAGTACTTTGTGTTTCTTACCAACGTATTCATTGTTCGCCTTGTCCTTGTCATAGTTATCTGCAGGGAGACAAGAAATGAGGGAAGGGACAAGCTTGTAGCCCCCTCTCCCGGAGGCGGCCCTCGATCCAAAACTCTCAAGCCGGAGCCGGCCGACTCGAGCTTGACTGGCACATTTCCAGGGGAACGGAACCGTGTTTCTGGTCCATGAGCAGTGTGCATCTCCCACAAATCCCAACGAATAAGCGCTTCCCGAACCCGGGCCCCGCGAGCCGCGTTTCTTCACCCTGTTGAGCCAGTCGACACCAACTCGAAAAATTTCGTGGCTGCAGGTTGACTGGATTGGCGTGTTCGTCCACTCGCTCCGCGCACGACAAGTGGACATCAACTTTGGTCACCTGTCTCCATCTGGTTCGAGTGAGTGGAGACCAAGTAGTCGGCTTCGATCACAACTGAATAGAAGCAGCGGCGAGTCGAAAATCGAAGTCCTCGCTCTCGCAGTGGCCGACTGTCGGGCGTGGCGTTGGACAGCACCCAACTGAGGCTCCGGTCAACCGATCGTGATTCGGGTGGACAGAAACTAGGACATTTCAAGTCCTCGAAAAGCTTGGGTGACACAATTGGTGCGGGTGGGAAAGCCCCAATTTCTGAGGCGAGGATCTGGCCCCGAGGAGAAGGATCCAGGTGACCTGGTTCAGCCCAGAAACAGAGCCGGGGGTGAGGTGGCAGCACCTGGCTATTTGTTCTTCTGCGGACCCCAGGGCCAGCGGCGGTCTGCGGGCCCCTCCCACTTCAGGCGGCATTCGCATTACATAAAACCCTCCGGTTTTTCCTTTTCTTGACACATCCTCGACCTGTCAATGACCTTCCGCTTATCTCTGACCCTCCCGGCGTCACCCTCGACAATCTGGTTTTGACACACAGAATCCGGGGAACCTCGATCCTCCAACCTTACCTTATCACCGGTACTGATCACAGACCCAGTCCCAGACTACCGGATCTCGCAACCGCAAACACCTTTCCCAGATGACGCATTGATTGGTGCTCTTTTGCCCGTCTTGCGGTTAAGCATCCTGGGCGGTGCGTGTGTGCCTTCGGACATTTTTCTGCCGTTGTGTGGGAGACAGCAAACAGTGGCAGCGGGCAGCAGGAAGCTAGAAGGCAGTTGCAGCACCCAAACAGAGGCACTGCATTACTGTGTCTTTGCCCCGCACAAAGCGTGAACGCCCACCGTGGCCTAAGTCGCACAGAGCACGGCGGCCGTTAGGAGATAGTTGTTGGCAAAGTTTTTAGAAGTCTCCTGCGCAGCAGCACCCCCTGACCCCCGAAAGGAGGCTTGAAAGGGTGTTCTTGGATTTCTCTCTTCCCATCTCGTCCTTCCCCTCCGCGGCTTAGGATATGTCCGATAAGATGTCCGTGGACAAAAAGGATCCGTCCAAAGACGACAGCGAAGAGTCAATGGAGTCAAGCCCAGAGGGGGAAGTCCCCTCCGCACCCCCGCAGCAACAAGCCGAAAGTCAACAACCAAAACGAAAAGGGGGCCGCAAACCGGTACGTTAACAAGAGTGACCGCACGCAATGTACTTCACCTTCACCTCACCTCACCTTCACCTCGCCGCATTCCACATTACCTTGGTAGCCTTTGGGCACATATCAAGGGTTCTGTCCCCTCTACCTTGTGCACCTGCCCGGTGCTATATGAGCTGTGAGCTTTTGGTAGGAATGAGTCAATGCTAACTCTGCTGGAAGATATATGCGACGTCCGAGGAAAGGAAGCAAAGGAACCGCCAAGCTCAAGCTGCGTTCCGAGAGCGCCGAACCGAGTACATTAAACAACTCGAGGAGGCCATCCGAACTCACGAGCAAAACCTAGCAAATCTCCAAGCTGCTCATCGCCATGCCGCCGACGAATGCCTCATGCTGCGGTACAAGAACTCGTTACTGGAACGCATTCTCTTAGAGAAAGGTACGTCGCAGTCCACAGTCTTGTTCCGTTGCGCTTATTGGAACCAACCCCTGCATCTTTGCTCTGCCTGTTGCTAACATGAACTTCCATAGGCATCGACGTCCAGGCTGAGCTGCGCGCCAAAACTGGAAGTCCAAATCTAGGCCCAACCCATGTACCTCAAAACCTAGTGCAGCCGCCGCCTATTCAACGTGCTATCTTGAATAGGCACCATGCCCGCAGGTCAACCTCTGGTGTTGCGCCGAAATTGGAACCCGGCATTCCCGTATCTCCACTGCCTCCTCCAATGCATGCACATGCCTCAGCTCTCTCACCCAAAAATCGACATACCCCGTCATCGCACTCAGCCTCGCCGACCGGCACTGCGACGTTTGGCTCCCAGCAAGGGGCTTCCCCGGCAGCCTCCGAAAGCTTGAACGGGGCGGTCCGGCCCGCGATGCCACCCATTGCGGCGATGAAGGGAGCAGCACCTCAATTGGCCCCCCTTCACGGCCTGCCAGGACCCCGGCAAATGCAAGTCCCAAACCTTCAGCAACAAGCGGCCAACCAGGCACGGGGTGCTGCCGTGGGCCCTGCGGGAACGGCAGCCCCGTTCTATCCCACTCCTTCTTTCCAGAATCACATCGAGCAGCTAGGTGAGCTAACTCATACCCTTCCCCATCCGCCTCGTCTCATTCTACATTCTAACTTGTCATACAGAGCAAGAATATGACGCCGCCGCCGACATGATGGATGACCCAGAGGCTCCGGATACCCCAAGCGGGCCTGGACCCTATCCTGGTGCTTCTTATACCAGCGATCCTCAGCCGATGTCGCTTTCATCGCCGGTCACGTCGGCGCCACCCGGTGGCCAACCTATTACCGGGCAGCCACCGATCGAGAATACGGGCCATACTCAGAATTCCGCGTTCCCTTCGATGACGCAGCTTTTGGACCCGAACTACGACTTTGACCCCTTTGGCCTGAGTGCCAGCATGGCTTTCCCCACCCAGTTCTCGTTCGATACGAGCAACATGCGGTGAGGAGGCGGCGGGCGGGCCTAATAAATACATGGCGCTTGCTCCTGACAGTAACCACCATTTCATCGAGAGAGCTCATCAAAGCTCATCAAAACGGCTCTATGTGCGTTTCGACCTCGAACTCACCCGGACAAACACCAGTTATCGGTCACCTCCCACCCACTTCGCTTCTCTTTCCAGCAACAAAATAAGGGAATATGGACAAAAAAGTTTTCTTAGAGATACCCTCAAGCGACTTGTCTTGTACAGCAAGGTCGGTTCTACAAAAGCAAGAGGGGGATACAGATGCTTTGCCTCCTTCGTTTATCTACGGCCCATGATGGCCAACAAAAAGCTTGGTTTTTCTTTTCTACCCACATGCACCCCTCCCGACATACTCGTACCAAAAACAACATAATACCCGGTTTTGGGGTTGGCGTGTAGGATTTTGCAAATGTTTATCTTCCCGGCGTTGTGCTAGGGACACGGTTACGGCTCGACAAAAGTTTTTGCTTTCTTAACAACCGCGCGCTGGATGCATGTTGGATGGGTAGTTTGGGAGAGAAGAGGAGGGAGGTTCAAGGTTGAGGAGTTTGGGCGCAAGAAAACACGAGCGGCGACGGTCGCCGCCACCTTCCCACACGGAATTCACACGGCGGCTCCCTCGAAAAAAAGAGGCGGTATCTTTCGATCGGCGAGCACCGTTTTGAGTAGCTCACCATCTCCAAGCTCGCGGCGTATGACCCTCCTCGACCCCGGTCGGCTCTGAGGCTTACCACGGTCTTGATAACCATGATCTGGCTACTAAATTGACAGATGGGATCGAACCGGAACCTATAGCGGACTTCTCAATCTCGCGCAATTTACTATCACATGCACGCCTCTCGTTGCTTCGTTCTTTGTGGTTTTTTGCTCGAAACTATTTATTCCACAATACGTGAGAGATACCCCTCTGTTATGTCTCATTGCTGTTTTGAAGGCCATGCATGGGCTTATGTTTTCTGCTGTCTTAGGTAAATCGAAGAGGTACGTGAAAAAACAGATACCTGTATGTGTTTATGGTTCCCCCCCTTCATTGCTTCAACCAACAGAGGGACCGATGGCATCAGCCATCTAATTATCAGTGTAAGCTGTTTTACGGCTGGTACATATTTCGTTTCTTTGTTATTAGTTTCCTTCCCGTTGACCGGGGAAGTATTATCATACGCCTTCGTGACGCAACGTCTTTTGCCTGCTTCACCTTTCCGTCAAGCGTCCCTTCAACAAATTTTACGCATTTCATAGATCACCAACAAGACAACCTAAGTCCGTCGGAGTTCCTTTCACTTGTTGGGGGGGTTTCTAGCTGCGACATATGTAGATCATAAGAGGACCATTCGTCCGCCAATTGAGAGTGAAGTTATTGGTCATCTTTGGGCCATTGTATGTACGAGGTCATATGTATTGACGAAGAATTACGAAAACATACTACTACGTATGGTAAAACCATCATATCGCTGTCATCAACAACTCAATTGACCATGGAATTATACGAAGTACCTATGTCATAGCTCGGACGGCGTTTGCCAGTCCGTGCGTTACGAACGCTTGACCCCTCACTTCTATGCGTGTCGCAATGCAACGGTGCTTGCCGAATTGACCCAAAGCCCTAACAACAAGAGCCCCGCGCACTGAATTTTCGAAAAGGAAAAACGTCGGCTCGCGCTTCCGGACTGTGGTGGTGGGGCAGCAGGTGATCCGTGCAGCCAACTTTCCCGGTGATTTTGGCCAAGCCAAGAGACGGAGGCTCCAATTCTTTTCCCGTCCCTTCACGACCCCCCCTAGCAGGCCAGGCGAGGGAGATAGAAAATTCCGTCGTGGAGACCACCCTCCAGAAGTCAAAGAGACGCACTGAACCAGGGCTCGTCCTGTGAGGTGCTCGTTTCAACCCACCGATTCTCCCCCCTCCCAATTCACTCCGTTAGGAGCTTGTGGTTTTCTTCATTTTATACGCCTTGAAAGGCGATAAACCACGGCGGCAAGATGTCTGTCGCTACTAAGGTATGCGCTTTTCTTTTTCGAGCTTTTGCTAAGGCGGGGAGGGAGCTCTCTGGTCTCGATTCATTGAGTCGTTGGGCTGCGGGCCTTCCTGCCCTGGGCCAATCGCGCATCCATCATCACTTGGATAGCTGCCCGCAGCTTGAGGTTTGCGACGTCGAGCACTTTGATACTGACCTCTGGATCCTATTCGCAGAACCTCTTCGACCTCCTCGGTTAGTTTGATCCTTGCTTCGTCGCCGACTGAGGAAACCGCTCTTCTTCCCAATCCCCAACCCCCCCGCGCGCTCGGATGCGATCATCACGGAACACCCAGCACCACTACTACCACCGCACTTCTAGCAGCCATTAACTTCTCTAACACCCAACCACAGGTAACGACATCGAGGGAGATGAGCCCCCGCGCCCCCCTCTTCAGCCCGTCAACAAGACATCCACCCACACGGCCAAGCGCAACACCGATGGCTTACCTCCTTCCAAGGGCCCGGTAGCCACTGGTAACCGTCGGGGTGGTTCCAAGGTGGGCGGCAACGAGGCTGGTTCGTAACGCCCTTTTCCATCTATCCTAAGTGTTTGGACTGTTGTGTTCTTTAGGCTGACGGTGGAAGTAGCTTTCCGCGACCCCACCGCTGGCCGTGACTTCAACCGTGGTAAGTCCACGGATGAGGCTCCTCGTGGCGGCCGCCGTGGCGGCTTCCGTGGTGGTAAGTTACAGCAACTCCTTTCATGATATCCCTCGTCTCAAACAAAGGAATGGCAGAACTGACGTGACCTCGTAGGCCGTGGTGGCAGGCGTGAGGACGGTGACCGTCACCAGTCCCGCAGCGCTATCCAGTAAGCTTGATATCATATTTCATCCCACATTCTTCTCAGCCGGCTATCGAAAGTTTGTTAACACCCACCGTAGCAGCAACTCGGAGAAGCAGGCTGCCCAGTCTTGGGGTGCCAACGAGGGCGAGGCCGAGCTGAAGGACGAGGAGGCCGGCGCTGAGATTGCCCAGACCGAGCAGAAGGCCGAGGGCGAGGGTGCTGCTGAGGGCGAAGTCAGCGAGGAGCCCGAGGAGAAGCATTACACCTACGACCAGTACCTTGCCCAGGTCGCCGAGAAGAAGGCTGCCCTTGCGGCCGAGCTCCAGGTCCGCGAGCCCAACGAGGGCGTGAAGGACGACAAGTGGAAGGATTTCGCCGTTATCAAGAAGGACGACGATGAGGAGCTTTTCCCCGGCTCCGGCGGCAAGTCCAAGCGTGAGCGTGAGCGCAAGGTCAAGAACTACATCGACATCGACCCCCGCTTCCAGGAGCCTGAGCGCACTAGGGGTGGCCGTGGCGGTCGCGGTGGTGCTCCCCGCGGTGACGGTGGCCGTGGCCGTGGTGACGGTACCCGTGGCCGTGGCCGCGGTGCTCCCCGCGGTGAGTTCCGTGGTGCCCCCCGTGGTGGTGAGTTCCGTGGTGGCCGCGGCGGTCGCCAGGAGAACAAGCCCATCAACACCGACGATGAAGCTGCGTTCCCCAGCCTGGGTAGTTAAATGACCCGTCGTCAACGGCACGGACTCCGCAAGGGAAATCGCCCAGATACCTGGTGCGACTCATCTTTCCCTACTTTGAGTTTTTGCGGAGCCGATTTGGGCAATGGGAGGAATGCGGGATGATGAGATGGGAAAATCTGCATGTGTGCATTGTTGGCCCATGGGGACCACCGCAATAGGTCGGTTATCTTGGGGTGGTTATGCCTAGCCGCCCATCGTCACTGCTCTCCAATGATGAGGGGTGAGCAAAATGGCTCTTTGACAAACAAAAAATTTTCTGCCCAACCAAAAACAACGAATGTTTCTTTACTTTTTCGAGCAGGGATCTTGTGACGGTGCTTGTGTCTTTTCCCTCCGACTTATGACCCCCCGTGACCCCGAAGCGTACAATTAGGTGGGTCTAATGCGAATAGGCGTCTTGTTGTAGTTCCAAGGTTTGGTGTTGGACGGGGGCAAAGGTGGTACATACAATCAGGGGTTATCCTACCTAGCAACATCTAAGCTGCGAGTCCCTTGCTTTCGTTCAGCTCAACCCCTTAGTCACACTGCTCGTCAATGATACTCAAGAGGAGAGTTAAGTCATAACTTCTAGGATAATGTTCTGAGGCGTCCATTAAAATGGGGAACAACGAAAGCTGCAGGGTGTGTTCGGCTCCGTCAGGATATCGCTGACTCCATAAGAAAGGATGCCATGGTATTTTTTACAGACAACAATCACACGAGCATGACGGGCCAACGCAATATCCCACCTAGCCAAAGACCAGGCTGAATTATGTCTTTCTGAACCGAGAAAATAATGTCCATTTATTTCAAAAGCATCCCAACGCCATGTTTTTCCCTACAGGATTACGCAAGAAGGGGCCGCCTCCTCGCCTGAGCCGTCCGCCCAATATCAATAGCAACACTAGCTACCAACAGCACAGCGTTGAAGACAGCCATCAAGTAGAATGGTGCCCCCCTGGACCACGTATCGAACAAATACCCTCCCAATTTCGTGAGCAACAAGATAGCCGCGCCCCCAAACCACGAATACACACCGGCGACCGACCCTTTCAGTCGTACCCTCGATACCGTATCCTCCGGCAGCACCGTTGGATTCTCTAGCAGTGGCGCCGTATCGCTCGGCCCGTCTGCCGTCTCAACGAGTGTTTCTTGATCTCCGTCAGGTCTGGTCAAGACATTCACCACCTCTACTTTTAGTACACCTCTTCCTAGTGATCCCAGGCTGCACACGATGGCACCGATCTGGCTGATTCCCATGAGTGCAGCGAGAAAGAACACCACGGGGCTGCCACCGCGCCCTTGGACGTTCTTGAACTCGGGGCTCTCCAGCATCGGAAATGCAACAAAACCGGCGATACCCACGATCGTGGATACCATGATCGGCCAGTTCCAGCTGCGTTTCCCTTCTCTTCCATGTACCCCGCTGTTACTGCTACCACTGCTCCTCCCAGCTTTGCTGGACAAGTAACCAAATAGTGGAGCACAAATAAGCCCGACGAGCTGTGCCACGCCGGTGAGAATGGAGGCGAGGACGTAGGCTTGCCGGCATTCCTTCTTAAGCTCCGGAGACGGATCCGTCGGCGAGCCTTGGCAGAATCCGAGGCCAAAGAAGTAGGTGTTGACGAAGAGTGGGAGGAAGAGGGAGATGGCGACGGTGGAGGCACGCGCGACGAAGCCACCGAGGTAGCCGAGGAGGATGTCGGCATCGGTGAAGGCGAGGTGTAGCGCGCGGTAAAGTAGGTGATGGTAGGGGAGAGGTTTCTAGAGACGGAGATAAGTTAGTGCTCGCGTCCGCGGGAGGGGGGGAGGAAGGGCAGTATTGCGTACGGTTTTGTGGGAGTTGGAACCAGAATCGGAGGGTCCGCTGCCTTGTGCTGTCGAGCTTTTCAGACCAAGGAGCATGCGGAACCCTTTACCTTCTTCGCCTCGGAGACCCCTTAGACCAACAAAGACAAAGACAGCAACAAGGAAGGAGATGGCCCCCACGACGTAGAAGCTGTATTTCAGAGCATCCGCTAGCGTAACACCGTCAATTCGCCCAAAACGGGCGGGGAGCGGGAGAAACAGGGCCAGAGCAACCAGCGCACCACAGCCGGTAAAGAGACCGACGTAGCCGGCGAGGGCCGAAGGTTTCCCTGTGTCATCGGAGCACCTTGGTCGCGCCGCGCCGGTTCCGGAAGCATCAGTGTTGCTATCGGGTCGGAAGCGTTCGGGGGTAATGGTCGCTTCGGAGTCGACGGATAGCGCAATGCTTGGCCTGCCGTTGGCAGAAGAGGAATCGGGTGTGGCTTCTGCCGTCGGGCCGGTTTCGTCGGTCAAGGAGGGAAGGATGGCTGTTACCATCGTGGCTCTGCAAGAGAACTCGGACATCAGCATGTGCCCAGAGCCTAATATGCACCACCATCCAACACTTACGAAGCAGTTGCACCCAGGGCAAAAAGGATTCTGGCCAACAACAGTTGTGGATACACATTGCCCGCCTGCACGAAGAGAAAGAGGGATAACCCAATGACGGTATATCCAGCTACAGCAACATATCGCACGCCGCTCCGGTCCGAAACTAGCCCCCAGATGGGACAGGCGACGAGAGCCACGATCTCGTCCACGAAGCCCAGGGTGCCCACAATGTCGCCAACGCCATCTTTGATGCCGATTAGGTCTGTGATAACAAACGAGACGCTGCTGTTGAGAAAGACGAGGAACGAGATGCTGAACAGCGAGATACCAAGTAGGTACGTAATTCCTTGGAGGGGTGTTGTCGATGTTGAGAAGGGTAGCCGTCGCAGCAGCGCCCCGGTGACGGTCATCGTGTGAGGGTGTACGGAGGAAGACCAATTGTAATTGCTCTTCGTCAATTCATATATTAGGTGTTCTGGTTTCCATTGGAACCGTCGCGTTCCACGACGCGGCTTGAGATGGCTTGGATTCTGCAAGCTAGAAATTGGACGAAAGAGACTCGAGGCGGAAGACCTGGGTCACGCAAGTCCATCCGTTTGCGGATTGTTCGGCGCGGAATGTTGAGCTTCCAAGAGCTTTCCATCCGGCTGTCAGCGGGGCTAGTTACTGGTGCGTGTCCGGCCCCCCCGACGCCCCCCTGTCAGCGGCCGGCCCAGCGCGGCTGGAAGCGCCAGTGCCCCGCATCCGCTATCAGGACCCCTGGCTCGGTCCACCGAAGCCGGAGTCATTTTTCAGGGTCGCCCGCCGTTGAAACTCGACACCAAAAGTTTGATCACTGGCTTTTGGTTTCAACACTACATCGTTTGGCGTAGTTGCGGGAATTTAGCGGCTTGAGGCGGGGAAATTGGCAGTTGGCGACCCGAGGCGCACTGTTTTTACATTCTTTCCCTTTGTTTCAAGCGGTTGTAGCGCACCTTTGTTTCCCACACTGCAACCGCGTTGTCACTCACTTTTGCGCCCAACCAAACCTGCCTCTTTATCTCCCAAGTACAAAACTACCAGCATGTCTGCTTCTCTCCCAGGGCATCGGGCACTCCCCGAGTCACAATATGATCTCAGCACGTACTGGGGGCGGGTTCAACATACGGCCGGCATTACGGATCCGAGGTGAGAATGCTTGATGGGCGTAGGAAGGGGGGTTGATCTTGGTGATGGATGGCGGGGGGCTTGGAATGGGTACGCACCAGGCCTCGTTCTGCAATAACTGGCGGCAGGAAAAAACGTACCTTCCGAAGAGCGGAGCGCTGACAATTTTGTGTGGGATAGCACCCTCTTCGTTGGAAGTTCCGGACTCGAGCAGGCCAAGAATCTCCTGGTCTCGTACAAGCAGGGCCAGATCCCGTCCATGAACCCCGAGCTATGGCGGGCCAAGAAGATTGTCGACTCGACGCTGCACCCAGACACCGGGGAGCCGGTGTTTTTGCCCTTCCGCATGTCATGTTTCGTGCTCTCCAATTTGGTCGTCACGGCGGGCATGTTGACCCCAGGCCTTGGTGTACGAAGTCCCCCATGGCAGCCTCCTTTTTAAAGACCTTACCTAACCGTTTTTCGTCTCACAGAACCGCGGCACGATTGCATGGCAAGTCGCCAACCAGTCCCTCAACGTAGCCATCAACTACTCCAACTCCAACAAGTCGTCGCCGCTGTCCTGGTCCAAGATCGCCCAGTCTTACTTCCTCGCCGTCACCGCGTCTTGCTCCGTCGCCGTCGGCCTCAACAGCCTGGTCCCACGCCTCAAGAGCCTCTCGCCTTCTACCCGCCTCATCCTGACCCGTTTGGTCCCCTTCGCCGCGGTCGCCAGCGCCGGTGCACTAAATGTCTTCCTCATGCGCGGCGAGGAGATGCGCACCGGAATCGACGTCTTCCCGGCCAAGCCCAAGGTGACGACCGCCAACAGCGCAGCGAAGCCGAGCCCCGCCGTGGCCGTAGCCGTCGAGGAGAAGACTCCAGTGGATGAAGAGAACAATTCGGAGAGCCTTGGCAAGAGCAAGAAGGCGGCGACACTCGCGGTGGCCGAGACGGCGGCCAGCCGGGTTTTCAACAGCTCGCCGATCATGGTGATCCCGCCGCTGATACTCGTGCGCTTGCAGCGCGCCGCTTGGCTCAAGAAGAACCCGCGCTGGACGACGCCCGTCAACTTGGGGTTGATACTTGCCACGAGTTTTGTCGCGCTGCCTCTGGCGCTGGCCGCGTTCCCGCAGCGTCAGCGGCTCAGGGCGGAGAGCCTTGAGAAGGAGTTCCATGGGCGCGGAGGAGAGGGGGGTTTGGTGGAGTTCAACAGAGGTATTTAAGCTCTTGTCATCTCTCCATTTCCTCTGTCGTTTCACGATGCCGTTGGTTAGGCTAGTGCGTGACCGGGACCTCAGAAGGAGCTTGGGGGATTGGAAGATGTGATCTGGAGCCTTTGTTCAGGGGCTGCAACGGGGGACGGCTTGTAAAAGGGGCCCATGCTGGCATCCGCTAGGGCCTGCATGAAACGGTGTTGCATGGCGTTGGCTTCCGCGTGCTGTAAAGCGGACTGCAGAACATGCTGCATGGCATATCGCCTGGCGTTTGATTTAAAGGGGGGCGGTATCTGGGAATTTCTACTTTCTGTGTTGTTTGGACTGGGTATGAAAAAAAGCACCGATGTCATCTTCATTTTCTCCCAAGATAAAAAGTGAGGGAAAATACATACGGTTTGTCCTTCCCAGTCGCCCCGTTTCAAATGTTAATAAACCTAGCGCGTCACGTCGCGTCGCGTCCTGTGAGAGATCAGCGGCGCAAGCACAAGCTGGAATGCTGTCTCATCTCGCTCCACAGTAGGAGATGTCCCTCGTGTCGCCTAAAAATGGAATGCTTCTGGTGAGACTAAGCCCCCAGGACCACCATTCCACCTCCTCTTTTGAGAGGGAGGCTTGTCCGTCGGAACCTTTTTTACTGATTGGGGCTAGGTGCCGGGAGGTTTTGTGGACGTCGGGCCCGGGTTCGAGACAAATAGAAGTCAACGCCCCAGCGCTCAGCTCAGCACCATTGGGGCTCAAGTTATCGAGCTCGACCGACTAACTACCTAGCCTATTCGTTTACATAGTAGGCCTGTAGGGGGCGGGCGAATCCTCAGTTTATTTAGGTCTCGGAAGAGGGAGAAAGGGAGACGTCGATTCGATACCCAACCGGAATACGGATACTCGCCCGTGCAGCAAGCACCGTCTTCTTCCTTTCTAAGCGCCTTTTTCGCTCGGCATTTTACAGATGGGGCGTTAGAAAACATTTCTTGAATGAAACGAACAAAGCCACCCCCGCTTATCAGCCTTTGGCGGCGGCGTACGACGATGATGCGTGGGAGATCCCCCTCGTTCAAACAGTGGCGAATTCAATCACTCACCTTCTTTTTGTTGTTTTGTGTTGGGCTTGGGAGCAACCGAGTGCCTCAAGTGATAGCGGGATGCTCTGAGCCCTGCAGAAATACTGCCCATTCGCATCGTCGGCCTGTTTTGTCCGCTTCTCAGATAACCCGGCCCACAGTCTCGCCACCATTTTGGGAAATTCAACCACAGGAGATCAACCCCGTTCGTCAAGACGGATGAATTCCAAAACCATCGAGTGGCCTGCCGAATGTTGAAAAGCGATGTTGCCCCGCAGACATCGGCGATGGTAGCTGCAGTCACGTTGACCGTGCTACTGTAACCCCGCTCGGGACGGTCCTCTTGTTCGTCCATGAGCTGCTTGCTTCGCAGACTTGGCAGATGGCACATACATAGCAGGTAGTGAAGTTCGCCCGGTTCGATCCCGCGGTCGCATGCAGGGGACGAGAATGGAGTCATCCTCTTCCACGAGCTCGAACCCTGACCGCCTTAGGAACGGGACTTTAAAAGAATAATAATACCTCGCAAGGAAGTTCGGATTTAGGAAAGGAGACGAGGTCAAAAACGTTTCCTTCTCCGCTTGGGTCAAGCACGACCTTTTCTTCCGGCCGCCAAACCGGGAACGCAGAGAGGAGGCGGCGGCTCTCGGTTCGTGAGAGTCCGCCCTTGCTGCAGCAGCCGAATCCAAATGCGGGCGCGCCTGTGTTGCTGGGAAACCGCGCTATTCTGGTAACGGCTTCGCCTGGGTAATGTTACAGGTCTCCACGGGAAGATCGATCCTTTCGGCGACATGACACAGGAGATGCTGGCAGCTATCCACTCCCAGATTCCTCGGATATTAATTCTCAAGATCCCTCTTTGCTGGCCCGTCTCGGCTCGGCTTTGGTCTTGCGAGCTGGCGAATTCGTCTTTCGGGGAAAGAGCACCATTAACTAACTTAATGAATTCCTCGGTTGATATTGTGGCTCCTCTGTGCCAAATTGAAGATGTTAAGCCCTCTGTTGTGGAGCGTCTCTCGCCGTCTGTCTCCATAATGCTCTTTTCAGCTTAAGGCTTGTGTTTGGGGCTTGTATTTGGGAGAAAAGAGGCTCACTCGGCGAATCTCCGCCTTCTCAGAAAGTTGCCCCCCAAAGAATTGGAGGCTCCAGATGTGGTCGAAGAAAAGGTCACTTCTGCCCTGTGCGCCAGCCGGCCTCAGGCTCTTCCCCATCACCTCACTGCGGGTTTTGACCTGCAAAGCAGATCCTAGCCAAAAAAAACCGCCTCCTCTTGGTGGGGAGTCGTGAACAGCGGCCTCTTTGAGAACTTGGGTCCCCCTTTGTGAGTCGACTTTTTCATGCGAGAAAAAAAACTTGGGAATGCCGTCCTGCGCCCTTTCTGCCCCAGGCCCTGCATCCTGCAGAAGGTTCACCCCCGTGGTGACGGGGGAGGATGGACGTCTTTAACTCTCGCGCTGTTCATGTGGCACAGGGCACTGGCCCCTGAGAAAGAGAGCCGCCACTTGTGATGAATCCCAGACCATTGCCCGTGATATTCGCACTGTTTCAAAACAGAATCGACTGACGGCCACGAGGGCCTCGACGGGTTTGCTGAGGCAAGGAAGGCGAGGAGCGATACTGTACTAACCCTTTTGAACGGACACTGTGTATGAAAGCCCGAAGGTCGCGACTTGGCAAGAACCAAACCCCCCCTCGCTTGGGCCACTCAGAGCCATCCTTGGTTGCTCTCCCGCGGCAGCCTCCTTGTGCGACTGATCGTGAGGATCCCATCACCACCGTCGTTCTCAGTGCTCCCTTCCATGAATATAGAAGAGAGAAATGGAAATGTTAGAATTGTAAAACGAGATAGCAGCCCATTTTACAGGGAAATCAGACGTGAAATTCGAACAGCATCCATATTCCGCAACCACTGGACATCCGGCGGCTTCTGTAACGGCGTTGCCGAACAAGGCAGTTGGGTGACGGGAAGTTGGCGGGCAATCAAGCGTCCTCGGCCACAGCGGAATCTGGGTCGCCCGTTGCCAGGCCCTGCCAGGCTCTGCCACGCACAACAGTGGACAGCGTCGCAACCCGGCCCAGCACACAGACCACTCAGTGATGAGGGTTGGTGTCCATCCTCCTACCCGCCCCCCTAACAAATGAATTTGACTCTGGCCGAGTTTCTAGATTGTGACATCCCTCGTTCTTTCCTTCCTGCAATCGTAAATCGAGGCTTTGTCAACAGTAACAAATCCATTTGCAACTCGGCCTGTGAAACGACCTTGGAAGACCGACTCGGCCAGGACAATGGTTTCCTGTTAGTCGCCAGCACGGAGTGAGCATTACGGATACGCCAGGGCGCTTTTTGCGGGACACCAGGAGCCCCCAATCAATCCCCGGACGCTTGTGGTTCACCAGTCAGATTCACGGGGGGCCACCCGCCAGCCCTTCACTCAACTCACTCAGCGCCGACCACCTTCCGCTTGAACCGCGTTCCAAAACCCTCCTTCCCTTCACACAACCATTCACACCACCCACGTACCTGCCCTTTGGTATTGATTCTCCTGGTTTTCACGCACCGTTTCCGTCGCTTTCGAGCGGGCCCACAACCATGTCGACGCCGACGACAGCGACGGCGACGCTGCCGCATTACAGCCCGCACCAGCATTTCCGCTATCCACACCATCAGCACCCGCACCAGGCCTACCCGCAACCAAATTCCTCCTCCTTCCGCGCAGCGAACCCAATCCTCCCACCCGCCTCCCGCCTCGCCTATCCTTCGCCAGGCTACTCTTCCGCTGCGAGCCACACATCAGGGAATGGAGTAGCTGCCGTGGCCTCGGACCACGCGAGACTCGCTCCGCACGAAACCGCTGACGGCACCTCCCGACTCGACCACCTCTACACAACCGCCATGCCCTCGAATAACTCGCAGACCCAGGCCCAGCCTGCGTCTGAGGCGCAACCTCCGCGCAAAAAACGACGATCGAGAGAACCAGACTGGAAAACATTTTACAAAAATGGTTTGCCCAAGGAAATCATCGTCATTGACGACACCCCCGAGCCCGAGCGGTCGAGTGCAGCGGCCGCTACTTCGCAGGCCCTACCAACCACTCGGCAACATGCCGCGACCGGCGGTGCGCCCGGGTCCTCGGCCAAAAAACGGAAGCGGGATGAAGAGCCTACGCCTTACGATCCCGTCCACCACAGCGCCGCCCTTGGGTCTCACACACCGAGTAAATCTACAGCCGCCAGCGACCGGACAAACTCGGCTCTTCACACGACCGCAGCGACTTCTTTGGGATCTCTGTCATCAAATGGCCAGTACGAGTACGAGACCCAACCCGGCCAAAAACGAAAGAGGACAACCCGCCAGCAACTAGCCAACGAGGCAAGGCGTCGCGAAGCCGCGACATATACTGATGCCCTCGCCCACTATCGGCCACCCCCATATCCCCCCAAAAAGGCTCGCGACGTCCATATCAAAGTAGTGCCCGATGTCAGTAGCCATACCCCCTACCCCCCCTTCTTTTCCCCAAAGCATATGAAAATGAAGAATACGTCAATTATTAGTAACTAACAAGCAACACAGCCCCCGGGAACGAAGAACATACGCGTTGACGACGATGACGGCCATTACATCGTGGTTCCGGATAACGACCTGACCGAACGATGTGAGTTGTGATTGTATTGTATGCTACCAACTTTGGAACTGGCGCTGACCTATATTTTCCCTCAAGACCAAATGGTGAAACTTCTAGGGCAGGGGACGTTTGGCAAAGTTGTGCAGGCTCGGGATCGACGGTCCGATAAACTCGTCGCCATCAAGATTATCCGCTCCGTGCAAAAGTACCGCGAAGCCAGCAAGATTGAGCTGCGAGTCCTGGAGACGCTCCGGGCCAACGACGAAGAAAACCGGAACCGCTGCATTCACTTCCGGGATTGTTTCGACTACCGCGGCCACATCTGCATCGTCATGGACCTTCTCGGCCAAAGTGTTTTCGACTTCTTGAAGAGCAACAACTTTGTGCCCTTCCCCAACAGCCAGATCCAGAATTTTGCTCGCCAGTTATTAACCAGCGTTGCATGTAAGGAACTCGCGCCCCGCCTTGGAGACGCCGGTCTCAGTAAATGCTGACCTTGGGGACTAGTTCTTCACGACCTCAACTTGATCCACACTGATCTGAAGCCGGAAAACATTTTGCTATGCCACAATGCCTACCAGACGTTCACCTACAACAGGAGGATACCTTCGGCCAGCACCGGTAGTAACAACCGCCAAGCTAGTCAGAGACGGGTTCTCTTGGACACCGAGATTCGCCTGATCGATTTTGGTTCTGCGACTTTTCAAGACGAGTATCACTCCTCGGTCGTGTCGACTCGCCACTACCGGGCTCCCGAGATCATTCTTGGGCTCGGGTGGTCATATCCTTGTGATATTTGGAGCATTGGTTGTATTCTGGTGGAGTTCTTCACCGGCGACGCCCTCTTCCAAACGCACGATAACCTCGAGCATCTGGCTATGATGGAAGCAGTCGTCGATACTAGAATCGACCCAGCTCTGGTCCAGCAGGTGAATCGGATGACCAGGAACGGCGGAAACCCCGCTTCCAAGTGCGTGATCACCACACATGAATCCATATAAAACAACACCGACGGGCAGTAAGCTAACACACAATAGATACTTCAAGCGCCTCAAGTTGGACTATCCCATGCCTGATACAACACGAGCATCTAGAAGATTCGTTAAAGCCATGAAAAAACTACGGGTAAGTCTTCCTAGCGCCCAGCGCTGTCTACAGACGGCTGACCTAGTTCTAGGATATCATCCCGCCTACTTCGAAGTTCTTGAAGGAGTTCCTGGATCTCCTCGAAAAAATCTTCGTCTATGACCCCGCGCAGCGCATCACCGCCAAACAGGCCCTTCAACATCCCTGGTTCCGCGAGGTCGCACATCCCGATGACGGAACGGAAGCAGCCAGAATCCGGGCCGATAAGCAACGGATGCTTGAGCGGGAGGTGTCCGGGGCCAGCCATGCTCATGCCTTGGAGGAGAGGTCGATAAGGAGGTGATAATCAAGCGATGAGTGCAAAATGGGGAAGACAGTGGTGGAGCTTTGCACGACGGCATGATCTCGCTGCGACTTAGGGCTGGGTAAGGTTTTACGAAGACATGTTTTCTTTCACATTCGGTATATCATTACTTTTCTTGTTCTATATGGGATCCACACTAGCGCCATGGTGGGCTAGCAGAGGTGGAAAGTGAGAGAGGTTGGAAGGCAAGGTGTTCCATATTTTATCATGCCCGGGATTTTCTTCCTCTTCTCTTCTTGCTTGGCTGGGATATCATCGTAATGAACGGTGGAGGTTTTGAAGGGCGTTGATTTCAAAGTTTCATAGGACTGTGTCTGTCATACCCCATGTTTGCGATATGTTGGCCGGCGCAAGCTGGACGACTCTAGCTAGGTCGACGCCGGGCCATTGTTTTTCAATTCCATGACGATCCTATATTTGCCTGTCAGATCGCTTCGACATGATGGGAATTTGGCGGTTGGGGAGTACTTGCAAGAGGAAAAAAAGGGGTTTGGGATATGGTATGTTTGGTTTCGCTGAAGGGTCTCTTCTCCTTCGTGGCTGGGTGTTTCCTCGGGCACGTATAAACAAGGCTTTGCTTGCAGCTTTTGTTCAGCAGCATTAGCTCTCAGTATGTGACATAGTTGCCATAGCCTTGACTCTTTGGATAGTTGGAATTGTAAAGATGGTCATCGCCCGTGATCAGTAACGCATAAGTGCGAGTCCTTTGTGATGGGAGGGATATGTACTGTATACTTGTATCACCTTGTTGGTCTGGGTCCTCCTGTTTATATCGGAGAAATGAAAACTAGTACTCGCAACGAAAATAGGCGGATTCCGGGGCTGACCTCCTCATATAGAGAGCGAGCGTTAACTACAAGAAGGGAAATTGCCACGACAACCGAAAGGCTAAGAGTACAATGCTCAATCACAATACAAGAAGTCAGAGAAGCGGTGCAACATGAGTATCATAACCAGCCCCAAATGTACGCAAAGATGGTCATATATGCAATTCTGTCTCCGTTGCTACGACGACGTGCCTCAACCAAGTCGAGCTCGCACGCAAGCCAATAATGATAGAACGGAAAATATGATAAGTAGCCATTGAGGGGAAATATTCTCCCCCTTTTCCTCTATCTAGACCCTTTGCTCCTCTATGCAAGATGCATGAACCCCCATCATCACCCATCAGGAAGCTAAGTTATCGTACAATACACCATCCCTTCCCACCCAATACGTTTATCATACTCGTTACAAACAACATCCGTACAGTACACTTTTTCAAACGCGTATAGCATGGTACACATCGTCATCTCTACCCTCTTGCCTCTCGCTCTGTGTGCTTATACATACCCCTCTCTATCTCCATCTCTATCTCTATCCCCTCACAACTCCTTAGCACTAGCATCCTCCTTAGCCTCCACCTCCGCCGTCTGCGCCAACAGCTCCCGTAGCGCAGGCAAATACAACTGCGCCGTCTTGAAATCCCCTAGTTTAACCCGCATCATATCAAACGCAAACAGCACTTCGACATCATTGGCCGCTTCCTCGGCAGCAATCTCCTCATCAGTCTTAGTAGTAGCGACTGCCTCACCCGCGGCCGCTGCGTCCGCGCTGTCCGCAGCGTCAGCCGGAATCTGAGAAGGTTTTCCTCCAAAGCCGCGTGGTGCTGGCGACGAGGCCGGTGAGAGCGCGGCTTTGTCGAAGGTCGGCAGCTTGGGATAGCGCTGCGAGAAGTGGGTGAGGAGAATACGGCGGGCGCCCATTTGGCGACCGATGTCGAGCGCCTCGGACAAGGTGGAGTGTTTCTTGGCGTGGGCGTCGCCGCTGAGCTCGTCTTCGAAGGTGCACTCGTGGATGAGCAGGTGGGCGCCGCGGGCGTAGTGGGCGAAGCGTGGGGACGGGCGGCAGTCGCCGGAGTAGGCGATTCGGAGACTGCCGGATGTGTTGCCTGCGCTGAGGGCGGGTTGGGCGGTTGTTTCGGTGGGTGTTTCGGGTGTGGCGTCCGGGATGACGGTATCGGTGACTGTGTCGGCGTCGGTGTTGGTTTCGAGAGTTGTGGTGTCGACATCAGCCGTGATGTTGGTTGGGGCATCATTAGCAACGTCAGCCACACCGGCGTCGATAGTAGCCTCGAGGTCGGTGGTATCCATCGCGATGTTGTCAGCGTCAGCGTCAGCGTTAGCATCAGCGCCGGTGTTCGTCTCCTCGACGTTGGCGTCGGCCGCGGCATCAGCCACGGAACCAGCCGTCGCCCCCGTAGTTTCGGTCGCGGAAGCATCCTCAGCGTTCTCTGGCGGGAAAGTGAGGATGATCGCAGTGGCCTCAAAGCAATGGTCGACGTAGCAGGCTTGAATATACGGTAGGCGTAGCGTCGCAGGATCAAAGCCCCTGGGGAACCCGGGCACAGCACGGCGGCCGGGAATAGGGCGAATGGGCCCGGACTCGCTGTCGGGGTTCATGTCCTCTCGAGGGTGCAGGGCGACTTGCACTATGCGCTGGGGGTCGACGGGTTCAATGTCGAACGACTCGCGGATGAAGTCCTGGTACCGGGACGGGGCGATGATGGCGAGTTTGTTGTTGGCGTAGGCCGGAACAGCCTTGGTGACCTTGTCCCAGTGGGCCATGACGCTGACGGTGCCGAGGTGGTGGTCGGCATGGGCGTGGCTGACGTAGATGGCGCGCAGGTCGCGGAGGATATTGTCGGCCTCTCGGTAGCCAAACGAGCGGCGCAGCTGGCCGAGCGTGTTCTCACCACAGTCGAGCAGGTAGCTGCCCCAGCCGGGCACGCGGATTAGCGTGGCCGACACGTTGCGGTACTTGGACGGCATGGCTGAGCCGGTGCCCAGCGGGATGATCTGGGTGTCCGGTCGGGGCAAGGTCTGCCGGGACCGCTCCTCGTCGGCGCGGAACTTGGGGTCGGCCGCGGTTTGGCGGGCGGCTTTGGCCAGGGCTAAAGCCTTGGGTGCGTACTTCTGCAGCTGCCAGATGGCCTTCTTAGTGTCCATGTGGGGCACAATGCTGTCGACCTGTTCGAGAGGCGTCGGAGCCAGCTGCCACTTGTGGCCGACGTGGCCAATCTCGGTAAGGGCCTTCAGACTCTTCGGGGCGCTCCTGACCGGCTTGTTGTAGAACTGGGGCAGTGGAAAACGGTGTTTATCGATCGTGTGCATCTTGAGGAGCTGGCCGGATGGGTTCTCCAGCGCCAGCAGGTTGGGGCATAATTCGCGGCCCAACACGATGTGCTTGATGGAAGAGTGCTTCTCGATGAATGCTTGGATTGCGTCGCCCTCGAACGACACGCCGTCCGAGAGGATCCAGTACATGGTGTCGATGCAGTCCATGATCTCCTCGTTGGCCCACTCGTGCCGCGCGAGCGAAGGCTCGAGGAGCTCGTTCGATGGAATGTCCATGACGGCAAACCCGTGACCTTTGACGGACGGCCCAACGACCATGTCGGGGGTAACAACCTTGCCTTGTGCCGTGGTCACGTTATTCCCAGCCGCGAGTACCTTGCGGTCTCTCTTGGCGACACCGTGCCGGTCGGCCGCATCAGCGTCAAACTTGCCGCGGCGCGCGTGGCATTTGACAATATACGACATGGACTGCGTGGAGGGCTTGGTTGGCGGCAGGTGCTCAAGCTGTGAGGCCGGCCAGGGGTTGCGTACAAGCACCTTGGTATCCGGGGCTTCAAAGGCCGTGGGACCCTCGTAGGGCTCGATGTGTCCCTGGGCGTTGCGGACAAAGATCTTGGCGGGCTGGCGCACATCGGCGAGCCTCACCTCATGCAGCGTGTCGAGATTCCACTTGGAGTTGAACATGTCCCTGACGACGGACTCCCGGACGGATTGGTCGGCGTCTTCCTCCGAAAGCGGGCTCAGCTTCCGCTTCTTTGCCGGGCTATCACCGGAGCTCCGTAGTAGCTCGTCCACGAGCGCGTTGCGGGGGGCTTCGGGAGGCTCAGCCCAGGCTACGACAGACCACACGCGGATGTTTTCATCCTCATAGTCCGGCTCGTTCCTCTTTGCCTCATCAGCGCGGGGGTCACGCCCCAACTCGCGAGGCTGGACAGGCAGTGCTTTCCTCAGAATAAACCGGCGGGCCGTCGCTAGTAAATGCACCAAGTTCTTGCCTCCATGGATGTTCAGCTGCGGCATCGTATTATCGTTCTTCTTATTCGGCCTCGCCTTCCTATTCTGCTCATGATCCGCGGCCGAGGCAGCGTGGAGGTCGGCAAGCGTGAGAATCATGCCGAGCAGACCACCCGTCGAGTCCCACGAGATGCCGCCCGACAAGAAGATATCACGGACCTTGGCGAGCGAGACCTTGCGCTGGATCATGTTCCGCTGCGTGCCCTCGGCGACACGGCCGAAGAAGTAGCGGCGGTTGTCAAAGTGCAGCACGAGGCAGCCCCCGGGCGTGTCGGCCGAGGGCGCGGTGATGACCTGCACGTAGGACAACATGCCGGTAGAGGAGCGGAGGACGGTGATACCGGGGTGGGGGTCGGTGGAGGGGGGTTTGTCGGGAAGGAGGACGAATCTGGGACTGCCCAACGACCAGCTGCTCAACGGTCGAGCTTTTACAGCCCACTGGGTTGTCTCGTCGAGCGGCGGTGGTGTGCTGGGTAACTCGTGTGGCCTGGGTCCTCGGGCCGCTTTGGCGGTGTCCCAGGGCGAAAGCGGGGGGTAGCCTGGAGGGGAATCGGGATCGAGCTTCCAAGGATCTCGGTTGGCTGGGTGGTCGCGTGTCCGCCGATGATATCTTGGGGATGGGGTCCAATTCGACGAGGGCTGGTGTTGCTGGTGATGGTGGGGTAGCAGTCGAGGCGTTGAAGAGCGTAGGTGCAAGTGCAGCCGCAGGTGTAGGTGCAACGGCTTGGACGAGACCCGCACACGTTGATGCGCTGCCGCAACGTACATTTATTATTTATTTAATTTTTTGGCCCTTGCTCTTTTTTTTTTCCCAAGTCCTGCCTCGGGAACCAAACACCTCCACACGCTGCGTACTCGTCAAACGGCCTGGGAGTTGTTCTCGTACTCATCGATAACCAACGTCCTTGTTCTCATTCGTCCGTAATTCGATCGTTTTCTCCGGAGGAGTCGTCCCGGGCCGGGGTGTGGTCAGACCGGTGACTCAAATTTGGTGCTGCTCGGTTTGCCTTGTAAAGATCTAGGAACAGGATGTGTATTGGCTTGCACCAGCGGTTGAACCTCGCCCCAACTTTTTTTTCTGCAGGCCATTTGCGGGGCCAGACGCTGACAGTGGGGGATCCAAATGCAGAAGGCGGTGAGAGGATACTCACACACACACACACACACACACACACACACACACACACACAAGGGTTAGGGTTAGTTTAGATTTTCTCCCCACACCTGATTTCGTGCTCCGTTGCTGTGTCGAAGATAGTTAGGGTCTCCGGTGAGTACCCGTACATAGTAATAGAGTGTGCTTCGTCCGTGTCGTGTATGTGAAGACCGTAATCCAGGTGCTATACAAAATACACGTATCCTAACCAGCAACCCGCCATTTCTTGGTATATAACGTATCCATAACCATACCCCAATCAACCGCATCCAAGTGCATCTCCCATAACATGGTTCCTTGGTAGTTTTTCTACCAATTCCTCCAATCGGCAGACGCTAGTCACCCTTACTTCCTCCTACCCGCACCCCCCTCCCTCAACGCCTCCTTCACAATCCCTTCCGCCTCAGCAATCACATCCTCCCCGCGTCTCCATGTATACAGCTTCACGCCCTGCCTATCCAACAATTCATGTGCCCTCTCCAACCGTCGCAGCCATAATTCCGCCTTTTTATTGATCACCGCAGCAGAGGGCGGCCCACCACTACCAGCAGTAGGTGGAATTGCTGTTCCTGTTCCGCTACCCAGGCTAGGGGAATAACCGTATCCGTTGCCAGGGAGGGCTGGTAAAGGGGGATCCATCTCGGGTACATCTGCAGGGTAGAGGTTACCACTCGTGCGCGGCCGTTGTGACGCTTGTTGCGGTTGTTGCTGGTGCTGTCCCAACGGAGCTGTTCCGCGGCGACGAGGAGGAGGTGGCGGAGGGGGTGTCCCCCTGGGAGTTGTGGAAGTTGTGGGTGTGTGCACAGCGGGGCTTCCGGTCCCGGCAGATGTCCGTGGCCGAAGGGGGAGTCCTAGACTTGCATCGACCGCTGTTGGGGTACTTTTGGAACTGGCTAGGCTCGTCATGGATGGCGAACTCCGCAGCGCATGTGGCTTGATCGGGCGTGGAGGAGGGGCCTTCCGCGGTTGACTGGGGGTGTCTGGGGTGGGAGGCCCGTTTAGATCCCAGAGATCTTGATTCGATGAGCTGCGGGATTCTGTTGTGTGGGCAGCTGACCCGGCCGGGGGCTCGTCGAAATCTATTAGCGTGCCCATGGCCGGGCCGGTATTTGCGGGTGGAGCGGTTGCTCGGGGAGGAAGCTGTGGCCTTCTGCTTGGGTCATCCAAGCTTGGTTGAGTCCCGGGTCGGGGCCTCGGTGTAGCTTGTCTGGTCCGCTGGGATGATTCGATGTTATACGAAGAGTCAAAGAACCCCGCCTGGTCTGTAGTCGTCACATCGCGAATGAAGACAGCCAGAATCCGGCCCGGATTTGCGACAGCAAGCTCGGTGTACACTTCCAGATCCGCCTCGCCGCTGTCGCCCACCAGTAAAAACCTCCTTTCCGGAAAGTCCCTGATGATCGCCTCCAGCGTGCCCTTCTTCCTCTCGGCAACCGGCTCAAAAATACCCTGCAACATGCCACTGTAGTGTTTAAGATGCATCGACCCCTGAGGCAGACCAGCCATATGGAAGAACGTCGCCAGCACAGGATACATCTGCCATGGGCTGTTGGAGCAGTAATGCACCTTGACGCCCATCTCATACATCTTGTTGTACCATTCTTTGACACCGTCCACCGTGAGATCGGCCAGGTCGCGCACCAGCGCATTCCTGAAGATCTCGCGTGTGCCCATGGAGATGTTGGACTGCTTGATGGTGTCGTCGACGTCGCTGATCAGGCTAACACCCCGAGACTCGGTGATTTCAACAGTGTTGACCGTCGAGATGTTCTCGTTGGCGAGAACCTTGACGTTGGTGGGCACGAACTCGAGGGCGACACGAGTGTTGAAGTGGCCCGAGTCATCCGTCGTGACCGTATGTGAACGCGACTGCTCGTTGTTGTAGAAAAAGATGGTGATGGGGATCTGCACCAAGGGCGTCGTCATGAACGGCCCCAAGCGCGCCATGAGATTGGCGTTGGCCACAGAGAGCTCGGCATCGGTCATATCCGACTGCGTCATCGTCGTGGTCCTAGGCGGGAGGGTCGGCGAGGGGGGTGCCGATGATGATACCGGCGTATGCGTGTGACTACTGCCCCTCGAGTCAGATGGCGGCTCGCTGTATCCTCCCTTACTCGCTATTTCCTTCTCATCCTGCCCTCGCTTCTCAATTTCCCGGGCCTCGCGCGCGATCCGCTGCTCTTCCTTGACATCCTCATACTGCTCCAACGAACTCGCCGAGGGCTCCGACTGCACAGTAGGCGCCGGGATGCCACTCAGCCGCCGCGCCAGACCGATCAGCATGCGGTTCCTCCGTGTCATGGGACCCTTACTGGGCATGTATATCCAACCCCTCACGTCCACGTCCACCACGGCCTTCTCATCCTCCGCCCGCGCCCACTCCTGCTTCCAGTACTCCTCTTCCGTCATGCCCATCTGCGCCGCGTTCGCTACCTGGAACGAATGTGCCCCCGCGTTACCACCATCGCTGCCGCGGGGGTCATACTCCCGCACATGCCGCTTGGCGTACGTCGGGAACAACACCATCTGTTCCCCCCCCTGCGTAACAATCGACACGTTCGGGAACGCCCCGGGAATCGACACCTGTGAGCTCGACATATCCACCACCCCACGAATCCGCGTGTTGTTGTACTGCTCCTTCAGCTCGCTCGCCGCAGCCACGCCAGCCCGGTACACGCTGCCCGCGACAGCAGCCAGTTTCCTCCGTCTCGACCCGCGTTCTACACCACCGTCCCCCGCACCGCCACCGCCCACTCCCGTACCGTACGCCCCGTATCCATACCCATAACCACTGCTCCCGCTATACTGGCTCTGCATCTTCTTTCTCCCCCGTGTTGTTACCCCCGCGCCACGCGGTCCGTCTAGCGCATGCGCACTCGAACTCTTCCCCACGCCCTTATCCTGTCCGCCCTCGCCCGGTTTCCCGGAGCACGAGCTCGCGACCGACAGCCCACCAGCGAGACGCCTCTTCCGCTGCTGTTTCTGCTGCTGTCGCTCGACCAGAAACGCGTAAATCCGGCTCTGCACCCGCCGCTTGTACCGCGGTAGAATGTCCCAGCGCAGCCGTAGCAGACGCTCGCGGTAGCCAGCCCGTAGGGCGGGTGGGAGGAGATATCCAAAGAGAGACGAGCGATGGTGTGGGTGCGGGTGTGCGAACAGCCGGGCTCGGAGGTGGGGTGGTAAAAGACGAGGTGGGAGGGTTCGTGGTGGTACTACTGGTGGTCTGCTACCCCCGACGGTCGCGGGACGGGGGGGTAGTTTGGCCGGTGGTGGCTTGAAGGGAGCCAGGGTGGTTGTTTGGGGAGAATCGTATCCGTTCGTGGGTTTCCCTGTTATTTTGTTTCAAGGCTGTATTTATTCGTGGCCGTTTCGTCGTAAGCTCGTTTTGGGATTGCAGCTGAAGGACCACTGCGCATTCGGTGTTTCTCGCGGTACCGCTCAATCGTTGAATCAATTGTATAATTACCCCCAGGCACTCTTGACTGCGGTGTCAAGGTTGGCGCTGGTAAAAGTTGTTGCAAAATATGGGAAAGTCCTGTTCCCGGGATGGAGGGTTTTGATGGAAGAGAGAAGCTTGGACTTTCATTCAGGGTCGTCTGAAAGAATCGCCCCTGTCGGGACCCGTTACGTCACCTGCAGATAGGGCTGGCGGGGCCGCTGCGCTGAAATCTCAGGGGGTCTCCAGGACCCACTGGACGAATCGTCCAAACTCCCCTGAGCACACAGAGGGAAATGGTACAGTATGGGCACTCAAGTTCACGACAAATTGAACAACGATATGTAAACATGTATTATCTAGTGTCACGAATTACCGCCTCCCCTTGCGGTCTCCAGGTGGCTTACCCCTAGGCTTCTTAACTTTCTTCAAATTAAGCACCGCTCCCTTTCCATCTCTCTCTTGCCGTCCCTTCTTCCACCCCGACGATTGGCTTTCACTGCGCTCTGCCTTCGAGTCCAGCTTCTTCTTGTCCTTGTTACTTAACCTGCCCGCGCCCTTCTTCTTCATTGCCTCCCGGACGCCATTGAGTTCCGTTCGCCCGAGTTCCTTGGCCTTCTTTTTGTCGTCTTGCGTCTCGAACCAGGTCCGTTTCGGCCGCGCGTGGATCTCTTCTTCATGCTTGATCAGGTTCTCGCCCTTCTTGACTTGCATCTCCACCTGCGCTAGCTGCTTCTCCTCCTTCTCTTCCTGCAGCACTTCATCAATCTCATCATCCATCTCATCGATCTGATCCTGCCACTTATCGGCGTCCTTAGCGTCGATGATACGGCTGATGATCTTTGCGCCTTGAGCCTTTCCAGACCTGACCGCTGCTTTGACGACCTTGCGGTCTGGCTCGGCTGCCAATGTGACGGCCACACCGCTGCGCCCGGCACGAGCCGTACGACCGACACGGTGGACATAGATCTCGAGCGATTGCGGCGCTTCGTAGTTGATCACGGTATCCACGCCCTTGATATCCAAACCACGCGACGCAAGATCAGTCGCTAGGAGGTAGTTGACTTTGCCATCCCTGAACGATTCTACACTAGCAATACGCTGCGGGTTCGTTAGTAACCTGATGGAATCAATGGAAGGAGTAAGGGGTCATACCTGTGCCTGGTTCATGCTACCGTGCAATTCGGCGCACGACAGCCCTAGTAAGCCAAATATGATGCGAGTCCGATGCGCAATCTTCTTTTGCCGGAAGAAAATAATCACGCGTTCGTGGTAGAACGTCTTGCAGATATGTACCAGATAACCCATGCGCTTCTCCTCGCGGCCCGGACGCAGCCGGACAAACTCCTGAGCAAGCGTAACCGCCGTCTTCTTTTGTGAATCCACCATGATCCGGGCCGGCTTGTTCAGGCCAACCCGAATCAGCTTGTCGACTGTCGAGGTCATCGTAGCCGAGAAAAGCATCGTCTGGCGCGACTTGGGCAGGGTCGTCAAGATTTCGTTCAATTCATCCGCGAACCCGTCCTCCAACATCCGGTCGGCTTCATCCAGCACGAGGATCTCAATCGTGTCGACCGCAAAGCTTGCCGAGTTACGCATGTGATCAATAAAACGGCCGGGCGTGGCAATCACCACGTCAGGACGCAGACGCAGCTCCGCCTCTTGGACTTTGAGACTGAGACCACCCACGGCCAAACAGAACTTGATGTCGGTGTGGCCCGCCAGCTTGGTTGCCACCGAGTGGCACTGGATCGCGAGTTCACGAGTCGGAGTCAGCACCACAACCCGCGTCGTCGGAACCTTCTTGGGGCGGTACAGGAGACGTTCCAGGATGGGCACCACAAACGCAGCCGTCTTTCCAGAACCAGTAACGGCGCCACCGACGACGTCTTTACCCATCAGCGCAATGGGGATCGTCTTGGCCTGGATCGGAGTCGGTTTCGTGAAGCCGACCGAGGTCAACCCCCGAAGAATCGGACGCGACAGTGACATGGCCTGGAAGGACGACATGTCGCCCTTCTTGCCGCCGCTGCTCTTCTCCGTCTCCTCCGGCGAGGCGAAGAACTCCTTCCGTCTGGCCTCTTCCTCGGCATCTTCTTCATCATCGTCTTCCGACCCTTCCTCGTCATCATCGGGATGTTGTACTGGCGTCGCAACCGAGTCATTATCCGAAGCCGCATCATCCTCATCGTCTTCATTATCCTCTTCGGCACTCCCTTCCTCTTCTCCCATCTCCTCATCTTCCCCCCTCCCCTTCTCCCCTTCCTCGTCCACATCTGACCCAGCCCCCATGCCAAACGCATCATCAGCCAACACTTCATCGTCCAAATCCACATCGCCCACATCCTCCACCTCCATGTCATCCCCCTCTTCCTCCACCACATCCTCCATCCCCTCCCCACCCTTCTTACTCTCCCTCCGCCGCCTAATAATCTCATCCAAGTCCACACCACTCTTCGCCGCCCCCCCATTCACCCCAGCCCCATTTATCCCCTTCTTCGCGCCCTCAAACCCCCACCCCTCAAACTCCGCCTCATCAAACCCGCCCCCATTGACCCCATCCCCGCCAAACTCAAAATCCGAATCCATCGCGCCATCATCGGCATCATTGGCCCCGCCCCACAGACCAGTAGTCTCTGCCTCCTCCGCATCATCATCACCCCCCTCGTCCTCGTCAGAATCGGGTTGTTTCTTCCCCTTCTTATTCTTGTTCTTATTCTTCTTGTTCTTCCCCTTGCCGTCCTTCTTAGATGCCGCCGCGGCGGAGGAGGAGGAGGCTGTCTTGGCCTTTTTTGACGGACGTGCGGACGCAGTCGTAGGGGCAGTGTCGATGTCTTCTTCGACAATATCGGGCTCGTCGTTGTCGGAGATGGTGTGGATGAAATCGTCGTCGGGGAGCGACTTGCGCTTGTGTGAGGGCGCCATCTTATGGTTATTCCTCCTTTGAGGTTTCCCCGTGATTTATGCGGTTGAGGTTTATTTCCAATTTACCATGAGAAGAAAAAAACGATATAAACTCTGGTAAGGGCCACACCGCCAATGCCAATTGGAATGCGCTCGCCGGTTGCGTGGTGGAATCTGCTTCGTGACGGCGGGGCGCAAAGTCTCACCTCCGCAACTTTTTTTCCTAGGATCGATCGTCGAGCGAGACACGCCGGCCGAAATTTTTGGACACGGGAGCTTTTTCTGCCGGGCGGTGTGCTAGGCGGTTTGCGGGATGCCTATCCTGGCGCCTGGGTCCGTTCGGTCTGGGGGTTTCCCTGTGGAGCGCTGAGGGACAGGCCTGGGCGCCCCTTTGGCCCGTACGAAGGAAGGGTTGAGATGAACTGTCTTTTTCATGTTGATGCATTTAGTTACACAGTACTCGCTCGTCTCATCTATCATTTAAGCTCAATTGTAGCCTGGACTTAGTTCAGATTCATGGGAAGCAACAAAGACAGTTCTCTCAAGATTGATCTCCAATCTTTCTGCCTTTGTTCACACGGCCAGACAATAGTTACTCAGAGCCCAAAATGACAAAGTCAAACTCTTGTATATCTTAGGGAGGCTCCCTTGAAGGTTTCTTAAGGACTTCTCCCATACCGAACATGGGGTATCCGAACAACCAGCCCATCCCATCCAGCATGTTTTAGCCACCCGACAGAACCAAGACGATGATGGCTGCTTCCCCATACCTAGGTAGCTACTAAAAAGTCCAATACAAATGTGTAGGTAGATTGTCAAGATCAAGAGAAAAACGAATTCCGCCCAACGCCTTTCCCAATGGTATATGATGCACCGTGATCCTCCTCTTTTTCCCGTCAGCCCAGATAGATGTTCCATCCCTCCATTCCAATACGAGCCGATCCGCGATCAAAAACCCCGCCGGTACTGTCGATAAATAGTTAAACGTAATTATAAGGCCAAGGAGATCCAGCCATCTTGTGGCGAATCTTCCCGCCAAGTGACAATAGCATCATATCCGATGTAAATCATCACGACCGGTTGTCATCATCTCCCTGTCCCTTCTCCCAAATCATACTCCTCCTCTTCCCCAGTCCCCCAATTCCGGGGTTTCTTCTCAGAACTCCCCTCACCTCCTACTCCACCTTCCTTTTGCCGCTTCTTCTTCTCAGCCATCAGCTTCATCAATTCCACATCCTCCAGCAAGACCTTCTGTTCATTGATCTCCCTCCCTCCTGGAGCTTGCCCTTGCCCTGGCCCTGACCGTTGCTGGCGACCTTGCCCCGGTCCTTGCTGATGCGACTGCTGAGAGTTGAGATGTTGATGCTGCCCGCCATATGGTCGGAACGGCAATTGTGGCCCGTGCTGGGCCCCGGCCCCGGGTAGCTCATACTCGACCACGTCTGAGGTGTAGTGATAGAACCCGTCCTTGGTCGGCGGTAGTTCGGCTTGGGCCTGTGGCTCGGCCAGTTTGCGGACGGCGCCCTTCTCCATAGCCTCGAAGTCTGCCGTTGTGGCATACGGTGGGAGAGGGCCCATGGAAGAGGCGCCGAGTAAGGGGGAGTCGGCTTCCCAGGAGAACTGCCGTTCGTGGGAGACAGCGGAGGAAGAAGGCGGGTTGCCGGCGTCGTGATAGCGGCGATTGACGATTGATTCGTCTGGTGGGACAGTGGGAGAGACGACGAGCGGGGTGGGTGTTACGCGATTGGGGCCGTAGGAGACAACGATGGGAATGGCGGATTGTTGGTGGGGTGGCGAGGGTTTGGAGTCGGGCGAGGGGACGGGCATGGGTGCCGGGGGTGGAATGCTGTAGTTGTTGTAGTCGGAGTAGTCGGAGGATGGGAGCGGCATCATTGGGACGTGGCCCGGTATTTGGTCACCACTGTTGCTAGAGGGGGTCACGGGTGTCGTGACGGGTTTAACGGTGAGGCGTGGCGTGAAGCGAGGCGTGAGAGTGGGCGTGACGGGGTTTGGACCGTAGGATATGACGGTGGGCGCGGAGGGTTGAAGCTGTGATTTTAATCGCGCAGCGGTGAGCTCTTCTCGCTCAATGCTGCGCTCATATGTCCACACATTGCCGCCTTGCGAGTGTGTAGGCGACTGTGTGTTAGTAGGTGATTGGGAATGTGTCGAATGCGTAGAGAGCGCTTGCGAGGTCGAGTGTAGCGAGCGCACATCTTCGTAGCCCGTCGAGCCGGGAAAGCCATCGAACACAGGCTCTATCGGGCAAAGAGGTTCCTCCGACTGCCCCGACGTCTCAGAAGGTGAAGCTCGTTTCTGTTCAGGGCGTTTCCTTCCGCGACGATCTTCGTCTAGCACGCCTGCGGACAACTCCGCATCTGCCCCACGCCGCCGACGCCGAAAATAGAGAAACGATGCCATGGCACCAACGGCAATACAGGTGAGCGCGACGCCAATGCCCAAAGCCGCTTTGGCCCCGGTGCTGAAGCTATCCCCGCCGGAACTAGGTGTTTGCGAATCCACGGCGGCGGGCGAGCGAGCGGTGAGGGGGGACGTTGTCGTCGTGGAGGACGATGAGGGGCCACGAATCGGGGCCTGCGCAGGCGAGGCTGCCGAATCGTCGTCCACAGCGTGCGATTCGGGAGTCAGGATGAAGAAAGGTTCGCTGCTATGTCGGCAGTCGCCGGCGTTGGAGGTGAGTTCGAACCAACAGGGGTCGCCGTCGGATGAGAAGTTCAAGATCACAGGGGTGCTCCCGTTGAAGGGGCCAGCATGGTCGTCTCGGAACTCTGTGGAACGGGGAGGCGTCAGCTTGAGTCGCTCAGCCGGCAGGCTAGAGGACGACGGGATCGTGGGTTTCGAAAGGAAGCGCACAATCGCTTGGCAAAGGGGAAGGGGGAAATCGCAACAGAAGGATGCGACGAGAGGCAAAGAAAGTGGGTTCATCGGTTCATCCTGCGACTTGCGGCGACTTGCGGGCCCCAGACGGGTGGAGGTGAGGGGACGGCACGAACTCAGGATTGCACGGGCGGGCGCGCCGCACCAGCACGACAGGGTAGGGCTGTCGAGATTAGAACGGTAGGCGACGTCGATGGTGTCGCGGTGGGCGAGCTTCAGTCCCGGAGTTGGGAATAGAAAATCGGCGGGGGTGCAGTGTGTGATTTCGCTTGTTGTCGCGATCGCGGCGGCACCCGTAGCAGTGGTGAGTAGCAAAGATGGGACAGCGAGGGTGAAAAGAGAGTGGAATTTCGGGCGGCGCCGGCTGTTCCGCAGGGTAACAGTCGTCCGGGTCGCCGTCGCCATAGCCGCGACAGAGCGAGAGCGCGGAGTAGAGGTTGTCTCACGGAGACATGGACTCGGGTTTGGTCATCACAGGAGGAGGTTTGACACGGAGTGAGTGCTTGTGGACGTGCACGCACGCGATGGTTGTTGCGGTTCGCAGCAAAAGTTCAGATGGGACAGTCGAGAGAAGAAACCACCAAAACCAAAACGGTTGGGATGAAAATGGGGGCGGCAAGAGCCCCCCAGCTCAGTGTCTCGCAGCGCAGCGCAGCGGAACCTGGGAGTGCAGCAAGAGCGCAGGGGGAGGCGGGTCGGCGAAAGTCTGCGGAGAACTCACTGTTCTGGCTTGGCTTGCAGGGCCGGGCTTGCCAGACCTGCCAGACAAGTCAACCCAGCCAACAAGAACCGAGCCCGCTCAAGCACGCCTGGCTCGCTTCGGCCGGGGTTGATGCCAGGCGCGGGGGAGTGAGTGCGCTGGGCTGAAGAGTCAGGGGTTAGGATTGGGCAGCCAGCCGACCAAGCTGGAGCACCCCCTTGCTTGGCGGTTCTCGGGCTTTGGGAAGACTCGCAGAATCCGGCTTTCCAATCATCCGTCTGCGAAGCCCAGTGAGCCTAGCCCAGGTCGATCTGACAGAAAGCAAGCAATCAACCCCTCCGCCTCCGTCCTCCCAAGGACTTTACGGAGTACACTAGCGGAGAGGACAGAGTGTGCTATGCGAGAGGAGTACGCGTTCTGTCTTTTTCTCTCTTCTGCCCTGTTGCGTCTCGCGAGCCGCAGCCCCCGCTGTGCCGCCGCAGTACAGCGGTCTCTCCTTCAGGGTGCAAGAGCCGCGATTCAGCCTTAGCCATTTTGCCGTTCAAGACCCGCGCGCATGGGTCTCGACCTCCGGCGAGAACCCGTGGCGCGCAGCCCTGTGGCTCGACACTCCCGGCGCATTGGACATCCATTTGGGGGTGGCGCCTAGGATCGTGAATCGAGATTTGTGGTTTGGCCCGCTGTTGCATCCATGTCGGGATTTGCTTCTCCCCTCGGCCATCCCCCGTCCCCTGCCCATCGTTCAGAAGGCCCCAACAAGCTTTGCTCGCCTGAGTTTCTGAGCTTACAATACCACACTTTCTCCTCAACTTGGGGTTCCGAACAGGAGACAGTGAGGTCTTCATGCTGCAAAACGTACCACCACAGAGAGCAGGACCTCTGGCGGGGTTTCTGTGGACACCTGCGGCGGACTTGAGCAACTTGAGGCTTCGCCTTCCCTTCCATAATTAGCGCGGCGCATAGCGCCTGCTCCCGACTGCTGATTGGCTGTTTGATCCGCGCAACTGCCAAGCCTCAAGCCACCCTCTCGAGAAGGAAGGAAGGTTGTTGGTCCGCTCTGACAGACTGACAGTGCTTTCCGTCGGGCAGCCCCCAAAAGCGGAAACCCCCGGCCGCGGTGCGGAATGTTCAAGCCGAACTGAGCAAACAGCATGGGAAGAACGCTGGGCAATTCCTGACTTGAAAGCGTAACTGCGCGCTTCGGTCAATCTCCAAGCAAAAAATTACGCCGACCGATCGCAAATTTGCGCAGCGGGGCCGTTCCGGAACATCGGCCCCGAGTCACCTCGCAACTTCGCACGGCCCCAAGCCAAGCTTGCTAGGGACTACTGACAGCATAGATTGGCAACAAACAGGGCTGAGCAGCGAGCGGCTAGTGAAAGCTCCGAATATTCACGCTGAATGAGTGTTCAAGGGGGAGAGGCTTCTCAATAGTTAATCAAAACTCATCTCTCAAGGTAGGTTGTTTCTGTGCGGGTCGTATGAGAACTGCAGTTCGAAAGTCCTCTGCTGTGCGATCAAGCGGTGGCATATCCCACACATCGAAGGCTCCTAATATACCAACAACTGGAAACACCCAACCCGCCAGCGAACTATGAACCAATTGTTTTGCTTCGGCTTGAGCCCCAATTTTCTCAGGACTAAAATTCAGGCCTTATTAACCAGGAAGTATTTGAGACAGCGGAGTAACCACCATGAGCGGAATCAAGGCATGTCTTGATAGACCTTTCGCCTACTCAGGGTTATAACTCCAAACCTCAACATTCCGGGCCTGATATAAGGTGTCTGTTTAAAGAAGTTTATCAGCACGAATTCCTTGTCCCCATCCCGATGCTTGACTTACCAGAGTCTGGTCCTGGCGACCCAGAGGAACCTTCCATCTGAAGGTTGATGATCCTTCGATCGTCAGTCAACAATATTTCCAGCTCTCACACTTCCCCAAGCCCGAGCAGAATCCAAACTTACAGATACATCGGCTTCCCCACGAACCCCTTCCCAAACTGCGTATCCACCACCTGCCCATCCATCGAAAACTTCACACTCACATCCACCCCATTCTCATCCCGCACCTCACACAATATACTATGCCACGCGTCCGGACTCGGATACTCCACATCCACCGCGCGCACCTCCGACGACGTATTGAACGTATTAAACGAAATCTTCCCACTCCCCTTCCACTCTGCCATATCCACCTCCGGCGGCCACCCCTCCACAGCCGTCAACCAAAACGCCGGCCACGTCCCTCTGGCCACCGGCGCGCGGAACTCCCCGGAGAAGTCATACCCGCCGCCGGCAGCAACATTGAAGTGCTCCTTGGCGTGCACCGCGCCGGATAAGTAGCGGATCTCGATCTGTTGTCCGCCGTGGCTGGCGGGCGGTTCGTTGTCGGCGCGGGACGCGGTGAGGGTGAGCACGCCGTCGGTGGAGAGGGTGGCCTGGGATTGGGCCATGCGGGCCGCGCCGTTGTGGTCGCTGCCCCAGGGGTAGAGGTAGTTCCAGTCGGTGTCGAAGTCGGATTGGGAGGCGAAGGAGGTGTTGGGGATCATGATGTGCTTGGCGAGGGTGAGGGGAGTGCTGGATAGCAGCAGGGCCGTGAGGGGGGGAATGAGGGGTTTCATTGTGGTTGGATTGCTGTCGCTGTGTCACTATACAATACGGGAGTGAAGGGATTCCGAGAGTTGTGAAAGTGGAGGAGAGACGTAGGAAGGCCTCAGAGCGGACGCCTTCATATTAAACAAGAGAGCCCGGACAATGAGCTCGTCGGTCGTGATCCTCCAAAAGACACAACCGGTCCCGGGTTGATGCCCCCGAGATGTGCGCCGATCCTCGACGACTGAGGGGAAACGTGGTATTTTTTCCGTTCCAATTAATCTATCTGGGAACAACCCATGATCGGGGGTAAACTCAAGCACCGGGAATCAACCCTTCGTAGTGGTCGCAGATCAAATAATTATCAGTAAGAATTCTACGATGTATGATGCGATAGACTGTTGGCGCTCAGATAGTGTGGCCAATGTATTAATGTCCAGGGCATTTCGGCAAACATATTCACATTCTCAAGCAAGGGGCTTTATTTATGATGGGCTCGGTGTTAGTCCACAAGGGGATAGAATATTCCTAGCACCGACACTACTATGTCGGACGTTGAAGTTACCGTGCTCGGATACCGAAATTTCACCGTGGTAAAGGTACTGCAGAAATCAAATTTGATCTTGCCTCCGTCGTTAGCTAGCACAGACCGAAAACAGTTCCCGAAGTCCTCTTTCGCTGTGCGATGTCTTGCGGCCTTTTGAGTCTCGGATGTTGGTTAAAACCGCATTCTACCCTTTACGGGCAACATTTCCTTGTTGCGCTTATTTGGCTCATGGCCTAGGTCCATCCTTGAATAATGACCCAGGGGATGCCACTTCCCGACGCTGCCGGAGCTCTATCTCTAGTGATCCCCAATCGCCGGCCCCAGCGGGTCTTTCCGCTAAATCCCGGGGTTCGATACCCGGGCTTGGCACCCGCGCCGTCAAGCCACTCCCGGCCGGCTAGCGGGCGGGTAAGAATTTAGAATTGTTTTGACGTTAAAGAAGATCTCAAAGTCTAACTACCTTAGTTGAAGTGATCCATTACAATATGAATTTTTTACTGCAATCTAGACTTGCTACGCACAATTCACTCACTTTCTGACGAGCTCCGTTCCGAGCGCCCCCCTGTTTATACATGCCGTGTACCCAAAAACCCACTCCGGGATGCATTCCGCATTCCACAAACTGTTAACCGACGGCAAGCGCTCTCCGGCGTGGCCCCTCCGGGACCCTCCCCCACGTTCGGTCTTCGGTCTTCGCTCTTATACTGTCCGGTAGCCTCCGACTGCAATGGATCGCTCCTAGTGTGAAGTCAATATTTATATCCCACGATCTCCGCTTGATCGATGAAGCTTTTACCACTCCATCGCATCAGACACCCAGCACCCTCCTCCTCCTCACTTACCCACACTACCATAACCACCACCCGCGGCCTGCATCACAGCACTCCATCCACCTCCAAAATGACCGCCGAGAAAAAGCCCGGCGCCATCTGCGCAAAGCCCCTCCAGCTCCAACCCACGGTCCACCCCGACTTCAAAACCCTCGAAGCCTCCCGTCCACCCTGGGACGCCTCCCACAAACTGGAATTCGTCCAAACCGCCGAGCCCACCTGGCAATTCGGCTCCGGCCCCAACCCCACCGCCGACCTCAAACTCCTCTCCCAATCCCACATCCCCATCGACCCCTACGCCCCCGGCCGCCCCCTCAACTCCAACTACAAACTCCTCATCTCCGCCATCGTCCCTCGTCCCATCGCCTTACTCTCCACCCGTTCCCCAGACGGCACCACCACCAACCTAGCCCCCTTCAGCTACTTCGGCCTGATCAGCCACGAACCGCCCCTCTTCGCCATCGGCTTCGTCGGCTCCCTCCCCACAACCGAAGGCACCGCCATAAAGCGGGACTCCCTCCGCAACCTGCACGAAACCAACGAATGCGTAATCAACCTGGTCTCCGAAGACTTCCCCGAAGCAGCCAACAGCACGAGCATCCACGCGCCCTACGGGATGAGCGAGTGGGACGTGAGCGGTTTAACGCCGGTGTATGATTGTGAGACGGTGGGGTGTGCACGTGTGAGGGAGGCGGTGTTTGCGATTGAGGGGAAAGTGGAGAGTTTGAAGGAGTTTGAGAGTCGGTCGACGCCGGGGAAGGTGACGTCTACGATGGCGGTGATTGAGGGGACGCGGTTTTGGGCGAGGGAGGATTCGATTAATGAGGAGAGGAATTTGTTGGATCCTAAGGTGAGTTTGGTCCCTTACATGCCCGAATATGTCTTCTCCCCCTTCCCCCCCTTTTCCCATTTCCCCTCCCGGTTTTCTTTCCCTTATTTTATTGTATTTTCATCTTTATACCCCGATAGCGACCAAACCCCTGACTAACCCCCAAAACAGGTCCTCCGCCCCGTCTCACGACTAGGAGGGATCACCTACGGGAGAACTTTAGAAACCTTTGAGCTGTTACGGCCAGACTTTGAGAAGGACTTGGGCGGGGTAGAGGGCGCAAAGAAGCTGGAACCTAAGCATGCTCCAAACTAAATAGAGAAGGGGATTGGGTTGGGTTGGTTTCCTTACACATAGAGTCGGACGAAAGAAGGATAGACTGAGACACAATAGAGGCGGGTTATTAGGGTTTTACTGTGTATTACGGTTGTGAGAACTGGGACAGAACCACATGGGATCATTTCGTCGATGGCATTTCTCATACATTATCTAAGTTTTAGTGGCCCGAATTGATACAATGCATGCTGACTGTGGCATCAATTCCCTTCAAACTCCGCCTGCTTGCGTGCTTGCCCTGCTTTAGTTCATAACAACGCCTGTCGTATCCCATATCTTGGCTAAAACGCCCCGCCTAGCCCCAAGTAGTGTGCAATAGATATACATATATACGCATGTTCGTACACACAAAACGACACACAACCCCTGAAAAAAAGGGTCTAAAACAAAAACTCCGCACCTTTTTTACTCAGTACATACTCCACGCCCAAACGCCCCTGCTCTTCGTGTGTGAGCAGCTCGGCTAAAATGACATCTCCTGCGGGCGGGTCGTCGGTCATGCGCTCTTTAACGTGGATGATGATCACGCGTAGCCCGGCAAGGACATTGTCCAGGATGGGGTTATTCCCTTTGCTGTCGTCAGAAGTCCCTTCATGTTCCTCACATACACCATCTCTTTCCTTCTCGTCATCTCGTTCGCCGCCATCCCCGTCTTCTCCCAACTGGGCCACCGTATTCCGTAGCGGATGCACAGGTACACTAGTCTGTCTTTGCTCCTGAGCCGACGGTGCCTGGGGAGGGTGGTCCGAGTCCGGCGCCGAGCTCGTTGTCGGGTTGATAAGTGGCGGCGGATGCTGGCTCCGGGGGGAAACCGGGGCATCCACCCCCCCGCTGACGCTATCGGTGAGGTCGGTATGAGTGGGTGGAGCGAGGGTGGCCGGCTGTGGCGTATTTTTGCGTTTGGCCCGGGATCCTTCGTCGGAGATGCGTTTGCGTTTTTTGTCGATGGCTGGGAGGAACACGGGTCCGGCGCGTGCGTTACGCAGGGTATGGTGATGGATTTGGCTTTGGTTATGCGGGTGAGACGCAGAGGGGTGTGACATAGATACCGGTGCGGACACCGTGACGGCGGGTGTGTCCCTCTCCTGGCGGGCGGCCACAACCGCCCTCGCGAGGGCCGTCATCTCCTCGGCGATGTACCGCGGCGTGAGATGCCCAAACAGTAGATCCACAGACCGCGAGTCGTCGTAGCTACACTCGATAAAAATCGCCGCGAGATGACCTGTGACAATCTTGAGCGCGGCCTGTTCCCACACCTCCGCGTTGCGCGGTGACAGGCTAATACTATCTGGTTCAACATCACCAAACATGAGGATCTCCCGGCCCGAGGCGGTATCCCGCACAAAATACACCGAGCTGTCATACACACAGACCGACTCGTCCACAATCGCCGATGCGCCAACCGAGTACGCACTCCCACGTCGGCTCGTTGCTGCGGGCGAGGCATGGAAACGTTCGTGTGGGTGTAAGATGTTGGCAGGTAGCGAGGGATGTGTCGGGAAGACGCGAGATGACGGGGACGGCGTGGGCTGGAATGGGCCGACGCCACCGCCTTGGCCTGTGGGAGCGACATCGATGCTGTTATGGCGGGTGCTGCTGCTGCCGCGGTGGTTGTGTCGCTCGATGCAGTGCCCATGGCTGACGCTCCAGACCTTGACGGCCAAGCCGTTGCATATCTCAAGATAGCCCTGCGTTTCACCTTCACCAAAGGCTGGCGACCCGCCCTCAACCAACCGCATGTAGGTCACGAGCCCAGCACCATTATTTTCGTCGCTCAGATTGGGCCATATGATATTGTTGAACACGTGGGTCTTAAGAGCGGCGATGGTGCTGGGGAGTCCGGCAACGCGCTTGGGGCGGGCGCCAGGTAGGCCGGCGGTGTTGATAACGAAACCGGCAATATGGTCGAGATGAGGGTGGGTGATGAGGTACGTTTCGATCAGATTTTTATGTATTTGCGCCGCGTTTGCTTCGGCAGAGGTGCACTGGACCTCAAGACCGGCAAACGGGCCCGTGGTGAGCGTATGGGGAAGTGACGGGCCATCAGGCTGGCCGAGGTTGGCTGGTTGTGTCTCATCTAGGATGGCCTTGATGGCGCTGAGATGGACACCTGCGTCAACGGCCACAACCGAGCCCTGAGCCCAGTCTGATGCGAGGGAGCGCACAAGAAAGGCAGTTACGTTATTTTCTAATGGCCCCCCACCGGAGCCCTGGGAAATATTAGCGATTGCTTCAACGCTGTGTCAAGACGATGAACAGGTTGCGCATCTGGCAAATGCTCGGTGGCCGCTCAAGATGGCTTCTCATCTAAATGAATAACAAAACAAACAAGCCCCCTTTGCAGCCCCATCAGCCCAGCGCCACGACTAGGGTGAGACAAAGACGCAGCCAAAACGAGAGACAAACGAGCTGAATCGGATGAAAACAGCAGTTTCCCACGTGGCCCAGGCCGGGTGTTTCAAACTTTAAACTTTAAAGTTTAAACAGAACACGAAGGAAAAAGAAAGAAGGAAGACAGCGCCGAAGTATCCGTGCGTTTGCACCGTCCATGCTGGGTCCCGATTTCAGGCCCGGCCCGAAGCTTGGGGGCCTGGACGTCCCGGTCCGGGTCCCACCGCCCGGCCATGCGGCGAAGCTGACGCATTTGGCAGAAGTGTCTCGGAACGGACCATTGAGAAGAAGCCATTCGGCCTTCGTTCGAGGACATTCAAACTCGGCACCTCAAGTCTTTGAATAAACAAAGAACGAGACGCGCTGCCGCAGACATTCAAGGTATAGGGGAGAAAACGACAAAGGGAGACAACAAAAAGAAAAAGAAAACCAAAAAAAAAAAAAACCCACTCACCAAGACAATGACCTGCAGCGCGGGCGGTACCGCCGATGTGGACGCAGATGCAGACCCAGAAGCTGAGGTGGGCCCAGATGCGGGTTGCGTCCAAGCAGCAGGAGCGCGAACCGCCTTCTCAGGCGTCTGCCCTGTTGCAGCGGCGGTCGTTTGGCTTGCGCCCGCGAGCGATGCCCGGGTAGACTTTTTCCCCATCACAAGTTGCCCTTCTTTCCTTTCACACTCATTGAGTATTGAGAACAGATAATGCTTGGCGGTTTAGCGCTTGGGTGTTCCGCGCGTGCCGTATCGAAAGCGATGTGAGATCGGGGTTAGCCTGGGCGAGACCTCGTCCCAAGGGATGAGTGAGTGAGGTTTGATTGAATCTTGATGGCGATGATAGTGAGGATGATGCGCTTGCCAGGCTTCTCTTCTCGCTCGCTCTGTTGCGTATTGAAATCGGGAATTGGCTTTGCCGTTCTTGTGTAACGAGGCGTTGAGGATGGCGTCAGATGTATTCAGATTCCCTCGTCAATAGAGACAAAGATCGGGAAATGCGACAACAGGTCGAGGCCCGTCAGCTCTTGGTGTGGGTGGTTTTAGTGGCTTGGGGCGCGTGCTTGGGATCCGCTGCGGTTTGTGGTGAGCGAGATGCAAGGGACCCTGCAGGCTGCAGCGTACAGGGAGCTGCGTGGGTGTCGGGTCCCAGGTCTTGGGTTTGCCAACCTCGGCCAGGTGGTGCGTGACGGGATGAATTTATTCTGTCGGGGGGTTTTTATCTGGAATATTCTTCCGCCTTCCCCAGAATCTGATAATTTGGGATCCCCGAAACGGCGCAAACGTTTCGTAGAGTCGATCTTGCCGGAGGAAAAATAGATTGCCGTGGAAAAAGAAGTCTGCGCCTCGATGGGGTGTGTGCAGTTGCCGGGTGTTTTATGTGTGACAATCAAGAGCCGCGGCCCTGGGGACAATGGGATAAGTTAAGTCGCAGCAGCAGTCGCATTCCAGCAAGGTCAAAGCGCAAGGGCTGTCCTTCCAGCCCGGGTGGTGCGCTCCCCATCATGTCGGCTCCTGCCATCCGTACCTTGAGCTGAAATGCTTTCCGTGTTGGGGCCGAAGACTGGTTGATTTGCGGTTGCCTTGCAGATGCACACGTGCGGCCCGGGGACAGAAAATCGGAACGCAGCAATCGCCTTTTTGATTTCTTGCGCGGTGCATCTCACATCTCCATCGGCCGCATCAAAATTGGACCCTTGGATTGGAGCTCAGGGCAAGGTTTTCAACAGACTGGGAAGATCCAGCTTGTCAGTTGAGCTGGCAAGCTTAGATGCATCCAAGGTATCCTGGTCCACTCGGGCAGGTCGTCTAGCGGGTAAGAAAGCCTTTCCGGCGCTCCCGTCCCCACAGTACGGATCCGTTCACGGCGAGTCCGTTGCAGCGCCGCCCGATAAACTATTCGGCCGACAACTGCGGAACGATCGTTCAAACTACGGATACTCAGCAGCGATCGAAACAGCCGGAACCCGTCGATAACGTGATGTCCCCGGCCATACTTTGTGCTTGATGAGTCATGGTCACCGACGACAATACTCGCACACAGTAGGGCGTTCTCACTACCTACCTTCGTCAAAGGCCCCACTCTCGGACTTGCCGGTGGGTATCCCGGGGCCATCGGCGCCGAGTAAGCCGGGATGGCCAGTTGCCTTCATCGGCGTGCTCGGGAGGGCTAAGCTCTGGCTGCCTCTCCCTACTGTGCTACTTTTCACCTTGAAAAGGCGGGAAAAAAAGACATTGACGGTGAACACGCACCGGAAAACCGATGAAGTGGAAAAAGGGCCAACGGACTTGTCCGAGCTGCATGTATTACGTTCACCACCACGTGCCACTTAATAATGTTGTCGTCTACCGTCAGGGGCGTTGTGAGATGTGGTCTTACAGTGATGGGGTTGGTGGAGCGCCCGATTCGCTGGGAACAGCAACAAGTGCTGCGGTTAGGCTTGTGTGTGGTTCGGTGAACGGTATATCGCTATATCTCCGACTATGTTACGGCTGTGGATGTGTTAGGCATCAAAGTACAAGACATCAACGAGATGGGTTTGTGTTACCGGACTGAGAATCGCTCGATGCAAGGGCGGTTACCGCGGCCGGCCCCGCCCGTTGATGACTTGTATGTTCCAAGCACGAAGAATGGTGACAACTTTAGACGAACCAAATTCCCGAGTGTAAGACGGGACAAAAGCCGGTCCGGATGGTGGCCCTGATTCTCCAGCTATTTGTTAGAAAGGGGGGGTAGTTCAGGCGAAGATGGTGGGTATAAGGCTTCACTAACACCTCCAACATAGTAGATTTAACCACCTCTGCCCCCTCTCAGCCTCCAACGCCCATGTCCTAGCGTGTCAGAGGTCTCTTACAAAATGAGGTTCACATTAAGGTCACCGTTCTCAGGAAATACAAAGGTGAATATGTCCGAGTCTATGATGATAAATACACCCCGGGAATATAATCGCCTGAGAGACTCCGTCAACGTGCTAGACGTACTATAAAACTTACCAAACCTTGTATATAATCATAGCTCTGCGTTTTTCCGCCCGAACCCTTTACTATCATGCAAATAATATTTCCGGTTGAATAACGATCTCAAGCACCTTACCTTGTAACTAATGACTTATCTTTCTACTCCGCCCAGCAGGATGCTGGGCCCCTATACCACCAAGCAAAAGACATCGGCACTTACCTGGCTCCCTGGGTAGTCTTGACGGCCGATTAAACCTGCAGAAACGGCCGTCCGAGAAAATTAGCTGTAGCAGCGCAGTGCCCGAATCGGAAACAGACTCGGGCTGTTCCTTGGACCGTACCGTGGCCCCATGCTTGTTGGCATTACGACGGGTCCTACCATTTGAATCCATTACCATAACCATAGCCATCACTATTATTCATTATCAAATTCGTCGTCAGGGGGGCAAGAGGGATCATCCTCGGCGAGGGGGTTCATGGGGTAAGGTTTCACAATGATGGTAGAACCTCTCCTAGAACTGTTATTCCCACCGGCTGGTGACGGAAACACTCCAGTTGGTCCAGACTGGTGGAAGCCTTGCGCCGTGGCTGGGGCCGGAAGCAGGCGGCGGGTTCGCGCACTCCGCCTAGGGTTAAGACGGGGACGCTCTGGACGTGTTATGGTACCTGTTTGTGCCTCGCCTGAGAGTATTCCGGCGCCATTGCCGTTTCACCTGGGACGCTTGGGAGTCCGTTCTTGGTCTTCATCTTCCTCTTTCTCGCCTCCGTCTACGTTAGATGGCCGCGGCCGCTTGTTTTGCATCCCTCGACCCTGTTGTGTCTCTAGTTGAGATTGTTGTTGCTCTTGTTGATATTCGCCTAAAATTTGCCTTTCGAGTTCTTGGCGTTCCTGTGTATGTCGCTGTTCGAGTTCCTGGGTTTCTCGTTCATGTCTCAGTCGCAGTGGTTCCATCCGTCGCCTCAGCAGGATGCGGAAGCGTTCGTCCCCTGGCATCAGATCGGGAGACCCCTCCTGACTTGCGCTTCCACTTCCGTTTCCGTTGCTGCTAGGGGCTGGAGTGCCCTGGGTGCTGGGCGTACGATGATTGTTGCCATCTCTTTTTTCTCTCCTGAGCTTCATCTGTTTCCTCAGGCTGCCTCTGTGATCGCTAATGGTCACCCCACCGCGCTCGTCCCGCACTTTCTTCCTGATCTTAGGCTGCTTAGAGAGGTGGTGATCGGTCAGTTTGCAACCGAGGCGGTTCTCATGTTCATTACCCGGTCGGTTGAGTGGAGGTTCTAGCCCGGTGTACGCGATGACCCCTGCGTTCCTGGCCTCAAGCTGTTGGGCGCGGTCCCGCTGGCCGGCCACCCACTCATCGTACATGTCTATCATGGACTCGTAGTTACGGGTGAGCGATGCTGGGTTGCTGTCTTGGAGGTAAAACTCTCGAGTGTCTGGCCGGATGCGGATACGCAGGCGGTCAGCGCCGAAGTGGATGAGGTAACCCAGGTCAAAGATCTCCTCGAAGCAGTCCAAATGTATGTACCCGGCGTTGTGATAAGGATTGAGTCTCTCGCCGGTGTAGTGAGAAAACTCATCGAACGCTATGCGGAAGTACCCCTGAGCTATGGTGTTTTTCTTCGCAGGGCAGCCGTCGTAGCGGCACCTGGTTGATTTCTGCGAACTTAGGTACCAATCATTGACCTTGGTCGGCGTGTTTTGAATCCAGAGGGTCGGGCGCCGGTGGGGGTTGGGATGCCCTTCGCCGCGAAGGAAAGTGGCCAGTTGCTCCCTAGTGAATGTCAGGTTAGGGTCCAATTCGGTTGTGCGTTCTTTATATTGGAACGTCTCCCCTCGTTTCCTAACCCTGTTGACTCGTCGTATGACCATTTCGCCCCAACTGGGTAGCCAGTCCGATTCAGGCCGCTGATAGAAGTCGATGAAGTCTTGATCCTCGTTTTCCCTCCTACTCCCCACTTCTTCCATTTTCTCGTTAGGTATAGGGGGGAGTTCTGGGATCATCAGCTTCTCGGCGCTAGGTGTAGGATCTTGGGGGGGCTGTATTCCGTTCGGCCCGATACCTTGGAGCCAGTCGTGAGGTCTCCCGGATTGGGGTTGGGGGTTTACGTCACCGGGTATCCGTGGAGGCTGTTGCGGCCCTGGTGGTGGAATTACGTTAGGGGGAGGTACTCCTGATATCTCGGAATCATCGGGTTGTGGAGGGTATAGGTTGTATTCATTCTCAATCACTGACCCGGACGTGGCGGTTCCAGCCTGGTTGGGATCCCAATTGAATAGCAACTGAGGATCGATGGTTTCAGGGTTATCCATAACGTTTGGGAAAAGATTGATGGCTCCAGTGTTCACGATCTGGGGGCCGTTGCCGCCGTCGTAGTCTATCCATTCGTCGAGGTTGTCAATGTCCATCTCGTCTAGTCCTGGCAGATGGTTTTCTGGATTCAGTTCCAGGTAATTTTGCACCACCCCGAGACCGTAGTCTTCCATGGTGGGCTCCAAGACGCTCTGCGGCCACCATGGGATATCTTCCCCTTGGGACATGGGTTACGGTATTGTAACCAAAAAAAAAAAGGCAGAGAAATAAACAAGAGGAACGATCTCAGTCAGAATTTGACGTTCGAGCTTGCCAGTAGAGGAGATCGCAATAAAAGTCTTGTGAACAAGGTCGCGGTTTTAATCGGCCACGTAAAAGCCGTTCGAAAACGGTTATATTGGGAATGACTTGATGATGCCTAGGTCTGCTGCGAGCCAAAGTGTTTCTCGGATGAGGAGTGCTTATATACATCTTATTCTCCCCTCGAAATATTGAACAAAGGAAGGACAAACACCACTCTTGCACCGAAGTATTCGAGGACAACAATGTCGAGCAGCACAAGGACATTGTAACGAGAACAAGGGGGATTGGGTTGCTGTGCTTGGCCATTGTCACAACATGGGAATCGGGTGTCGAAAATAGTCGACTCGATGAGGTGAGAGAATCTTTTTCATTCGAGGTCAAGAATATGCTTAATATGTAACAAAGAAGATTTGGAACCGCCGTCAGGGTCGGGGATTGGTGCGAGGGCCACAGCTAGAAGAAACCTGGAAATAGTCAGCACACGACCGAATGGTGTTGCGGTTGTTTAGTGCGGCGAGGTTAGAGGTGCAAGATCAGTAGAGCTCAAGCTTTTTCTCAACACAGAGGTTCAGAACAGGTCTGTGAAATGCGTCTATTTCATCATACAAGTTGCAAAAAGTTGTGGGAAGGAGACAATTGCAGGACATTGGTGGCATACCTAAGAGAAAGATACCGGGCGGCGCATCGCGCTTGTTTCCATCTCACCTAGCTACACTAGATCCCCTCCGCCGTCGAAGAATGGCCACACAATAGGTAGAACAAAGGCATTGTGTGGTACTCGCCTAAAATAAAGATAACAATGGCGCGAGACCACTGTCAAACTTTGAACAGACTTTGAATCATTGTGGTCGAAAGAGAGTTGGGAGGATGGGTGGTGGGAAGTTGATGGGGGACGTTCGGGGTTTTATCGGGAAATTTTTTGTGTGACAGGGCCTCTCGGTTGTGGGGTGTGGGGTCTGTCCACGCTCACTCAACCCCAAGTTGACTTAGAGCCTCAGTTAACATACTATGTACTATGTAGGAGGTCCAGGAACTGCACTGTACCGAATACCTGATTGAACACTACTTGACCTATAAGTCAGTTTGATGGGGCCCGGGAAGTACAGTATGAAGACGGGGACTTCACCTGGATCTTGCGACAGCAAACAAGTCGTTGGCTAATAGTGAACTCATTGAGCTTTTCCATAGAATATACTTCGTACAAAGTATGGGAATGCGGCTAACGCAAGCGGCAAAGGGCCAGTGGTTAGATTGAGGTGGAGGAAGGGGGGGGGTGCAAACCATAAGTAACAAGAGCTTTGATCTCCTCGTGACGTCCAATGTTCGTGGGAAGTCTCACACCCTGCTGTGGTGCGATGGGCTCGAGTTGCTCGAGCTTGCGGCCCGCAGCTTCCAGCCAGGGGTGGGAGCGCTTCAGATCCGGAGCGGGCGACGATCATTGGTGCCCATTTTTACCCCGTCCCACCACGAGCCCACCCGCTCTCGTACCGAAGAGCGCCCCACTAAACCTGCCCGAACCCCCATCAAACGATATGCTGCTCCTGCGGGCCTGTGACTGACATTCGATTCTTTAAAGTCAACCACAATTCCACACCTGCAGCCAACGCTACGTCACGGGGCTAAGGCTGGCAACACGAAACAGCGGCGCCGCTCACCGATCTGAGACAGCTCAGAACTTCCATCATCCGTCCCAAACAACGACCTCGAGTGCCTGCCATCGGATCCGCGCATGGCCACCCGCCCACGATCAACCAGCTAGCTGGACCGCAGACGGGTTTCTGTCCGCCTTTCGTCTGCGCATCGCACACAGGTCGCTCCTTAGCTCCTACGAGTAGACTTACCGCGCCGTCGCGCGCGACACCGACAACGTCATGGCCTCCCTCAGTCCTGAGCTGCAGGGGAAGCTGGAGGACCTGGATAGAGAGTTAGAAGTACGTGCGCGTCACCTATGAGTCGCTCGCCTTGGGTTTTTTGTTGCGGGTGGCTTCTCGAGTCGGCCCTTTGCCTCCGTCTGTTCGATTGCGAGGAGCCCCTGTGTGGAATGTACGGGTCTCAAAGCGCGCGGTTTGCTAACACGCTACGGTTTTTGACAGGAGGGTGACATCACTCAAAAAGGGTGCGGCTCTTCTTCTTTTTCTTTCTTCTATTCTTTTGGCGATCCTCACCGCGTCTCGTGTTCTCCTTGGACTCTGGTCAAGGTCACACGGCTTCATTCACATTCGTTACTGGGAACAACTGGCTGACCACGCAACTTGGCTCGCTTGCAGGTACCAGAAACGGCGTACCCAGCTCATGTCACAGTTTGGGTTTGGTGACGTTTCCGAATTAAAGATGGGCGGCTTGCGAATCCACTCTCCCGACAATGAGGGCCCCCCAGAAGACCACCGTGCCGCTTCGCTGGCTGCCCTAAACGCTGCGCCGAGCGACTCCCCCGGCCTCGAACCCGTTCGATCAGAAAACGAATACCAAGAGCAATCCTCGTACCCGAACATCGAATCACACCCCGCGTCTCTGCTCGCCCCCGGTGGGCCGATGGCGGAACAGCGCCCGACAATACGCCAGCATGACTCGCTTTTCTTATCCGCGCCCCAAAATGATCCCTCTACAAGATCTGGCACCATGGTATCGGGAGACTATGCTTTCAACCCCGAGCATCAAATTGGGTACGCGGACCAGGCTGGATCAAACCCCTATGATAGCAGGACAGGGACGTTGTTGGACTCGCAGGCCTATTTTTCGGACTTTGCTGGCCAGTCATACGATCCCTCGGGCCCAGGCGGAGGAGAGTACGGGGTGGTCCATAGATACTCCTCTAGCGATGCGTTCTCGCCCACGGCAGCTATGGCGCCCCCCATGCTCACGACAAATGAGCTTCCCCCAACAGATGCTCTTCAGTTCCAAATGCCCCTCGAACCCCGCGAAGTGCCGTTCGCCATCCACGACCCCCACGATGACACTATTCCCATGTCAAACTTTGACAACATCGCCGCGGTACTCAGGCACCGCGGTCGTGCTCTAAGTAAGAGGCCCGCGTACTGGGTGTTGGACAGCAAGGGGAAGGAAATCGCGTCGATTACGTGGGACAAATTAGCCATGAGGGCCGAAAAGGTGGCGCAGGTCATTCGCGACAAGAGCTCACTGTACCGGGGAGACCGTGTTGCGCTTATTTACCGCGATTCCGAAATCATCGATTTCGCCATCGCATTGCTGGGCTGCTTCATCGCCGGGGTGGTCGCAGTACCCATCAACGAGTTGCAGGACTATCAGAAGCTCAATCTTATCCTGACGTCGACTCAGGCGCATCTTGCGTTGACCACGGACAACAACCTCAAGGCCTTCCAGCGCGATATCACCGCCCAGAAACTCAACTGGCCCAAGGGTGTTGAGTGGTGGAAGACAAACGAGTTTGGAAGTTATCATCCTAAGCGGAAGGATGACGTCCCTCCTTTGTCCGTCCCAGACTTGGCCTACATCGAGTTCTCACGGGCGCCGACCGGCGATCTCAGGGGTGTCGTCTTGAGCCACCGTACCATCATGCATCAGATGGCCTGCTTGAGCGCCATTGTCTCCACTGCACCAGGGAACGGGCCGGCCGACACGTTTAGCAGGGATCTGCGTGACAAGAATGGCCGTTTGATGGCGGGCGGTGCCAGCTATGAGACACTGCTCTCCTACCTGGATGCCCGTCAAGGAATCGGCATGATTCTTGGCGTTCTTCTTGCCGTGTATGGGGGCCATACCACCGTTTGGTTGGAGAACAAGGCAGTTGAGGTCCCTGGTCTTTACGCTCACCTGATCACGAAATACAAACCTACGGTGATGGTTGCCGATTATCCCGGCTTGAAACGGGCTGCCTACAACTACCAGGCCGACCCGATGGCAACCAGGAATTTCAAGAAGGGCTTGGACCCTAATTTTCAATCTGTCAAGCTTTGCCTGGTCGACACCCTCACTGTTGACAGCGAGTTCAATGAGCTTCTTGCCGACCGTTGGTTCCGCCCACTCCGCAACACTCGATCGCGGGAGATCATTGCGCCCATGCTGTGCTTGCCTGAGCACGGCGGTATGCTGGTCAGCGTTCGAGACTGGTTGGGCGGGGAAGAGAGGATGGGCTGCCCCCTGAAGCTGGACCTAGGCTCCGATGAGAATTCCGAAGACGAGAAGGAGAAAGAGGAGCAGAAAGCCACCCCTTCTAACGGCTTCTCGACGCTTCTTGGGCAGGCCCCCACCACTACCAAGGAGGAACGAGCCAAAACGGAGCTGGGTGAAGTTCTTCTGGACAGGGAAGCCCTCAAAACGAACGAAGTGTTAGTTGTGGCTATCGGCGATGAAGTGAACAAGCGAGCATTGAGTGAACCTGGGACGATTCGGATCGGCGCATTTGGATATCCGATTCCCGACGCCACGCTGGCCATCGTCGACCCCGAAACCGGCCTGCTTGCTTCGCCCAATACAGTGGGTGAGATTTGGGTCGATTCCCCTTCCCTATCGGGTGGGTTCTGGGCGCTTCCGAAGCACACGGAACAGATCTTCCATGCCCGGCCATACAAGTTCGAGCCCGGCGACCCAACTCCTACGGCAGTGGAGCCTGAGTTTCTGAGGACCGGTCTGTTGGGCACCATCATCGAGGGCAAGATATTCATCCTTGGTCTGTATGAAGACCGCATTCGGCAGAAGGTGGAATGGGTTGAGGACGGCGGTCTCGAGAGTGCGGAGCACCGATACTTCTTCGTGCAGCACATTGTGGTCAGCATAATGAAGAATGTGCCAAAGATATTCGATTGTTCGGCTTTCGACGTCTTTGTCAATGAGGAGCATCTCCCTGTTGTCGTCCTCGAGTCTCAGTCGGCGTCCACGGCCCCAACTACCAACGGTGGGCCACCGCGGCAGCTGGACACGGCGTTACTCGACTCGCTCGCCGAGAGGTGCATGGAGGTGCTTTTGCAGGAGCACAATCTCCGCGTCTACTGCGTCATGATCACGGCTCCTAACGCTCTACCGCGAGTGCTTAAGAACGGGCGTCGTGAGATTGGCAACATGTTGTGTAGGAGAGAATTTGACCAGGGGAACCTCGCCTGCGTCCACGTCAAATTCGCTGTTGAGCACGCGGTGCTCAATCTGCCTGTGGGTATCGACCCGGTGGGCGGTATCTGGTCAGCCATAGCTACCATGTCTCGTGGGGAGCTTCTGGCACCGGCCGACAAGCAATATTCCGGTATTGACCGCAGAGAGGTAGTCATCGATGACAGGACATCAACACCGCTCAATAACTTCTCGAGCATCACTGACCTCATACAATGGCGTGTCGCCCGGCAACCCGAAGAACTGTCGTTCTGTACCATTGACGGCCGTGGAAAAGAAGGCAAGGGTGTGACATGGAAGAAGTTCGACATGAAGGTTGCCGCCGTTGCGGTTTATCTCAGGAACAAGGTCAAGCTCAAGGCGGGTGACCACGTTGTTCTCATGTACACCCACTCCGAGGACTTCATCTTTGCTGTGCATGCGTGCATCAACCTTGGTGTCGTGGTCATTCCACTGGCGCCAATGGACCAGAACCGTCTATCTGAGGATGTACCGGCCTTCTTACACCTGGTATCGGAATACCGAGTGAGGGCAGTACTGGTGAACCAGGATGTGGACCATCTGCTGAAGATGAAGCCAGTCGCGCAGCACGTCAAGCAGACTGCCCAGGTTCTGAAGGTCACGATCCCGAGCACGTACAACACCAGCAAGCCCCCGAAACAGAACAGCGGCTTGCGAGACCTCAACATCAAGATGGATCCAGCGTGGATCCAGCCCGGTTATCCGGTGATTATTTGGACTTACTGGACGCCCGACCAGCGGCGGCTTGCGGTCCAACTCGGCCACGACACAATCCTTGGCATGTGCAAGGTGCAAAAAGAAACCTGTCAAATGACCAGTTCTCGGCCGGTGCTTGGTTGTGTGAGGAGTACTACCGGCCTGGGATTCATCCATACATGCTTGATGGGTATCTACATCGGCACGCCGACTTACCTCCTTTCCCCCGTGGACTTTGCCCAGAACCCAGCCTCGCTGTTTTTGATCCTGTCGCGGTACAAGATCAAGGACACATACGCCACCCCCCAGATGTTGGACCACGCCATGAACATGATGCCCGGCAAGGGCTTCACCATGCACGAACTCAAAAACATGATGATTTCAGCCGACGCCCGGCCCCGGGTAGACGTCTTCCAAAAGGTGCGCATGCACTTTGCCGCGACGGGCCTCGACCGAACGGCCATCAACACAGTCTACTCGCACGTCCTGAACCCCATGATCGCCTCGCGCTCGTACATGTGCATTGAGCCCATCGAGCTCTGGCTAGATCCCAAAGCCTTGCGGCGTGGCTTGGTCTTTGTCACAGACCAGGAGCGCGACCCGAAGGCGCTGCTAATCCAGGATTCGGGCATGGTGCCTGTGTCGACGCAGATTGCGATCGTTAATCCAGAGAGCCGGGAGTTATGCACTGAGGGAGAATACGGCGAGATCTGGGTCGATTCCGAGGCTTGTGTTAAGGCGTTCTATGGCTCGAAGGATGCATTTGATGCTGAACGGTTCGATGGACGGACCATTGAGGACCCGAGTATCCGATATGTGCGCACTGGTGACCTGGGATTCCTCCACAGCGTGCGCCGGCCTATTGGGCCAGGCGGCGCATTGGTTGATATGCAGGTGCTATTTGTGCTCGGCAATATTGGCGAGACCTTTGAGATCAACGGGTTGAGCCATTTTCCCATGGATATTGAGACCTCGGTTGAGCGGTGCCACCGCAATATTGTTCCGAGCGGATGGTAAGTTATGGCGATGTTCTGGATCCGAAAAACTTCTTTTTAACCTCATCTCTAGTGCCATCTTCCAAGCCGGGGGCCTTATCGTGGTGTTAGTAGAGGTCGCCCGCAAAGCATATCTTGCCTCCATGGTCCCCGTCATCGTCAACTCCATCCTTAACGAGCATCAAATCGTCGTGGACATCGTCGCATTCGTCAACAAGGGCGACTTTCCGCGCAGCCGCCTCGGCGAGAAACAGCGCGGCAAGATCCTCGCCGGCTGGGTCAGCCGCAAGCTGCGGACCATGGCACAGTTCGGCATTCGGGACCACGACCGCGAGGCCCTGGGCCCCACAGGAGCAACCCTGGCCGACCAGGCCGCCGGACAAGCCATCGCCACCGCGGAGGACCAAAACCGCGCAAGTCTGGGCAGCTTCCGCAGCGCTAGCGGTGGGATCATTGGGCCCGGCCCCGGCGGCGCAGGAAGCTCGCTACGGAAGATGGAACCCGCACCGCAAATCATCGAACACCACGCGTTGGATCAGTACCCGCCGCAATACCAGCCACACCCAGAGGAGACCATGGACACCATGAACCTAGCTACCCCAACGGCTGCCCCGGGCGCGAACCCAAGCCCAGTAGAAATGCCGGCCGATTTGGACAACGAACAGACACCGACTAGGGCCCACGCGGCGCAAGCCCAACCTGACTTTGGCTTGCCTACTTTTGACGAGCAGCCCGGGTCGTCAGGGGCAACGGCAGGTGGGATTGGAATGGCCATATCATCTGCACAGGCACCACCACCACCACCATCGCAATCCCCGCCGCAGATCCGGTTGCCTGGTGTAGACGGGCGGGAATCGTTGGATGATTGGGATCTGAGGCCCGGGAGTAAGAGTAGTGCTGGGGCCGGTGCTGGTACGGGCGGTGCCGACGGGGATGTTGATGAGGATGACGCGTGGAAAGCGGATGCGTATATGTCGATGAATTTAGCTGGGACACTTGGGGGGAAGTGAGATGTTTGAGAAACGGTTGTGCAACTACGAGATGATGGGAGGGAGTGGTGATGTTAGCGCTTGTTTGGTTTTTTTTTTTTTTTTTTTGTGGGGGGAAAGGGGCAGGCGGGCTTGGGGTTTTCTGGTTTTAGGGTGGGACAGGTGTGATACCCATCCGTAACCACACAAATTAGGGTATTCATGTGCCTGGGGCAATTGGTTTATATTCTTGCTGGTTGTTGTCGTATGACGGGATGCGGACATTGAAGACATGTTTTTGCTTTTGTCCACTTAGATGATGAAGGTGGTTGGCGAAGGCTGCGGAAGACGCACCCTGCGGAATACCATGGCGGTGCGAGTAAGGATGGATTTGTCAAGATATGGCGGTGAGAAGTGTGTTGTGGGCAATTCGATGATGTTTAGGACACATGTGGGTATCAGAATAGAGAGATTTTTCTCGTCCCGTCTCCCGACAGAGCACAGCAAAACATTCAGAGCCGTCGGTTTTCCATGTTGCTACATTTGGTTCTTTCGTATCTCCGAAATGCTGAGACAGTCCCAGGAATATACACTACGATGGCATTTGCGTTGCTTGTGTTTGCGGTTTTCATGGCTTACTGAACTTTGCATAAAAACTGAGCCCCCAACTTGGTCATTCGTGACAAGGCGAGATGAAGTTTGACTGCCCCTGGAGAGGTTCAAGGCTAAATAGTGTAAATGACTCCACCTCGGAAGACGTGGAAGCTTGTTGCTTGATTGTTAGGGACGCGACGGACAGGATACACAGTGTTTGTTTGCTATACGCCAGAACAGGGTCGACTTGACGATGGTAGTAAATGGTAGGGGTGCTTGCTCATGGGCGGCAAGCTCCGTCATTTTCATGGCGAAGGATGATGAAGCGTTGGGAGGAAGCTCAGGAAAGCAAGCATGCAAGCAAGCAAAGGGATATGGGACAAGGGTTGTCGTGGCTTGGGATGGTTTTGGAGGTCGGTCGTCCGGAGCTTGTGTGGGGCGCTCCAGGCACATGGGATGGGCCACTGGGCTCATCGGATGAACAGGGCTGGCGGGAGTTGATCGGCAGGAACTGGGACGGAAGCTCGAGTCGCGCGGCTACCAAGCGGTGGAATTGAGCGCGTTGAACGACCACGATGTTTCTGCTGGAGAGAAAAGCAACAAGAAAAACGGAGGAAGAAAGGGGCAGTTAGCTGCGGACCAAGAAATCTTCATGGCGCCTTTACTGAAATCGAATTTCGCTTTACCCTTGCCCTTGCGCAGCGCGGATAACAGTGGTGGGCGTTGTATTCGTTGTCGTTGTCGGCCGTCCTTTGCGCAAGCGCGTTAACTCAGCCACCAATCCTACCTGGACGAATCCGCCATACCTACCTATCTTATTAATACTTTGCCCGTTGAATTCACGTGGCGAACAGGAACCGCTTGCCGTAACAGGGTATAACCCGATTTCTCGCCCAAAGGAACCCAAATAGGTCGAACTCTGCTGGCACACAAGAAAACAGAATAAAAAACCTAACAAGGCATGGCCTCATCCGCGCGGGCGGACGGAGCCCGGAGGGGCTTCCGCTTGTTGGTCACGCAGCATCGAGATCTTCCCGTATTCGGCGGCTGCACTGCAGCCAACGCACCAACACTCACAGCCAACAACGCCACCGTCGGGGAGAAACGCCTGTGCTCAGAAACGGAGAGAGAGATTTGGTTCAAAAAGCTGAGGTGAGTCCAAGGGAAGGAAAAAAAAAAACAGAAAGAAGAAAAGAAAGAAACCGAGGCGCAAAAGTTTGAAATCTCCGGTACCTGAATTAAAATCAAATCATACGGAGAGTTCCTTCTGCCTGCGCCGGCTGACGGGCGCAGTTGTCGATCTTGGAGCGGCACAGCCGTCAGCTACCGCGGTGGGACGTGCAAAGCTCGGTCGTGGTCCTGCAGCTGAATTCTGGCCAAGACGGGAGATATTCGGCGAGTGGACAGGTTGATCAGGGCCCATCTGCAAATGACTCAGGCTGTTGGGTTTTTGATCGCGTTTTTTTGAGAGGGGAGAGGTTTCCTGCGGATCGAGTCACCCAGGCCCCTCGGCGCTTGTGGGAGGAGATGGTTGGACAATGCAGCCAAAAGCAGAAAAGCCAAAATCCATTTTCAGTACGAATACCGTCCGAAGCTGGTGGGTGATTCTCACTCACCCCCCGCCCCCCGCATCCCAGCCGCCCAGCGCATGGACCACTGCATACACTGGGCTGGGCGGAACGGTGAACCCATGCTCGGGCGAGTACGACTCCACGCAAAGACTGTGCCGCCGACGGCGAAGAACGGCGGAGGGAAGGAACGCACAATGCCACACGCTTTCTTTCCCAACGTGCTTGCTGGACATGCAGGACATGACAGTGCGGGCCATAGCACACAGGGGGTGGGTAGCGACTTCCCTTTCCCATTCCCACCCCATCATCCACGCCCTCGGCTCATCCGGGTCGTCGTTTGCTCTTTCTTTCTGTCTTCCTTTCCCCTCTCATTTCCGTCGCGAGTGGTTCGTCCCTTCCCCTGTCGACTCCCCATTGCGCGCCGTGACGTCCTCTGGTCCATAAGCCTCGCCAGCCCGCTCTTTACCGAAACAACCTCAAACAGCACGACGCCTAAATTTCGAGATCCAACCTCCCGAAAGCTCTCAGTCTAGACATACCTATAATCGCACGACATCGCCGCCCATGGAGTAGCGCCAGCTCGCCCGTCCCCGGAACCGAGCCGAATCATGGCGCCCTGGTTACACCCCGCACTCATTGGCTCCGAATGAGCACGGATCATGGACTTTCTCCCGCACCCCACCTCCGGTGTTGAGGCTCTTGATATCCCCTTCGTCGCCGACACTCCGTTTGTTTTCGGCTCTGATTTCTGGGAGTTCCCTAAGCTACACGGATTCGGCGACCAGTGGGCTAGCCTACCCGCTGCTCGTCTCGCCTCGTTAGCCCAGTCGTGGCTTTACTTTGGGACCGTTTCCGAGTTTCTAGGCCGCCCCATCGATTACCGCGAATTCCAGGTCTCTCAAAGCGTCTCCGCAAAACCTTTCCTCCCGCTCTTCAACGAATGGCTCGCGGTCCACGCGGTCCGCCCCGGCTCAACAGCCCAACAAATTGCTGAGAACGACGACCGCAGGGAGGTGCTTTACGAGCACGCCCGCTTCCTTGATTCTGTCATCCAACTCGCCGAAGACTTCGACACAGTTTCCCAGAGCCATGTTAAACCCATCCCTACTATCATACTGTCAGTCAAAGTGCTGTGCATTACCTTGAGAGGCGTGCTGTGGGACGTAGCTCGCGGCGATTTTGACGAGTCCCTCCGCCCATGGCCATCACCGGCGACCCGCATGCGCCGTGAAGTGGTGCCTGCAAAAGACACCCACGGAAAGCAGACTCTCTCCCCGAGCGCGCAGTTGATGTTGGATGTGCTGCGCTTACGTGGTTGGTGCCCATTTTACGCTCGCAAAGTGCTCACGCAATACAACTACGCCCTCGCTTATTATTTCACCCGACTCTTTCGCACTTACTCCCCCGGCCTCAGTCATCGCAGCTGCTCCGACGATGAGTGTGTTGCCAGCAATGCGGATGTCTTCAGCTATGTCCCGAAACACGCACGCCGTGGCTGTCTTTGCCAGCCTAAAGCCGCCCCCATGGACCAGATTCGCACGATTATCGAGGAAGGCGGGGTGCCGCTAATTCACCTCCGGGGCTCGTCCAAGACTGGAGTCAGGATAGAAGTGGTCAGGATGACAGCGCGAACACGATACATCGTCGTGTCTCATGTCTGGTCGGATGGAATCGGTAACGCAAATACAAACGCCCTGCCCGAGTGTCAATTACGACGTCTCCACGCCCACATGCATGAACTAAAACCCATCAAGCGAACCCGGGACGGGGACGTCGATTTCAACTTGCTGAACTCGCTTGACACGGGGTTCCAATCTGCTGCAGCTCGTCGACCCAAGTACCTTTGGATTGATGCTTTGTGCATGCCCCCTAGAGGGCTCACGACGCCCCTGCGACTCCGAGCGATCAACAAACTCCCCGCCGTTTACCAAGCTGCCGACAGGCTACTGGTTTTGGATTCAACACTTGAACAAACGTCAGTAATGGATTCGGACAGTGTTGAGCAGTTTGCTCGCTTCGCCGTCAGCCCCTGGATGGGGCGCTCATGGACTTTCCAGGAGGCCGCCTTGGCGACGGCTTGTGAGGTCCAATGCGCGGACGGTATATTTGACGGGTTTTCCCCACAACCGAAGCAAAGATTAACGGCATCAACTGCGACCTCCCGAAGACGACGGCTTGCCTGGCTCGAGGCTCTTACCTACCCCACGGATTGGATCAGGAGGACTTTGTTCCAAAAGCCACAAGCGGAACCTGTACATTCACTCGACAGCGAATTTACTATGGGCGTCGGCATCGAGACGTCGATTGTGAAGAGCCTTACTCGCTCCTTAAGAGAGGAGTTCCGGTCGGCATTTTCCAACGGTGTCAAGGCCAACAGGGCCGCCGTTGGCGAGGGCAAACTAGCCCCTGACTTTTGCACGCTCTTTGTCCAGGTCTGGAACGAACTCAGCAAGCGGACGACAACGATGCCAAGCGACATGCACATCATTATGGCCAGCTTACTCGGCTTCAACACAGATCCCATCACGCGGCTAACCAAATCGGCCGACCGCATGTCGTGCATCTTGCGAAGCATGGACGGAATCCCCATCTCCCTCCTCTTCAACCTCGAGGGGCCACGGCACAACCCAACCAAGAATCACCGGGATCGTTGGCTTCCTCTCTACCCATCAAGGCAAAAACTAGCCTTCGGTTCACCATTTACCAACATCCGATTTATAAACGACGACTTGTACATACCAAATAATACCGTGAGCCGGAAGAGGGTAGCTCTCTTTGTCTGCACCGGTGAGGCCGACCCATTCTCGAGCAGCACGTTTATGCTCCGGGATACGTTTTCGGGCGAGCAATATTCCGTGGCAGTCCATCGGCAGGAAGGCGAAGTGGATGAATTTGAAACGCCAGACATCGGACCATACTGCGTCGCCATCCAACTTGACCCAGAGCTTGGCGGCCGGCCGGACGGTCACATCGATGGTCTTGGGCCTGTCCCTAAAACATACGCTGGCGCCTTGTTCCGCGTCCGGAAGGTAGTGACTAGCGTCAAGAAAGTCTACTACCACAATCTTGAGGCGGAGTACGAAAACTCTTTCGAACTAGTTGAGGATGGGCCGTATGAAACTCACGACATGGAGACCGCCAGTAAGAGGACAACGGGATACTTGGATGGACAGCTAGCATCCGCCTTTGCCCAGCACCCCTGTGGGATACTGCGCACGGTATATGACTGCCCCTTGACTGTGACTTGCCCGGCCGGTGATATCACGGCTTCCCCGTCGAAAGGCCCAACCCTGCTCGCTCAACCACTTCCCGATACCTGGCAGGTGGCCATTGAACGAGGTTAGTTTCTCCGCGCTCCATGTTCTTGACGCGCACATTGCTAACACCGTTTCTAGAACCGGCAAGCTTCCCCGTGCCTCTTCCGACCCGGTCATCCCTCGCCGAAGCTGTCAGTCCCGTATCCGCGTATCTCGCCATCACCGCGCTCGACGGTCTTGTTGCATCGGGATGTGTGGGCCTCGCCATCGCCATCTGCGCCACCATGTACGCCCGCCTAGCCCTTCTCGCCAAGGCGGTTATCGTCGCAAAGCTTATGCTGCATTCCCTCTTCCTAATGCAGATGTTTCTGTTTCCGGGCATCGAAGTCCGCATTTTCTGGGATCTTTTGCATCTCACGCTCGTGGCGTTGTACACCTATTCCCGGGTGACTGCGACTCCGGGCGGCGTCAGCAGGATGGACGTGATCGATTGGTCGTTTATCGCGTGGGCATTTTTAGGCCATGTCGTGGATATTGTGGCAAGGTTGGGTATAAAATCGGTCATCGTCCCAACGTTGTTTGACAAGTATCTGAGGTCGCTTGATGGCCCAGCCTTCCAAAGTCAGGCCCAGGATGAAAAGGGCCGTTCAAGGGCGAATCAATCAGGAGGGTGGTTCCAGCGCGGACGCCCAAAACGTGGCTGGCATAATGGGGTTTATTATTATCAGGAGCCGGGGGAAAGTGGTGCGGACGATCACCACCACCATCACCATGAAAATGGGACTGGTAATGGGCGGCCAGAGCAGCATTTACTAGGAGATTTGGAGGGACAACATGGTTGAATCATTTTTACCGGGCGGTATTGTCAGAGATAGGATATATTTATGTGTTTGGACATCACAGGAGTTGGGTTGATAAATATGGATAGATGGGCGGCCGGAGTTTTTTGCTACCTGGATAGCAATGGGGTCGGTAATGATCTGGGGCGTTTGTGGAAAGGGGAACATAACCCAGAGAACTCACGTAAACTTAATTGATGTGACAACTTGATGTCTATGTTGTTGTTTATAATCTTTTCATCTTGAGCACACTTTCATGTGGCATTTAGTGAACCCGAATCTCGCGTATGAACCTAGAGACTTGTCGTTGGGACTCTGGTTCTTATTAACTTAATTTACAAGGTCGATTTCACAGTCCCTTTTAATCTGTAGCAAGGCAAGTTGTAATCATAGCTGTTTATTTTCCCTCTGTCTATCTTCCATGTCCAAGCAAAGTAGTATGTAAGTAGCGAGTTGCATGCAAGTTGAAATCAGAATTAAAAAAAACAAAAAGCTAGAAACCAAATGACCAACCATACTATGCATACACCAGGAATGCAAGTTGCACCGGGTGCAGTGATGTGGTCTATGTGAGTGAGTGGTGGGTATGTATGGGATAGAACAGAGTGCAAAAAACAACAGATCTTGACAAAATAATGACGCCATCAAAACTCAACTGAACAGAACTGGATGGATTACAAAAATGTGAATTAGAGAGTTTTTAAAACAACAACAACAACAACAAGCGACATGATGTAAATGCAACCATCCCCCAAATTTTCAGATATTCTCTCTCTCCATCTCTCATATCCTTCAGCTAGCTTGCTGACGAGGCATGGGAAGATAGAAAAAGAAAGGGAACTAAAAAACGAAAATAGGGGGGGGGGGGGGGTAAAGAGCAAAACAGAACAAAAAACAGCATCCGCCTCGACGGGCAGATGAACGGCAAAAACCAAATGGATGGTCGGATATATCCTCCTCCTGATTCCCCTCCTGAACACCACGAAGCCCCGCCCATTCTCGTTTCCTTCAGAACCTCCTTTCCCATCATCACCTGTCCTGTCGGTCATTTCATTCATTCATCAAACTTGCGTTCCACCTCTTTTCATGGTATCTCCTCTGGTTTCCTGTTTTCTTTTTTTCTGGGCCTGATTTCGTGGCCAACATTGGTTTTCCCTTGAGCCTTGAGGGGGGTTTGGAGGTCGATGGGAACAGATGTGAGTGCGCAATGAGTCGAACTGATCCCGAAAAGACACAAAGGCTGGCATTTGTCTGTGTCTCAAAAACCGTAACTCAAAACGCCATCACTGTTTGGGTTTGGGTCTTCCGTCTTTGGTTTGATGCATTTATCGTCGTCATTGTTATTGTTGTTGCGGCGACTAAAAGACGAAAACCAAGCTGACAACTGCTCCTCTTTAAGACCCTGGAGTTACGTATGGACGGTCTCCATTCAAGACGTCCAGCCCAGTGTATCCAGCAACGTTTTGGACTCTAGCCCACTAAACCCAGCCACACCCAAGGCTCTAACCTGACTGCTTCCGCGGAGCGCTGCCAAACCCCCAGCAATCTTCCAAGCCTCCTCCTGACTGACGACAAACAGGTACCGCTTCCCCTCCTGGTCCCGAATTGTGGCGCGTAGGAGATGCAGACCACTGTCGTTCCCGCCTCGCCGGCAATTCCCATCGCACACCTGGCTGAACTCATCGATGTATCCGACGGCTTCCTCGCCGAGCATAGTCTTCGTGGCACCACGCTCAGCTGCGCGCCGGGCATTCTGTGGCATGGTCTTGAAGAAGGGATGGTTGGTGGGCACGCTGCCAGGGGTATTTCCGGCCTGCGCGCTGACGGCGTGGACGGGGCACCAAACCTCGACTAGCTTGATTGTCCAAGCTTTTACATCCCACTCGCGCTGGGCGACACCCCGTACATCATCGTCCACAAACAGGCCGGCCGAGGTGACGCGCAAGATGAGCCCGTCCGTGACAGGCGACATGCCAGAGATGAGTTGATTTGCCGGGGTCTTGGAGAACTGGTTGAGGTAGCCGTAGACGGCCTTAATGATGATCTTCTGTGGGTCAGAAGTGGTGTAAGGCCCACGTGTGGAGGGGGGAGGTGTGGTGCGGGCAGTCGAGGCAGAAGGGGCCCATGAAGCTTCAGAAAAGTCCGATACCGAGTTCTTACGTGCCGGAGGCTTCTTGGGTTTGTCATAAGGGCGGTAGGAGTAGGTGTCCTCGGTACCAGTTGCGGAGGCGGACGATTTGGTGGGAGATGGTCCGCGAGTGGTGGACGGGGCTGGTTTTGGTGATGGTTTTGCCGCTGAGGGTTTTGTGGGTGATGGTGGTGCCTGGGAAGGTGTGGGTGTCGGCCGGGACGGTGGCGGTGTCGACGCCGCTTGTGAAGGGGCGACACTCGGGGGCTTGCCGTTGGGCCACATGCTGGTCTTCTCGCCAACTGACGAGTAAGCATATGTGGTGTTCTTGCGCTCCCTCTCTTCCCTCTCCTTTTCCAGTTCCCTTTCTCTTTCCCTCTCCAATTCCCTTTCCCTTTCTCTCTCCCTTTCTCGCTCCCTTTCCCTCTCCCTCTCTTTCTCTCTCTCCTTCTCTCTTTCTCTTTCCTTTTCCCTTTCTTGCTGCTCCTTGCGAAGCCGGGCTAACCGCTCCTCGCGTTCTTTCCGCTCCTTGTCTCGCGCGGCCTGGCGTTCCTGTTCTTGCCGGGCCTTTTCTTCGTCCCGCTTCCGCTGCTCCTCCTGGAGCCTCGCTTCACGTTCGCGAGCCTCCCGCTCTCGAAGTTCGCGCTCCTTGGCTTCCCTCTCAGCTTTCTCACGGAGCTCCCTCTCAATTTTTTCGCGGACCTCGCGCTCGAGACGCTCTCGTTCCTTTGCCTCTTGCTCTTGCCGAAGCGTTTCTTTCATCTCACGCTCCCGCTTTTCTTTCTCTCGTCGCTCGCGTTCCTTGTTCTCCCGTTCGCGTAGTTCGCGCAGGCGGCGAGCATTCTCCTCCTTCCGCCTAGCCTCGGCCTCCTTCGCCCTTCTCTCCTCTCCCCTCTTCCGTGTTTCCTCCCTCGCCTTGTCCCAGGCGCTGGCTGTAGGTTGTGTAGGCCGAGGGGAGGTCGGCTGTTCAGGCTCCGGGGGCGGCTGTGGCTTTGGCCTAGGCGCCTCCTTCGGCTCTTCCCTCTTTGGCTCTTCCGGCGCTGGTTGCGGCTTGGGTGGCGGCTGTGGCTGGGCCTGTGGTTGGGGTCGGGCCTGTGGCTGAGGTTGCGGTTGGGGTTCAGGCGGCGGTTGGTGTTCATGCTGCCTCGGCTGCTCTTGCCAAGATTGATACTGGCCCCCATCGTCGTGTGGTTGCTCGTGTTGAGGGGGTGGAGGAGGGGGAGGAGGTGGCGCCTGGTTGGTCGAGGGGCCGTTCTGAGGCGGGGGGGTATACCACGATGAGCCCCAACCTCCATATCCTCCGCCCGGCTTGTGCTGTCCTCCTGACTGATTGTTATTTCCGGTCTGCGGCCCTGAGGGCTCGTTCAAGTGGCGACCCAAAAAGAACGCTGCGGCGCCCACGCATGACATCATGGTTAGGCAAAGCACCATCCACATCCTATCTGGGCTGGTGAACAAGCCCACCAGCAAGGGGCTGGCAAGATTGGACATCAGGACGACGGCGAGGGTGCTAACCACACCGGCGATGAAGCTGTTCCACTGAGGCTTGAGGGATGGAAGGTAGAGAAAGCCGGAGCCTGCCGAATGCTCGGGGATGATAAAGACGTCGTACTTTCCTGGCGGAAGACCAGAGCCACCGGCCGTGGTTTTGGGGTTTTCCCCATGCGGGGGCGGAGGGGGCGGTGGCTGGCTCATGGTGTTGTTTGAGGGGCCGGGCGGCCCAAGAAGTTAAGCGGATCGATGGTGTACAGTGGCCGACTCGCTCGTCGTGGCGGTCGTGGGTACAAAGTCGTTGACAGGAAAACAATCGCGAACCGAACTCTAGTGGTATCTCAAAGCCATAGGAAGCGTCAAATCACCAAAGCTTGGAAGAAGACGGGTTAGCCTGTGCCATTGAGGGGATCAAGGGTCTTAGGATATTATGTTCTGAGGGGAGGGAGAGAAGAATGAGACAAGTGGCTTACCGAGAAATCAAGAAGACACCAAACGCCGAACGAACAACAGGCACGATTAATCACAAGTAGAAACCGCAATTGCGGTCCTCAACACAATCAAACTTGTAGAGCAAATACAGGCCGTCTTGCGGTATGTCCAACAATGGTCTGCAAAGCGCAAACCCGCAAAGACAGTTGTGACGCAGGTGAAATGGTGTCGAGCTGTCCTCCCCAGCCCCGCTGTTAATCGAGGTTGCAAGCAATTGCTTGCCGTTGTGGTCGGTCGGTATTTATTAGTCGTCGGTGCCGGGGTTGTGGGCGTGGTCGCTTAGTCGGCGTGCACTGGACTCAATTTTCGAGGATTCCGGCGGTTGGTGTCGTGAAAATCTTGGATTGTCGCAATAAGTTTTCCGCGCAACTGTTTGAGATGGGATGGTTGGGTCAGGGTCGGGGAAGGAAGGTGTGGTGGCCTCTGGGGAAAATGCAGGCACGGGCCCTGTTCTGTTTACTTTCAGCAGCAGAGCAGCAGAGGAAAATGGTGTGGCGCACGGACCATCCGAACCCTCCATGCAGCTCTGTCAGCCCAATCATCCCCAGAAGCGACCGTTGTTCTTTCTTCACACCCCCATGGCTCCGGATGGATGCACCGGGCCTTCCCGCCTGTTGGTGTTGTGTTGGGCCCTTCCCAAGAAATGCCTGCTTGCGGCGTGTTTTCACTCGCTTTCAATTCTCGAATTTGATCCAAATGCAATTGTGAGACTGTCTAAGCCGATTGTACACCAAGCTTTGTTCCTTGCAAGAACCCGTCTAAGAGGGATGACCTGGGTTTCGGAGCACACGATCCAGGGAAGGTCCATGCTGGCCACGCACGCTGAAGAACTGCTTCAATTCACCAATTGTTTTCGCTCCCACAAACCACCAGCACCACATGTCGGTCAGCCAGTCATCCTCCCATTGATTGACCCGACTGGGAGGCAAATTTCTCCCGAAGCGACGGGCCGCCTCCGAACCGCTTTCTCCCCTCTATTCCCCTCTTCCCCTCCTCGCCTCGCGCCGTCGTCGTCTCAACACGCGTCATCACCAGCCAAACAACAAATCGCCAAGCCAAAATCACCCCTCCCCCACGAAAGACCGGCAACAAAAAAAACCCACAAACGCCGACAAACGCTGAATCGTTTCCCAGCCTCCTTGAACAGAAGAGTGGTTGGTGAATGGTTGGTGGTGGGGGATCCTTGCAGCCCGACAGTACCCAATCCGACGGGTCTCTTTGCGCTTTTGCCCACTTTTGTTGATGGCATGACAAGTCACAAACTCACCAACTCTGTGACTGGGGGAAATCACTGACGTGACAGGACGGCGAATCGCGGCAGTTCCTCGCCGAAAGCGGAAGAAAAAAAATGCTGGATTGGACTGTTCCCAAGCGACCCTCCAACTTCTTCAGGCCTTGGTAGCAAATCCGGCGACAAAATCCCCACAGCTTCCGGACTCTTTTGAGTCCGTTTTGGTCGTTGCCGAGCGCGAAGAGAATGTGGGGGCGCCCTGTTCATCCCAACCAGAGCCCTGGGTTCTGAGTGGCCCAGCCTCCCTTGTTGTTTTTTGAGCGGACCCTTCGGCCCTGTCAATCCCTCCGCCCATTCTTTGTTCTTGGGACCCTTCTTGCTGTTTTGTCACGTTTGCCTTGTCCTTTGGCATGACAAGATCTCGCACTGCTGCTGATGATGCCACAGTAGAAGCCACGAGAAATCACCTCACTATAAACCTCAGAATAAATAGAGAACATGAGGCTTTGAGAAGTGCGCACATGTATGTGTGTTCTGTAGTTACACCCGTTGCCGAGCAACGTACCACAAAAAGAATAAAGCGGCCGCGGGGAACACGCGTGTCACATCCGCGATCTGCGCGCAAGAAACGAAGAGTGACGTCGCCCCAGGCCGCCAGCACATCCCATTCCTATCACATCCTTCAGCCACTTTGAAGGTTGAAGGAAGTGAAAGAAACGGTCATGGGCGAGGGGCAAGTCATGAGCAAAACCCCTCAGTGACGACGGAGAGGAACCCGGTAGCTATTCGCTCAAGTCCCTCTCGCGCACACTGCGGGGAACTGCAGAACAAAAGACAGAATGTGGTACCCCTTATTATTGGTGTTGCTCTGCGGTCGTAGGTTTTCTCCTATTTGCCACCGTACTAAGCGACGCGGAACAAATCAAATAGAGACAACGTTACTCAAGCACAACGGGCAATGGTGACATTGACTTTCGGAGCCCCTCAGCATCGGTTGTGTGAGGGCATAGGGAGGGGCCATTGAGGGAGAGAAAGCAGACTGCCAGTCGAGTTGGGCAGAGCATCATGATCACAGCAAGCCACTCTGACTCATTTTGAGAAAAACACCAAACCACATTCCCTCTTTGCTGTGCTAGTTATATGAGATATCACTAAAGCCCACGAATGACCCATAATCCATACTCCAGAAACCCTCTGCCAAACCCAAACAAACTAAGCCGACCCTAAAGCAAGGAACCATCTCTAGAAAACCTCAGGCTTGTTGATGCGCTCCTCCGTTGCCGGTGCCGGTGTCGTACTCCCATAAAAACCATTATTCCCAAACCCCACTCCCGCCCCCCTTTCTCTTGAAAGGGGGGCAACCGTGCCTTGCATCTCGTTCGCTTATTAGTCTCGCTCCTGAGCCAACATCATCACCATCTCCACAAGCCATATTAGTGCATCCACCAGTTGCGTAAGCAACCATTCCACTGTCACGGCTCCTTGGACACAAGCCAGAACTACCTGTACCATAACCCTGAGCACTGCCTGGGAAGTCCCACCGTCCTGAGGTTGCTGTTCTTGAAGCTCCTGGCGCTGTTGTTGAAGTTCTTGCTCTGGTGGTGGGTGTGGTTGTTGAATTCCGGGCTTTTCCGGTTGTGGAGCTACTACCACAGCGGGTGTAGTAGGGACAGGAACATCCTCATTAATCGTGGTAGTAGTAGTCGTAGCGGTAACCCTGCTATTGGTACTCCCGCTGCTCGTACTCCTAGTATGTGTCGTCTGCGTACCAGCAGACACCATCGAAACAGCATCATCCACCTCCACGCTGTCCACCGTAGTCGTCGTTGTCATCCTCACCGCCCTAGGCCGTGTCGCCACGGCCACCGCTTCCGCCGCCGCCGCCGCCGCGATAGTAATCGGCATCATCATCGTCGCGCCGTTCTCGTCGTCCATCTCCCATCCTCCTCCGGTCGGCGGCGGTCGCCGTCACAGGTTCTTAGCCCGGCGGTTGGCGACGCCGAGCTTGCGCTGTAGGTTATCTGCGGCGTCGTTGGCCTGGTCGAGCAGGCCGTTCTGGTAGGTGACTTCGTCGTCGATGGCTGTGCCGAGCTGGTTGAGCTTGGATACGGCGCTGCGGAGCAGGTTGACTCGCTCGTCTTGTTCCTGGACTACCAGCTTCTGCCGTTCTAGAACGCCCTCGTTGTCCAGCTCGCGGGTTTCCTCGGTTTCGGGGAGAGGCGCGCCGATGGTGCGGCCGACGGGCCGACGGGCGGTGCCCAGGAGCTTAGCCCTATCGCTGTCCGCCGATGCACCAGAGGCCGCAACCGCAGCGCTCGCAGCCCCACGCGTGACCAACGCTGAGGCTAGTTGATCGAGCAACCCCTTCTCATACTTGGCCGCCTCCACTGCATCCCTGCGCCGCGTGAACTCCCCACCACCCAACCGCCCGCTGGCCTTCATAACCTTCAGCCCTTCCTCCAACGGCTTAAGCAAGCTCCCAGCCTTGATCAACGCGCGCCTCGCTTGCGATTCCGCCTCCCTACCCTCTTTCTCCCCCACGGTATGTTCTCTCCGCGCCAGCGCCGCGCGCGCCGCGCTCAGTTCCGCCTTCATCTCCTTATTCAAATCCACCCACGTAGCGGGGTCGCTTGCAGCAGCCAGCGTCGCATCGCGGAGGCCGATGGCGGGAACGCGGGCCTCGACGTTGACGCCCGATGCTGACCGGGCGCTCCCGCCCACTGCGGAAGACGGTAGGTTCAGGAACCCGCGCCAGGCGGGCGTGTCTCGCCAGCGACGGTCGGGAGGTTCCGCGATGGCGCGCATGTAGCGTTCGAGGCCGGCGCGGCGCTGCTCGGTGAGATCGGGGGATGAAACGGTCGAGCGGAACCATTGTTTGGCGGGTAAGGGGGCCGGCGGAGGGGCGCCGACGAGGGATGTGAGGGTTTGGTGAAGGGTGGCGAAGTCGGAGTATCGCTTCTGTACGACGAAGGAGCGCAGAGGCAGGCGGAGGGTGATGTTGTAGAGGGTGTAAGGCTTGGAATTGTCGTCGGGAGTGTGGAGGGAAGTCGTGGGGATGGATATCTCTAACGGGGGCGCCATGGCAGGTGTCAAGCGCCCGTCGCTCTTGCGCGCGACTCGATTGTGTTGAATTTAACTTCGGGTGGCGAACCCGGGGGATGGTATTCAGAGATGCGCGGGATAGCGGGGAGAGATTTCGATGATGTTATGGTTGATGGAATTCAGCTACAAGCAGGGGAGGAAGCGCTATGGCTACGAATGAGTTGTGGAAAGGCCGCGAGTGTTGGTCGTGTTTCGGATGGAAGTTTCGGGTTCGGATGGTCACGGAGTGGCCGATTGCGTGTCAGGGAGCGAAATGGTGAAGGGAAAAAAAGGAAGCAAAACTGATTGGTAGAAAGCCAGTAAAAAATACACGGGTATCTCGCGGGTACGGGAATGCAGGGCGGTAAAGCAGACACAGCTGAGAGCAGGCAGATGTGGGATGCAGACGTGAAGAGTGGAATGGAAATTGAAGATGGTTTTTGATGATGGATGCCCGGTGCCTGGGCATGGCTGCTTCTGGGCACACACGCACAAGAGCACCTGTGACATCGATTACCGCATTGGGCCAGGCCTGTCTGAAATCGCTGATCCGTCACCTGTTGCAGACCCCACAGCAGCTCCCAGGGCTGACGCGGGCTCCACATCAGCCCATCGGCAGCCGGCATTTGGCGGATGAGAACCGGGTTTCACCAAGAACAGCAGGATCGATGGGACTGACGAACAAACGACCCGCCTAACACAGTTCTAGGGTAGACACCAACTACATGTGTAAATCGTCATTGAACGAGAGTCATCAGATACCCAAGAGGATTTCAACCGCCCAAACACCACGAAAGCCAGGCGAAACAACGGGGCCCAGCGCAGCCCGTCTCCCACTTCGTTAACTATGCCCCGCAGTCAGCAGTCCAAACACCTGGAACTCCTTCACCTCTACGCATCACACGCCCGAGAATCGTCAACACAGTGTTGGGGCCACATTTCCAACTTAACGGCCCGGGAGTTTATCCAGCCCTGCAGGTTTGTTGTGTTAGCCCTCACCGTCTATGAACTATGAATTTGGGGGGGCAGCAACAAGGGGAAGATCAAAAAAAGAAACTTACAGCCCTCAACCGGCTCATTAACCGTAGTCTTAATAGTACACTGGTTCGCAACCGACATCGCCTGCTTCGTGATGGAGCCACAGCCATCATAAAAGCACTCCGACTTATCCATAGCCCGCTGCAGCGCATCACCCTTCCAGCCAAACATGTAGTCGGCGTGGGTGCCAGCCGCGGAGCCCTCAAACGACCACACAAACGGGTTCGGGGCGCCCGACTGCCACAGCGAGTTGAACTGCGTGGTGTCCCAGACCGTCTCGTACGTTACCTGCGGCATGCGCACGGGGTGGCTCGACGGGCACGCCGGGGCGTCGAGGAAGCCGTCGTACTGGATCGTGTTGTACATGTGCGATTGGTGGTCGGGCGAGTCGAGGTTTTGGCCGTCCCAGCAGCTTGAGACAGAGCCTCGCCCGTTAGTTAACCCACACACGATCATTGGGTGGGGAGGGAAAGAAGATAGAAAGGGAACTCACGCGGGGAAGTGGTGTGTCGTGAAGATGCCGCCCGAGCAAGGGCCAGTCGGGAAACTGTCTAGTTCGGGGCCGCGGTTTTGGCCCTGCAGGCACTGATACCGAAGACCAACCTGGGGTTTCCCCTCCTCGGTCGGGCTGCCGACTGTCATGCGGAAGCCCTGGTCTCAAATATTAGAGACATGCCTGATGGGGCTCTGGGATGGGTACGTTGGAAGGGGAGAGTAAGCATCCGGGACAACGACATACCGGTTTGAACGCCGTGATCTTTTGCTGGTTCAGGTTATCCCTCGTCAGATCGTATTGCGTATAATACACAGTAAGACCCGACTTCGCGCCGTCGGAACCACCAAGCAACGGCTGCACCGGGATGACGGGCACCTTGTGGTACGACCCGTTGGTCGGGTGCTTGAAGTACAGCTGGGCAGTCCAGTAGTTGGAGAAGTCCTCAGCCATCTGGCAGGTGGTGCAGGTGGCGCGCGCGCCCACGTCTCCTTCCATCGTAGCACTGAAGGCATTACCGCCGACGATGTGGTGGACGTGGGCCGACGGGATCTTGCCCGGCTCGACGACGGGGTCGAGTCGCTGGGTGGTCAGCGTCGAGCATGGAAAGCGCAGGCCTGCGTGGACCGGCGCGATCAGCGCCAGGGCCGTGGTGAGTGTCTTCATCTTAGATGGGGGTGGTATAGGAGGAATGTAAACACAGTAACAGCTTCGGGCAAGGTTAACGGCATCAAGGATGGGAAACGGTGTGAAAGGTTTCTCTCGCCAAGGTATCCTCGCCGATCCAGCTCTTTATACTTTGGGTCATGAACCCCTTCCTCTACCTCTTCTTTCTAAAACCGGCCGAAACCCATATCATACCCTCCCTCCTCCTCTATTTTTGCCCATCCTACATGGACGCACCACCCAGCAAGTGTTGATCCAACTTGGCCAGTGGACCCAAACCCTCCATAACACACCAACTCCAAAACCTGAAATGGTCCCCCTTCATATATCCCACAGCGAGTCAGCGAGGTCAATCATAAATGAAGCGACTCGGCCCTCCTCAGCAATCGGCAACCCTTGTAAGAGCGAATCGGTTCAACTCCGTGCCGTGAAGTGGCTTGAGTGGCTCCTTAAGCAGCGAAAAATAAGAGACCACAGCAATGCGCCGTCATGGGCATATTGAAACACCACTCTACGACCGGGAGCGGGATATATTTGTTCGGATGTCGGCAATTGTCGTCGTGGTACGGCCCAGGCGGTTTGATTAGTGGTTAGTATATATTACTTTTCTGGCGGAAAGTGGAAGGTAGACGGTCGTGAGGACAAGCATTTCAAGGCTGGTCGGGGAATTTAATATAGAAGAGGGGCACGAGCGAGTCGGGCGAATGCTCGGCAGACGAACATCTGGCCCAGATAGGATATGCTCGGCATCGTCGACATTGAATGCATCTGATCAACACACCAACCATGTGCCCAGACGAATATTTCCGGGTGCGGTTGTTGCCGTATGAAGGTTCCGATGAGCCGATTGCTTGCTCGCGTTCTGTCAATCGAGAAGAGTTACATAGGAGAGCAACCGGGCTGGGCGACTAGCCAGTGACGTAGAATGGCTATTATCAACACATTACCCGAGTCGACAACCCGGTCCAACGAGGCGATGGCGGGGATATTGTGTCGATCATGCAAAACATCCGTGAGTCGCCGAAGCGGGTTTGTTCATCCGTTGATGTTGTTGAACAACTGTTCATCCTCAACCAAACGGCTTGTCACAACGTGCAAGATATCGGGCCGTTCAATAAATATCGAGCACGGCCCACCCGAAATAGTCTTGCCACAGACGGTTAATTATACGCGGGCTATGCTCAAAAAGCCAAAGAGCGGCAGCGAAGCCTCACCAAGAAAAAAGACACGGCGCGAAAGGGTATACAAGGACAACCCAATGCTGATAAACCCCCCTCCTGTGGACGTAACCCCAACCGCGCTTCGGTGTGTTGTCATATGCGTCATGTTCTTTTCAGGGGACCACGGCGACACCGTGTATGTACCCGTAATCCGAACGATAATTACCTCCTCAAGACTGCCTTTCTAGCCACATTCTCTCCCCTCTTTCTATCACACACATTCCGTTCTGCCACTGTTTCCTGTTCTTTTTTAACCTTCCTCATCCCCTCCCTTAAAATGTCTCCTGGTCCTCCGCCTGCTCCGCCTCGGGAATCTCGAAGCCCTCTTCGGTAGAGTAGAGGATGGTCTGGATCTGCTTGACCAGGCCATCCTCCGCCTTCTCCAGCTCGGGGTCCTCATCAACAGCCTGCTGGACCAGCAGTTCAATGTCGCGGAGCTTGCTGAAGTAAAAGTCGCGCTCGCGCTCGAGGCCGACGACCGTCTCCTTGAGTGTGGTGTTCTCCTGCTGCAGCGCGGCGCTAGCGGCACCGCCTCCGGCCTTGACGCCGGCGCGGGCGCCCCCCGTGGTCGGGGTCGTGCCGCCGGGACGTCGAGCTGCGCCGCTGGCTGCCCGGGGTCCGCCACCGCCGCCACCACCCACGCCAGGTGCTGGGCCGGATTTACGACGGCCGACTGCGTCGTAGTCGCCGCCTGGGTAGTATTGGTCCCAGAACCGCTTCGTCCACTGGAGGAACTCGAGGTTGTCCTGCATCTTGCATTTGACGAGCGACTCGACGGGGACGGTCCGGTCGATCTGGTGTTTCGTGAATGTGTCTGTTATTCGCCATAGGAGGCTAAGTGTGAGCAAAAGTCCCATCTGCGCTAGCTGGACTGCGTCGGGGTTGAACGTACTTTGTAAGACTTTGAAATTCTGTATGTAAGCGTATTCGGAATTGACGTTGAACTTGACGCGCGACATGGGGACGTCAAGGAAGATGCTGTCGTACACCTGGCAGAGCGCAGCACTATCATAACGATCGTGGAATGATTAGCCTCGATATCCTCCCCTATTTTCCCTCCGCCAGGGCTATCTTATTACAAGGGCAGCTTACCCAGTGCCACATTGCTCGACCTTGGTGATGTTGAGCTGCAGCAGGCTGTTGAGCCATTGCACGAGTTCTTGCCTGCAGCAAACCGCTTGTCAGTTGAGTTCTCATCGCGCTTCGTTGCTGTTGCGCGCGCGCGCGTCGATGGACGGCCTTGCGGGGATCTAGGGCGCGGGACGAACCGAGATTCGCCCATCTTGAATTAGGATGTGCTGTTGAGATCGAGCGGGGTATCGGGTCTCGAGATTCAGAGTCGCCAACGAGCGGAGGAGACGTGTGGATGTAAAATGTAGCTTCGTAAAGCTGAAAAAGCCTAGGCAGCGACGAAATGCAAAGAAATCAGGAGGAACTTTCTAGTCCCGCCGCTTGCTCGTTGACGATCTTCCAAATCAGAACCGAAATTCGGGCGTCGGCCAATCAACCATGGTGGGGGTTTTCATGGGTGATGCAATATTGATTGGTCCGTGCTGTTTGACAGGGCACGTGACAGACTCCCACCGCCAACCCCAACCCTACTGCACAGGCCCCCCTTGCGGCACAGCAAAAACAAACACAGCTCTCCGTGGACCCCCAACTTCCATTGCTTTGTTTCTGAACTCATTTCTGGAATACGAAAGGGACAAATTTCGATGAGCTGTTCATTGTTCTTGGTGGTTGAAACATGGTGGTAAAGGAACTAAAGTAGTGTTACAGGCCGGCGCATTTCGAACTTCCCATCGACTCGCGAACGCGATGAGGGTATCCAGTATCTTCATTTTTACTACGATGATGAAGTTCTCAGGCTGCTTTTCAACCCACGTCCTTTGCACTGCTGGTTTTTTCATATCACACCACGTTCATTTCCATAATACCTTGGCGTGCTGCTCTCAATACAACCCTTGTAACAAGGCGAGAAAATACCAGGAGGTGTTGCAATGTGTGTGCTGTCATGAACATGAATAAAACAGAACTTGATGGTTGAATTGTTATCTGTGCATAAATCACCCGTGCCAGGTAACTATACACTACTTGTGTCCCAGATGCGTGACGGTTCAGGGCGCTTAAGTGTGTGTTTTCTCTAACCGCGGGCATCATTGACAACTCGAGGTGTATCTTGACACAATGCTCCAGAATGCTCATCCCGCAGCCGAACTCAACTTGAAACGATAGCAACATAGTAACAAATATTGTACATGGTAATAACTGTGATCCTACATGATACATAACATGTGGCGACCCCTGACGTTGGTCACTGGTCTACCTCGGCTAGTGATGCTGTTAAAGTTGTATCCATTGTTGGGTTACAATCTGATTCTTCTTTGTCGCAACTGAGAAAGTAGAACAATGAGTTTTCCGAATTGTCGGACTTCGTGGCCGAGATGCCAACTAAATAGGCTGCCACTGCCACATATTTCACTTGCACATCATTCCTGCCACCTCCTGACCGCAGGATGGTTCACAACACCAGTTTGGGGGTCATGGTACCGTCGGTGATGGCAACGTCCCCACGAAACTGGTTTGAGTTGTGTGAAGTGTTGGTAGAGTGTATGTAGGGCGATGGTACTGAACAAAACAAGGAGAAAACCAAGTTATTAGTGAGACTAGACAACAAAGGTATTGTGAGAGTAAAAAATGTCCAGCCTAGCGTATAAGACCCGGGACTGAAGCGAGTTGAAAAGTGAAATATCCCGTTCATCTAAGTGCTCACGATCTAAGTGATATTAAGCATACAATATTTATTCCCTGGCGTTAAAATCACAACAGCTGAACAAGACCATTATGAGCTCCTGGAGCGCCGGCGATCGGGTTTGGGCGGTGGTTGTCCGCGACAGGTTCTGTCTGCCCGGCATTCTTGTCCTCCACCGCAGTCTGCAAAAATACGGTTCGGTATATCCTTTGTTCGCCATCCTATCGCGAGAGACCGAAGACAGGCGCGATGTCGATCGAGCCCTAGCAGTTGCGGGCATCCCGTCGGTTCAATCCCTAGGAGCCAACCCCCACAACGCCTACATCCATTATCCGGGGGATCTGTACAAACTCGCCACGTGGGGAGTGTTGAACCAGGGAGTAAGCCCGCATAATGTTATTAGAAACTCAAATCGGTGTATGTTACCAAACAGTACATGCTGACAGTCTTTAACCCGCCCAGATATCGATAATAGGTCTCCTCGACAGCGACCAACGAGTCTTTGCCAACATCGACCACCTACTGGCAGGGGAGCAGGTCGGGACCGAGGAAATTGCCGCTATCAACCTCCTCACTGCCCATCCCAACACCATCATCCTGCGCCCTTCAACAACCAAATTCCACCAGATCCAAAACGCGCTACCCATGTTTGGGATGGCCACTCCCACGGCCATGACAGCTATATTACGGTATTACTTTCATGGCAAGAATCAGGGGCTAGGTGTCGAATACGACACTTTGGAGACGGCACTCTCCACTTCTACAGGATACAGGGTGGTCAAGTACAATCGTGCCAGACCATGGGTTAGGAGGGGAGGAAGACGCATTGGTGCCTGGTGGAGGGTATGGAGGTTGTTGGAAAGGGAGTGGACTGGGAATAATGCGGGAAGGGATAAAAAGAGGTTATGGCAGGGGTTTCTGGAACCGTTGGTAACCAGCAACGACTCGGTGTGATGAGTGGTTTCGTTGTAGGTTTGTGTTCTTTGTTTTGGCGGGACAGGGGAACTGAAACCCTTGCCCGGTGGTTGGGGAATCTTCTTCACCAGTTGACTGTCTGCTTAGACAGGTAGTTTGTTTGTCAAGATGACAAGCGAGCGAAGGAAATGGGTGCCTTGCGTTAGTTACAGTCTAGAGTTACAGTGTGCGTTTCTGACAAATGGATTCAAGGATGTGGTACAGATCTGTGCTGCTCTACCATAGCAATGAGCCTCCTCAACTTCAGAATCAGCAACCCGTCATTCCGTAGTACCTTTATTCATCTCACGTCGACGGACGGTTATACCGTAGCTGTCAGACCACTGTATGACGACACGTACACATTATTACCGATGGATTGGTCTGTGGTACGTTGGTACCTAGTGGCCCTGGTGTGACCACTCAATGGACCTGGAACGTCTCATACTCATTTACGGGCCCACGAAGAACGTGTCGGACCTCTCGTTCAAAAGACGGGCCTGGGCCACAGCCTCTTGTAGCTGAGGGCGTATTCTAGACGTTCCGGTGCTTCACATAACGATCAAACTTACACGTGGGTAGACCAATGTTGACTGTATTTGTGAGCAGAAGATTATGTTCCCGGATAGCGGGCAGCTGACCCTAATAAGGAGCTAGAGACTAAAATGAGAACTCGTGAGGGCCGGCCGGCTTTACAGCAAGTGAAGGTGAGGTGGCCTTGGTGAGCCCGAGACCAGCGCAGCTCTCTTATCTGAACTCGCCGCACCTGCCCTCCGCCCCGAGGATATAAGTCCCCGGCCCGGTGCTCCTGTCACCATCTCCTCCCAATTCGCCAAACAGCGTGTTTGGCGCAGCGGTATTGGGAGGGGCGCTGGTCCCGCCAATTCCGTCGTAAATCGAAGTGGCTCTGGGTTCGATCCCCAGGTCAGCGAAGTAAAATCTTTCAACAGAAAGGTTTTCGTAACTCCCGACGTCTATCCCTCCGGATGGGGATAGGGTTCGGTTGTGAGCTTTTTGCTTTTCCACTGTAAGTAATATAATATGGTTACTTATTATTCTTTTTGTTCTCAAGACAGCGGCGTAGGATAGAACCCTTCCCGATCATTGGCAAGAATAATTATAGTACCGGCACCAAAGCAGGTGTCTGCATTGGGTCTGCCATCGGTGTGGCCCTCATGTCCGGCGCGCTCTCAGCATTGCGGATGGCCTTTCGTCGTCGGATAGTATCAAGACTGCCGAGCGGAATACTAATAGATAACTGGTCATTGAGACCGGACCCGGGGGTGGGTGTTGAGGAGAGGTCGAAACGCCGGTGTAGTCGGGAAAGAGGAGAGTCGTTGCTTGTTGGCTGGAGGCGAGTTTGCTATAGACTCGGTTGATGGATGCGCCGATGTATTGCCATTATTGTAGCGATGGGATTCTACCGACATCGGTATAATTCGGCCTGTCACCAATTCATATAAATCACGGCGCGGCTCAATCGTGTACGAACTTGATAAAACAATGTCATTTGATGCTAGCTTTTCACAGCCTGCAAATGCCAGAGACTCGCCATGCTTGCTTGCCCCGTTGGCGCTGGCGTGTTTCCATTCTCAATGCCAATGCCAATATTCCCCAATCCTATCCGTTGTGTCGGAACACGTTCCAATCTGAATGCCTCCCGCTGCGCTGCCTGTTTCAGCAAACCCACCTCCCAAGTCCAATCCCAAATCTGCGGCGGAATGTTCCCTCGCCGATGATCGCTGTAAAACATACATGTATTGTTACAATTCGAAAGACTACGCCAGACACGCCGCTAGTCCCTGGCTCATTCGCGACGGCGAAGAAGTTGCAAGGGGCAAGGTGAGACGAAGAGCGCGTTTACTGGTGTTCGTTAGCATGGCTCAAGGTCTCTCGCCTCCGCAGCTAGGTGGGGGGTGTATCGTACCTGCGAGGAGCTCTGCATCCAAGCCAAGGGATAACCTTGCCTCAGATACTGGGTCCGGCGGTTCTGGTTCCAGCCCGAGATGATCATGCCGCCGGACCGAGGCTGAGGCTGAGGCTGGGGTTGCGAGTGCGATGGAGGTTCAGATTGGGATTGAACTCGAGGCTGAGGTGCCGGCACGGATTGGGGGACGGCGTCATGCATGTCCATGTCCATGTCCACGTCAATAGACGCAGGTGTCGAGGGGCCGGATTCGTTGAGGAAGAACGGGGTGGAATCGCGGGTTGACGCGTCCGCGTCCGATTGGCGCGCCTTCTTCGCGACTGGGTACTGGTCGTTGAACAGCTCCAGGCTGTCTGGTTCGTCGCGGCTGCGCTTGCGAGAGTTGTCGATCTGCATCGAGAAGTCCATGATGAAGGAGTGTGATTGTTTTGAGGGAGCGAGTGACTGAGGTGGTGTTGAGGGAATGAATTGGGTCGGGGTTTGCTGGAGAAGCGCTTGGTGGTTTGCGACGGCTTGCTCCGAGGGTGAGAGCTGCAGGTTTAATTGAGTCCGCTGCACTCAGCCTTCTACAGGGGTCATCGTGCTTTCTCAATCGTCTGGCCAACCCGCTGCAGCCGCTGGCGATCAGAATACTTGAGGGCCAATGCGCAGCAGGTGACCCGCGACGAGGCTGGGGCATGGCGAAGCACGTGCTCATGGGCGGTTCTTTCTCAAAATGGCCGTTTGAGGGTGCAAACCCGCTCGCTCGTTTATTTTAGGGAGTGTCTCTTGATTTTTCCTGTCTGTTCGTTTCTCCGACAATTGGAGATATTTGCGTTGTCTGCGGCGTCGTGACAACCATCCAGGCGTCAGGTGGTAACCCCTTGCGGCCAAGCAGGCAGGGCGTCCTTGCTTCTTGGCTGGCAGGGGAAACCGCCTCAGAGCGCCACTGGTTCAGCCAATTGAACTCTTTCGTCAGATTCAGGGGAACACCAGGGCCCATCTTGGGCAAAGGATGAACTGTTGAACTTGAACTCAATCAAGGCTTGAGCTACTTTCTAGGGTTAGGGATGGGTGTGAACAACGTCGCCCTGTTCACCCGGCGGGCGGCCCGCGTGTCCCAACAAGGCAAGGGGAGCTCCTGAAACGTGGGGATCAAGATGGCCGTCCGCAGATAACGTTAGTCTTGAGGTTATATTCTTCTTCAACAACGATTCCATCCGTGGCAGTTCTCCAGGCTGCTCGAACGGGGATGAATACACCTACGCAGCCGCAGATTCGGCGCAAGCCAATCGGTGCATCTCCGGTTCCTCAAACGGCATCCGTCAGCAGTTCCTTTGACACCGAAGAGGCTCCGCCACCGCTTCCGGCCCGGCCACAGCTCGGCCACAGGCTTAGGACAGATGTGCAACCGCCAATACGGCCGGGCTCCCGCGGGGCAGAGCCGCTCCTCCAGGTCCCGGTTGCCCGGGGGCTCCGGCTACAGAAGAGCATGCCTGAGCTCTCTAGGGTTGCTTTGGAACCACCTCCCAGCCCGCTTGATGCCGAACCGGCGACTCATGCTACCACGTTTGGCCCCAGTGTTAGCCCCGAGACCAATAATGTCAGCAAGAAGACATTTATGCAAAACGCGCTCGCTGAGGCGAAGCATTTCGCCGGCGGCCTGATACCGCATCCAACGGAGTCAACCAAGCATTACACCATCCTCCGGCACTCTCCCGCGCTCATCTTTTATCGGGGCCCCAGCACGTCAGTTGAGGTGACCATCTTCAGCTCACCGGACAAACCCTTACCCGGGGATCGTACTTTCTGGCTACAGCAACGCGGCTTTTCCGGAGACAAGGGGATGAAGATCAAGGCATTCTTCAACGCGACGGATAGCTGGTTGCACGTCACACCGTCGACCCAGGTCGAGGCTCATCAGTTGGCCGCTGATACCGATCGTGCCTGGCAAAGGGACATAGGGAAAGCGTCTAAGAAGTTGGTGAAAGAGAGAGGGCTGAAAAAGGGCCACGTCCCAAGAGAAACACATGTCATCCGAGTCCCCGAGGCCTCCGACGACGGGTATTTCCGCCTCATTCTCTGCACTGGCAAGGGGACGCCTAACGAAGACAATGAAAGCTCGTCCAGGTGCAAGATATTGTGCACCAGTCCCATTTTCCGCGTTGCGAGTACATCTACGGATTCTAGCGTATTCCGCGGTGCTTCCCTAAGCACAATGCCATTAGAGATGGGCGTGTACGTGGCATCTAGGGTTGCAACTACAGCAGCAGAGAGGTACACCGCTCCCGTCCGAATGCCAGTTGACCGCGTCCTAGGCAAGGTCCGCCCGGGACTAGCTACCGAGACCATTGGAGGATACGTACGGGACGGTCTAAACGAACGGGCCGCGGAGCGCGACGCCCAACAAGACCGAGAATACTTCCCCTCCCACAAAGCCCACGTCAGTCGATCGCTCCAGACGGACCCCACCACACTCATAGCCATCGGCCCCGACTCCGGCCCTGAACGGCCGTTTCCGCTGCAGTTCCAAGGGAAAGTCGTCCGTGGCACAGGTCGGAGCCAGGCGGAACTCGGAATCCCCACGGCCAATCTCTCTGGTGTCCCGGATGAGATCCGATACCGTCTGCTTGGGGTGTATTTTGGCTGGGCCTGCATCTTACCGAAGAACCGAGCGGCCACGACGGCAGGTGCTGATACAGCAGATTCGCCGAAGTGGTACGAAGCGATCATCACCGTTGGCCCGTGCCGTTATGCCCCCCTTTCTGCGAACCCCAAACCTATCGTGGCAGTTCATCTTCTGAATTATTCCCGGCCTGTTGGGGCCAACACCCCCCCGAAGAACAATACTAAAGGCTCAACCCTTCTCGGCGAAACACTCAAGATCTTAACCCTAGGCCTCCTCCACCCACCTTTACCGTCGTCGCCATCACAACCACCACAAACCCCCTCAACCTCATCCTCCCCCATCTCCCCCCAACCACCCCCCGCAACGGAACCCCCCACCAGCCCCCTCCTGATCACCCACTCCCGTAACATCTCCCTAACCCTCCTTTCCCTCTCCCGACCACACTGGCACCCAGAATCTGTCGTCATTCTATCCGCTCTAGAGGCCCAGATGACAGCATCCACATCCACAGCCACGAGAGGTCTTCTAGGAAGTGAGTCCTCCAGGGGATTCACGATGGCCGGGGTAGTGAAGAAGGGGGTAGTCAATGGGATGGGTGGGGTTGCGCACCGTGTGGGGGTCAGGGTGAAGGGGGTTGGGGAGGAGAGGGATCGGATTAGGGGGGAGGGGGGGCATTGGGTTCGGTGGTGATTCTCTGGGATGAGGCGGTGGTATCTACTTCATATGTGGCGGTTATACATATTGTGTAAGGGGGGGTATCGAAGGAGTGTGTGTGGCTTGTTTTTGCAGCGTTGGGGGGTTTGGTTTTTGTTCATGGGTGTTTTACTAGGGTAATAGGTGTGGTGGTGATGGTGTGTCTTGGGATAAATGTTGTAATCGGGCTGGTGGACTCAGTTAATTTCTTAGTCTGTATTAAGGAAAGTTTCCTGTTTCCTAAAGGGGGGCAGGTAGCGTTGCTTCTCGTATATTTGGCTGTCACCTCGTGAGTTGGCGACTGATATCCTCTTTCTGGCTTTGCTCTCCTCGCGGCCTTTGCTCGGCTCTTTTTCTTGTTCACGGGTGATGAATGTCCAATGGATGGATATACGGTGGCGGGTCTCAAAACGGTCTGTCTCCCTAGGGACACTCCACACTATCCAACTTCCAGAATGTGTAGAAACACCGGAAACCCAACCGAAAATTCGAGACCAAGGCAACGCAAGAGGAATCAGGCCCGGATTCCGACACGAGCCTGTTAAACCTAACCAGCCACTGACCAGCGAACTAGCCTCAAGCTGGTTTCTTTCGTCCCCGCCCGATTGAGGCTCCTCGTCAGACCCGCTCCGGCGGTAACCTCCCCCTTGGGCGCCAACCCCCCCGCCATCCATCGTGCCTAGGACGAATGGGCCCTGGCTTGTGTGGACGGCGTAGTTAAGGAGGGGCCGCCGGCACCTGAGGGCCGACAGCCTTGGTGGCGCTCACGATGGGCGGGTAAGATCTGTAACGGCGCGCGCAGGGGTGGGTTCCGTTGAAGTGTTGACTGACTGGTTCTTAGCGCGAGTTACAAAGTACAAGCCAGTGGTTTCATACTCTCCACCTAGCTGTCCCAGTCTCCGTTGCGAGAGTATTCTCTAAGAAAGCCTGATTCTTTCTTTTCTTACACACAAATCCGGGTGTCCAAATCTGGAAATATGTGAGAATTCACGGCTGCACCCTCCTGCATCTCGCTCGGCATGACTTCCTTCTCGGCGCCACTTTCCAGTGAGTGGGTAGTGGTGGCCCCGTGGTACTGGAACGCACCAGAAGCTATTCCGACCTTCCCCCTGTTCGAGTGTGTCAGTGTGTCCAGGAAGGGATCGACGGCGCAAGATCGCTCGGGTTCTCGGCAGCCCACAGAAAAAAGAGACGAAAAGCCCAAAATAGCGATTCTGGGAACCCGGTAACAGGTGAGAGCAGAAGGGGGAGGAAAACCCGGAAAACAGCTGGATTTTCGCTGTGCCTGTGTTGATCTCCCGATGTTCGTTGAGACGTCCCCGCGTTCGGCAAACTACTTGGCATTTCTCGGCGTTGCGATCTCGATTCTTTGACACAGGGGGTTGCTGAAGGCCAGAGCGTTTTGGTCTTCTTTTTTTCCTTCAATTTTTGCAATGATCAACACTTTCCCACTTCCCCCCCGGCGCACATCACGACGGACGCAGAAACGAGAGATAAAAACGGGAAGATGAGCGACAAGCCTCACAAGTGAAGTTGCACTGTTGCAGCAAGCCCAAACTGGGACGGGACGTCATCCGCCGCTAGCCCGGTTTTTGGGACCGCCACGCGCGGTGCTCCCATTCCGCATTGCCGGACTCGATTAGCCAGCATATTAACCGACCCTCAAAAACTCTCCAAGCTCCCCCCATGGGCCATGGCCCATGCCCCCAGCACCTAGTTTTGGAAACCCGCAACGCACCCCGGATCCTCCGCTGGGGTGGTATCGTGTGTATCGTGGTATTCTGTGTGGGGAGCTGCCGCGGTGCCGCCCGATTTTTGCTCACGGGGTAACCGCCGAGAGGGCCTGGAGTTGCGCCGAGGAAAGGTCTCGACGCTCTTCCCAAACGACCCGCCGCCCAAACAGCAAACAAGTCTGAGCCGGGGTATGAGAGGAAGAAGGACGGGGGCTTCATGCCGTCTAAGTGCGTGGAAATGAGAGGACTGGACGAACTGGGAGCGGCCGGTGGCGGCGTAGCCTGCGGAAAAGGCGTCCAGTTGGTCACAGTCGTGCATGGCAATGGGACATCGCCAGCAAAGGGTGGGTAGAATTCCACTCTGCTGTCTCGCCGTTTTAGGTTTCCGGGCGGATGCCTCGTCTCAAAGTGCCAGGCTGGGCGCCACTGGGTGTCCAGAAGGAGGAGGGTCGACCAGGAATAGCATGGTGGGATCCAAAAGGCCCCATCGTCTACCGTGGTTGAGGTTTTGAAGAGCCAGCTGCGTCGTATATAAATCTCTCCCGAACCGCCCACCAAACACACCACAGTTTAGGTCTTCCCTTCTCTTCTCCCGTGAGACTCTTCCCCCATATCGACAACATCTCGGGTGTTCCTCTTCAACAACCCAACCATCAACCATGAAGTCCTTCACCCTTGCCACTCTGGCCGTGTTGGCTGGCAATGTTGCCGCCCACGCTACCTTCCAGGACCTCTGGGTCGACGGCGTCGACTTCGGCTCGCAGTGCGCCCGTGTCCCGTCCTCCAACTCCCCCATCACCAGCGTTAGCGGTAGCAGCATCCGTTGCAACACTGGTACCTCCAGCCCGAGCGCCAAGTGCCCTGTCGCGGCCGGCAGCACTGTCACTGTTGAGATGCACCAGGTAGGTTTCCCTCACTTGATGTCCTCCAAGGGACCTATCTCCTCACTCTATCTTCTCTCTCCTTGTGTGCCCTTAGTGTTGCTTTGGCCGTTCCTTGTTGAGGGGAGGCACCATGAGAAGGAGAGATGGCGATTAGATGCTAGCCGGGCACAGGCTCTTCTTAAAAGTTAGTGACTAACAACCGATGTTCAGCAAAACGGTGACCGGTCCTGCGCCAACGAGGCCATCGGTGGGGCCCACTACGGCCCCGTGATGGCCTACCTGTCCAAGGTCTCCGACGCCAAGTCGGCCGACGGCTCGAGCGGTTGGTTCAAGGTGTTCGAGTCCGGCTGGGCCAAGAACCCGTCGGGCGGCTCCGGCGACGACGACTACTGGGGCAACAAGGACCTCAACACCTGCTGCGGCAAGCTCAACGTCAAGATCCCCAGCGACATCGCCCCTGGCGACTACCTCCTCCGTGCGGAGACCATCGCCCTGCACACCGCCGGCAGCTCCGGCGGCGCCCAGTTCTACGTGACCTGCTACCAGATCACCGTCTCCGGCGGCGGCAGCGCCACCCCGGCCACCGTCAACTTCCCCGGCGCCTACTCCGCCTCCGACCCGGGCATCCTCGTCAACATCCACTCCGCCCTCAGCAGCTACAAGGTGCCCGGCCCGTCTGTCTACTCCGGCGGCACCACCCGCACCCCCGGCGGCTCTTGCATCGGCTGCGAGTCCACCTGCAAGGTCGGCTCCAGCCCGTCCACCACTCTGAGCTCGTCGCCGTCTCAGCCTACCTCCTCGGCTTCGCCCACTGGCGGCTCGGGCAACCCCGACGGCTGCACCGCTGCCAAGTTCCAGCAGTGCGGCGGGACTGGCTACACTGGCTGCACCACCTGTGCTGTAAGCGTTTTCTTTTCTTCACGTTTTTCGAAGTCTCATAATTAGGATCACATCACAACTAACACGTATCTTACAGTCGGGCTCGACCTGCAGCGGTGTGTCGCCGCCGTACTACTCGCAGTGCGTGTAAGCCTCGGCACGTAGCCTCTTGACGCCTTGCCGAGTTATGGTCTTGGGCGGAGGAACGGAAAGTGGAAGAGTAGGATTTGCATCTATCTAGCATTAGCACAGCACAGCACAGCACAGCGGGTGGGTGGGCGGATGAGTTCGAATGAGGTTATGAGAAAAGGCAAATTCGTGTACATACTTTAATATTTTGCCACCTGTGAATATGACCATTTTGTGGAATTTACTGGGTTGGTTGAATACTCGTGAAGGATGTTACGAAGTGTCTGGCTGTGTTGGAGTTTCTGTGACAAGCGAATCCGCCCTGGCACCAAGTACATATCACCCGTGGAATAAACGGCCTTCGCCACCGACCCTAATTCTTTTGAGAAGAGTGATTCACAGACGCTGAACCGATGATAGATGCGGCATTACCAAAAGCAATACACCAACAACAAATGATCAGTGGGAAACCTCTGGTATTCATGTTAGGTCAAACCCTCGGCTTTGACTCAGACGGTGAGACGGCAGCGAGGTGAGCGAGGGCAAGAGCTTCCTGTCATCGGGTGGAGCCCCTCGCTTTGCAGTGCTTAAACCTCAGGTTTGCGTCGTCCTATCACAATCGGCTCAATGGTCTAGTGGTATGATTCGCGCTTCGGGTAATCACCCTGATTTGACAACAAATCATGTGCGAGGTCTCGGGTTCGATCCCCGATTGAGCCCCTGAGTTTTTTGTTATTTTTGACGACCCCTTTTTCTCCCGACGCATCACAACTAGTGAGCCAGTGTTTTTTTTTTCTTTTCTTCTTTCTTTTCTCATCTTCCTAACATGAGGGTAGACATGTCGGTTTTAGCACATGTTAAAGTCCCGAGACTGACGGGGCATCTGTAAACTCTGTGTCTTGTTATTCATCAGCACCGATATTAAATGTCCTGCTAATATGATTATTTATTGTCATTAATTAATTTAGTCTTGTCATTCACTGCGAGCCCACTCCTAGCACCGTTAGTAAAATAGTCATAACCACACGTATTAGGTTTCCTTGCAGTTGTGGGCTTTCATGTGGGAACGGTCACTTCCGCCAACGTGTATGTTTAGCCCGGACTCCAGAGGCCGGTTTGCAAAACAAGTTCCTTGCGCCAGGTGTTTGAGAACATCACAAATATACGCAAATCATGCCTCGAGGGGTATTTCATACAAATACATGGCCGTGAATTTATTCAACTCCTGGTCGTCATCTAAACCCACCCATCCGAGTTCAAATCGAAATATGCTACAATAATTGGCAAACAATCCCTCACCCGAGCGGCTAAGTAACTATGGTCCTGGAAATACCTGCTTCCATGCCCCCCCACCCACCAAAAGAGACAAGGAACTTGAAACACCTCAACAGGTCAAGCTGAGGCATATGATAACACAAATGGGTCCATACAAAAGGTACGGATCCCTATAGCGAAGGTAGAAAGCAAGAAGAAGTAAAAGCGAGATTCCGTCGTGCGGACCGGCATCAATCATCCCATTCCTCGTCAAGCTGATCAATCAGCCGGTTTTCGTCGTCTCGGTTGCGGTGTCTCCCCGAAGGAGAACCAGACAGCGAGTGGTAGCCTCTCCGGCGCGGAACGTAGCGAGCGCAGGACGCGGTGAGGATGACAAAGAGATCCTGCAGGACGCGGGGGTGGGAACATGGCCAAGCAGGTTAGCAAGGTGGTCAACTCAAGCAACCATATCCTTACGCCCTCGTATATTAAAAATTACTTATTATCGGAGACACCGGCAATGCAAGCATACCTTGATGAAACTCCATATCCCCGCCCACAAACTGTAGTTGGGCAGTTGCCGCCACCCGCGGGCGTGGGCCACGGTGCGCTGGTAAAAGACGCCGCCCATGACGTAGACAAGGACGGTGATGAAGAAGATAATGGCGAAGACGCTCCCCGGTCCCACGCTGCCGGGCTTGTGCGGTTCGGCTCCGGCGCAGGCATGCTGGGACCGGACCTCGAAGAAGTAGGCGCATTGGTCGGGGTCGGTGCCGATGAAGGAGAAGGCCGTTGGCGTGTCTGGGTCGTGGTCGCAGAGGAAAGAAATGGTGGCGGACTTCCGGCGTTCATCCTGGTCCTTGTCCTTCTCTCTGTCCTTCCCCGTGTCTTCGTCTTCTTTGTCGTCCTCGTCTTTCTTCTTATCATCGTCTTCGTCCTTCTTCTTATCGCCGTCTTCATCCTTCCTGCTGCCGCCGTCCTCGCCGTCGTCCTCATCCTGCTCGTCTTCATTGCCCACGCCCTCGAGAGGGGGTACACCTGCGTCGTCATCATCGTCGTCGAAATCCGTGTCGTAAGGCTTATAGCCCGCATTCTCACGCACAATCTCCCGTTTGTCCCAACTGCTGCTAGGTGGCCCGCATGGCGACCCTCCCGTGTACTGCAGGACTAATTTGCGCCCGCGGGGCATGAGCTCTCCCGAGCTTTGCCTATTACACAATGTCAGATTTTCGGGGGAGGTAAAGACTCGGTGCGCAGAGAAATAGAATCTTACCCTAGGGAGTAAACCTTCCCCTTTGTCTCATAATACGCGCTAATGTTTTTCCATAACGACTCCTTGACCCCCACCACATCTTCCACCCCCTTCACTACCGGCTCGCACACGTTGAGTGTAAAGTTATACCCATAGTCCCAGCCGCGCGCAATGTAGTCCTCCGTTGGTATCCCCTTCGGCGCCTTTTCATCCTCCGCGACAGCGATGGCCACATCGGGGCGCAGATCGAAAAAGGCCCCTGCGGTCGATGTTGCGACGCAGGGCGTCAGTGCCGGCGTGGGTGCATCATCGGTTTTGGTCGCTTCTTCTGCAGAAGACACGGCCGCCAAGGCGAAAAGCGCCAGGAGCAGCCCCCTGGTGTTTCGGGAGAACATAACGGTCGGGTTATGTGGACGATGACTCGGACAGGATGTCGTTGTTAGTCGAGGTGCGCGTGGGCGGCTTCTCGCACGGGTCGTCGAGGGGTTGCGCTATCGCGCTGAGCGAAGTGTGGGGAGCGCAGATCCGGTCATACAAGGACGATCAAGCTTCGCATGGATTGAGTGACGCGATTAGCAATCATGGGGCGTCCTACGCGGCTGGCGCGTTGGTGAAGTGGTCGTTGAAGATGTATCTTGATGTATCTTGAAGAACCCCTGATGGGTGGCTTCGTCAACGGTGTTCAGTTGGCGTGGCCTGTCCTCTGTTGGTGCCGGACACAGACCGTGATTGGTGGGTTCGCGTGGGGCAGCATTGGAAGGCTTGGCTTCTTGGCTCCCAAAGTTCTTTTGGAGAGGACATGATTTTGGTGAGAAGACTTGATCGGTACTTTGGAGGAAAGAATTGCTTTGTGTCAAACATCAAATCATTTTTCGTATCTCATCGTTATTCGGTTCGGGCGAGGGAACCCACAAGCGCAACGGCAGCTTCACACCGTTCCCGGAAGACTGCCAATGATCACTGCTCCAAGTCTTGGAAAATCCAAATGGTTGATGGCTCGGGCAAAAGCCGTTCTTAAGGACGCCAAGCTATTAATGTGGGGACTGGCACCAAACGTCCCGGCATCCCTGTCGCCAATTGGGCTTGCCGGCCATCAGGCCATCCGGGTCGCGTCGTGCCGACAGGGGTTCTGCCATCGCATTCTGAAGAAAGCTCGAAAAGGACACCGCAAGACAGCCCACCCGGATCACAGACTCCCGGCGCTAGAGCAGGGCGTACGACCTGCAAGGACCGATTGTCGTCGTTTCCCGCGGGATCCGCTGTCGTTGCGCCTCACAAGAGCTGACGACGTTTTCTACACGCAAGAGATAGTTAAAGGGGGCTTCGCGCCTGTTTGAACGTGGTTGTGAACAAGCCATAGCTAAACGGGACGTCTCCTGAATCAACCAGCCATGGCACCCAAAACGCAACAAGCCGTGTCCAAGCCGCATGGCTACGAATTTTTCGGCCCGTAAGTCAATGATAGTCTAGACCTTCCACTCAATCTTGTTCTCAGCTAACGCGTCGAAGTCCTGGTGCTGCAGCTATCAGTTTCGGGTTACCAGTCTTGATTTACGCCTTCGCCTTCGCTTGCAACGACGTCTCCGGTTGTCCTGCGCCGTCACTCCTCCACCTCAAATCGCTCGATTTCGAAACCCTTAAATCAGAAGTGGGCTGGCCTGAAGATGGTGTCAGGGGGCTCGTGAGCTGGGAGGCCACTGGCTGGCTCTTCACCTATTACCTTTTTAGCGCCGTGCTCTACCGCATTCTTCCTGGAACTGAGGTCGAGGGGACTACACTTGCGAATGGCGGGCGTTTGAAGTACAAGTTCAACGGTTAGTTAGACATGCCCTAACACGTACAAAGTACAATGAGGCTAACATCGATATGTGTGCCTAGCCTTCGCCTCGACCATGTTTACTTTGGCTATCTGCCTCGCTGGTACCATTGCTCAGGGCGCCGAGTTCCCTCTGTGGACTTTTATCACCGACAACTATCTGCAAATTCTCACCGTCGACATCCTCATCGCATACGCCCTGGCCACGTATGTCTACGTTCGCAGCTTTAGCGTCAAGCCGGGCAACCCCGAATTCCGGCAGCTCGCCGCTGGTGGTGTGTCCGGAAATATGCTCTACGATTGGTTTATCGGCCGCGAGCTGAACCCGCGTGTTACGCTCCCGCTCCTCGGCGAGATTGATATCAAGGAGTGGATGGAGATTCGCCCTGGCCTGACGGGCTGGATCCTGCTCAACTGCGCCTTCATCGCCAAGCAGTACCGCACTTTCGGATACGTCACTGACAGCATCGTCTTCATCTCCATCGTCCAAGCTCTCTACGTCCTCGACGCGCAGTTCATGGAGCCCGCGATCCTGACCACCATCGACATTACCACCGATGGTTTCGGCCTGATGCTTTCCTTTGGCGACCTCGTCTGGGTACCATTCGTCTACACACAACAAACCCGCTACTTGTCCGTCCACCCGCAGACCCTTGGCCCGCTCGGCCTCGCTGGCGTTGGCGCTCTCCTGCTCGCCGCTTTCTCCATCTTCCGCCTATCCAACAGCCAGAAGAACGCCTTCCGCACCAACCCCAATGACCCATCTGTGGCCCACCTCAAGTACATCGAGACTAAGGCCGGCACCCGTCTACTCACCTCCGGCTGGTGGGGCATCGCCCGCCACATCAACTACTTTGGTGATTGGCTGCAGGCCTGGCCGTACTCCTTGCCTACCGGCCTGGCGGGCTACACTATCCTGACCGCGGGCTCCACCGTCGAGGGTGCTGTCCGCATGTTGGATGGCCGCCAGGTCGTGCCTGGCGATGCTAAGGGATGGGGGGCGATTTTCACCTACTTTTATGTGCTTTACTTCGCTGTCCTGCTTATCCACCGTGACCGCAGGGATGATGAGAAGTGCTCGCGCAAGTATGGTGAGGATTGGGAAAAGTACAAGAAGATTGTGAGGTGGCGCATTGTGCCATACGTATACTGAAGGGGTGAGGCGAGACGACTGTGGAGGGTCGATGTGTATGTGTAATTGTGAGGGCTCCCAAGTGGTTTTTTTCAGGGCGTGAAGTAATTGGGAGTGTGTGTGTGATAGAAAAGTCCGCGTTATATTGTGCGCACCGCCGATACTCGACCTTCCCAAAGGGATCTCTGGTATCATAGGCATAAATCTAATAACTATTTGATCTTGCAAGAAACTGCCCATGTTCACACACTAAACCTGACTGCAGCTCTGACCTTTGCTTAATCTGAGACTTGTTAATGAATAACCTTGTCCAAATTTGAACCTTGATCTTTTGCCTGTCCATATTTTTTCCATTCTTTGCGTTGCCTCGTTGTTCACGAGATCTTGTTTACACTTTCGAAAACGCATTCCCTATCAGGAAAAGCGGTGTAGAGCTGTGCCTCTCCTAGCTGCACGTGACCTGCCTCCCAAGTCGCGTTTTGCTGAATCGCAGGACCCACATTTTGCATCTCGCCGACCGCTTTCGCCTAGTCAAGCTCATCACGGTTCTCAAGCATCGCATCGTTTTGCATCACATACATCAACCGACCTGTACTCTCGACACGACTTTTGCTCCCCGTTATCCTTTGAACCGGAGGTTTTTACGACAATCCGTTGCCAATATGTCAGACGTCAACATCCAGTGAGTTTGAATCTATGATTTTTGCTTGAGGGCACGTGGCGCAGACCCTGCGCCGCAGGTTTCATTTTTCATTGTGCGAAATCCAAGATTTTGCATATAAATCTTGGATATCCGTTGCTAACGACCCTGCTTCCTAGAGCGCTGCTCCAAAAGCCGCGCAATGAGTGCACGTGAGTTTTGACCCGTCACTAGCCAGCCTCGGCTGTTTTATTTTTGCTAGGAGAATTACTGACTCAAAATAGGGAGTATGAGATTGCCCAGCTGGTATGTTCGGCGATGGAAACAGATAGCTTTGAAAGTGTGGGGCTGACGGGCGTGGTTTACGCGAACAGGAAAGCTGGGAGATGAGCAATGGGCCGTTGTCGCTGCTGCAGACGGCTGTGAGGAGCCATTCACAGGTGCTGATCAGCATTCGGTCGAATCGCAAGCTGTGAGTTGGCCTAGATTTTGCGTTGTGCAGAGGCTGAGCGGATGGAGTGATGGGGAGTGTGTTGGGATGAACATGCTGACACCGTTTTGCATCTAAACACTAGGCTTGCGAGAGTCAAGGCGTTTGACCGCCACTGCAACATGTAAGAACTAACTCCCCGCGAAACATTTTGGGATTCGTTTGCTAACTGATTTTTGTTTTCTAGGATCCTAGAGAATGTGGTATGTCATTTGCGCACACAGTCTTATAAATGCTCCGGGCTCGTCGACAACGGAGATGAGTAGAATGAAACTGACTGTTCGCCTGCAGAAAGAAATGTGGACCGAAACGCCCGTACACAACGGCAAGAAGGGTAGGCCGGTAAACAAGGATCGATTTATTAGCAAGATGTGAGTATCCCGTTTGTTAAGGGCCGTGGGAATTCAAAATCTGACGCCTCATTTAGGTTTCTGCGTGGTGATAGTGTCATCATCGTTCTTCTGAGCTAAAGACGATTTTGTATGATTGATTTTGAGGAGCTATGATGGGCAGGCTTTTGGGGTTTGAGAGGCGACCACCGGGTATCCGAGCCCGGGGATGTCTGACCCCTCAAGGGTTGTGAGGCAGCGGTTGCCTACCGTTGAGTTGAGGCCGGCGAGGTTGTCCATGATGGTTGGTGCCGTCACTCGATTCTCTACGAGACGGAATGTTCGAGATGGCAAAATAGATTGAGGTTAGGCGTCCCCCATTAGGCGTTTGTGTGCATGACTTTGGTTAATTGCCAAGTTGAACCGATGTGCTAGACTTTCAGCTGGGAGTTAATGAAAATATTTGGTTCTGAGGTCTACTACAAATTGCGTGAGCTGGACTTTGAATCATTGGGCTAGTTATGTTGAGTCCACCGATGAAAGTAGCCATTGGCGAAATATAATTAATGAGGTCGAGCTTGATAAGCTCCTGGTTTGAGAGAAACACCCCTGGCCACTTGATAGTTCTCATCAGATTAATTACTGATCTTATCCAAGGTGAAGATGATGATAACAATTATGAGAAGGGAGCCTGATAGCTCCTCTGGTAATTAGTTGATGCCCTAGCATTACTCATATGAGACATACCCAACTCCCGGCTCCCTCATCCCGCGTGTTACCGGGTAAATACTAGCCTCCTAGTGATCGAGGAAATAGTATCACAGTGACACATGGGACAGCAGCGAACAGAGGCATCATTGGGCCATGAGGTGAAAGAAGTAGCTGATTTTGTAACAGCAACGTTGATGCCAACCCGTTACATACTATGTAGTAGGGTACACGACCGGGGGGATAAAGCGCCTCGGGCTGGCTGAGACGCGTTACAGTGTGAGGGAGAGGCTGGGAAACGAGTGAGCGATTTGGTGTCGGAATCCAGACGTGCTCCTTCCGTATGATTTGAAAACAGAGGAGACACTGGCGAGGCCTGGACTCGTCTGGGGGGCCGGAATATGGCTCTTCCTTCAACCTCGAGTCACTAGTTGTGACTGGTGCGCTGGTCGGGGTGTTTTACCATGGCACAGATGCAAATTTGACTTGGCATTTTCTCCTTCCCGCCGACTCCCGCGATCTTGTGGAACACGGTCGGACGGAAAAAGGCGCTTGTGGATGCTCTGAGACTTTGCTGAGGGGGAGCTCAAGCACTCGGGTCAACTGGCGAGGCTTCGGCGTTGCCAAGCGTGATTCGGCCCGGAACCAAGCCGCTTGCATCGCCGGACTTGTGCGAGTTGGGCTACTGGATGGAGAATGCCGCCGGTTTTAAACCTACCTGTCAATGTCCAGTGATCTCGCCGGCTTGCCAAATTCGTTCCAGGGACTCGGGTTTTTTGGATTACGTGATACCATCTGACAGGGACGAACCAAGTTGTTGGGGAGGTTCGTAAAAGGAAAAAGTAACGACAGCGTTCCCTGCCTCCCCATCAGGTGGTGTTCGAAGATAGGCTGCAGCCTGAGGCCAAAGACGCCATGTAACGATGCCATGGTGGTAAGATGACAAACAATACCACGACGTTTTTTTTCGTTGGGCGTCTAGGGCGTTGGGGGCGTCAACCGCTTGCTCCAGTCTCAAGCGCTTGACGGAGCCCTTTGAGAAAAGGGCCGATGTGTGTGGAAGCACGAGGCTTGAGGTTGGCTGCGACGGTGCTACCATTCAGGGCCACACACAGCATTGTGTGTAAACTGTGGTGGGAACTTGGACTTGGGGCTGTGAATTTTGCGGGGTGAGCGCGGGGAAAAAGTTGGGGGAGGCCAAAGTTGGTTCGACGATTTTGTGTTTGTGTGGGGAGGAGGGTGGTGCTGACATCAGGAAAACACAACCCGGACGGAGGTACCGGGCCCCCGGGCTAGCACTTTGTTGCCGGTTGCCGCGATGGAAGGGCAGCGTCATCATTCTCCCCTACAGCCTACCCAACACACCCTACACACGCGGTCCACTACACGTGGAAGAACACAGACAATGCTCTCCGAGGATCGGGGGCTTTGCCACGGTTGTGAAATATGGCTGCCTCCTCAGCGGGTGAGCATTGCATGTCTCGACTTGGGTCGAGAATGCCGATCGCTATATAATTTGTACCCAGTTCCAAGGTGGGTTTTGGGCGTAAGTTGTGCGAACCGCGTTCATTTTGTGATTTGACGCGGCCTACTTCTTGGAAAACGGGGACAATGACCACAAACTTCTGTCGACGGTTGAAGCAAACACGGGAAACTCTATCGAAGGACTCTGCCGAATTCTTGCGCGACAAGTGTCTGGAATAGGCAGGTACAGAGTGTGCCGCTGTTGGTATGGAGAGAAGTCGGTGGTCTGTGAGCAGCGATGTTTTTTTGCTAGGCGACCCCACTGAGCCCACTTTGTTGTGTTTGTTGGAAGGGACAAACGGATGGGGGAGGCCATCCAGGGCAGGAACGGCCGCCAGCTTGGGGTGGTAATTGCGCCCCTGTGCTGCACATGGAAGAACTTGGGTTTTCCTTTGGAACAATTCCCGTTTTCGACCTCAATTTCAATTTCCACAGCTGCTTCGCAGGGCGGATGGATGGGTGAGCCAAACAATCATAACCTGCACTTCTCCGACCGGTTGATCTTTCCCCGCAGTACCCCAATTGCCAAGCTGTGCAGGGTCTGGCCGGCCTGCGAGATGACTTCAACCCTTGCTTTTCTACCAGAGTAGATCGGCCCGTTTCTGGCCCTCGGCCCTCCGAACGCGTGAGCTTGCTTCCAAGTCACGGCCAGCAAGGGCGCGATGCAACGCCGAATCCTCTTCTCTGCCCTTCGCCGTTCGTCCCGTCTAGCCTTGCGCAGAATGGAGGGATCTTGCAGGACGGCAGGACCCCACACTCTCCACGATGGCCGATGGCCCGGGGTCGGCACCCGCGCTCGCCTCGCCAGCGGCATGGGAACCGAAAAACTTGGCGTGCACTTCAACGGCACAACGGCACCCTGCCGTCCGCCACGCTCACGCCGTGTGAGCGAAGGGCCGATCCCCTCGTGGATCATTTTGTCATCGGGCTGGATCCAGGCGAGAGGAGGAACCTTGGAAGGGAGTTATATAGCCGCGGGACTGGCTCCCGCCGCGTAGCATGTCTCGCCCCTTGGCTCGTCCCGACGGTGATCTTTTGTGTCTCCAATACTCTCGGGCCGCTGCAGCGTCCTAAACTCCTGTGCGAGGTGGTCATCGTTCGGATCTCACCACACACAGCTCAGTATGAAGGCCTCCGCGCTTTCTTGCCTGCTCGGCGGCACACTTGTTGCTGCGGCTACTTTTAACCCCGTCGATAAGGTATGAGACATGCCGAAATATGGATACATCCCTCAGGTTCCCCATTTCCCCCTTTCGTTAGGTTCCCCGCCTACGAATTGTTGCGCCCATTGCACCTTCGTTGAAGCAAGACTGGCGGCATTGTTGAACGTTGAAAGCTGTGGTCAAAATGCAACTCCGATCAGTAGCTCAATGGCTACTTGTACTCCCCGCTGCATCAATTGCTGACCGCAATCCGCAACAGATTCACAAGCGAGATGTCGCCAAGTCCGATCCCTACTACCCTTCGCCATGGATGAATCCCGAGGCCGATGGATGGGCGGAGGCGTATATCCAGGCGAAAGATTTCGTCTCCCAGTTGACTCTCGCTGAGAAGGTCAACCTGACGACCGGTGTTGGGTGAGTTCAGCCCCAGTGGACGTGTTGTTCGACACAAGTACCGGCGGAAGTACTAACAGGAACACAGTTGGCAAGGAGAGCAGTGTGTTGGCCAGGTCGGCGCGATTCCTCGCTTGGGTCTTCGTAGTCTTTGCATGCACGATGCGCCCATTGGCGTCCGCGGGTCTGACTACAACTCGGCCTTCCCCTCCGGTCAGACGACGGCGGCCACCTGGGACCGCGTCCTGATGTACCGCCGCGGCTTTGCTATGGGCAGCGAGGCCAAGGGCAAGGGCATCACCGTTCTGTTGGGCCCCGTTGCGGGCCCGATTGGCCGTTCTCCTGAGGGTGGCCGTAACTGGGAAGGCTTCTCGGTCGACCCCGTCCTCACCGGTATTGGCATGGCTCAGACCGTGTCCGGTATGCAGGACGCTGGCACAATCGCTTGCGCGAAGCACTTTGTCGGTAACGAGCAAGGTGAGTTTTGCGTTTGTTTCGCGGTTCCTTGCCGAAATGGAGCGATACTAATTCATCTGCTCAGAGAACTTTAGGCAGACGGGTGAATCCCACGGTTATGGGTACGACATTGCCGAGTCCCTCTCTTCTAACATCGACGACAAGACCATGCACGAGCTCTACCTGTGGCCCTTTGCCGATGCCATCCGCGCCGGCGTTGGTTCCATCATGTGCTCGTACACTCAGGTCAACAACTCGTACGGTTGCCAGAACTCGAAGCTCCTCAACAACCTCTTGAAGGATGAGCTTGGTTTCCAGGGTTTCGTCATGAGTGATTGGCAGGCTCAGCATACCGGCGCCGCCAGCGCCGTCGCTGGTCTCGACATGTCTATGCCGGGTGACACCGAATTTAACACCGGCCTCAGTTACTGGGGCACGAACCTCACGCTCGCGGTCCTCAACGGTACGGTCCCGGCCTACCGTGTCGACGACATGGCCCTGCGAATCATGGCTGCGCTGTTCAAGGTCCGCGGTACCATTGACATGGACCCGATCAACTTCTCATTCTGGACATCGGACACGTACGGCCCTGTTCACTGGGTTGCCCAGGAGGGTTACCAAGAGATCAACTCCCACGTTGATGTCCGCGAGGACCATGGCTCTCTCATCCGCGAGATCGCCGCGAAGGGCACCGTCTTGCTCAAGAACACCGGCTCTCTTCCTCTGAAGAAGCCCAAGTTTATTGCCGTCATTGGTGAAGATGCTGGCTCTAACCCCAACGGCCCCAACGGGTGCAGCGATCACGGCTGTGACGACGGTACACTTGGCATGGGCTGGGGTTCGGGCACAGCCACCTTCCCTTACCTCGTTTCCCCCGACTCTGCTCTCCAGGCTCGCGCTATCCAGGACGGCAGCCGGTACGAGAGCGTTCTGACCAACTATGCCCCCGACAAGACTAAGGCTCTGGTGTCCCAGGCCAACGTCACCGCCATCGTTTTCGTCAACGCCGACTCGGGTGAGGGTTACATCAACGTCGATGGCAACATGGGTGACCGCAAGAACCTGACCCTCTGGAAGAACGGCGATGACCTGGTCAAGAACGTGTCAAGTTGGTGCGACAACACCATTGTTGTGCTTCACACCCCTGGCCCCGTGCTGCTCACGGAGTGGTATGACAACCCGAACATCACGGCCATCCTCTGGGCTGGCATGCCGGGTCAGGAGTCCGGTAACTCGATTGCTGATGTTCTTTACGGCAATGTTAACCCTGCGGCTCGTTCTCCCTTCACTTGGGGCAAGACCCGCGAGGACTACGGTGCCGACATCCTGTACAAGCCGAACAACGGTGGTGACGCGCCGCAGGTGGACTTTACCGAGGGCGTCTTCATTGACTACCGCCAGTTCGACAAGGCTGGCGCCGAGGTCCTGTACGAATTTGGCTATGGTCTGAGCTACACGACTTTCGAGTACAGCAACATCAAGGTTGAGAAGTCTGGCGCCGGCAAGTACACTCCCACGGTTGGCAAGACCGACGCGGCCCCGACCTTTGGCAACTACTCGGAAGACCTGAGCGATTACCTCTTCCCCAAGGATGAGTTCCCGTACATTTACCAGTACATCTACCCCTACCTCAACACTACCGACGCTAAGAAGGCTTCCGCGGACCCCCACTACGGCCAGACCGCCGAGGAGTTCCTTCCGCCGCACGCCACCGACAGCGATGCCCAGCCGTACCTTCGCTCCTCGGGCGGCAACTCTCCTGGTGGCAACCGCCAGCTGTACGACATCATGTACACCATCACCGCCGACATCACCAACACCGGCTCGATTGTCGGCGAGGAGGTGCCGCAGCTGTACCTGTCGCTTGGTGGCCCCGATGACCCGAAGGTTGTGCTGCGCGACTTTGACCGTCTGCGTATCGACCCCGGTCAGACCACCCAGTTCACTGCTCGCCTGACCCGCCGTGATCTGAGCAACTGGGACACCGAGGCCCAGGACTGGGTCATTAGCGACCACAAGAAGATCGCGTATGTGGGGAGGAGCAGCCGCAAGCTTGATCTCCAGATCGAGCTGGCTTGAGGTGAAGCGCCGTAATTGATCTATTGCGGAACGCGTAATTATTTTGGGTGTAAAATAAAGAAGGCGTGGCGAGCTTACAGCAATTACCTTCCATGTTAATATTAGCTCTTAATCGTTATCTTACCTAGTCTTCAAGTATTTTTGGCCACGCATGTTGACGTTTGATGTGGGATTGTGACGTGAGGAAATAGGCTGATGTGTTTTATTTCGGTGGTCCTATTCTCTTGCAGGTATCGGTCTCTGCTGACAACATCGCGCTTTCCAAGTGCAGTCGGACAACCTCCTCTTTCCTTTTTAGCATGATGCTTCCACGGCTAAGACGTAGATGCCATTTTCGGTGTCCGAGAACTCCAGACACTTTGGTTACATAGTATGGCTCCCCGTTGTTTACATGGGCATTTCATTTTCCTAGACATCCCTTATGTTTTACCACTATCCTTTCCTTAGACGCACACCACTTCGCCCCCCCTAAGATACTCGACAATATCATTTCAGCATGCCGAAAAAGACCGGCGGCGGTGTTGGTGGCAAAGGGGCTTCCGCCCAAAGCCCTACCAACGCTACTCCCAGCCAAGACGATGTCAATAACTCCGATACGGCATCTGGACCATCCCAACCGACAAAGACTACCCGTCGCAACGCCCGACATCGACACACCTTAGCAGAGACCGTTGCTGAGACGTTCATCCGAGTTCTCATCGATGAAGCTTTTGACAAACGGTCGGCTGGCAAACCCCCTTCCTATCACGAATGTACTCGGAACCAGCAACCGCCCCAGACGTCCCAACCCGATGTTTGCTTGGGAAAGGACCGCTCAGCGGAGGACGGCTCAGCCCCGACGAATGCCTTGATCGACACGTTGACGGCCTTGGAAAAGAACGTGGCCAAGGCGCTCGATCTCGCTCGTGGCATTAGGGGCGCTCCGTCCGCTACAAAACCCGATACGGAGCCCGACACAAAGTCTCCTACAACGCCCACTGCGGGATCCGACACATCGTCCGAGACGGTTCCCAATACTGCGTCCAACACAGCGGGTGAGACGGCGACCGAGGCGGCATCTAGCACAACGTCCAACGCAGCATCCAACACAGTATCCAACACGGCTTCCAACGCTGCGTCTAACGGCGAGTCGAAGACGGCGTCTACCACGGTACCCGACACAACATCGAAGACAAAATCGAACGCTACGACTAACACAACGTCTAAAACGGCGCACGAGACGATGCCCAAGTCAGCGTCTGAGCCAGCATCCAAACCAGTGTCTAAGTCAGGGTGCAAGACAACAACATCGAATGCAGCATCCAACACGGTGCCACCCGATACGAGTTCCGGCAAAACCGGTGTTCCTGAATCTGGTGCCGCGTCTCGCACAGCAAAAAAAGGGACAGCGGCTTTACCTAACATTACACCAGAATTGGCTGCTCGTGTGATGGCCGCAATGGAACGGCACAACAACGGTCTCGCCGGGGCACATGAAATACCGACCTTGAATACTGGCATCTGGGGAGGCATGCTTCGGCTCCCACAGATACGTCGACTAGACAAATTTGTGAATATGGACAAGGTAGTAGAAGCCATAAAGGATGCTTACCCAGAGCTCCCACTGGGAATGGCTGAGGATATCATGGGCATCGTTCTGGATCACTTGGTGGGCCAAAACATTGTGACGGAGGACAAAGGTGTTACTAAGGCGGCGGGGAACAACCCGGCTGAAAGAGCTTAGGGGCCCCTGGATATTGGAAGAGTCCCAATCAGCATGGGAACTCTGGGAGATGAGGCGAACGTTGCGCTGCAGAGAGTCAACGCCAACATATGTCCTGATTTGGGCCGGGATTCGATTTTACGTACCATGGGGTTGCTCATCGACATAGTTCAAGCTGGTATCATCCCGTTTCCACGTTCAACCCGTTGGGAACATTCTTTTCCCCTAACTCTCCGGGACCCCGCCACTTCATTGGGACCGGAGGAGCGGCACGAGACACCTGAAACTGTGAGTTGGTTCTTGCGAGTTATGATTGACGGGTTATGGAACGAAAGCACGGGACGGATCAGTTGGGACATACCGGCCAACGTTGGTTGTGAGATGCCCCCCGGAGCGCAGTGGCAGGATTTCAATATTGATCTCACCTGCCGTGCTCGATCATATTCGCTTGTTTCGTGGGAATACAGCAGTGAGGTGGATTTGGCCTCGTGTCTGACCGACATAGCGGATGGCCTTGTCGAATGGGAGGAGAGGGGACACGACTCAAATTCGGCCCTGTTTCTGCCCGACGACATGGACGCCCCTGTATGGTTTGCGATTCTACATTTTGTCTTCAGACAGAGGTGGAGGTTTTACGCGATATTAGGAAACAACGCGTTAGTCTGCCGTAAGTTGACGGCCTCTAGTACTCCCGATCTTCTAGTTCTCACTCGTCGGAAGCATTGCTGACGGCCCCTCTCCTTTTCTTAGGGATCATCCATCTCAACATCTTGCCTGGCCACCGACGAAAAGGCTTGGGCTCCAAAATCATGGTGGAATTCTGTCAGCAAATGGACGAGCTCGGTGCCTGCGGGTTCTTGTATACCTTGAAAAGTATGGCGCCGTTCTACTTCAAGTTCGATTTTACCATTCTCGGAGCAATGCGTTATGAGGCCGATGCCATCATCGTAATGAAACGCCTTCCTCATGTCGCCAAGGTCAGTGTTCCTTACCGTCGGCTTCTGCCCAGAGGATACGTAATTAGCCAGAGGGGTCAAATTTCACCGCTGGAGGCCGCTACTGCCCGGCGAGATGACCAAACGACCGACAGGGACAGGCTGCGCTTCTTGGCAAAGGCGGTAGGAGCAGAGTTGATGATCCCGAGCGAGGCCATCGAGGATGATGGCGCCAACACGCTTATTTTTGCCAATGGGTACAAGTATGTGGCTCCGCCACGGAGCGCGAGACGGTGGGAGGATATACCGCCTAATAGGGACCGTGTCCTTTGTGCTCGCGGTGACTATCGAGATGGCGCTGATGATGAGGATGGGAATGATGATACCGGTGGGGATTTGACTAGTCTGGTGGCGGACAGGGGTCGGGGGGGTAGAAAGAGGAATGGTGGTAGAAATCGGAGGGGAAGGAGAAGGAGGAGACATTGATTGGGTTGATGGGTTGGGGGAAGATGTGGTGTTGTCGCATGTTTGCTTTGGTTACATACCTTTAGCGTGATTTCACAGCGGTAATACACCAGCGTATTCTGATTGAGAGATATGATGTCTTTGAGGTGATATGTGTGCTGCGAGTGAAGCTGGTGGGCTTTTTGGTTACTTGGTGTGCGTTTTTCGGCCCCTTTTATTGACTTTGCCCCTGTTTGGGGAACCCCGCCGTCGTCGCAGTGATGGGGCGTCAGCAAGTCATTCCCCAACCGAGGAACTCTAACGTTACCACCACCAGGGATCATCGTCACCTAGAGAATAAAAAGCTACAAATAGCATGCATGCATGAAATGCACGATAAGCTCATGATTGAGGAAGAGGAGGTGGACGAGATAGAAAAGAATAAAAGAATAAAAGTAAAAAAAAGAAAAAAACGAAAAAAGTAAGCGTCACCTGTAGGATTCGAACCTACGCTCCCGAAGGAACTGCCTTAGACTGCTAATTATGAGTTAGCAGGGCAGCGCGTTAACCACTCCGCCAAAGTGACTGGTGGGATTTTGCATGGAGATTTGGGGGGAGGGTGGGGTTTATGAATGCTGTTTGCGAGGTGGGGCATTGGTGGGGTCGAATCTAGCCTGGTTGCCTGGCGATGGAGTGATGACGTTCGAGTTAACGTTATTTTATGAGTTAACGGGATCAGGTGGTTTTTTTTCCATGAGCAGGAATGCATTTGGGTTTGGGGAGGGGTTGGTTAGGTTGTGCTGGGTTAAACCTGGTGACTTTCAGTTTTGGTTTGAGTGACGACGATACTTCACATTTGGGCGCGTTTCTCCGCTCAGCGTGGTACCTACCTGTTGAACTTGGATTTGGACCATTTGAGTACGAGTACCTGAATGACACAATGGGGATCGTTTGTAACTTTTTTTTTGTATTGGCTAGGCTTGTTTTGACTTCTCTTTTCATTCGGTGGGTTGACCCACGACTTCTTTTGTGTAATTCGACCTGACGGTCTTGACCCCTTAGACGCTCTAGATTCGAAATAGGGTGTGTGTCAAAATCACTCCCATACCCAATGCAGCACCCTTTTCCCACTCCAACCCAACCCAGCCCAAACCCCGAAACCAACTCCAACCGTTTAGTGTGCAAACCGAAAGTCCAACCGCTTCGACCCCTTGGTCTTGTTGTACCTGGTGTACTCGATACGCTCCGGCTCGCTCATGCTCTTCCAGGTCTTTTCTTTTTGCTTGTTACGCCAGACATAATAGACTTTGGCCACGATAAAGGTAAGGATGGCGAGGATGTCGATGGCGATCAGTTTGGTGTTTCCGTCGTGGTAGTACGGTTTGTCGTAGTCTTGGTAGGCGAAGGAAGCACAGATGTTGCCGAGTTGTACGGAGATCTGTGAGGTGGTGGTTAGATCTTTCGAAATACAACTAAGGGATAATGAGAGAGAGGTGGCATGGGCTTACATTATACAACGCGGAGGCAACAGTTCGACTGCCGACATTGTTGGCGTTCTTGGAGACCCAGGCAACGTTGATGGCGTGGCAGTAAGGATACGCCAGTAAGACACTAACGAGAGCGTAGGTACCCCAGGCGTTGTTGATGAGGCCGGGCCAGAAACGTAGGGCAATCACACAGGGCAAAATCCAAACATTTTGCATCATGCCGACGAGGGCACGCTCGTTGAGATACTCGGAAATGCGGGTGATGATTAAAAGGCAAATGATATGACCGACGGTCTAAGGATGAGAGCGAAATCAGTGATTTAGGTCATAAAGTGGTGGTGGAGTTGGAAAAAGGGGGCCTACCGCGGGGATGGTGAGTAAGTTCGTCGTGAATTGGTCGAAGCCAACCGACCGGAGTATCAGCGTGAGATACTTATCGACCGGGGTCTGCGGAATAAAGGACACAAGACCGATGGCATACATCGGCCACAGGTCGTAATCCTTGAGAACCTCCCACAGCCGACGCGGCGTAATGGCCTCACGGTTGTGCATATCACCCTTGGAAGGGTCGTCACGGAGAACACGGTTGACGAGGACGGTGATCTCGCGGTCGTTGAACCAGCCCTTGGGGCGAAACCATGTCTTGGTCTGCACGGCGGAGGCGGGCATGTTGAAGAAGGAGAGGAGGCCGATTGTGAGCGTAATCAGGCCTTCGACCAGGAACAGCCAGCGCCAGCCGGCCCAGCCGTGGACGCCGCGAAGATGGAGCAGAGCGAACGCGAGGAGCGACGTGATGATGGTGGTGAGTGAGAGGGTCATCCAGAAGTAGCTTTTTATCGTCCGTTAGCAGCTTAAAACTTCTGGATAAGAGTAGAAGAAAGGCTCCCGGGAACTAACCTCAACCGGATTGGAAGTTCGCGAGACGTATAAAAATACGACAGCCACAGCACAATATCCGGGATAAACCCACCCTCCAGCAGTCCCAGAAGCGCGCGTGTAGCGAGGAAACTGGAGCGGCCTGTTATCGCGCATTGGGAGATCGCCACAACGGACCACAGGACCATCTGGACGGGAATCCAGCGGTCTGGCCCCAGCTTCTTGGACACCAGCTGAGATGGTAGCTCGGCGAAGAGGAAGGCGAGGAGGAAGGTGATGTTTCCGAGGTTGTAGTCTATAGCATCACGAATTAGTAAGGTGTGGTTATGGAATTGGCACTTGACCCAAACGTAGAAAAGAAACCCTTCGTACCGTTGGTATTGAGACCCAAGTCGTCCAGCATGTTGTCGGACAACGCCTGTGTGAGGTTTCCACGGTCGACTTGGAGCGCGAAAAACATGACACACTAATGAACCATCAGTCCAATTGCTTTTTTATTTCTCCGAGATAGACCGCCACATACCGCCCAGGTACATATCCGAAAGTCCAGCTTGCGGACCAGCTTCCTTTCCTCCTCCTCCGACCAGGTGACGGTCGGGTCAAATGCATGACGGCACTCGTACTCGGCGCTCTCGTAGACGCCGCGCCAGTGGGCAGCGACGTCTGGATCGAGGAAGGGGTTCTTGGCGAGATCCTCCTCAAACTCCTCGTCGGACCCGGACCCCTCGCTGGTAAAGGGCGTGTCGAGAATCGCGAGGTCTTTCGAGTCTGCTGCGTTGGCCCCTTTGTCTTCCTCCCCCACCAGCCCCGACTTGGGAGGAGGGCTGCTGGATTCCGGACGGCTCGCCATGGTTTGCGATCGTGCACGGCTTGCTGTTGTTGCTGCTGCTGTAATTGTTGATCCTTGCTTGACTAGAAGCCGTCGGATTGGGACAAACAGCAGGGGCGCGCCGGCGCGTTGGCGTTGAAGCTTCGAAGGTTGAAGTTACTCGAGAAGAGATAGCCTGGTTACACACGATGTCGAAGGGGGGGCATGTGGCCAATTTATCGTCGCCTGCGGGTGAACTATTTGTGTCCCCCTCCACTCCATCCTAGCAATCCCATTGTCGAGGGTACGCTGCATGCGCGGCGGGAGTATGCCGGCCGTTGACGATGGAGGCATTCTCGCATTCGTCCACATATGGCGTGATAGCTGATACCTACCGGTTTCGGTGACCCAGGCCCGAGAAACGGGGTGAACTTCTGGCCCGGGCGGTGGTCAGGCAACGTCAGGGTGGAGATAGGGCGTTTTGTCTGGAATCATTATCTCACTCCTCAGGTCTCAGGATACCACCATATCCCTCGTGGTCTCCTGGAATCTTCCCTGGCAGCCACGGTCGGATTCTTCGCAAGACAACCCCATGCCGCGCACGGTACGGATGCAACCAACAGCATTATCTGCTGCTGGAGGGGTCTTCCCCGATACCCGAGGCTTGTCCTGGTTCGCCCGGCTGACGCCTCTATCCTTCCCGGGGCTTGGTACCCGTTGTTCGCGGCTTAAATCCGACCGACCGACAGGCCCTTGGGAACGTGGGGCTCCATCGCGGCCGGTTTTGGGTGGTTGTTGTGAAGAAAAAAGTCGTGAAAGTGAGGGAACAACAAGGGGTGTTTAGGTGTTGTGTGACCGAGAGCAAGGTTGGTGATGTGGGTGGAGTTGTCGTGATTCCGGCTCCGATGAGATGATTCGGATATCTCGCGTGTGAGTGGTCGGTTGCCAAGGAGCTTCCCCCCCGCAAAAACATCTGCAGTGGGCTATTGCTTGACCTGCATTTGCTTCCTGCCTTCTGATATTCGAAGCGCTTTGATAGCCCCCTTTTCGGCTGAGTTGGTTGGATTCTTGCGTCTGACTCGTTGCAGTAGGAGTTCGTGGTATCGTTTGCTGCCCTCGTGAGTCGTGATGCATGGGCCCCAGATATCCACAGGTGCGTTTCGCTGCTGGAACTCATTGAAACTTCGTCACTCCAATGTAGAATCACACCATCGTCACCCCACGCCGGGAAGAGCACCGCTTTTAGAGGAATCTCGCCACCAGCGCGGGTATCCCAAATCGAACGTCCGTTGAAGGTTCCATGCTGCAACCCATTCCTTCCTTATCAGATAACGACGGCCGAAACAAGCGTCACTGCAGCTTGCTCACGGATCGGCACCGCGTTCACGACACCGACACTCGGATTCATGCTGAATTCGATGCTGAATTGGATGGTGATGAGCAAGGGTTGAGGATGAACAGGATGAAGTGAGGTCCAAGAGGTTGGGCTAATTATAGGGCGTGAATTGTTTCAACGGCACTGCAACAACCCTAACCCGCCAATGACGCTGATGGAAAGTGCAGTCTTGGCCGCCGCCCAACAGTTCTTTTGACAAACGATACAAGACTGGAGAGCCCCCACCATCGATATGGATAGAAACTCGGCAGGTGGAATCCGTACAATATAAATACGACGCCAAGAGCCCCTGGCGTTCACAAGAGACGGAGAATCCCGCACTGCTCCATCTTGCATGATGAGTAAGAAATGACAGCTTTTGGCGCCCACTAGAGTCGCGGGTCCGCGAGTATTAGTCAGCCCAATTGATTATGTC